AGAGAGCATTCACCCCAAGTAAAGATGAATAAATTCAAAAAAGCTCTAACAATTCTCGTATCAATTATTTTAAAATTTTCAGAAGGTAAATGATATATTAAAACTAGGTATTATTTTATCTGGATAATTTCTAGGATATACTCTAGAAAAACTTACCAGATTTGAAGAAACATTGGATAATTAGGATTCAGTTATTTTGAACAATTTATAAGATTCAAGGTATTGTTTTTACAAAGGTATGGTTAGAATGAACAATTTCATAGCTATTACACTAGATAAAGCAATCAAATTCGAAGAAGATTTGGAAAATTATGAATCAGCTATCTAGAGAAACCCTAAGTTTACTGACTATTACTTTAAAAAAGGTATAATTAACTCATTGGATGATTTCTTAGCTGATACTTTAAAAAAAATGAATAGATTTGAGGAAGCATTAGAAAATTATGATTTAGTTATATAGAAAAATTCTTAGAATTCTATGTATTATTTCAACAAAGGTATGATCCAACCAGTATGATTTCTTAGCTATTACACTACAGAAAATGAGCAGGTTAGAAGAAGCTTTGGAAAATTATGATAAGGCTATTTAGTAAAATCCAGAAGATTCAAGATATTATTATAACAAAGGTATGATTCAAACTGATATTTTTTAGCTACGACACTAAATAATATGAACAGATTTGAAGAAGCTTTGGAAAATTATGATTCAGCTATTTAGAAAAACCCAGAAGATTCAAGGTATTATTTTAACAAAGGTAAAATTCAAACTAAATTACTTCTTAGCTATTACGCTAAATACAATGAATAGATTAGAAAAAGCTTTAGAAAATTATGATTCAGCTATTTAGAAAAACCCAGAAGATTCAAGGTATTATTTTAACAAAGGTAAAATTCAAACTAAATTATTCTTAGCTATTACGCTAAATAAAATGAACAGATATGAAGAAGCTTTAAAAAATTATGATTAAGCGATTTAGAAAGATCCAGAAAATTCATACTATTATAATGGCAAAGGTATAATGAATTGTTGATGATTACTTAGCTGATACTCTATAAAAAATGAATAGTTTAGATGAGGCTTTAGAAAACTATGATTTAGCTATATAGAAAAATCCAGAAAATTCATACTATTATAATGGCAAAGGTATAATTGATTGATGATAATTACTTAGCTGATACTCTACAAAAAATGAACAGATTTGAAGAGGCTTTGGAAAATTATGATTCAGCTATTTAGAAAAATCCAGAAAATTCAGACTATTATAATGGCAAAGGTAAAATTAATTGTTGATAATTACTTAGCTGATACTCTACAAAAAATGAACAGATTTGAAGAGGCTTTGGAAAATTATGATTCAGCTATTTAGAAAAATCCAGAAGATTCAAGATATTATTTTAACAAGGGTATGATCAAAATTAATAATTTCTTAGCTATTACACTAAATAATATGAACAGATTTGAAGAAGCTGTAGAAAATTATGATTCAGCTATTTAGAAAAATCCAGAAGATTCAAGATATTATTTTAACAAGGGTATGATCAAAATTAATAATTTCTTAGCTATTACACTAAATAATATGAACAGATTTGAAGAGGCTTTAAATAACTATGATTCAGCTACTTAGAAAAACCCAGAAAATTCAGACTATTATTTTGGCAAAGGTATAAAATTCAAATTTAAAATTTATAGCCATTTCTTTAATGAATATGAAAAGATTTGTAGAGGCATTAGAATACTATGATTTAGCTATTTAAAAAAACTTTATCAATGCAGATTATTATATTGGCAAAGGTATACAATTTGAAACAAACCTTTGTAGCAATTACTTTAATGAATATGAATAGATTAGAATAAGCTATGGAGTATTACGAATCAGCCATTTAAAAAAATCCAGAAAATGCAGATTGTTATAATGGTAAAGGTAAAATGTAAATTACTAATTTGAAGCAATTACTTTAGGTTAAATGAATAAATTTGAAGAGTCGTTGATATATTATGATTAAGCTATAAAATATAACGATTAAATTTCAGAATTTTATAACAACAAAGGCATCATTCACTTTATTTATTTTTCTAGCAGTGATATTATAAAAAATGAATCAATTTGAAGAGGGTTTGGAGTATTTTGATTTAGCAATTTAATAAAACCCTGAAAATTCAGATTACTATGCAAATAAGGGTATACAAATAATGTTACGTTTGCAGCGATTACATTAATGAATATGAATAGATTTGAGGAAGCATTGAACCATTATGATATAGCAATTTCCAAAAATCCAGAAAATTCACTCTATTACCATCATAAAGGTAAATAATACTTCAATAAATTTGAAGCAGTCACCTTACATAAAATAAATAGATTTGAAGAAGCTTTGTAATTTTATAATTTTGCCATTTTCAAAAATTTTGACAATTCAGATTATTATAATAATAAAGGTATTGTTTTTATATCACCATTTTATTTAGCAAATACTTTAATTAAAATGCAAAGATTTGAAGAAGCATTGGAATATTAGGATATAGCTATAAGTAAAAATCCGAATAATGCAGATTATTAAAATAATAAAGGTAATACTTCAATAGCACATCATTTTCATAGCAAATACTTTAAGCTAATTAAATAAATATGAGGAGGCAATAAACTATTATAATTCAGCAATTCAGAAAAAACCAAAAAATTCATATTATTACTATTGTAAAGGTAAATGATGAGCTTATCATTTCCAAGCAATCACTTTACATAAAATAAATAGATTTGAGGAAGCAGTGCAATATTATGATTTAGCCATTTAAAATAATCAATTTGATCCAGACTATTATAACTGCAAAGGTATCGACATCTGGTTTTCATAAAGCAAATACATTAAATAAAATGAATAGATTAAAAGAAGCCCTTATTTGTTATGATCTAGCTATCTAGATGAATCCACAAAATCCAAACTATTTTAATGGCAAGGGTATAACGATAAAACATAACTTTCAAGCAATTACATTAAATTTCATGAATAGATTCGAAGAAGCTCTAGAAAATTATGATTCAGCTATTTAAAAAAACCCAGAAGATTCGTAGGTATTATTTTAATAAAGGTAAATTCAAACTAAATTATTTCTTAGCTATTACGCTAAATAAAATGAATAGATATGAAGAAGCTCTGCAAAATTATGATTCAGCTATTTAGAAAAATCCAGAAAATTCAGACTATTATGATGGCAAAGGTATAATTAATTAATGACGATTACTTAGCTGATACTCTATAAAAAATGAATAGGTTGGAAGAGGCTTTGGAAAATTATGATTTAGCTATTTAAAAATATCCATAAAAATCTATGTATTATTTCAACAAAGGTATGAATTCCAAATGAATGATTACTTAGCTTAGACTCTAGTTAAAATGAATAGATTCGAAGAAGCTTTGGAAAACTATGATTAAGTCATTTTAAAAAATCCTGAAGATTTAATGTATTATTTCAACAAAGGTATGATTTAAATTGGATGATTACTTAGCTAGTATGCTAAATAAAATGAATAGGTTTGAAGAAACTTTGAAAAAGTATGATGGCAGCAGTATATATATATATAGATTTCTTTTTTAGAGAAGGGTTCACATTAAATGGATGCTTATGTATTCATTCCTTACAATCATAAAGAATTTTGATATTAATAATTCATCCAAAATTTAAAATATACTTCAGCATTTCAGAATCATTTTGATTCAATTATCCAATCTCTTAAGGTATTTTCAACAAAACATCTCTTGTTAATTATCTACTTTTACCATTAATAATATTTAATATATTTATTTTTTCTTTAATTGATGTCTGATTGACACTATATTCAATTATTTAATCTGAGAGAAAACCTCCATAATAAACTTGCTTGGGTGTGGAAAGCGACAAACTCACACAGCCCCAGTCAACCACGATTCCCTCTCTTACATTTAACAAACCTCCATCCTTTTATGGTAACGAATTGCTTGAACTTGTTGAACAAATTAATTTTGAAAAAAAAAAAGAAATAAATTTTAAATATGAAATCATATCATATTTATTGTACTATTATTTAAAATGTATTTTTATAAGGTCTAATATATATCTAATATTTATTTTGTTAAACCATTAAATTGTTACGCGTGAAGACATTTTCTAACCATCCTACTCATAATTTTTCCAACATAAAAATTACATACTTATTTAAATTAGATTATTAATTTCTCCTTTTAATGTAATAGTTTTCTATTAAGCTCTAATCAAATAAGTGCCATCCATTTTTGTGAATTAGTATTTTCTTCTATTATCATAGTGGAGAAGTATTGGAAGCATGGTTAGCAAACTTTTTTAATCTCAATTTCTCCTTATTGCAAGTATTTATTTTCCAAAGTAAACTAGGAGATATAAATAATGCTTTTGCTCTTAAACAAAAAAAATCACATTTAAAGATAGGTAAAAAAATGAATCTATCATTATTAACAGAAACATATTTTATAACAAACACATATCTCATACCTAAATCTTTTTAATTTTCGCCACAAAACAATGACTTGAACTTCATCTTCATTTATGGATAATCAAAATTTGAGTTTTCTGCATATTAATTTGAATCTGAGAAGTATGTTTTTGGACTAAAGTGATTCCTTCAATAAGTTTGATGATTAACAAATATTTAAAACCATATTAATTTTCTAATATTTCGAATTGTTTTCTAAAACAATCCTTGTAGAATTATTTTGTTCACAAAACAAAAACTATTATTGCTGAAATAAACTATGTTATTTTAATTTTTTTAGATAAAAATGAATTGAGATTTTTAGAAAATTATAAATAGTCAGTTGTTTGATATACCTCATAATATTTCTCAAAATAATTATACAAGGTCATACGAAAAATTTCCTCCTAATAATAGAAAACGAGTCTCCTCAACAACCTTAAATTAAATATAAAGCAATTCTTTTCAGTTGGTATTATTTAAATAGTAATAGAAATTAATCAATTAAATAATTATGAATTGCCCAAATCATCCTTCAAATGAAATAACTGTAATCTGTATAGCTGGACATAATTGTTAAAGAAAATATTGTCCAGAGTGCCAATATGATCATGGAGGAGAGATGAATTAATACCTTCCAATAGATTTGTTTTCAAAAAAACTCAAGGAGAAAGCCCATGCATATAAACTCGCCAATGATTAAGAATAAGTAAAACAACATCGAGAATTTAAAATTTTATTTGCAAACACTTAAATCAACTTAAAGAAAGCCTTTCAAGATGTAAATTAATCCATTTAAGGGATAAATGAAACGATTAAAAAGCAAGCTTAAGTGTACCTCAATTTAATAAACACCTAATTTTCACTATCGGAATCATCTTATTCAGATCTTGATCTTATGGTGAAAATGTTAGAGAGAAATGTACTCGATAAATGGCTCTTTTCAAAAGAATTTTATTATAATCTATTTGATTAACTAAAATCAACATTAAAATTTGAAATTGAAAAATTTATTCGTATCATTAATGCATAATTTTCAGCAATTTTGTAAGAAGAACAAATATAATAATAAGTCGGGTTGAAATAGTAAGATTAATTTTTGATAAAAACAAATTTCCAGATTCAAAACTCAGCCTAAAGAGAAACTAAATATATTTATTAAGGTGAAACCCTTTAGATGTATAAATAATTATTATAAAGCGTTAAACAATATGATTTACTGTAAAAGCCAGAAATTCTTACAAATCTTTAATAAATAAAAAATCTTAAATGGGCAGGTGAAGTAGGGAAGAATTTGAAAAAAATTGGGTTTTGGTCGGCTTTATGGAAGGGCGAAAATCGTGAAGGTTGTGGTGGTGAGTACTCATAAGATGGCTATAAAAGTGGTAAGTGGAAAGAAATGATAAAAAATTATTACGATTATCAATATAAATATTGTATTAGTTATGCAAAAGTTTATGAATGTGGAGAATATGTAAATGAATTTAGGAGTGGAATATGGAAGTATATCTATAATAATTAGGAAATGTATGACTAAAATGATAATAAAATAGTGGAGGTGGAGAATACAAACAGCCGGGACTAAAGAATGGAAAATGGTCAGAGCCAAGCGAGGAGTTTAGTAATAAGTCTTAAGCTACCTATAATGGAGAATATAAAAATGGTAAAAAGGTTAGTAGATGGAATACTGTAGCTTGGGGAATATTAGTGTAATATATTAAATTGATTTAGTGAGGGTGGCTCCTATGATGAAGAAGGCAGTGAAATAAAGAATGGTAACTGGATTGAATTAAATGATAAGATTTCGGATTACTCATAGATCTATTATATAGGTGAGTATAAAAATGGGTAAAAAATTGGTAAATGGAGTACTTGGTGGAATATGAAAGAGAATAAGGAGATGTAAATTATTTTAATTTTTTGATTTAGTGGGGGAGGATCATATGATTAAGGAAACAATGGTATGAAAATTGGAAAGTGCATTGAGTTAAGTTAAGATTTTTAATATCTTTCTTAAGTAATTTATTAAGGAGAATATCTAAAAAATAAAAAAATTGGTAGATGGAATCTTCTATATAGAAGGACTACTGATGAAGAATTTGCTTTAATGTAATAAATTAAACATATAATGGAATAGGGGGGGGAGGATTATTTGATGAAAGGGGCAATGGGATTAAGATTGGAAAATGGATTGAATTGGTAGAGAGATTTGGATTAAGTAGTGGAGTTACATATAATGGGGAATACAAAAACGGTAAAAAGGTTGGTAGATGGCATATAACAGGGTTAGGATTATAAATGTAAAATATTACAAGGAATAAATATTTTTAGTGGTGGAAGATCTTATGATGAAAAAGGAGAAGAAAAGAAGGTTGGTAGATGGATTGAACTGAATGATGGGTTTTGGAATTAATCCTAAGTCTTATACGAGGGTAAATATAAAAATGATAAAAATTTGGGAAATGGGATATCTATTTGAATTATGAGGGAGCAAAAGTATAGATGTAATCTTCTTCATATACAAAATTTAGAGGCAATGGATCATATGATAACGAAGGGATTAAGATTGGAAAATGGGTTGAGTTAAACAATCGATTTTAGAATGGTTTTTAGATTTTTTACGTTGGTCACTATAAAAACGGTCAAAAATTGGTAGATGGGACATTGCTTATTTTACATAATTGATGTAGAATATTATAAGTGATTAATTTTTAAGTGGTGGTGGAACATACGATGAATAAAGCGACTTTATGAAGGTTGGGGAGTGGATTCAGTTGAGTGATGAATTTTAGAATTCCTTACAAGTTTTATATAACGGTTAATATAAAAATGGTAACAAGATAGGTAAATGGGATATATCTGTTAGCGGAAAATAAATGTAAATAATTGGGAATATTGATATTTTAGCGGGGGAGGAATTTATGAAGAAAAAGGTGATGGTATGAAAATTGGAGAGTGGGTTGAACTGAGTGAAGGATTTTCATCATTATCATAAGTTGTTTATTAGGGAGAATATAAGAATAGTAAAAAAATTGGTAGATGGAAAATTTTGTATTCCAAAATGTTCGACAATTAATTTAAAGAAATGTAATGGATTATGTTGATAGTTTTAGTGGTGGTGGGTCATTTGATGATGACATTAAGATAGGTAATTGGATTGAGTTGATAGACGGTTTTGGTTTAAATGGGTTTGTTACTTGTAAAGGTGATTATAAAAAAGGCAAAAAAGTTGGAAATTGGATGGCATTAGACTATTTCAAAAATGAAAATCTGGGTGATAAACTATATTGAATGGATCTGAAATTGATTTAAATCAAATTTTGTGATAGAATCATCAGAAAATTAATTTATTCAGTTTTTAATTTTCTCAATGAAAACATTGAATTATTTTAGGTTGGTTTCAATCAAAATTATAACAAATGAAAAAATAAAATTTGGGATATACTCTGCCATCTCAAGAATTAGCTTCTATCTTTCATTCAATCTTTTACAATAAGATTAGGCTGAATCTTCTGATTTTTTCTAAATATATCCTTCTTATTATTCTATTGCTTCTTCAAGTTTATTCTTATTCTAAATTTAATTCATCTTAGATTGTTCGACTTATTCTTATAAATAATTGAAATATTCTATCCTACTCAATTAAAATATTTTTATTTTGTAAAAAGATTTAAAATTTTTTGAATGTTCATTTTGATAAAGTTGGTTCCTTTTCACATGAATTTCACTCTCCATTTGAAACAGTAGTTATTATATTAAATCTGACTTTGAGTTTTTTTAAAGTTGATTTCATTTTTATTCCATTATTTCTTTCTATCTTTATTAAATAAAATTTCTTTCTCATATTCAAATTCCAAAAAACTAAAAATCATAGGTATATTTTATAAAATCTTAGCATATTTTTAGTTTCATATTGAATAAAATTAAATTTAAATTAATAATGCGAGAAGGTCCTTTCTTCCTCTAAAACATTCTCTTAGTTAAAAATAAATTTAAGTTGTAAACAAATCAATAATTTCAAAACCATATGAGTTCTTGAATTTATTGATTACTTAGATTTAAAAATTTAATTTACCTTCAATCTAAAAGTGAGGTTTTTTTTTTCGTTTTTTTTGTAATGTAGTGGTTGTTTTTAAACCTTCTTAAATAAAAAAGGTAAACTTAGCAATCAAAAGAATTCTAAATTTAAATAATCTATAATATCTTGTTTACTTATATTAATTTATGCAAATATAAAAAAGAAAATAGAACACCTATATAAATCACGATTCCTCTTATGACTTCGGATGGCTCTTAAATTTTACAGATGCTTTTTCTAAGTTTTGAATTGCAATAATCCAATATGAAGCCTTTACCGAAAGTTCTACTGTAAAATGATTATCTTCTATAAACTGAGATTTACGCATTCAATTTAGAATTTGAAAAATTTGTATTGTAGAAATTGGAGTTATATCCTAATATGATTATCTAGGATAAATAATTCTTAATTCTTTCTACTTGTTCAATATAAAAGACTAGAATTGAATAATGAGAATTTAGTGCTTAAGGCTTAAAAAACTAAGCAATTAACTTGGATAAACTTATTTATTCTTTACTGCATTAAAAGATAATGAATGAAGTTAACATATTGATGAGTTTAAAACATCCTTGCTTGCTTAGGGCTTAGTATTGAATTCTATTTAATATCAAGCATAATTTTTAGTTGATACAATTTGCAAAATTTTTGCATAAGCAAATTTTATATCATGCTTAGATAACTCCTCAGAATATAATTCTATTGAGAACTGCTTCTTTAGAATAGTTAAAAATAGTATTGATTAATTTTACATACAGGGAAGAAATAGGAGTTGCTTAAATTAGAAAGAAACTGCTAAAGTAATGGGTACCTCCAGAAATGAAATTATGGAATGTTTAATTTCCTTAAAAAAATGATTAATTCCCTTTCTAAGGTTGAGATAAGAATAGGCTTTGTAAGAGAAATCAATATTAAGCATTTCTTAGATGGATTTATTATGATATTTAATTCAACCAGATCCTCTTAAACGAAAGGATTTATAAGATCTAAATAATCATCATTGGTTTGTTAATGAAAAAGCAAAATTTAAATAGATTGGAAAGTAAAAGCCGCTGCCTAGTCTAAGAACGATACTGGAAATTAGAGAATAAAGTTCAATGGAAGTTAAATTAACAAGAGTTAATTAAAGATTAAGTATTACAAGTATAGAATCTGATGATGAAGAAGAATTATGCTTATAGGATCTTAATTGTTCAGAAGATAACCAATTAACTGATTTTATATCGATTTTAAATTCGTAGAACTTGATTGTTCATAAACGTTGAAAATATTATACTTTGATTGAAAAATAAATATCTAAATATTTCATTTTTTATAGGAATTCTGTAATGCTAATTAATGAAGTTAGATCTATTATAAAAAGAAATTGGTTCAGCACACACAAACAACAAGAAAGATTACCATCTTATTTATCTAATAATTGCTCTCGAGAAGAACATTTCTTTCTTAATTCATTAAAATTAAAATTGATATTATAATAACATATAAATACCTTTGAATTGATTACATTTTATTTTTTCCTGAAATCGTCAGTAGGAGTTATATGAGTCAATTTTTGCTCTTAGGAAGCTGAATTATTAGTTTATATAAGGAATTTCTTTAGAGTGATATTGACTTTAAGGAATATTTTTATGACAACAATGATGGTGATTCTATGATTGAAAAATAATTTTTTATTAATTAATTTTCAAGCTAAAGTTTGAATCGCCTGCATTTCCAGAGCTAATAACTGATGGGGTTATGGCTTAAGTATTAATTTTCAATTATTTCAATAGGAAAGTATCCTTTTTTTAGTTAATGTGCTTTTTTCAGCTTTAGATTAAAGATTACGTATTTAATAGTTCTATTATTTTATAGATTCCTTTAAATAATATTTTTTTTTGTGAAACAAAGGAAAAACTTTTTAGGAGCCTGCTTATTTCATTATTGATTTTATCTTGAGATTAATATTTGCAGTGCTTTTTATTTTTGTAGGATCATCTATTTTCCCCTAAGTTGGCCATCATTTGATATGGTTCTAAACCTTTTTTAATTATTAATTAATTAGTTCCAAAGGACTCACAACAAAATAGTATCTTAATATAAATGATAAAGGCTTAAACAAGGAAATTCCTATTTTATATTGAGATTAATTTAAATGAAGAAGTAGGAAATGATAAACAAAATATATAGGTTTAGCATAGGATAAAATATAATCCCAACATTAAATAATATTTATCTTCAGAAGTAATCATATTCTTCAGATACATTTAGGGATTACAGTATACATTCAGATTTAGGAAAGCAACTATATGAAATTAAATTTAATGGAAAATGAAATAATTAAAACTTACGGAGTAAATATTGTATGAGGACCTGAAACCTTTGAAAGCAAAATCTGTTATCAATTCCCGATTGATTTTCAATAGCTTAGTAGAATATCCAGTAAATAAACTTAGGTTGTAAGTATTAAAATCGATAGAAACTGATGCATTTACAAAATAAATCTATAAGCACTTCTTTGAATAAGAAATAATAAAACTCTCTTAGATTCTAATTTGAATAAACTAGTTCATCCTCCTATCTCTTATTTTATACGTTATGACTAAATTTTTAAATTTAAGGTTGAAAAAATACCATGTTGGAAATATCATAGTCAAATTAGTGATATATTTGAATTTGCTTCAAATTTATTTAAGCTTATATGATAACAAAACCATTTGGTAATAATAACAAGTCAACCATGAATTGCTTGTAGCAATTATAAAAAAATAAAGTATAATTTAATTAACGCGTGATTAGTTTGGTTGTATTATATTATTATTATTTGAATATAATATTTCGTTTGTACTATAATTTCGAAAAAAGCTTTTAGTTTTGTAATAAAAGTAAATTCCAAATCATTCACACAGTTATTTTAATAATTTTATAAATAATAATAAGAAATCTCTTTCATTTGTGATTAATGCATCAAAAATTATAGTATGTTTTACAATAGTGCGAAATAGATTGGAAATAATATGAATATTGACATATATATATATTTTTAATTTTTTTTAATTTTTATTATTTTATGTATTGGACTTTCATTTCTAAACGAGTACTTTAAGATTTAGAATCAATTCCAAATTCCACTCCAACTCACAAATCGATAAATAATTAAACTAACAAAATCAATCATTCGTTTGAATTGGATACTTTGAAATAGGTTTCTACAAGTAAAATAAGGTGTTAGTCAACTCACGAAATAAGTGATAAAATGGTGACTTCTAAATATCAAAGATTTCATGATATATAAATTGAGCTTCCAATGGTCAGAAAAAGGAGATTAGCCAACATTTTATCGAACCCAAATGATTACTGCTGTAAGCTATTAACATCAACAGATTTTAGAGAGAACAAGACCAGGAAAAAAGGGTACTTTAGCTGGTACAATCTTAAAGAAATATAAGGATATTCGGCTATCTAATGCTAATAATGATAAACTATTGCAAGGTTCTTTTTAAACGTATTAAAATAAATCAAAATTAGATAAGAAGTCATTAGTTCGAGAAAAAGTATTAACATGATGTAGAGTTAAAAGAAGGTAATTGAAAGATAGTACTCTAATGGAAGCTCTTCTCCTAAACTTCCAACAACAATCAGTCCAAATACTCCAACAACCACAAAAAAATGTATTGCAATTTATAAATTAGAAAATAAATATATCATTCGTTCTAAACTGGGTTAGTCAGTTGATCTAGAAAAAATGAAGCATCCTCGCCAATTGTAGCCTTTGTTTGATAATTCTAGTTGCTCCCCTAGAGCAACAAGATAAGTAACTGATAAAACATAAAATCAAAAAACAGTTTCATCCAATTCTACAAACTCATTATATATTATGAATAAAGTATATGGAAATACTAGCAATAAAAACCTGCCTAAATCAATATTCAAAGTTAAATGAATGGTGAGTCTAAACTTTATGCATATCATACATCACTTCATTTTATCTATATATTATTTAAGAATTTAATTTTTCAAATTTTATTCTAGCAATTCATTATTTCAGAACAATTATTTAATCTTATGGATTTTTTGGTTAATGGATTAAAATTCGTTTTAAATTGACCTTGCAAATTCCATCCTCTTTGCCTAACAGCTACTTATTTACTTAACCTATAGGTATTCTTCTCTTAAAATGTCGATGCTCCAATTTTTCACCTATTTTATCACCTCATTATAGTAGATATTCTGCATTTCAAACATCCTATTCATTTTGTCATTTGATTACTCCCATTTTTCAATATATAATGTTGTACCTAATCCTTGACCAGGGTTCTTTAAAATCGGCTATAATTTAGCAATTTATATTGCCTTAAGGTGTAAGGCTTATAGTGAATATTTGAATTTTATTTTAGTGATTTCTTATAAATTTATGAGTTTATAAATTTTAGTCTCTTTCGTTACATTTTCTGCGAATTAATTTTCTAATAAATAAATAAAGATTTGAATTAACTATAATTGAGATTTGATTACTTTATCTCTCTAGAAAGTTAGCTTCTTGATAAATTAGGGAAGATTAATTCTTTTTCTTTCAATGACTCTATTATTTATAATAATTCCTACTAATGACGTCGAATTATATCATAAACTTCTCTTTACTATATTAAATGCAATACATACAACTTTTAATTTTGTTCCTCCGATAGTTTTTAACTAAATTTCATTCTAACAGATTGTTGATCTGATTTAATTTATAGATTATAAAATAATTGACATCATTATTCATGTGGAAATAGAAATAATGAAATATAATTTCACAAATTTGATGACTATTAAAAATTATTTTTATTATTTGAACATTTTAATCATCAATTATCATTTTTTTCCATTGCACTAGCTAATTAAAATTATTTTTCAGCTTCATTTTAACGACCCAATTTCTGTAATGCTTTTCCTAAAATGATGTCTTTATTTAACCTTTTTCATAATAATAGCATCCTCTGTTTGGATTTCTTTCTATTGCAAAATCAAATAATTATAAAGCTTATAAAAATTGACCAAGAGAACTCAACAATAATGCTATAAAATATTTTTAAATGAACCTTTTTGATAATAATACTTATCTTCTTTATTATTCAAATTTATAGCTTAATCAATAAACTGTAGAGCAATTTCTAATGAATCTAATTTAATGAGAATAGTAGCTAAAAATTCTTTTAGTATTACCTTTCTTATAATAATTATAAGAGACATTTTGATTGTAAAGTATTTACTTATCAGTATATTTTAAAACTTCATTCAAACGATTAACTTCATCTAACTTTACACCTATGGAATTTAATATAATCTTATTCATACTCTTTCGTTCAACCTTTTAATTTGAGTATTCGTTGCAAAGATTTTCCTAAATTTTGCATATTCCTTGATTCTATGGCTTATTATCTTATTGCAATTATTTATAGGATCTATTGCTTTATTATAATTATGATTCTGATTTAGGTCTGTCTTAAGGTTGGATTGTGTCATTTATAAATTTAGCAAAATCTCTTTGGGTTTCTAGATTCATCTGATTAGGTTGAATCTATTTTTGAGCTCTAATGGTCTTCAATAATTTTATACTATAATTAATCTGGCGTTTCATTTATGAAGTTAGAGAATTGATCTTGAAATTAATCAGAGTGCTATTAAGTAAAATCTTAGTTTTTGCATTTTACGTCAAGATAATCTAGAATTTCTTACCATTTATTGGGATCAATATTAGGTCTTAAGTCCAAATCCTGTTGCTTTTAGTAATCCTCAAATACTTAGAAATCTAAATTCAAATAGGAAGGTTACTTTAGTTAAACTAAAATAGGGCTTTTTCTAAATCAATTTTATCAACTAACTTAATGATTTGAATTATGATTGACATTTATTATTTTAAAGTTTAAGCTAGATAAAATATAAGAATTATACATGGGATTTCATTGTTTATTATTAAAGATTGTAGTTATTTCTTTAAATCAAAATTTAATGACTAAATGAAATCTTTAACTACAGTGCAGTTTTCTTCTAGCTCTTCAATTAAATTGAGTATCAAGCAGTAAAATCTATAAGGGGAATTTTTATGAGCAATTTAAAGTTCCTCTTCAAACTCATCATAATTTGGAATTAAAAGCAATGCAATACCTAAAATGAATCTAACAATAAATACTCTTCAAAAAGGAGACCTCAAAATTTTATCTATTTATTTTAATTAATTAATTGCAATGATTGATGGAATTTTCAAATAATTCTAATTAAATTAAAGTCTAAACTAAATATAATTCAAAGTAGCAATACTTTTGAGAAGTAGTGGTTCTATGCATTCATTATCTATTTCCATAGAATGTTCCAAAATTTATAATGCCTCATTAAAATTTTGAGTGTCAAATAACTATTTTGCTAACAGAAATCAGCAAAATCTTATACCTTAAGCAAGAATTTCTTTTATTTTTTCTTTTTTTTTTCGGGTGGCCTCATCCTCAAATAAATCTGAAAAGTCTAATTTTTTTAAATGATTTAAATGACTCTCCAATACCTTAAATATTTGAGCTAAAATTACTATGTAACAGCATTACCTGGTTTGTTATTATCTATCTGTTATTTATACTCTTTGAATTAATCCAAATATTTGTTAATACCTTAATAATTCTCTTCCATAATAAATTATTGTAGATTATCCAACATTTTAACATCATTTTGATTCCCTTACAAGACTCTATTGTAATATTCTTATAGCTTCTGAAATTTTTCATCAGCTTCTAAAAACTTTTGATATTCAGCTGAATTATATTATTAAAGTAGTTGATCCATTTAATCCCCACTCTGAAGATCCTTTTCATGGCCATCATGATTTTTAACACAATTTTGACAAAACCATTCTTCAGAACAATCTCTATTCAAGCATATTCCAATGATTTAAACATTCATGTTACCCTCAATTTTGCATTCACATTGCTATTACATTTGGACTAATTTACAAATTCAAGAATTAAAATAATAATATTAGAACAATTTAATCTATTCAAAATGATTAGAAATCTATAAATTTTAATCATTATTAAATCTGTTCTGCAAGCTTAATGGTTCCTCTTTTTCTGGTTGTGGTAACAGTAGTTGTTGATTACTATCATACATTTATTATCTTACTTAAACACCGCTATCTCTCAAAGACTAATTTTATTTCAGTTATTCTAATTCATTCTCATATTCTTTTAATTTTTTTTATGTTTCATCATTCTATTTTGTGAGATTGATGTATTTATTTTTCCAAGTTTCAACTTCTTAAGATAAAGAAATAGTATAGCTTGACTTTTATGATTGTTCCTCGAGTTCTGCTGCCTTTTTCCTTAACTCTCTAACTTATTAATTCAATATTACTTTATTTTATGATCCCTTTATTAATTTGATGATATTTCTTTTTCGCAATTCTCTTTCCATTCTTTAAATTTCCTTTCTTTTTCAGAAACCTCTTTTTGAATATCAGACTAATCAGATAATGATTTATTTTTCTCTGCTTCCTCTTTCTTCTTTCCTATCATATCTTCCAATAACTTAGAATGGTCTAGAATTAGCTAATTCAATTGAGTCATTGTTTGAATCTAATTTTGGACAGCCTTTCTTTGAGCAGTTGCTATTTATTCAAACTAATCGCAGCATTCACGCGATTTTAATTTACTGTAAGTAGTTCCAATCATAGCTAAAGATGACTTATTTCTTTTTGAGTCTGGCTATTACCAATTTAGATAACTTGCGTTATCAGATTTTTAAACAAAGCTTTTTTGAATAAGATAAGGAATTATAGGTTTATTGGGACAAGCTGGATTAGATTAATCTTCACTTTCAAATTAGCTTACTTAATTTGTTTCTGATTCTTGCATTAATAAAATTATTATTAAACATTAACTCAAGTAATTATTTTTAATTATTGTAAGGATATATTATAAGAAAAGATTATTTTTAAAGATAGAGCAAGATTAAGCTAATTTTATGTTTCTGTTGGAATTAAATATTTTGAAATAATAGGGTGATATAAAATTATCATGGTTGTGGTGCATCCTTTGTAACTGTTTTTCTTCTTGTCGTAGTCTAAAACTTAATATAAATGATTTACCCTAACTGATGTTTTTTTCTGTTATTATTTTAACATATCAATCTCATTTTCAAGCACAACTACCTATTATTCTGTTTCATTGAACTGTTTATTTAATGTTATAAATTTATTTTTCCATTGATTTTTCTCATTTTCTAAATCTGCAGAGCTTGTTGTTACCTAAACTTATGTTGTCAATGCTTTCAGTTATTTTTCAAGCTCACTATAAATGAAAACAAAATTATACCTTATCTCTTCCTCTTTTTCGTCTCCAAATTTTTTCTCCTTATTAAATTTTTCTTCCCATTCTTGAATCTATCTATCCCTTTCTCTCAACAATCGGTTATTATCCAGAATTTGAGATTCTTTTTATTATTGTGCTTTAGCATCCTCTAATCCTTAATTGTAAGAATCAATTAATAATTTAGAATGTTGCTGTATGAGCAAATTTAATTCGGTTAATTTATTCATTTGCTCATTAATGATTAGTTACTAGACATAATTTTATTTATTTACATATTACTAGCTTAATTCATCTAATTTATCACAACAGACATGTTCCTTTGTTACGGATGGTTCTGGACTAAGTTATGATGCTTAAGCAGAATTTTTTGAAGGTACCATAACTGAATTAGCTTGTCGATCTCTTGATATGACTCCTTTTTCAACTTATAGCTCTTGAGCATCAAAAGCTCCTTTAACGTCTTTATTAGCAAGCTCCCATTTTAAATAACCTTTGTGTCTGCTATACTTAGAATTCTTTAATAATTAAAGGATAATACCATTGAGGGACTATCGAAATTGCTCATAACAATATTTTATTTTATAATAATTATAGTAATGTCAAATATTTCTTAAAGTGAGAGTACCATATTAGAAGGCAGAAAGAGATGAGTTTTCTTTCATAGTCTCATAAGAATCCAGCTAAGAAAATTAAATTAAAATTTACTTTAAACGAATTAGTTCTTTATTTCTTTAATGTATCCAACTCTGCATTTGAAAGCATTAACTATTCCTATTATTTGTGATATTCTCTATTAAGATTAATGAATTGATTCTTCCAAGAATCAACCTCTTGAGTCAAAACGGTGATTTTCTCAGTGTATTATTGATTCTCTTATTAAGTCAATAATTTAGATTTCTGTTGATCATTCTCTTCTTATAAATATTGAATTTATTATTTGCTCTATTCGTTCTCTGATAATTTCACCTTTAACAAATTACTCAATCTCTCAATTTCAGTTTAATAAACTACATTCTTTTGTTCTAATTCTTATATCTTATTAGCCTCTTACAATTAAAACTATCCCAAGTATTATCTGAGCTTTTCCATTTCCTCATTCTTACTCCTCAATTAACTTGACAGTCTTTCCACTTCTACATTCAACATTTAAACCTTCTATTAGTATTCTTTCAATTATTAAGTATCCTAAACCTTATATTTAAGACTATCAATTTCATCATTTTTTGTTCTTAATAAAGAGTTGGCCCTCATGCTCTCATAACTTAGTTTTTCGATTTCTTCACATTTTGTTTATACACATTAATGAAGACGATCGATTTCTTAACTCTATAAAGCTATTTTATTTTCATATTCTTCAATCTTGTAATGATCATTCAAAGTGATTTATAATTTAGAAATGCAATTCCTCAACTAATCATTCTCTTATAATTTGATCATTAAGGAATTATTTACTCTATCGTATTCTTATGCCAGATTTTAATATTTCATTTCGTATTCTGTATATTTTTGATATTCCTAAATTTAACTTTGGAATATCAATAATTATTATTTTAACTTATCTGTTTCATCTTATTTTATTCTAATCCTTTAATTAAGATTATGGATTTCTTCATTTTACATCTTTGATCTGATTTCATACTCTTGGTACTTCGATGTATCCTATAAGGTCAATTATAAAGTCTAAATAATTTATTGAAGTTTTTAGATTTCATCATTCTTGTTTCTAATTTCATTCATAAACTTTTCAGTTATTTAATTGTTTTCCTTACTCAATTCATCAATCGATTATTTTTAATTAGACTCACGAATTCTTAAATCCTTAAGTTCAGATTCTGAATCTTTTATTCTTCTTGACAAAATTTCTATCTCCTTAATATAAGTCTGTTTTTATTAATCATACTCTTCAACCTTTGCTTTTAATACTGATGAAGTTCTTTCCAATTCCATAGCCAATTAAGTTTAAATTGGTTATTGTTAATGATACATTTATTCATATTTCTTTGTCTCAATCAATGTCCTTTACAATTAGTGTAACTAAGATTGACTTTAAGACACTAACACATTCAATCTTTATATCTCATTTTGCCAATATTGATCTGTTTCTTAAGTATTCCTTTTTAATTTATCAAATTCAATTTGCTATTACTGAAACTAAAATAATTATTGAGATAATTGAAGGTTTTTCTATTTTAATTATTCTGTTTCGTTTGCAGCCTCTCTTAATAGATTATTCATTCGATTACATTCTTGCTGGTATTATTATAAATTGGCTTCTAATAGTTAAATTCTATGTGTATCTTCAATATAAGTAACTCTTTCTTACGCTGTTGATCTTATACGATGTAATTCAGTCTACAAGTCCTACAATTATTTTTCCTAAAAGGAACACCTATTCCGATAAAAGATTAATTCATCAGGTTCAATCACCTTCACTACTTCCTTTACGTTGTATGAGGATTAGGAAGGTTTCAGAATTGGCTGTTGAGATTCCAATCTTTTTTAAGGCTGAGATTACTATTGGGCCCTAGTTATGTATACTATGTTCGGGCTTGTCAATAGATCGTTTGTAGTTGATTTAGTTCTTTAGGATTTGTTTGTGTCTTTGTTTGGTTCTAAGAATTGTTGAGTGGAATAGTATTAAGAGTGTTAATCCATGTATTCGTTAAATATGTTTTATTGATAAATTAATTATATGGATAAATAAAGACCAACATTGAATTTGAATCAACCTAATTACTGCTTGTATGATGTTAAATCTTCTTATTTCTAATCAAAATATATTTTGTATTAATTACTCCACAAAAATGCAAAATCAAATAAAATCCTCCTGTGCAAAATAGCATTGCTCCAATAATGAATCCAATGATGTCACTTGCTGCATTTGCTAATTGATAAACAGCCAAAGAAGCTAGACTTAAATTATTGAGGAATTTCTATACTAAATATTAAATAGGCCTCTTCCTAAAAGAGAACTCAAAAATCTGAAATTGTTGTCCATAAATTCCATCTTTTAACCACTTGCAAACAACATAATTCCAAATAATCTAAATATTGTAAAATGTGGACTAACATTAAGAAAAATGGCAAGAAAAATGACATGAAGAAAGTAAAACTAACGCTCGAAAATAGGATAGACAACGATATGATTTAGGTGACTCCAATCAATATCAACATTATGGAGGATATTAGGTTTGACCACTTGAGCAATTCAATAGTTGTCGGCATATTATATTTGATTAATAATTTTAATCTATATATTTTTTGTGTGTATGTATACATTAATTGTTATTTTGATAATCATTATTAAGCTTTATTTTCTCCCATATCTCCAGCACTCCTATTAACTTTGTGCCTGGATTCGTAGTAGCCGAATTCGGAAGGCAATCTGTAGCTACCAGGAGCTGGTGTGCCTGCTTATTTAAAAATTTAGTTTATTTACCTTTACCAACAGATCCTGTTCTCCTAGATTCTTTGGGAAAACTTCTGACATTGGAGGAATGGAATTTAGAAATGAAGTAATTACCATCCTATCATTATTATTAAAATTACTTTCTGAATTCCTGTCTTATCAACTGGATAAGTTCCTGGTCCAGGAGCATAAAGGTTGGTTGCTTAAAAATGATATTAGAAATTTACAAAAATCTTTAACAAAGCGTCTAGAGTTCTTGGGATTGAATAAAGTCGCACATGAATTGTTGTATTTTGAAATAGGGTACTTACCAACAGCATTGACTGCAGGCAAAGATTCATAGGTTCCAGGTCCTGGTATTTCTTTGCTTGTTAAGACCATAAAATTTGTTTTAGGTCTCTATCTCATTGAATATCGAATATCACTTAAAGTAGATCCCAAATCATAGGTTCCAGGAGCTATAAGATGGGTTAATTTATTTTACCTGGAGTTTTTAAATTTAAGTTTCCTAGGATGCCGGTGCTGGCCATTTTTTCTCTGCTCATCCCAAACTTGTTGCCTTTTTATTTTTTTAGATTTGTTTCGACATCCCCAGATAAGTTGTATTATTAAGGAGAAGGAGTTGCAAATGGCACTTTTGTAAAATCGGTTCTTAAAATAAATTATGAGATTTACTTCGTTCCTTTTCCAATTCCAGCAGCTCTTTTTTCTATCTGACTCGGCAAATCGTAAAATGCTTTACCGCAACTATAATGTTTAGATAAATCATTTGTACTTAACTGGATTAGCCAAATTTCCAAATCTATCAGATTTAGAAAATGTCCACAAGTTCTTTGCAGTACTGCTATTCAACGGGGAACCACATATTTGTTAGCATGTTGAAACAGTTATTGACATAATAAATTAAATTAATATAAATATAATTAAGAATGTTTTACTTAAGGGGTTTTAATTATGAATTTTTAAATATACATTGATAGTGTGCTTCAAAAGGCTTTTTAGAACTCTATTAAATTCCTTAAAAATTGCTTGTAGATTTCCACTATTTATTCATTTATCTCTAATTAAATTGCAAACACAATATTATAATCAATTTTTCAAAAACTTACAAAAAAGAATTACGGCTCCATATAATTATTCCGTCATCCAAAAATAGAAAATTTATGAGTTCAAATAATTTGATCATAACTTTATGTTATTTTAAAGAATTACCTTTCAATATAAAGTAATAAATTAGAAAATCCTTCAATTTAAGAAGTAGAATTCAATTAATAGCAATATGCATGACTACTTATTCAATCATTCTAAATTTAATTTATGCATAATTAAATCTATTATCATCTCTTTTGAAATTGTTTCTAATATCCGCCTTCTAAACAGGAATTCTTGACTAACTCCTATAGACCAATATTATGTTTTCTCAAAGATATCATAAATTAGGGTGATCAAATATCCCTTAATGTTATGTGATGTATCTTTAAATCTGACAGATTTGATAAATCGATTTTAAAGAGCACTTAAAAGTGAAAATCACATCTATTTAGGATTTTACCATAACTTGGAACTTAGATACCTTACTGATAACTTAATTTATATTCCTTATAATATTTATTTGACTAATTATCATTGTTAATATACCTTTATAGATCTCTCTATTTACAATTAAACTTTACTCTGAAAAATTAGTGCATCATAATGTGAAGAATAAAATGATTGAATCTCCATTTTCAAGAAATGAATAAAACAATGTTTCAATTACCAAATTTACTAATTAAGAATATTAGATATATGATATTAATTAATAAGTAATTCATTCATAAATATTATAAAATTTTAGATTAAAGAATTTTAGAATTTTTTTGAGTATATATTATATTCATATCTCAATTAATTTTTTATGTTTAATTAATAATATTATATGAAAATTCAAATCTTTTTAATTCTTCTTTATTATTGCTATTCGCGATGTGCCTTCACAGTGGATGAAAATGACAAGCCAATAGAAACTGATAGGGATCCTGAAATAATAGGGACTGTAGAAGCATGTCCCTTTTTCTCTGATCAACCAGTCTGTTGCACAAGAAGTTAAGACCGATCAATGATGAAGGATTTCAAGTCTTTGGATGCCACCTTTGGGAATGATGGAGGAGGTTGTGATATGTATAAGTTGTAAATATCAAAATAGATGTGGTTCAAATATGAAGAGATTCTGGTGCCATTATACATGTTCTCCAAATCAGAGCGAATTCATGAAAATCTCTGGAAGATAGAATATGACTGACCCTTTGAACTCTTCTAAGATCTTAGATGTGTAAATGGTAACCTTAGAAGTCCATCCACAAATAGCATGTGTAATAAATAATATTATTAAATTATAAATAGGAGGTTTTTTCCTCTTGCAAAAGAACTTCATTTGCAACTCAGGTTTCTGCCATGGCCAGCCCAGGAGGATTCTTTACTTTTTAAGGAGAATAAGCAGTGTATAAAAATATAAATAACTTAAAGTGGTGAAGGAGGATAATATATTAAGGTTGAATTTTAAGAATCCAATTCACTTTACTTTGATGATATTTGGTCTTGCAATCACAATCATAGCCACACTACTGAGGATGAGACTGGTATTCATTATTGGGATGACTTTGGATATGAATTACATGGAGAATGTGGGTGTAATACTTGTGAGGATAGTTGTTAATCGGACAAAATATTGTATGAACCACCAGGGATATTATATGGATTCGAAGGCACCTATATTTTGTTCGCTTGGGGATGGGCTATTTTATTGTCATTGGCAATTACTATAATTAGGAGGTGCCAACAAAAAAAATTTGAATTAAGTGACTTGGAAGAATAGAAACAAATTCTTGGTTGATGAATATTTATACTGTTTATATTTTATTTAGTTCATTGATATTCTATATTAATTAGTAGTAAATACAAAATAACATTTTAATTAAATTTATATTAAAATGGATAGACAACTTAAATTAGACACTCAATTAAACAAGACAGCTTTTGATTTGGTTACCTATTCGGCAGTTGGTATCTATACAGGCTTAAACACAAATTAGGATACTTTGTAGGAGCTGCTGCGTCTGTGTTTTTCAAGAGAAGAACATTTATCCGCAATTTGAGTGCAGGTCTTTTTGCTGGATTCGCTTTCAATGAAAATCAAGAAGCCTTTAATAGACAGCTCTGAAATATTAAGATATAAAAATTAATATAATTTATTTATGTCTACAAACATAAGTTGTCTTAACTTCTATAAGGGAAAATCTTTATTAATATCTGGCTGCACAGGCTTCGTGGCCAAAGTTATATTGGAGAAAATTTTAAGAGTTTTGGAAGTTAAGAGAGTTTACGTCTTGGTGAGGGCGAAGAAAGGCCAATCAGTGACTGAGAGATTTAATAAAGAGATTATCAACTCTCAATGTTTTGACAGAATTCGTAAACAAAAAGGAGCAGACTTTCAAAAATTCATTGAGGATGTTGTGAAACCTGTCGATGGAGATCTAATTAAACCTCATTTGGGACTCGATAAAGAAGTTAGACAAGAGCTCATAGAAAATGTCAATATTATCATAAATAGTGCTGCCAGTGTTGACTTCAATTCCCCAATTAAAGTTGCTTTGGAAATCAATTATTATGGAGTTCAAAAAGTGTTAGAGTTAGCTAAGTAATGTAAAAATTTAGAAAATTTCATACATGTATCCACAGCCTATGTAAATAGTGATAAATTTGGGTATAATTTATTGTTGACTTACTAAGATTCATTGAGGAGAAGATCTATCACCCATAAAAAGATGTCGAATCCTTTGTTTCGGTTCTTTATAGATCTTCATAAAATTTCGATGAAAAATAATAAAAATTGGCCCTAGACAAATTTCCAAACACTTACACATTTACAAAAAACTTGGCTGAGTAAATGCTAGCATAATTGAGACCACCCAACATGTAAATCACTATCGTAAGACCAACAATAGTAGGATGTTCATTCAGGGATCCAATCCCTGGCTGGGTAATATCGATTGTTATACAAGATTGACAACTTGGTTGGAGGTGCAGCTGTGATCTTTTTCGGAGGGATTGGATTAGTCAAAATCTATAAAGGAAAGGAGAATTTAATTACAGATCAAGTCCCTGTTGATTTTGTATCTGATATGATTCTGGTGGCAGGAGCCTATGAAGCCAATAAAAATACTTTCTAAATTTATCATTGTGGCACTAGTGCGAGAAATCCTGCTCCTTGGAAATTGACCAAAGATACTTGTGTTGAATATTGGAATGCTAATCCCCCAAGTGTCAAAGTTTCACCATGTACAATAGAGATTAACAATAATTTATGCTATTATCGATATATGAATTTTAAGAGAAAAATGGGAGCCTTAGCATTAAAGACTTTTGCTGATACCTTTGGTAATTCAAGTTAGAAGAAAAACGCTAGTCGTTATCTTAAGGTTATTGATAAGGCTGACACAATCAATAAGACTTTCAAACATTTCAATAGGAATGAATGGGTGTTTTCTTAAGAGAATGTCTTATAATTAATGAATTGTTTATCAAGGGATGAATAAGGGATCTTTTTATTAGATGTTACTGAGATGGAATGGAGGTATAAATTAGATGCCTAATATTAGATCTTATATGATGACATTCCATTATGGACTCTAGAAATTCATTTTGAAAGAAAATGTCTAACCACCTGTAGATGAAGAACCAACTGATTTATTGAGATCTTGGAAGAGTGGTAACTTCACTGATTTAAAATGGATTGTAGAAAAGTAAAAACTTCCAGTAGAAAATAAAAATTACACAATGAATGGTCTTTTTAATAGGCAAAGAGCTAAGTTGTGATATGAAAAAATTTATATTTATATAAAAAATAAGGAAAATATAGAAATTACATGTTTATGATAATATATAAATCAGATTCGGAATTATTAAATACAACTTAGTTCATATTTATAAAATAACATCAGGAGAATGGAACAATAATGGATTTTTATCCATTTAAGTAATATAAGTTAAAAAATACAAAATTTAAATTGATCATCTAACTAATTGATATTTTTTAAGAATCCTAAGAAGATCAAACTTATTCACTGGCTTGGGTAAAAATTCACTCATTCCTTAGTGATCACTTTAATTCATATTTTCTTTAGTATCATAGGCAGAGCACATGATGATTGTTGGCTTTTTACCTCCTTGTTTAATTATCTTATATTTATAATTAGATTACTTCTTTTGATGTTTCAAATCCATTCATACCAGGCATTTCTATGTCCATAAATATAACTTCATAAAATTAACATTGCGTATTCATTTTCTCTTTTACTCTTTATACTGCCTGATTGCCATCATATGCTGAATCACACTAAATTTGATAATGATTTAATAAGGCTTTGAATGCTATTAAATTTAGTACTTAATCATCAACTATTAAAATTCGTTTACAAAAACTGGTACATTCGTGAGTTTGCAAGGTTGAATATTTAAATGAAAATGTTTTATTTCCCAGAATAGGGCTCTCTAAAGATTTAAATTAAAAATAGTTTTATTATGGAACTTTGATTTTTTCATTTAAATCATCAACGATCTTTGGACTGTCATTTGAATTTAAGCAATCAGGTTTCTAGCCCTTCTTTTGCAAGTAAAAATGATCATCCTAGACAATATAATCACTATATCGACGGATTATAAAATTGTCATCCTATAATGATCGTGATTTCTTGCAAGTCATAAATTTACCAGTATTTAATGAACCTCTTAGGAAGATCTGCTCTTAAGATTAGCTCAAGTCCAAATCCTGGATCCAAAAACTAATACTCGTTCCTGTTTATAAGCAAGTTACAATTTCAACGTAATTGTCATTAGTATCAACCAACCCTTACACTAATTTGGCAGATAGATTTAATCCTAATCCTAATTCAGGATTTTAAGTTAAGTTAAATTACCTATCATTTTCCTTATTTTTTAAAATAATCTATTGAGGAATCGCTTAACTATTCCCATTCTGCAGAATTTCATTATGATGAACTGTTATTTAGATCCTTTATTCGTCAAGATAAAATAAGGATAAAGACATTTCTCCGCCTGATTTTGCTTGATGATATGAGTAATTTAGTATATTTATAATGACTTGTATTATGCGTTGTTTATCCGAATAAATCTATTTATCAAGCAGACAGCTCTATATTTTGGTAGAGAATTGAACGTTCTTTTGTTTGACTTGCTAAATAAAAATATGCTCAATTTCTTAGATAACATCTTAAATCTGAAATAGATTGAATTTGTAATGAAACATATTTGATTAGATTGAAGAGTAGTCTAATATATCATTTATTGAATGATATAAAATAGAATTTGAACATTACATCAATTCAAGATATTCTCTAATGGCTTATTGCTCAATAGTTAAATCTTTGGTGATACTGACTACTTATGAGATAATATTTAAGGGAGTTCTTAATTCAAAGGAGAAAGTGTTTAACATTTCTGAAGATTGTTGATTATATTTTTTTATTTTTTCAATTTGATTTTTATGGGTGATATTCTTCATCAATAAAAAAATGTAAGGTTATTAAATTTAATCTCCAAATAAGGGTTTAGAACCTTAAATAATAGAATCTAATTATTAATTGGAGAATTATGATAGAATTATGCTTAATTTAATATGTCTATCAGTTTAGAAAGTCAAATAAAACGTATATTGGTTTGAATTTCTGTTAGAATAAGGCGAATCCTGAGCACTGCTATTCTCACCATCAAAATTACATTGTCGAGGGTAATATTATGCCAGGTACTTCTATTAATTTAAAAGCACATCGAAAATATCCAAAGATAATCTTCTTTTGGAAGCTTAATTAAAGATATCTTCCAAAATCTATTGGTTCATTTCAAGTTTTCTTGATGTTGGTGAAATTGACAAAGAGTTTTTATTTTTTAAAAGGGTATTATTTAAAGATTCTTTTATCATATATAAAATTTGTTCTTCTCCTTAGCAAAGTAGGAGCCTTTAACATTTTTTATTCATGTATTAAATTTATTGGAATTAATTTAGAATGACAACTCCTTAGGTAAAATAATCCATAAGATGATTAAAGAAAACATTCAATTAAGATTCTGTTTTATCAACATCAACTGTCACTCTTTTTCTCAATGAATTACCAACAATTGCAAAGAATTAATCAGAGGATTAATTTTTATTAGTTTGATTACTGAAATTACTCAGTTTATCCTTTTAATTATCATGTATGAATAATTGTGAGGATTGCTGGAGTTTTTTGTTTTTGTTTTAAGATTGTTTTAGTTAATTAATAAAATTAGTGTTGTTATCTGCTTGGACTGAGAGTCTAAAGGAGAAAAGTAATTATTATTTCTCATGTCCCATGACTATAAAGAATATGACTATTATACTCTCCAAAATGTAGTAATCAAAGTTAATGAATAAAACAGAAAACAGCCTCAAAATAATGTAGCAAGGGTAGCCAAACTTGAGAAGTCTATATGAAATTTACAAAGTAACAATTTCATCAATGATATATTAATTTGAGACAATAATAAGGGTATTAGTATGATTTGCAAATGGATTTAGATACTAATGGATTTATAAGTTTAATTCAGTATAAACAATAGTATTAATTAGGAACAACAAGGTTATCCTTATGAGGTGAACATTATTGGTCATTTTCCGAAGCGCAATTAATAAACCTAATTGTATAACTATGGCTGAAGAAGAGAGAGTTATCGTGATAATTTAATTCTTCCATCCAAACATTAAGCATAGCACTAACCACCATATCCCTTGAGCTATTTCCAAAATTAAAATAATGGTTGCGTTCATTATTTATAAAATTAATATACAAGAACTTAATAAATAATGGTCCTTAGATGCTAAATTTAGTTTAAATTGTCGAAAAAGTATAAACATAAAATGATCAATATATCCCTGTTTTTATTGTAAAAAATCTTTTTAAAATTACCTCTAACTCTTTTTAATTTACAGGTTTTGGTAGAAACGAATTGACTCCTACTTTTTATCCTTCAGTGAAATTCTCTTGAGTGTCATAAGCAGAACAGATCACAATATAGGACTGATTGCCTGTGATATCTAATATCTATGATAATGAATATTGATACTTGCTTACTAGTTTGGAATCCATTTATCCCTGGCATTTCGATGTCCATAAAAATCAACTTGTAGGCTTGACAAGGATGCTATAGTCTGGATTTGACTTTTTCAATTGCTTAAAATCCATCGAATGCTTGATCAGATTCAATTTAATAATTTTATAACATCAATCTTAGTGTCATTTAATTGAAAGGTATATCATCTACAATCAATACACTTTTACAGTCTTTGCAAACTAAAGGGTATTGTTTGAAAGAATAGATCTCTTTGTTTGTGATTGTATGACAAGATTATATTTATTTATGAGAAAAGTATTCTGGACTAATCGGTAACTGAATTTATTATTATTATTCACGATCATTTAACTTTGGAGTTTCTAAAGAAGATTCAGAATCCTATAAGAAATTATCTCGAAGCTGCATGTCATATTCCATCTTAGAATTTGTTATACTTGATTTTATCAATATTCTATCATCGAATTTTCTTTCACTTAAGGTTTATTACAATCCTGACTGATTGAACCTCCCTGTCAGTTGAGAAAGTAGATTTGAAGACTAATATTAATCATTTTATGTCTATAGGAAGTTTTGAATCTGGAATTGAACTTTCGTCCCTTTATTTTGGGTTGAACTTATCATCAACTAGTTATTGTTTGATTCTATCAATCCTTCAACTATCTTTGCTGCTATACTTAATCCTAATCCAGCTCTCTAAGTCACCGATTACGTTTTGAAAGTTACTCCCAATTCCACATTACCTATCAAACTGTTTTAAATCAATGCCAATTTATCATCTTCAATCCCTATTCCATCATCCTTAACTTTGATATGAATATAGAACAGACTTTTTTATTTTATGCTTAATTTAACATGACCTCCTTCTCTTGTGTATTTACTGGCATTATTCAAAAGATTTACCAAAATTTACAAAACTCTTTATTAATCATTAAAAATTAGAGCATCACTTAAATTCTGCTGAATTTTAATAATAAACTTAATCTTTTTTTATTTCATTTGCATATTATAAAGATAGTAAATCTCCTAAGCAATCTGGTTAAAAGTAAAGGATGTATAACGATATTGAAACTGAAATGATTGAATTGCTGCGTAGTCTAAAATATCATTGATTTAATGAATCAAAAGAGAAATAGAACATTAAGCAATATCAACATACTCTTAAATCTTCATCTCAACAGATTAGGTTTTGATCAAATTGAGCATATGTTAACAACTATTTAATGGAGTTCGTAATTCATGCGAAAATGATTTTATCAAACTGTGATGGATTATTTATTCATTTTTCATCTTTTAGAATTAGTGTTTACTTGTAATGTTCTTAATCATAATTAACAAAACAGGCATTTCAACATCATTTTACAATTGGATATTAAGTTTGCTTGGACATTTGTGATGAGAAGGCATAGATATGTACTCTTATTAGTTACCTGTCATGAAGGTTGGAATAATTATCATCTTTAGTTTCTTTTGTTTAACTTTCTTATACAATGTTGATTCGAATAGCCATTCGTAAATAAACATCTATTATTGAAAGGTTAGTTATTCTGTTTTAGAATCATCTTGGCTACCTAATTAATCCAATCTCTATTCTAAAAACTGGAGGTATTTCTAAGGTTGAAGTAAAATATCCAAAATGTCAACTTACAGATTTTCCTTCTATAATTCTTTCACTATCCTAAACAAAGCTTATTGATTTATTTATTTGTTAAATCTTGGTGTTCTAAGTAGATTTGTTATGTCATTTTCATTTTCAGGCATCTTGGCACTATTTAAACACATCCTAATTTTCTCAACTATTTAATCTGATCCTGAGCATTCTAATAGTTTTTCGCATTTGTTATTTTGGTAACTAACTTGTTGACTTTAATTTAGTATTAGAATTCCTTAAGGAAATGAGTTTATTAAATTTTGGTAAAATTAATGGAATTATAAATCAGAAGTCTTATTACCCAAAAATTAACTTTTTTATAATTTTTATGCCTATCCTAAATTTGAGCATTAAATTAACTTAGATTCGTAACTCATTTCCTTTAAATAGATACTCTAACTTTTAAGGGGCGTTTATGCTATAGAAACTCGGCTGAAAGATTTGCCTAAGGATTAATTAAACTGCAACTAATTGACTGAGTCATTATCATCAAATTTCTTGATTTTTGATTTTGCTAAAATATTTTTTTTGTTTGTCGAACAAAAACATTGACAATTGAATTATTCGTCATTGTACGCTAATGTAAGAAACACCACCACACAAATAGCTAGACTTTCAATAAGGTAAAAGTTAAACTCAGTAAATATCAATATAATATTTCTAAATATTACATAACATGGAAATCCGATTTTGCATATTTTATTCGATTTATCAACGGCTTATGACAAGTATTGCCTATAAGTCACTATAAATAGCAAACAATTTGCATATGTGCCAAAAGGATTATCGTATTGTAAAAATAGAAAAGTCTCTATGTACAGCACAGAATAAAAGAGTGAGACCAGATGTAAAATTACCTATTTTTCACACCAATAATCGATTATAATCTACTATGAGATTCTGAAAATTGTGCATGATACTTATAAAGAAAGAGCTTCATAATTAGTGTGATCAATCATGCCGATAGACAAAAATACCCACCACAAACCCTATGAAACATTAGCTATTAAAATAGACTTTCCAGCTACACTTTTAAAAATTGTTTTGATTAATTCTCCTTTTTTTTTCATTTAATTTAATTAATAAAAAAACAATCCTTGACAAAAAGTAGAAATGAAAACTATTTTGTAATTGGTGCAACTACTCCAATTTTTAATTTTATTTTAGAAAATTTGATATATACACATTTTAACACTTTTATAAAAGTCTACACATTAAATAAATATAAATTAATTCAATTAATATTTGTGATTTGGTCATCCTGACTTTTTCACTGAATATCTTCTTTATGTTGAATGTACTCACCCTACATTTGTATTTGATATCTATCCTGATTAAACAATTTAGATAAAGGTATGGTAAATTAACAATACATGTATTTATCAATAAGAGTTTAATTTTTTATAATAAAGTCAAATAAATATTAATTGATTACAAAAAATGTGAGAAAAACCTAGTAGATATCATAAAAAACCAAATCTATCTAATATTCTTTCTAATTCCTATTTATTGACAGGCTTCGGTAGGAACTCTGACATTCCGACTGCTTCCCCTTCCCTAAAATTTTCCTCAGTGTCGTAAGCAGAACACATAATAATTTGTGTTTAATCCTAAGTAATTTAAAGAATCTAATTTAAATTTTTATTTTACATCTTTGGTTGCTTAAAAGCCATTTATTCCAGGCATTTCAATATCCATAAAAATTAATGTAAAATATTAACAATGCTTATCCAATTATTTCTTTACTAAATCAATGGCTTAATACCCATCATAGGCTTATTCGACCTTAATATTATAATGCAGAAGGAGAGCCTTTAAAGCAATCTAATTGAATGGAATATCATCAACTATTAATACCCTTGTACATTATTGGCATTAAGAAGGTTTTAGTATTTTTTTTAAATCATTTTCCTCTTTATATTGAAAATATTCTGGACTTATTGGTATATCAATTCGATATGAATAATTATCTGCCATATCCAAAGAGCTTTCTTAATTGGCAGGCAGTAAATTAAAGAACTTACTTTTTATAGTTTTGCTCTTTTTGGAAGGAGATTGAGCCTCAAATTTAGAATTTTCAGATAATTATCTCAAAAGGGGTAACACCTAACTACAATTACTACCTTCATATTATGACATTTATTATTTGTAAGTATTATTTTTAGTTGTGTACTCAGAGATCATGGGATTTCTAACAGATTCATCTCTAAAAATTAGAAGATTCTCTATAATGAAAAATATTTTAGTTCCTTTATTTTTATTCTTAGATATGATTTCTAGAGTTCCATCATTCTTTTAAACCAAACCTTCCACGATCCTTGCAGAAATATTTAAACCCAAACCCAAACTTTTTTTAATCCTAGATCTATGAAGACTTTTACCCATGGAACTAGTGAGGACCTTCCTTAGATTTTACAATTATTCTGATCCAATTCCAATCCCAGAGTCTTTGACTTACAATTTAATAAAAGGGTAGTCTATTATTTTCAATGAAAACACTATTTTGCCTCCTTCAGGTGTGAATTTACAAGAATTATTTAATAAATTGATTAACACTTGCATTATTCTTTATTTATCTTATCTAATATTGCCTACCTTCTTTTCATCGAATTTGACTTGCAAATCGATTTTCTTTGAATGCAACTAACTAGAATAAATATATTTAATTTCATCAACAATCTCTCGTGATTTGAATTCAACATATCTATATTTAAATGTGTTTGATTACATGGCTGCATAATCCAAGATATCATTTATTTGATGTATTAAAAATATTATTGAAATGTGAGCTATCTCAACAAATTCCTAAAGTTTAGGATCCTTAATCCTATCCTTAAGTATCACCAACATATCCTAACCACTATTCAAGGGAGTTTTCAATTCATGTGAAAATGATTTAAGTAAGGAATTGTGTATTTCCTTCTCCTTGTTCATTTACTCAATCTTATGTTTCTTGGTAATGTTCTTAATCTTGACAACTATGATTGGTTGCACACTCTCTGCCTGAATAGCAGTCTTGCTGATATGAACCTTCTAATATGAGGGATATGAAAGTTGTTCTTGTTGAGCATTAGTCATGTAGGTGGGAAGGATGACTATTCTTAGTTTCTTCAAAATGCCTCCCTCGCTCATTATGTGTTCATAGGTTACAGCATCTTTTCTTTAGAGGAAGGTTTCATTTACCGATTCTGAGAGACTGCTTCTTTAATCAAACTCTGAATGAGGCGATAGATTTTGATAGAATTAATGTAGGTATTTTTGTGGAAAGAGAAAAGCATCGAAAATATCCAATTCCATTAAGTTTTCATTGTGATATTTAACAATCCTTTCAAAAGTGGCTTTGTTCATCTTGGCCTGAGACCTGGGTGGAATTTGTCCTAAGGGAGATTCATCATTCTCATGTAAGGAATTAGCAATAATGATTTTTTTGAGGCATTCGACTACTTTGTCACTCCCCTTCTGTCCTAGTAGCTTCTCACATTTATTGTTCATGAAAGTCACCTTTTAATTTTGGTTTAGTATCACTACTCCTGCAGAAAATATGTTGTTTATGATATTCTAAAAGAAAGTGTGCAATTGTTGATCTGATTTGTCAGCACTTATGTTTGAAATTTTTTTGTTAAAGCTCTTTTTTAAATTCTGAAACTGCAGTGAAGTCTTGATATTTTCATCCATGGTTCTGGGTTCATTGTATAAGGGTATGTTTTGGAATATGTCTGGTTTCTCCTGGTATTGTGAATAATGTGTTCTGCTCTTCTTGAAGGAAGTTCCCAATGATTGCTTCTTTGAATCTTACTAGAAAAAGGTTATAAATTTCTGATTGAAATTATGCTAATCCTGAGACCCCAGATCTTTCATTGAGTTTTAAAATGCTTCATTTTTTTTTTTTAATTCATCCTTTGCTATCAGGCTTAGAAAGATGAATATCAAAATACAGCTCTCAAGTATCGAATAATTGGCTTAGATGAAGGTGATTGACATTGTTCTTAGTAAGCAAAAGATGGGAAAGCCAAACTTCGATATTATTTAAATATTTTCTTTAGATTCTTTGTTGGCATGTTAGTAGTTGATTAAAATCATTAAAGAATTTGAATGGTTTGTAAAAGGATTATTCATTGGCATTCGTATGCTTGCCTCCATGTATAAGCAATTATGAAGCAGATATAGGATTGCTAAAATAAATATATGTGTAATTCTCCTTTCCAAAATTATTATTGTAATCCGAATAACAATACTACTTACAGATAGAATACAAAGTTAATATTCATAGGGCTAATAAAATATCCATGAACATATTATCCACCAAATGTTTTGTATGATTTGAGTATAAAACAGTATTTAATAATTCATAAATTAATGAAAAAAGACTAATAAACTAATTGTAGTATTACTTTAATATTCATTTATCCATTAAGCAAATTTATACCTTAGTTAAGTAACTTTCTAACTTAATAAAATTATTAAAATTGAAATACCAATTTCAATTTGAATAACAACAATTCTGAAAACATTCAAAAATTGAAATATACTTTTTTGCTCAACGCAACCCAAAAGTGTATAAAAAATCAAAAGATTCAGAACAATGTGATTTGACAGTTAGAAAAAATAACAGATTTTATTGGCTTACTATATGTCTACACTTTCAAATATCATAAAAACTTATTTTAAATAATCGCATTAGTAATAAGAAATTTTAGCTTATATTAATAATCAGAAAGTCAAGAACTATTATCTTTAAATTTGAATCTAAGGCCAATGCAAGATAATATATAACATTAGAATTTATTCATAATAAATACTCGATATTAATGATGAGATATAAATGAAAATCTAATGATTTTAAAAAAATATCAGTATTCAATTTTTTCATTGAATGGAATAAAACCAACTTCAAATAAATTAAATTATTCTTATTCATTTTTATCCTTTCTACAATTAAGAGTAAATAATTTGAACCTATAGTTAGAAGCTTCACATGTTTATAAAGAATAGAGTCGTGTCTTCCTTAGTCAAACCTCAAATACCATGAAGTTGTTTAATACTTGATAAGATTGACTTTTATTATCTTAGTTAATCATGACCAAGTGTCAATTACTACTTGAAAATACATGTGTGAATGGAAAAGGCGGAGGGTAATTTTTTTTAGGTTAATCGATAAATTATAAGTTTAATAATGCTTACACTTATCAAGAATTAAGAATTAGAGGAGATATTTATATTTTTAAATCTAAGCAGAAATTTATGTTTAAGTAGACAAGATAAAGATGTTTATATCTCCATTACACTTTTATAATGAGACCGAGACAAATGGATATTTATTATATCATATAGATTATACTATTGATGCTTTGTCTATTTCTAATATTATTATATTTGTTGCAGGTGATCAAAATTTACAATGGTAAATTATTATAAATACAATAAAATTTTATTCAAATTGTAATTCATGTCTAAGCAAACTTATTTGTGGCACATGGAAGTCTGATTTAATTTGTAAAAAGGAAAATGTGTGGCTAAGTGTCCACATTATTCTACTTTAAATGGTTTTGTTTGTAAGGATGTTGAAGAATTATATCCATTAACCACACATATACTCAGAACCTTTTATGATAATCTCATCCCTAATTTTATTTTAGAGAATACAAAAGGCATCAGCTCCTTTTATTAAAATATGTTTGGAACTTATTAAAATGGAGTTCGATATTTTGGTTGAGTGAAGAAGAATGGTAACCATTATTTTTACAAGTAATTCAATATTTTAAAGCCACATTATAACATTATCTTGCAATTAAATGTGATGACATTTGATTTTACAAAGTTAAAATTATCTTCAAATAGTGTTTCCATTTATATCGATAATTTATTAGTAAGAAAGATTGAATCTAGATAAGATCAAATATAAGAGATTCAAATAGAATACTTTCACGCACCCAATTAGTTAATCCTGGCTATGATGTTTGTTCCATAAGCTGATTCTTATTTTAGTTTGGAATTTCAAATATCAACTTTATGATTTAAAGGTGCTTCCCTTTGTGTAGATCTTGTATTTGTCGTTATAAGGATGATTGTACTTAATGGATTATTGAATAGAATTCTCAGGATCGAGATTGTAAAAAGGGTTTTATATTTGATATAGAATAATAAAAGTATTTGTTGTGTCCTGTCGGCTGTCAGAAATGTTCAGATTAAGAAACATGTTTGAAATTACGAGGATCCATTCAAATAAAAGGGACGCAGTTGTTATTGTTTGAATGGATACGTTGATGAATTCACTTTAGATTGAATTGGCTAGGTCATTTCAATTAATTTTAGCAAATCCAATCAATGCTTGATTATCTATATGTAGAATTCCTTCATTTCCGATTTATTGGCATATCTATAAAATATTAATATTTCCATATTTATATATACATTTAATTATAGTATGGAGGAAGAGCACAATCACCTTGTTGAAATCACACCTGAGAAAATATCAATTTCACTTGACAATTTGTCGACTTCCTTTAATATTCTGAATCTAACATTGCAATATGTTCCATATAAAATTATTTCTCCAAATCCTATGATATTTCACATTCAACCTGAGGAAGGTAAATCATTAAGTAAAAATAAGGAATTTTGGATCCTTGCGATAGTATCGATGTGAAAATAACTGCAATCATCACAAGCTCTATGAATTTTTAATGTTTTGAGAAAAACAATAAATTAACTATATTGACGTAAGAAGATTCCGAAACTGACTGGAAAAATGTGTTAATAGAGAATATTCAAAGGTATGTGTTAATAATTTAATGTAGACATGACATCTCAATAAACATCATTAGGAGCACTAATCCATTTGTAAAAATAGCAGACAATGTGATAATAGCTCAAATTTACAACAACTTCAAATTCACAGAGGAGGAAAAGAAGATCATAATTGAGTACATCATGAATAAATACGGTAAGACTGCCAATTACAATATATCGAACACAATGATGATATTTAGGTATTAGAATTAAGTCTAAGGAGATGTCCATCTTCTTCAATACCCAGATTCTACCCATTATTTTATACTGCGCACTTATTCTCCTTGCTTATTGGTCAACACTCCTCCAAAATACCAATTGGAACCCATGAGTCCTTAGGCTTAAAAGAAAGTAAAATAAATAGAACAACCATAACCATAACCAACATAACAGACTCCGAAGCCCAAAAAGGCAAAGGACGATTTCAAGACCAATTTGAAATCATCTGTTGATAAAAAGGAGTTGAAATAGCAACAACAGTAATTGTTTGCATCATTCTAAGGGCAATCTATAAAACGATAATTTTCATAAGAATAATCAGGAGATGCAAACTAAGTTTAAGAGTAACAGAACAACAATGGATAAACTGAAGGTGCATAATTAAACGAAGAAATTTAGCTAATCAAAACTACAAGCTCTTAAAAAGATGCATCTTCAAATAATCAGAGCTAAATCATTACTGCAGAAGTAGAGACATAGAATTCCTAAAAACATATATTTTAATCACAGATAGTCAAAGGCTAGTAAGAGACTGCATCTATCGCCAAACCTCGTTATTATTAGTCAGAAATAATACCTAAGAATCAATTAGAACTGTTCAAATATGAAAAGTTTGAGTAAAGTCAGAAACCAAGGAAGAAATAGAATTTGAAGGGTAACTTATAAAATTTGGCTCCCATTCAGATGGAATAGAAGCAATAGATAAATGTCTCTGAGAAACAATATATTGAATAGAACCCTCCTAGATTTAAAAAGATTGCTAATTTCAATACGTACTCAAAAATACAGTTCGTGGTTTTATTTAAAGATCACTCCTACTTAATAACAGTGTCAGACAAGGAAATCATAACTGTTTGGAATTTGAATATGAATTCGCAAGAAGGGTAGATTAGAGATCATAGTGAGATGAAGAAGATCAAGATATTGAAGGTGTATGAGTGGGCAGATTCATATGAAAAGAAACTTGGAACACTTGCATCAGATTAAATGATTAGAATATTTAGTTTGGAAGAGATGAGATTGAAATACATTTGGAAGATTGATGATTTTAGCGAAATAACGTATTTCCATTAATTAATTTAGATCGATAGCATTTTTATCGGACAAGGATTAAGTCTGCTTAGCTGGTACGCCCTTGAAGCAATTCAACATCTTCGGGAGCAAATATCCAAAGTATAGGTTCTTGAGGATTTATAATTCGAGAACCCTGAAGGAGATAATTTCACAAAAGATAACTGCCAATGAGGGATAGATATTGAGTCCAGTGGAGTATACAGATAAGTAAAGAGTGTGTAATAATGATTAGTGAGAACATGAAACATGCTAGATTGAATAACATTTTGGCTGTCAATAAGTGTTACAAGGACAAAGATGGGGGGGAAATCCTATTTTACTTGGTGGACATGGCTAATGTTTGCACTCTGATTTTAACATTAACATATGAGTAGATCCAAGTTTGGAGTGTTAAGAATCTTTATTATTTGCCTTCGAGGGGGAGCTTTGTGGTGATAGAGAAGAACTCACCCAAATCTTATTATTAAAATGTATTTGTAGTTGTGATTGTTTCCTTAGAAAATATTCGTCATTAATGTCAAGCAATTGCAGACTGATGATGGATTGAAGAATGGAATTGTTTGCAAGCAGTTTGATGACTCGTCTGTTCTTGATGACGAGATTTATGTTTTGCCGAGGTAGGAATAATTGCTTAAGGTCAAGGGGGATACTGTACAATTGATCGATCTGAAAACTGAGGTTCAACTTAGTTTGTAGATTTCACAATAGATGGGGGAGAATCCATTGAACATCGTTTAGTCAGGGTAGATCATAAGAATCGATGGGGAAAGTTTGTAAATATTGGACCTTATATGCTGATATAATTATAATTATTGATGTGATTTGTTTTAACTTTGATTTTCTTACATTAAATTGGTCAGCACGATCAGTTTTGATTGAAATTAATCAATTATTATTTTTATTTTCCTATTGTCATCCCCTTTGAACATTGATGGTGATTAGACCCATTCTGAGGAATCTTCACAACAATAAAGCATGTCCTTAATTTACTCTTCTGTATTGCCTTTTTGTCTCTGTAACCATTTCGATTTTAGATCACGTATGCAATGTTAACTAATTTATAGGATGACTCCAATAAGGAATAATACACTCTAGGAATTATTTTGATAGTCTTCAGTGAAATTATCATAATAGCATCCATGTGTCAGAATTATAATTTAAGAAAGACTATTCAATGGACACTCTTCTGTTTGAAGCTCATTGGCATGGCTTTGATGTTCAATAAGAATCCTCATCAGATAATCCTCTTCTTCGGTTGCATTCTATCCTAGTTTGTGTATCTCAACTAATTTTCGAGTCATCAAGAGACCAACGAAATTCAACACACCTACAGTCAGGTCAATAATATCATCTAATAGTTCTTGGATTCCCAGAACAAATGGTCCAAATAGATGAGAATCAGATTGCAATTTATTCAGGGAATCCAAACAACAAAATAATTAACTATCAAGGAATAATTTCAGATAGAAAAAATATTAACATATAGCATTAATTCAGAAATGTGGAAAAATAAATTCAATAAGTACATCCTCCAATTGCAATCCATATATAAAGAATAATTTATTCGATATCAAATAGTCAATTAACGATTAAAGAATAATTTTCAAATTTTGGTAAGTAGATTGAATTCCTATGGCAAAAAATTAGAGGACGAGTGTTATCTGAGTTCCCAGTTATCCTCTATAACTTTCAAGGACAAGAATTAATTTAATTAAAATAGCCTAAATCTTCTCGACTCACTAAGAACTTCCTAATCCAAGATCATTGAGTGGTTAAACAATGAAGAATGCAATCTGAATGAAACCATCTCTCTGTTGTTAAAGGAAAGCGAGGCCTTGAAAGATTCACTAAACGACAAGGAGTAGTAATTCTTATCCAATTCAGTGAATCAATTCGCTAACCTATTGATGTCACTCAACTTTGATAAGTAACAATTGACCTACAATATCATCCAACAATAATCGGATCTAAGATAGTTAAAACATAAGTATATCAGAAGGTTGAACAAAATAAAATAGTTCTAATAGAAGGTTTCTTTTGGTGAGTGCAAAGAGATTGAATTCAATTAGATCCAATCTCTTGAAGTTCATTTCAAGGACAGAATAAAGGAGTTATGTTAGGAAGGCCAAACTGCTATTTTGGAGAAATAAATAAATTAGACGGTTGAGGAAATATTATAAATCTTCAGAGAGAAATAGAGGTTGGAGGATGAAAACTTTAGTTTAAAAGGACTTCTAACTTAAACTGAGAGTCAATTAATGTTTGAGGAGAGTCAGAGACTACTTACAAAAAATGATGAATCGTTTGCTTAGTCTAAAATTTGTACTCACAGATGAATTAATATATATTATTATTTAAATTGATGTTGTCTATAATTGATTATTATTAATTTCCTCTAAGATATTTTCCAACCTAAGAAGTGTCCAAATGCAGATAGATGATTAAACTTCGAAAAACAAGGATTAACTGGTAACAGATAATTCACTAGTATCCAATTTTTGAGGTAGAATGATGTTAAGAAATAAAATATTATTTTTATGATAAACTGCTTCTCTTTTTCATATTAAATGATAATACGAACAATTTTAATTATTAATTATCCATATTCTTGGGAGAATCTTAGTATTCTAAAAATAGATTTCGATTTATTTAAGGCGAATCGTGTTTAAGTTCAAATTTTATTAAAAATATGGCAAAAGCTTCAAATAGGAGTGCCTCCTCCATCATAACGGCATTCACGGAACAATAGTAAATGATTATTTGATGGTGTAGTTAGGAAATGCAACTGTTGGAAGCTTAAAGAGAATTCGATGATATGACAAAGGAGATCATGTTAAGGAGAAAGAAGTTGATGTAGCAATTTGAAAAAGGGAAAAAGAAAGTGCCAGAGAAGACTGATGCATCGAAAGCAGAGAAGTTTAAGAATATGGTATACTTTTAATTTGATTTATTTAAGGATGAGCATTCCATTCCGTTAACAGAGTTAGAAAAAAGGTTGGAAACATCAGTCAAAAATGGGTTGAGCAAGAGCCAGATTGATGCAAAATTGCAACTGCATGGAAAGAATGTTCTCTCCTCAAGAGAAAAAACTCCATGGTATATGAAATTACTTCATGAATTAACAAATGTATTTGCTTTGTTAATTTGGGCTGGTGCCTTACTGTGCTTCATCGCTTATGGTCTTTCACCAGATGACCCTTCAAATGTACAAACAATTATTTAAGTTAGCTTTACTTAGGAATAGTTTTAATTGTAGTTGTTGTTGTTACCGCAGTAATCACTTTCTTCTAGAATCAGAAGTCAGAAGCCATTATGGAAGCCTTCAAGAATTTCATACCTCCAGAAACTTTAGTAATCCGAGATGGCGAATAACAAAAGCTCTAAGCAACAGAATTAGTGCCGGGAGATGTTGTCGTGGTTGAATTTGGAAAACGTATTCCTGCTGATATCAGAGTAATTGAGAGCAACGAAATGAAGGTCGACAATTCTAGTTTAACTGGAGAATCTATGTTACTCTTAAGAACACCTGAATGCTCTCATCCACAGAATCCATTGGAAACTAAAAATTTAGCTTTCTTTGGAACATTATGCAAAGAAGTACTTCTAATTACTATTTAAGGGTAACGGTAAAGGGATTGTATTATTTACAGGGGATAAGACAGTTATCGGATAAATTGCAGGATTGGTAGAAAGCTCTGAAAGTGATGAGACTCCATTAAAAAAAGAGTTGAATGCCTTTATTACCTATATTGCATACATCGCCATTTCTATAGGAGTAGTATTCTTTGTGCTTGGATTTGCAGTCGGATATCGTATTCTAATTTTTAAATCTTTTTAGCTGCCGTTACTAATCTCATATTTGCTATCGGTATCATAGTTGCAAATGTTCCAGAGGGTCTTTTGGCCACCGTTGTCGTTGCCTTGACATTAACAGCAAAGAAGTTGGCAGGATTGAAGGTCTTGGTAAAAAATTTAGAAGGTGTCGAAACTTTGGGTTCTACATCTTGTGTTTGTTCCGATAAAACAGGCACATTAACTTAGAACAAGATGACTGTTGAGAATATATGGTACAATGGTAAGAAGTTGAGAGGACATAGTAGAGAGAAAATGGGTCCAGATTTTAAATACGAATATGATCTCAAAGACCCTGGATTTTAGCTGCTTCATGAAACAGCTATCATCTGTTCTGAGGCCGTCTTTGATAGCAGTTTACCATAGGAATAGCAAATTAAAATACAAAATTTGATTGGATTAACCTAAGAATAAAAGGATGTTAAAATGGAAGAAGCTAAGGCAAAATGGAAAGCAGCATATGACAAATTGCCGTGTTAAGAAAAGCCAACAGTAGGAGATGCCTCTGAAACAGCTCTCATTAAATTCTTCCAGCCTATTAAGGATATTCTCCAAACTAGAAATTCAAGGAATGTGGCTAGAGATCATAATATGAAATAAGCAAGAAAGCCTTTTAACTCAACCAATAAATATGCTTTTATAATAGTCGAATATGAAACCGAGAATTCACATTACTGTTTGTTAACAAAAGGAGCTCCTGAAAGGATTTGGGGATTATGTGATACAGTATATAATAATGGAAAAGTTGAGGTGAAGGATGACAAATGGGAGAAAGGTTTTGATTAAGTGAATGCCCAATTTGGTAAATAGGGTGAAAGAGTGTTGGGCTTTGCTAGACTTCACTTACCTAAAGAATAATTCCCATTAGGATATCATTTCAACTTAGATAAAATGAATTTCCCATTTAGTAAGTAAGTGTTTGTTGGATTGATTTCTTTGATTGATCCACCTAAAGATAATGTGCCACATGCTGTTTAGAAGTGTAAATCAGCTGGTATTTAAGTAATTATGGTTACTGGAGATTAGCCAGTTACAGCAGCTGCCATAGCTAGACAATGCAATATCATCACAGAGAAAACAGTAAATGAAATAATGGAAGAAAAGAACATCTCCTTTGAAGAAGCATTTCATTAATCAAATGCATTGGTAATTCATGGAGATAGACTAACTAAAATGGCAATTGATGATGAAGGATTACCAGAAGATGAGAAAGGCAGATAACTCTAAGAATGGTTAAGTAAACCCCAATTAGTGTTTGCTAGAACCAGTCCTGCATAAAAATTAATTATTGTCGCTGGTTGTCAAAGAAGAGGCCATATCGTAGCAGTTACAGGAGATGGTGTCAATGACAGTCCTGCAATCAAGAAAGCAGACATTGGAATTGCCATGGGTATTACAGGATCTGATGTTGCTAAAGATGCTGCTGATATGATTTTATTGAATGATGATTTCTCTAGTATTGTTGTTGGTATTGAAGAAGGAAGAAAGATATTTGATAACTTCAAAAAGTGCATTGTTTATTGTTTGACATCCAATATTGCCGAATTGGTTCCATTTTTAGGATTTATCATTTTCAGATTGCCTTTGCCATTAACTACTGTGCTGGTCTTGTGCATAGAAGTAGGTACTGATGTCTTTCCATCCATGGTGTTTGTCTTTGAAGATGCTGATCTGGATGTTATGACAAGAAGGCCAAGAACTAAGAATGAACATTTAGTGGGTGGACAACTGTTGTGGTTCGCCTATACTTAAAATGGTATATTGGAAACCTTCTGTGGATTCTTCTAATGGTATGTGACACTTAATGACTTTGGGTTTACTCCTACTACTCTCTATTTCATCTCAAATAAGTAAGGAGTACTACCTAAAGCGGATGATATCTACGATCCAAACGATCCCTGGTTTGGTAATTCCAATCTTAAGGAGAATTACAAGGATGGCACATGCACTGGAACAGATTTGGATGGATATGAAGATATTGATTGGGTTTATGCTAATCATGGTAAATATGATCTCAGAATGGCTTATCTTAAATGTGAAGATGGTAAAATTGTAACTAACATCGAATTTGGGGATTGTCATGTTGATTTGGTATCTCCAGTCACTAAGAAGCCTTATTGTTATCATACAGAAGCTTCAAGCTATGCATAAACTTCATTCTTCTTTGCAGTTGTTGCCGGTCAAATATGCAACTATCAAGCCTTGAGACAACTGAAAAGTGCTGGCTTCTTCACAGGTATTCTTTTATTCCATAATTCTTAGGATTCCACAATTACTTCATGATCTTAGCCTATTTTGTCGAATTCTTATTGACTTGGAGTTTGGCATATCTAGAAGCATTCAATACTGTCTTTGGAACAAGGGACATCATATTTATACATTATGGTATTTGTGCCTTACCTTACGGAATGGTGATGATTATTTGGAATGAAGGAAGGAAATTCTGTGTAAGATATCATCAATAACATTATAGATTCGTCACTTCAAATCAAAAACAGCCTTGCCAAGTTGGTGGGATAGATGCGTAGTATATTGATAAATTTAATCATTCATCTTATCACATATTTTTATGGTAAATCTTAACATTTATCAATAATTAATTATAATGGATAGTAATTTTACAATCTAAAATCTGACACCTAAATCTTTGGTTTAGGAGTTCGGATCTCCTTTATACGTTTATGATGAAGAGATAATAAAAAGATAGTGTCAAACTATAACTACAGCCCTAAAGAATTCATTTGATTAAGGGGCTAAGGTGTTGTATGCTTGCAAAGCCAACACTAACCCAAACGTCTTAAAAATAATGAAATCAAATGGAGTGCATGGCATTGATGCTGTATCGCCAAATGAAGTAGAAGTAGCATTATAAGCTGGATTTCTAAATAATCAAATTACCTTTACAGCAAATTATATGACAAAGGAGGAAATCGATTATGCAATCCAGAAAGGAGTGATTCTAAATGTTGGAGAGATTGATACATTAAAAAAATTAATTGCTCACAAAGCTGAAGTGATTATTCGATTAAATCTGGATGTTGGTATAGGTCACCATAATCACGTCAACACAGGAGGAAATGATAGTAAATTTGGTATCAATCTCATGTGGAAGGAATAGCTATCGGAAATTCAAAAGTAGGGTGTCAAGATCATTGGATTGCATCAACACATGGGCAGCAAAATTATGAAGAAAGATCATGATTCTTATCTATTAGGAATAGAGAAATTATTTTAGGCTGCCACCTAAGAATTAGAATTACCTTATCTAAAATACATAGATATTGGAGGGGGTTTTGGAGTCAAATACCAAGATTATGAAGAAACTAGTGATTTGAATCTCTTATTTTCAGAAATCAAAAAATTATATGATAAATATTTCATTAATGTCAAACCGATGTTATTTATTGAGCCTGGAAGATATTTGATTGCTGAGTCAGGTTATTTATTGTGCACAGTTTAAGCCATCAACACTAATAAATCAAGAACATTTGTTGGAACTGATTCAGGAATGCATCATCTGATTAGGCCAGCATTGTACGAGTCCTATCATGAAATAATAAACTCAGAAGAGAAATAGGTAGAATCAAGACTCGTTACTGTTTGTGGAAACATCTGCGAAAGTGGAGATTTGCTAGGTGTTGATAGAAATCTAAAGGTCGAAGTTAATGATGTTCTTGTTATTTAAAATGGTGGAGCTTATGGGTTTTCTATGAGTTCCAATTACAATTTAAGAGAAAGACCTGCAGAAATTTTGGTTAGAGACAGTAAACCATATATCATAAGAAAAAGAGAAACTTTAGATTATCTATTAGCAAATGTAGTGATATTATGAATTTCAAATGATTCAAATATAATTTAGTTAGTCATTTGCTCTTTGCAATTTCAATAACAATGTTTTTGAATTTGCAAAGATCTAATCTCTCGAGTTTAATATTCTGATTATTCTAAACAATAATTTCAAAACTTAAATCTATTTTCGTCCGAACTAATATAAGTTAAACAAAATCTTTATTTTTAGATTTTCTGACCCAATTAAATCTGAATATTAGATTTATAATAGGGGTTGAATATTTAATAAATAAAATATAGTCGTTGTATTATTTAAAATTTCCTATTTATCCATGATATTCGTAATAGCATAAGGAATTTTATTTGTACTCTCTACTTGTTAAAGAAATTTTGATTAACAATTAAAATAATGAATTTCCTTTCTGGATTTCACATTAGATATTACTTAGCTATCCTTGATACTAAAATTAACAGATGCTAATAGGGTTTAAATTAGGTATATTACAAATATTATTACTTTTGATCTCCATTCTTGTTATTAGATCAATATTTTCATTCAGTAGAAATAAAAAATAGTAATTTAAAATGAACTAACAAGTGTTTCAAATATTAATTTCTAATAATTCTAATACAAAAATCAATATTAATTCCTAATAGTTTAAAAGTTTAAATAAAGAAATTCAACTGGATTTATATTATACATACAAATTTATATTATTTGAATCAATATGGATCTTAAAATCTATATTCAATGAAAGAATTAAGTAAAACACACCTCTTGAGCTGCAAGAATCTGGTTCTGAATATTTAGGGAATGTATTTTCCATATTGATATTATAGAGATATTTTACAATTATTTTTCATAATTGATTATGGAATATTAATAATTATGGGAAATCAAAGCATCCAATAGAAGTAAAAACCAGGAAGTTAAAGACAAAAAGAATCTCTTTAGGATGTTAATAAGCATTCCTAATTTAAGGATAAATATTAGAGCAAGAATTCCAGAAATTTACAAAGTTAAATGAATCAAAGAGGCAATTTAAAGTATTTGATTATACAAAAATTTAAGTCGTCTAATTGCTGAGGATATGCCTTTATATTCTGTGAAATTAATTCAATACATTTTCAATTTCCTGAACATTACAGAAGTTTTATAATTGAAATTAGTGAACAAGAAACTAAAGTTTATGGTTGAATTGAGTAGTAACATCTATGCGAACTACTTGAGTTAATTATTTATAAGGAAGATCCAAATTTCAAGTTTCATTGAATATGGCTCAGATCTAAGATTTTAAGCAGCATTTGGCGAGTAGCTCCTAAAGATTGAATTAAATTAAGATGAGTCCTGGCTATGGATATACTAATCATTTTAAAAGTCAAAGTATTACTCTCTAAATATTTAGACTAATGATGAATCATTTGAATAGAGAGATGAATTTAACATAAAATTTGAGTGACTTAATCGTTAATTCATTGATTGAACCCCTATTGCCAATCGCTATTTTGACAGATGATCAATTAAAATAGGCCACCACAAGTTGGTTTCAATTATATATGGCTTAAAACAGCGAAGATGTGAATTGTAATATATAAGCAGATTTCAACCTAAATGAGAAATTTTAATTTTACTATTTAGAGTGTTTGGATCAGTATCAAATTTAAAACCTTTAACATACATAATTGTTAATGGAAATAAAATGGGTCATTATTGATAACTTTATTCGGGATCCCTCAACCATAAGTAATGCACCCACTCTACTCACTCTTGCAGCAAATATCTTGCACATGTTATATTTAAGATGTTTGTTCAGTAGAAATGTTTTGAGAATTATTTAAAAAGGAAAGGTTTAAGCTCAAATTTTGAACTTCTATGTCGTCTTATGGAAAACCTATATGGGAACTATTTGGAGTTTAAATATCTATTTTGAAGAGTTGTTTAAGTACATAGATCAAATATTTAATTAATTCTATAAAACTTCTATTCCTTCATATAGTTTCTTAACCATAGCAGGAAGAATATGGACTTAAGTAATTTTGAAAGAAAAATATGATTAAACTCAATATAGTGAATCGATAGAACAAAGCATTTTATAGTCATTTAATATTTTATTAAGTGAAAAACGATATTAATTACTTCAAGTTTTTATATTGGATTAAGAACAATAAAGCTCACTTAGTAACATAACCAAGAATTAGATATTTAAGGATCAATATTTCTAATAAATATCTAATGCCATTAATTGTTTGTTAGGACATTTGTCATCCTCTTTGTTAGATATTTCAATGCATGAACTATCAATTCATTGGATAGGGCATTCAAAATTAAAAGTTGGACAGCCATATGCAGCTCTATTGTAAAATATTGTTAAAGATACTCAAGCCATTTATTAAAGGGCATCTTAATTATTTGGATAAAATTATTCTTTATTCTAGGAATATATTTAATGTAATAATATTATTAATAATTTTAGCTGACTCCAAATTCCTTTAAGAAATCATAAATAGATGGACTGTTTAAATCATTATCTTGCCAATTGGATTGAATTATTTGCAAGAAACGATAAAAAAAAATCTTAGAAAATTAATTATTAACTATGTTTCAAACAAACCAGAAATTACTATAGATTAAGATTTCATTATCGTGCCAGCAAATTAGTTCTTAAATACTCCTAATTCAGAAAAATCAATTTAGGCTGATGCACTTACTAATATAATAAAATAAATAATAAAAGAAGAAAAACTTATTAAACAAGAATAAACCTAGGAAACCATAGAACCAAATTAGTTTAAGTATATCTAGAGTAGAATTACAGAAGAACCTTCCAATACTAAATATGGAGATTTATCGAAATATTCTATGAGCAATAAAAGCAGTTAAATTACCGAATGGAAAAGCTCTTACAGTTAAATCCAAGAAACCTCCAATATAGAATAGAGTGAATAAGAATAAGCGTTAATCCAATAATTAAGTAATCATTTTTCTAATGAAATATGGGTGTAATATTTGAATAAGATAAAACTAATTGAATTTGAAAATTAAGTCAAAATTGACAAACGAAATAGTGAAATAGAATGGAGGAATAAAATACGAAAAATAAATCTCAAAATTTCAGAGAAATATGCATAAATTTTAGATTTTAATTACATCCCTGATGTTGAAAAAATACTTAGTTATTTTGAACATAATCACAATCAAGGAATAGAACAAATATCTTTTTCAGGTCAAACAAATCATTTTATAGAAATTAATGCAAATGGACAATCTCTCATCAATTACTTAGACTAGTAAGAGATAGTTTAGTGAATTAGATAAATATTTATTTTTATGCTTTTTAATTGTGTATTTATAGTTAATCTATGTATGGTAGAATTTTCATATCTCCATAAAATCATGAATTATTATAATCTAAGATGTTAAAACCTACAAATTAAATCGGTGTTTTTGTCACCTATTCTTTCTTCATTCTAAATAATTATCAATAAATATTCTTGAATAACATTCTTTAGATACTTTTTATTTATGTATTTCCTTATTATGAAAAATTTATTCAAATAATTAGGTAAACTTTTATATTGAAGTGTCTTGCAGTAAAAACTTTATGAAATTGTAGAATATTTTGGTCTAACTTAATAAATAATGTCAAACATGATTATTTATCCTTTTAAATAGTCCAGAAACCTTGCTATTCAATCTTAAAATATATCAATTATTTAGAATTAAGTTTAGTTTCTTTACCTTTTGTAACAAATGAAATCTTAAATAGTTGGATATAATTTAAATAAAGATGTTATAATATATAATTTAAGTCGTATAATATAAATGGATATGTAGCTAATAATTCAAGCCATCCAAAATTGTATTTTCATATTGATTATTTTATAAGTTCAATTTCTAATTGTTTTTATTATAGTATTAATTGTTTGAATTTTGAATTTGATTTTACCGCATTCAAATTTTTAGATATTGGGAAACTCCGAATAAATATTATTTAAAGCAATTATTTCGAATTGAACCAAGATTGGTCTAACTTCTTAAATAAAGTTATTCCAAACATCAACTAATATGTTTTTGCTACTAATCTTTTAATTCAAACATCTGAAATTAAAATATTAGTCATAGCTTATTCATTTTCCTAATATATAATAAAATTATTCTTTTGTTATTGGAGACAACTAAGGTAATTATAAAGGTTGATAATTAAAGATATCAAACTTATAAACTTTAATTAATTTTTATGATTGATTAAATTCTTCTTTATTTTTCTCATTCAATAGTTCAATTCTATAAGATTTTCTCTTTATACATTAATAATATGTGTATTTGTCAAGGTTTATTATTTATCTAAAGGTGATTTAAAATTAGTTTAAAGTTTTTTCTGTAATTTTAATGAATTTATTTTGTTCACTACTTTGAAATTTTTTGTGAATTTCAAATCTTATCTACAATAAATGAATAATTTAACTGATTATGTTTTAATTTATAGGAATTGAATATATTAATTTTATCATTTTAGCTAATTGAATTAAAGAAGAAATGGTACCACTATTAATTAATAAGTTGTATTTTTTTGTTGCTGTATTATTAAATAGGTAAACTATAAAAAATCAATTAATCCCTTTTTCAATTTCAAATATAGAATATTTTTAGAAGTTTCACCTTAATGCATTTTATTTGTTTATTACTTAAATGATCTAATATTTTAGAAGGTAGGCTTGAAAAACAAATTCAAAACAATAATGTTAAATTCTTCTTTAATTTAATTGTTCATTCAGATACATGAACATTCTAGTTTAATTTATATCTTAGAGTCAATAAATACTGGCAATTTATAAAATGTAAATTATTTTTAGGGTTATTTGAATTCTGTAAATAAAAAATAAAGTATCATTCCTAAAGTTTAGTGGGAATAGTAAGGAGAAAAATCAACCTTTCAATGGAGCATCCAACAATCAGAAAAGAACCAGAAACTAATTACAACAATAGCTTCTTTAAATTAGTCAATTATGACATAACAACAATTATTATATATTTTTCTACTCCAGCAATAACATTTAAGAATCAAGCAGCCACTCATTAAGGTTATGAAAGGAAAGTAGTCTAGAATAATCCAAATTTATAAAATATATATGTTTTCTACCTTATTTTAAAAAAAAATATTAATCTTTTCCTCTCAATTAGCCAAATACCTTGAGCAATAATTTCTGCTGATTTTTAGTTCATTAATACAAGTTTTAGCTTATCTAATTAACATATATTTTTTAAGGTAATTGCTTATTTCCTTATCAAGTATACCTGAGAAAATTGAAAGAAACAAATTGATTTCAAGCCCAACTTTTAGTATCGATTTAGTGATACCTTTGAACAAATTCGTAACTTATCCAAATCCAGAAATAAACTTACAATTAATGCTGATAGAGATTTACCAATAAATGAAAAAGATTTGAGAAATCATAATTACGCATTATTGCAATTTAAAGCAAAAATCGGATTTGAAATTTTATTTAAATAAAAATAAAAGTTAACGAAGATGTCCAAAACACTCCTTGCTTTATTGCTCATATCTATGCTCGCCTTTAGCGCTCAAGGTAAACTACTCATATATATTATCAAAACCCCCTATATATTATATATCTATTCACAAATTCATATCTCCTAACTCAACTGAAAATTTATTTTTTAGCTGGTACAAGTTCCAAGAATGGCCGTCCCCGCCCACATCATTCCTCTAGTTCTGATGCTTAATCATCATCAGAAGAAGAATCAGAGGAAAGCTCAGAACTTTTGGCCTAATCTTCATCAGAGGAGGAATCAGAGGAATCATCAGAGGAAAGCTCAGAAGCTTAATCATCATCAGAAGAAGAATCAGAAGAGGAAGAAGAATCAGACGCTTAATCATCATCTGAAGAATCAGAAGAATCAGAAGAGGAATCAGATGCTTAATCATCATCAGAGGAGGAATCAGAAGAGGAATCATACTCTTAATCATCATCTGAAGAAGAAGAATCAGAAGAAGAGTACTCCGACGCCTAATCATCATCTGAAGAGGAATCTGAAGAAGAATCATACTCTTAATCATCATCTGAAGAAGAATCAGAAGAATCATCAGAGGAATCAGAGAGATGTATAATATAATTTAATTTTAGTGAACTTCCGTTTACATTATGCTGAAGCCGCTGCCACTACCACAACCGCAGCCCCAACCACTTCAACTACCACCAAAACTCCAGCCCCAGCTCCAGCCACCACCACCACCACAACTAGTACAACCCCAGCAGCCACTAAGAATGGAGCCATCTTAGCAGCCGGTTTAGTCTTAGCCGCTATTGTTTTCTGATACATATAAAAGAATATTTAAAACAAGTTAATTTTAAATAAAATTTATTTCTTTCTATTACATCTATTAGATAAATTTTGCTGAAAATTAATAAAGAGAATCTAAAAATTGTCTAAGCATCTAAGATTGCCATGAATTTCAGAAAACATTAAGCAACTGATAGAGATATCTATCACCATATATTTAATATCATTAATAACACCCTGAGAGTTGGTAATACATATAAGTTTAAATCTATCTGTATTTTTTTATTCCTTTAATTCTTTGAAAACTCAAAGATTATTTTTTGAAAAACTGAATTTTTATGAGGACTATTTAAATAACTATCATATGATTGATTATACATGAAAGTACACACCACAACTTTCGATGATTATGTTTAAAAACAGTCTATTGATAAATTATGTGAACTTTCAATATAAGTTGAAATCTTTGATAAGATGAGTCAGTTTCAAGTATAAAAATTTGTTCAGGCATATATTATGAATAGATTCATCTAGATTTATAATTTATTGTATATTCAATCATCTTGACTAAAGATTTGAGATAGAAGATTAGTATTCTGAATATCAGCTTTACAAAATGATTTTCTTTCATAGTAGGTATCATTTTTTTTCAAAAATTGCCTACGGAGATTGGAATTTTTTCATTCAATCAAGCTAAAATCAATTGTTTAATTAATTAAGCAACTCTTCATTCCTTTGAAATTCAAATACTTTGTAATCGTTTGATAATTCTTTCCTTCATATCCATTCTTAAAATTATATAATCTATTTACTATTTACTATTTAAAATTCTGATCATCAGGATTTGAATTATCCTTACAATTTATATGTCTAATCCTAATCAAACCTAAAGAGTATAGCATTATCATCCTTATCCTTCATCATCTAATCTACCTCTTAAGGTACTATTTTTTTAGTTGTTTCAAAAGTTCTTGAAAATTCTCTAATTTCCTAAAATTTAATAGCAATATCATTATTGACCAATCCTTTTTACTCAATTTTTCTAAATTCTATTCTATTTGATTAATTAAAAATACTTGATCCAAAAATAGAATTAGTCCTAAAAATTTGTAACTTTTTCATTCTTGTTAATTTGAGCTTTGGAAGAATTTCACTAATTGAATTTCCTTTGTTCTTTTGTTATCGTTGAATTAAATTATCAACTTAATAAATAATAAAATTTGTAACAATCACGTATTTAATTTATACTATTTGATGATATAACAAATACCCAATTTCTCTTGTAATCATAAGTGTATAATTTTTACTTGAGGGTTTATTACCTATAGGTTTATTGTAATGATGTTCTTCAATTAATGAGTATCCCTTATTTGTAAACTATATATTGATTTTGATTCAATTTCTTAAAATAAAAAATATTTTTGAATTTTATAAAATAATTATGAGCATAAAAATACTAGTTTTATAAATTTAAATGTTTCCTTTCTATAGTTTCAGCTGAGACTTTTCCACCTATTCAAGAGATATCAGCATTTAACATAATCATCAAAGGTTCTTTTAATAGAATTTTTTCCTTTTTCAAAGCTGTTTTCCAATATATACTATATAGAATATTTTTTTGCTATTTAAACGCTCTGGCTCACTAAGTTAAATGTAATAATAAAATAATGAATAATAACTCAAATAACTCAAATTAAGGAAATAAGACCTGTACTGTAGAAAAAATGTGGACAGCAAAGATATCTAATGGATAGGTGACCCATGTTCAGACTGGCTAGCAAAGAGTATGCACCGAATATCATGGTGGAAAAAAAAAAGAATGAATCATTATAATCAAAACATTTAGAACACATAAATTTTTTATAATTTTTCTTATCTCTTTATCTAATCAAGAAAAGTGAGAATATTTCTAAATGTATTATGTCGTTATTAAATTTTAAATAAGATACATTGGAAGCTAGTTAGTTATGAACTTTGCGAATATATATTTATAACGAAGATATTTCTCCTACAAAGGGAACTAAGAAATTCAGAATAATTCATCCTACATATCATATTCTAATTCAAGATGTGTATATTAATCACAAAAATTGAAATAATTATATATAAATATTATAATGTCTCTGATATTTAAATATTTATTACAATTGAATTAAATGATTTTGCTCTGAAAATTTACATTCTCTTAAGTTTGATATAAAACTAGCTAAATTTCAAGTAAATTTGAACTATTATGTGTTTTCATTTAAACACATCAAGTAGGTTTTTTTTTGATGAAAAGTTATTTTTAATTTTATAATTACATAGAATTGTAGGTCATAAGAATTAAATCAGTAATCAAATTCCAGTTGAAATAAAATATGGTGGTGTTATTTTTTACATAAATTAAAATATTCCTATTTAAATCACTTATTTTAGATTTTAATATTTAAATTAACAAAAAGAATTAATTTCTTTAATCATAAATTACTTAGATAGTTTTAAATATTATTCTCAAAGATTAAAACTTAATATAATGCTATTTTAAACAACAAAAAGGGTTGAGCTTTCAATAAAAAAATTTAAATTGTTCTAATAAGTTCGAAATATCACTCTGAAAATTAAAGTAATTTTATTTTTATATTATATATCATGATTTATAGTCAATCTAAGCAAACATTTGCACTTTCTATTTACAACTGATGCAATACTATAGATTCTTATAACATTGTAAGCATGAACAGGCATGGCCACAAGGTATAAAAACTAGTTCTATTTTATTTTAGTCACAATTTAGGCATAGATTTTCTTTAGTTTACCCTATTTTTGTAGTTTCATAGTTATTTTAAGATTCAATTATTTATTTTTTCTATTCCACAATAGGCTTGGGTTTTGGTTTGGTTTGTTCGGTTAATTTAAATAGAAAGTTAGTTGCTGTAATTTTTGATTCTTGTTTTTTTAATTACATAAGTTCATCAATTTTATTTCTTTATCTGATGCAAAAAACTCTATGTGTAATTTTAGAGTCTGATGAGGATACATTAGCTAATAACTTTTAAGCCATCTCACTCCTTTTACTCAAGAAATGGCCATCTCTTGGCTATTACATTTGCATTTACTTTTATTTTTAACTTAAAATTTCAATTACTAAATTGACATCTTTGCAAGGAACTCCATCATTATTAATTACATTTGTAACTGCTAATCGATCATATCCTAATTAAACTAATTGTTTAATAAATTCCTCCTTTTATTAGTTTAAAAATTAAGGAATTTTTCCACTAATAACACCTTCTTTCTTTTTTAATTTCTTCATTTCGTCAATTTTAGAATGGATAAAATCATTGGTTGCAGCCTTGGTATTTTTTTTCCCTTTAGCTGGATATATTTTATTCTTTTCCATATATTCCAGAAATTATCTTGGAATTTCTGCCAAAGTCTCCTTAGCCAATTTATCTTAGTTATCTCTGACAGAATTAAATTCAACAAATTGAACCAAATCCCTTTTGATGTCATCATTATGAATTTTTGAACGTAACTATGCTATTATGTATTATTTACTTTATGTTAGGGATCATCCCCATCCAAAATTCTCATATTATTAAAATCTTCCTTGCCTATTCCAACTATAATAATTGATAATGGATATTCTTATGCTCTATATATTTATTCTATTGTGGATTGCATGTCATTGATAGATCCATCCGTCAAAATCAAAAGAATGTAATATTTTTAACTTAAAAAGATATTTTATAATAAATACTTATTTTAATCTACTTTTTCGTTTGCTGCAAACTCTATTGCTTAGGAGATAATTTAGGAAAACACTGTTGGTCCATGCAACACAACTCCTTGCAAGATTTCTTTATATAAATTGATGATTTCATCAACTTCTCCATACACATAAGGATCAAATATATTTCCTGTGCAAGCAAAACAATGACTGACAACATTATAATAGGGAGGTAATTTAGCTCCAAAACCATACACTGGATACCTATTTTCATTATTGTAATATTGTAGAATTCCTAAAATTTGCTTTAATGCACTGATGTAATCATTGGACGTTGATAATTCTGGTTATCCTTCCTCTTCATTTGAAATTTGATTAGAATTTGTGAAATCCAAAGCAACAATTACTTAAATCTTTGCCCCTGAATAAATGTAATTCAAAAAACTGTATCTACTATGTTACTTCACTTATATCAATTTTAATTATCCAACTATTAATCCATTTTTAGTCATTCTGAGGGTTTTACCTGAGTTTTCCATTAACTGTTGTAGTGTAGTTTCACATTCTCCCAATTAAGTAGTACCTTTTGTTTTATTGTATTCTTCAACTTCCAATTTGATTTGAGCTTATTCATTATTTCCAAACTTACTGAGTGGAAGATAAAAATCATTAAATTGTACAGTTTGTTTTTTTTAATATTTAATTGGCTCTGTTGCATGAATTGGCATCCAATCCTTATTGTCAGTGAAGTACGACATTCTTAAGAGTACTTCAGCCTTAGTTGTAAACTACTAACATCCAATTTAGAAGAGAATTGTATTACCACCCATATCATATTCTGCTCCTCTGATATGCAGTAGTCCATTTCTTTTTCTATTTGACTTTCTATTAATAATGGTTCTTGAGATTGATTAAGTTGGAGCACAAACAATGTCTCTTATTTCACACTCTACAAAACCTATAAATTCTTATCTTTCTAAATTGTCTATGGCTTCGAAATCATCAATGTCATAAATTTCAAATCTTAACTTTTGTTTTCTCTCAAATATATAGTTAACTATAAAAGTCTTAACAAATTTAGGATTTAAAGATTCTGGAATTATCTCTGTTCTGTCTATGTAAACCCATTTATCACTAGAATTATTAATAATATAACATACTCCTTTTCGTAATATGCAACCACAACAGGATCTGTTAATGAGAATGCATCCATCTTAGGCAAACCTTCACAATGAACGAATAATTCTATATTTGTAGTAAGATCCTCTTTTTAAATAGCTATAGCCAAATTAGCAGCATCAATCACATCATCTTCATATTGGGGTTACCTTTTTAATTCCTCATCTAAAAAATGTCTAAAAAACAATACTTTGTATTTTCGGTTGTTTTAGTTAGGCAGCTTTCTTCTTGGTTTTACTTTAACCTGAACCCATCTATAAATACTTTTTAAATAAACCTTTAAATAAAGACTTTTTCTTAAATTAATTATATTATCAATAATCAATTAATGTTACAGATTTATTGATATTATTAAAATTCTGATGACTACTTTAGAGAAAGATAACTTTTGTTTATCTATGAGAAATAAAAATTGTGGAATAGTTCAAAAGAATATGATTTTAGAAATTCTACTTTATTCAAGATACTAATATAAAAATATTTAATATCTTGATATATTAAGGCTAATAAATAAAAAATTATGTCTCAACAATAAACTACTTTAAACAAAGATAATTAGGAGTCTCCTCATTTCAATTATGTAATTTTTTCAAACATGTTTAGGTCTAAAGATTTTTCATAGGTTTTAATAGTCATAATTATAATGGCTGAAACAGACTTTTATCTTTATTTGTTAATTCAAATCGAAGTCTAAAAGTGTAAAATGTATAGAAAAACTTGCAACCAATAATTAATAATTAATATAATATTACTAATTTTAGATTTAGATGGAATTCTGGAACTCTGGAATTCTTGAATGCACTTTAGTCTGTGCTACATATATAAATATATTATTAGTTTACTTCAAAATAGAAACGTAAATTTATATAAATATTTACAATTCCAAATTCTAATTTTAGATCTTCAAAGTTTTTGTTATTTGGAGACAACAACAATTAATTAGATATGATATTAAAAATATTGTATAATTTTGAATAATATTTTCTATCATTCTTGTGGAAAAGAAAACTCTTAGAATTAAAATTGTTATTCTTAAATCATTGGTTATACGGTTGTGTAACATGTTGTTTTGTTAGTGCTATTGAATTGTTCGAAGAACTTAGATGCAGATGATTAGTTGAAATTGTATGGAGGTTTAACATTCCTAAGTTCATCAAAATTAATATCTTCGAAGAATTTATGCTTTTTTATTTCATCTCCTTATAATCGCTTTAAAGGCTATTTTATTACTAAAATATAGTACATCAATTTCTAATAACCCATTTACTAGGGAGATGGCTGTTTCATCAATAGAATCAGGCCAAGTTACTTTTCTAGTCAATCTGTCCTGAAACATTTGTCTTTTATTAGTGGAGTAGAATGGAGTTTTACCATTCAGCATTTCATAGATAATGCATCCCTACTGATATTATTTATAATACTAAGCTGTAGTAGTCGACTTCGAAAGAGTATCCATTATTGGAAGTAATGATTTCAGGTGCCAAGTATTCTGGAGTTCCACACATGCTTTTGGTTAATTCATCATCGCATAAATGTTTGCTTAGCCCGAAATCGGTTAATACTACATGTCCTTATTCATCCAGGAGGATATTTTCTGGTTTTAAATCTCTGTAGATGATGTTCTAGTTGTGCAATTCTAGCAAGGCCATAAGTATTTGGGCTGAATAAAATTTGCAGATTTCTAGGGTAAAACTACCTGCTTCTCTGATGTGAAAGAACAGTTCTCCTCCTTTGACATAATTGACGACCATGTAGAGATTTCTGTCATCTTGAAATGCATATTTGAGTTCTACAAGGTATTTACTTTTAGTGCATTGAAGTATTTGCCTTTCAGAATCTATATGTTGTTTGGTGCTTTTCTTTTGAATTCTGGACTTGGCAATTTCCTTCATGGCGTAAAATTCATTTTTATGTTCGACCAAGAAGACAGATCCGTAGGCTCCTTAGCCCAGCTTTTTGAGTTTCTTGAAATCTTATAATCTAGGTTTTTTGGATGGGATATTTTGAGCGAGACCATTGTTGGATTTTACAGTTCTCTCTTCGCCGACTCCTTTACATTAATTGCCCATAAATTATTATTATCATCAACTTGTCAATTATAAATCTTATATTGAGAATGACCAATATATATATATGATTAGAATGATTTTTGAGGACCTCGGAAATATTATAAACAATTAATATAATCATTAAACAAATGACGTATTCAATAATAGCACTTTGTCTTTTATTGACAGCTGTCAATGGAAATGTGGAGGACAGAATCGAGAAACTAATGGGTTTGCAATAGAATTATCAGCATTCCCAATCCGAGAGCTTCTTCTACTACACCCAAGTGGCCAAATGCAGTTTGAAGGTAACATTATTAGAAATTACATTTAGACCATTACAAATTGGAATTGTGGTTCATTTTGCTAACATCATCCAGACATGGTTGAAGTGAAGGCATTCTACAAGGCCGATCACCATGCCCAAGCGTACGTGGGATACAACAAAAAGGAGAACTTGGTAGTGGTAGTGTATCGAAGTATGAAAAAAATAAATAAAATATTATTTTAGGCACCCAAGACTTTATCAATTGGTACAATAACATCAAGTTCTTCAAACACGATTTCGGAGATTGCAAGAATTGCAAAGTCCATTTGGGATTCTGGGAAACTTATGATGACGTATCAGCAGAGGTGTTGGCTGCTGCAAAAGCCTTGAAAGTCAAATACCCATCTTCAAAAATGTTAGTTACTGGACATTCTTTGGGAGGAGCAGTGGCTTATTTGGCTGCTGTGGATTTAAAAAAATTAGGATACAAAATTGATTATTTCTTCACTTATGGAGCTCCTAGAATTGGAACACACGAATTTGCTGTTTGGTTCACCAGTTACGTTGCTGCAACAGAGCACTGGAGAGTGACTCACTATAGAGATATGGTAATTCATCAACCACCTTCCTCATTCTCATACAAACACCCACCTTAAGAAGTTTGGTACACTCACGATAACAAGTCATACAAGGTAACAATTGGAGTATAATTATGAATAGATTTGTTCAAGTGGAACTGACGAGGATCCCACCTGTGCAAATTCAATCATAGGAGATTCTTCATAAGATCATACTAGTTATTTCGATGTTAGTGGATCATGCACAGAGTCATTCACAGAGGATATTGAAATATGATTTAAATTTGTATGGCATAATAAAAATAATACAATTACATTGTTTATACATATTTTATCAAATGGATAAAATAATAATCAGATTCAATAATATTAATTGTCCAAATTGCTCGTCGATATCAATGTCTATACTAATATCAGGGATGATTTCAACACCTTGTTCACACAGTTTCATGTAGGGATTCCAATGACATTCATAAATTAAGGCTTCGCATTAATCTTACCTGATATTTTGAACGCACATCTTTCTGCAGACCTTGTCTTGTTGACTCCAATAACATCGTTTAGAATCTGAGCACAATTGTTCGTTATCAAAAGAAGCACAAGAAATAGATTGGCATTTGCCATTAACAAAGGTACATGCATTGTTAGAATTATTGCAAATGCACACATCTGTGATTTCCTCACACATTTTACATTTGATCAAATCGACCAACACACACGTTTTACCGTTGATTTCATTTCCATTGCATATCGTATAAGCAGGTCCATACAATTCGCATTAAGAGTTCGTACATATTTTGCTTTCATCCAAGATTCTATACTCTTCCCAACTGCATTGTTTGTTGTCAACTATCACCATCCTACAAATTGCAGGGTCAGAGATTTGATTGCAACTCTCAACTTCTACACACAAACCATCAATCATAGCACACCCTTCATTTTGGAAACAGTCATCTTCACTGAAGTCTTGACAACTCAATGGTCGGCAGATGCCTTGATCCAAGATACAAGAATTGATGGAACAATCACTGTTGATGCACAATTCATCTAGATTTGTGGCACTGATACAATAGTTGTTGATAGTAATGCACACACTACCATTGAAATTGAATTGATTGCAATTTTACGATTGGGATAGATAAACGATGTCTTCACATTGAGTAGCCCCTTGACATTGATAGTCTTAGTTGATGTAACACGTCTCCTTATTAACAATGCCCTGACACTCCCCAATTTGAAGGTCTGAACATTTCTTCTTATAGCATTGTCCTGCAGAGTAATGACAATTACTAGAATTTTGGATGCAAGTATCTTTGTTTTTGGAGTAACACACATCTTTGACTTCGATTTGGTTGCATTGACATTTCTTATCATCGTTGTTCCATGAACAATTACTCAGAATCGAACAAGAATTTACATTGACACCAAGTGAACTACAAGACAGAAAGTTTAGTATTGAATAACACGAGTTGGTTGTGATATCATATGCACAGGTGTCAGTTTCTAAGATTTGACATACTTTACTATTAACCTAAGTGAGTTGATAACATTTATAATTTCCATTCACAAACTTCTAGCATCTATTGTTTACATATTAGCATGCTTCATTTTCTAACTATAAACAAGCACTCTTATTCAATCCTGGAGTGTCACACTTACTTTGTCTGTTGAATTTGCTGGTGCACACTTGTTTCAAGGAATCGAATGAACAAGGACGATCTAAGTAAGCAACCTAACTGCAAGCCAGACTATTCATTATAGTCTTGGAATCACATTAATTGATATTATTGATAGGTTAAAACTTTTAACAAGAAAAGCCATCCCAATAACATGCTTCAGTTTGAATGGATGCACAACCTTTTTGAGACAATCCTACTGTTGAGCATCCATCTGTTTTGCTATCAATATTGACACATTAGAAGGCCTCAGCATTAAATTTGCAGGCAATATGAGATAAGGATTAACAGATTAAATAATTGATGTTTTAGTAGTTTGTACATTTTGGAAGTTGTTAGTTAGAGGAATAGAACTTACAGAGTTCATCTTAATAAATGCAAGGATGATTGCGAATAGAAAGACAAGTGATTTTAGATACACTTACAATGTTACAATCATCCACCTCAAACTTAGTAGGAATACATGATTAAGTGTTTTCATCATATTTAGCATTCAAAGATTAATCCAATTGCTTACATACATTCTTAGTAACCAAGGCTATTTCAAATTTATTTTTATTCCAAGGGTAACAAGAATAATCTCTCCATGAACACAACTCATTCTCTATGGCTAAACAAGCCTTGATACTCTACGACTCGCAACCCTTAAAATCTGAGTTGATACATAATCCATTCACCCATTTGCAAGAATCAATGAGATTTCCAATACAATCATGATAATCCTTCATATCCACACACAATTGTGTTAATCTAATCTGATTATAATTGGATTGATCGACTTGTTCAAAGTTTTAAACGGACAATCCAGACAATCTATAAGTGCAAGAGAGAGTGGCATCATCGAATGAACAATTGCACTATTCGCAATCTTCAACACCACTTATGGGTACAGCATTATATTTACAAGTGTATCTATTTGATCCCTTGGGTAACTCATTACATGGCAATTTGTCAGTGAATGGTTGACAACCCAACTCGTCGTCCCAGATGCAACTCAAATCAATGTAATAGCAACCAAACTTATTATAGATGGCTCTGCAGGTGTAAAAAGTGGAAGTCATCCTTGAACATTGTCCCTGATCCATGACGCACACTTCATTCGCAATTTCTTTGCATGCCTTCTTGCTTAAACCTTCGTAACATGCCTCATACACTTAAGCAGCATCTCTGCATTGATTATATCTAAAATCATAATAGCAACTTTTAGTTTCTTATTAGATACACCCATTAAATTGATTATCATACTCTCTGCAATCCAACTCAATTTCCAAATTGACACAGCCTAGATCGGTCCATTTGCAATATTAGCCTGGAGTCTTGATGGATGTACAAGTCTATTAACTGACAACATCATCGCATTTAAGAGTACTTAGATTAGCATCATCACAATATTCCAAGTCTGCATTCCAATAACATTTAGTGTATGATGTTTTATTGATACATTGATCTTAGGTCAAACCCATAAATTTGCATCTGTAATACGAATCAGGCTCAACTGTAATTGAGAAGCAGTGTTTTCCATCAGATAGACAACCATTCGATTAACAAACCATAGGTGATACTAAGGTTGTCTCTGAGTAAGTACAAATACTATCCACATGAGCATAGTTTTAACATAGATCATCCTTGTAAATGCATTATATTGTGTTGCTCATAAAACATGTATTAAGGTTACGATACTTACATTCAATGGTATCATAATCTGATTTCACTATGTCTCGACATTCAGAGTCATCCCAAACACATTTGAATGAGCTATATTTATTCGTTAACTTTATGCAAGCATTCTGATTGAGAAAATGACAATTAAGCAGTTCAGTGTCAGTTGTAATTACATCGCATGTGTATTTTTACAGATTAAACATGTAAGTGTTATCAACTTGAGAAATGCACAACTTTATGTTCTTCACACTCACATTCGTCTGATCTGCAGTACTTTAGCATTTGAAATCTTCTGCAATGTGAATAATATAGCAATTAGAATTAGTAAATGCACAATGTACATGTTTAGAGATCTAATCATCTGCATAATTGATTTCTACGTCTTGACATGATAGATTTGTTTTTATGTACATTGGCTTACACAAGCTTTCGTTGCTGTTGAAATAGCAACTTTTATCTGCACTATTTAAATTGGCCTTTCTACACGAGGAATTTGAAACATTCATCTTAAAAATAGAATCACAATTTATATCTTCTGGTACATCCTAACATACGTTATCATCTAGATTCCACATGCACTCCAAAGTCGCAAATTCGACTACACAAAATGACTAATTTAATTGTGAACATGTTATGGGTTCATCCTTTTTGTAGCAAAGACCAACCTAACCATCTTTGGATCCAAAAAATTCACAATCTGAAAATTGTTTGCATGCGTAGTCAGAAAGTAAACCGTCATATTAATCATAAAATTCATAATTTGGACACGTTTCAAAATTTGACCAATAGATATCACCACAAGAATTATAACTAATTTAACAATTTGCTGATTTTTAAAATAAACAATGCATTTTATCTAAATCTGAGCAACTTACTCCCTAGTTGTTTCTTGAGTCCAATTATTTAGATTCATAAAATTCACTTACTCGTACATTGATACATTTTGAATTCACTGTATCATATATACAATTTGGAAACTCTTGGCAATATGCCAGTGACACTTAATTAAATTGATCACAAGTATTCTCTTGGGGATTCACGTTAAAACATATTTTATCCACATAAGCACAGTACTCATCCTTGTTGTAATTTTACACGCAATCATACAAGGAGACAGCATTTTGGCAAGAGTGAATCTTTGGATTATACCCCTAACAACGACTGTTTGACCAAACACAATAATGATCCAAAGATTGGCAAGTACCTTATGAGAGACCAGCTTCACAAGGCAAATCAACGATATCTTAATTTGTACACTAATCCACATATGCCCAACATTGGATATTCTGAGAAGTTCCACAATTCATCCAAGAAAATTAAACATCATAGATAGTTGGACATGACAAATCAGGATCATAGACTACAGAACATTTGTTATTAGACCATTAGCATTTCTACCCTCCCATCAAGCATCCTTGTCTATTTCTTAATTCACATGCAATTGATAAATCATTGAAATCCAAGTAATCGCAAGTTCTATTGTTGAAATAACAGCCACCCACACTTTATGTAAGACAAAACACCTTGCTTAGACCTGGATGATCACACTTAAGTTTTAAATTTAAATCCTGTAAACATTTGCTTTGGGTAATATCGAAGTGACAACTATCAGTTGCCAAATAACACATATTTCTATTGAACCATTGTTTCTTTCCACTTTCTACTTTTATAGCACCTGAAGTATTCAAGGAACCCATTTCCGAACAAGTGTATGTCTTACTAGCTGAATAATATGAACATTTAAGATTGGAATTGTTATCCACCACCCAACATGTCTGTCCCTTTGTTGTTATTTTACCACATAGATTCAAATTTGTTTAAGTGCAATTTAATGTATTCAATAACACATTTTTGTAAGGTTCATCCTTCACTTCAATGCATTTGAAATTCGAATCAAAATAACAATTAGAATTTGTATATGCCACACATCTGTGAACATTGATATCCCGGTCTGATCCACAACCAACGATTGCCTCACGAGTTGCAGTGCACACATTATTAATCAATTCACAATAAGTACCATCCAAGAAATAGTTAACAAATTCACTCTGCAAGTATTTGCAAACCTATGTATTTGCTGTAGTAAATGTTGTGCATGTCACGGTATACTGTTTTGGATAGAACTTACAAGCACTATCCCAAACGCATGCCTACCCTGCTTTTGTTACTTACTTACAGGCATTTTATGATAATTTAGATCCTTCACAATTTATAATACTTAAGATATCTGGAGTTGTGTCTAAGCACTTATATTTCACATAGTCATAATAACAAGAAGCACTTGATTACTCACAACCATCAGGATTCAAATTCACATTGCAAGTGCTCTCTGGACCATAGCCAACTGCACAACTGGCATAGTCAGGATCATATAGACAACTTCCAGGACTTGTAAAGTAAGCACAGGAGTTCCCATTCACATTTAATAGCGAATTGCATTTGTATGGCAAGATCTGTCTATAAATGAGGGTTCTGCATTTTCCATAACTCCATTGACAGAATTACCCTTATGTTGTTATCTTTGTGCATAGTGATTTATCCAATCCTCTGTCTTAGCATTTCAAAGTGTGTCCCTCCTTTGGCTTAGTATAGCAATTCTATCTCTTTTCGTCATAGAAACAGTACTCAGTCTCCGCATAAACTGTTTGACTACAGACACGAGGATTGACGAGCTTAAAAGTATCGCATGGTTTCTTCAATTGTTCTTCAGCTAAATTTAAGCATTTATAATTATATTGGTCCCATCTTGTATAGGAACTCAAGAAGTTAAGACAAAAGAACTTAGTAATGTGTTATGCATCTACATTTGTGCATGGTAGATCTGATTTTAAAAGATCTTCCTTGTAACTATCGAGTGTCTTATCCAAACATTTCATAGTGATTTATTTTGTTTAAAGACATAACTTTGTTGATGGTACATAATAGTAATATTCTGATTCCATAGATACACATGTTATCCTATTCATCATAATATTCTAAGGAAGAGATTTGAAATAGGATAACAATGGCTATTTCTTAAGATTAATGCAGGCATCATTATACCAAATGCAATACTAATCTTATCTTGTAATGGTTGTACACGTAAATAGAGTGTTTGCATCCTCGCAAGATATCAATGCAACGTTGATACTGTCTTCACATCTACTTTTCTCTGCATTCCAAAAGCATTGCAAAGCCATACGAATACAATATTGCTCACTTAATCCATATGTACTACATCCATTGTAAGGTAGACAGTGTAACAAAATACTGTCAGGAGAGACTGTGGAGGCTTCTCCACTCCAATAACATTATGCATTGTTATTACAAGCACTTTAATCAAAACGAAGTTAATAGCAACTACTATCACAAAATCCTATTGCACTTTGAATGTTCAGGAAACAGAACTCATTTTCCAAGCATTAATAATAAGTAGCAGTACTGGATCTCTATAAGCAATCAGTATTTGGCTAATATAAACTCTCATCAAATGAAATGCAATCGTATTCGGTCTCTCCATGAATCATACACTTAAGATTGTCAACCCTCAACCTTTGACAAAGATATCCGCTCATTTGTTAACAAGTAATATTATTTGATCCAATAAAATTGTTATCTCTCAATTATTCCTCTGTCACTGTCATACACTTACTCTCATGAAAAATACTGAGCTGAGGATCCGTTGGATGTTTCGTCAAATACTTACAATATACATGATTGACTCCAAATATTGTGCCTCTTAAGCTGAAAGTAGTTAAATAGTCACTATCTGATAGTACTTCTATGGCTATACACCCATATCTGGTTTGATCATTTATTTTCACTAAATAAATTGTTATTATTACAATTCGAAGCAGTGCTCACTTTACTGACTTTGTATTCGTACCATACAAATTTCCCAGTTGTGTCTATGTAATTATTTTGTAGGGCATCTGTCGTTGAGTAAGTAGGAGTCTCCTCTATATATTGTCCTTCATCCTCCAATATTAAATTATCTGATTCTTCGATCATGTCTGGTTAATAATCAACCAAAGGCCAAAGAACACTATGGTGCATGATCAAATACCCTATTATTATAATACTCTATTAAATACCTGTAATTAAAGGGCAAACTGAAATGCTTAGTTCTTTGTCCATAAAGGTAGTTTATAATGTATCATAATCTTGGTTGTTTAATTCTTAGCATTTATGATTTTCCCATTTGCAATGTTAACTTGTAATTTACAAACAGCCCGAATGTGTAATTTTATCACTACATTACACAGAATCCATATTTTAAATCACGTGACAACTTTCATCAAATATACATTATGCCAAGTCCCCCAAGACTGTTCCAATCTGCTTTACGCATAGCTTTTCACTTAAAGTTACGTCACACCCCATCAAGTAATTGTCAGATTTTATACATTCTCCAAACATAGGCATCCACCGACCTTAACATTCAATAAATTCTTACATTGATCAACCTTCGTTGATATACATTTCTAAAAAGTCGTAAATTCTGTGCATAAGTCTATGCAAGAGACTGATGAGAATAGAAGAGCAAAAGCAAATATTTTCATCATCATATTTCAAAAAATTATATAATTATTTATGTACTCATACATATCTTAAGCCTTCATGAACATATACTATTTTGATAATCATAAAATTTACTATAATATTTATGCAATATCATTTTTGTAAAATCTGATTTTGAAAACGAATATCCTTACTTAATTCCAATCTTTGTGACATTGTGGCCAGTCAGCTTGAAACTATCCAACAGAAAATTATTGTTGCTAATCTTTTTATTATAATAAAAAAACAAGTTTTTTATCTTTTTTTTTATGAATTAAATGAGTCAAAAAATTTAATTACAACTGATTGGTATAACCTGGCTTAAGAATTTATAATATTTAATAGATTATCAAATTTATAGGCTCATAAATTAATTTGTTCAAATAATTTGAGATTAAATCACCTTTAATTCTCTTTTCAAACCCAGCAACATAAAAACAGCATATCTATGATATTTGGATCCTGTTGTAAATTTTATAACCTCTAACTTGTCAATCAAATTTTATATCTACATATCTATAAAATTTTACTTATTCTATGTCTTACTAAGTATTTAATGCTGATAAACCTTAATTCAATATTTCCTCAAATTATATTATCTTTTCTAATGCATCAAGTCCTTTGTTAAAGAATTTGGTTTTAATTCTTTATATTAAATCTTAATATTAGGCTTATTATTAATTTTCTCTACTCAAAGCAAAATAATTAGTTAGAGATGCTTCAAATAAATGATGATTTGGATCTTAGTTTTGGACGAGAGAATTTAATAACTAATAACAGTAATATAGTGCAGATTTTGAGCTTCCTTTATTCATTGCTTATTTCATCAAAAAATTAGTTAGATCTGTAGATGACTACTCTTGTTAATTCAGTTGTTTGAACAATTTATCAACTTCCTCTTAATCTTCTTCCAAATATTTCATTTTAAATATTGAGTACTTTTGTGATAATTATTCATTCTATTGCGATTATTTCATAAGATTATCGATTTTATCTTCAATTTCCTTTAATAATTTATCATCAAATATTGAGTATAAATTGTACTAATATAGCAGAACATAAGCATCTAACAAATTTATTTATACATTCAAGATTTTAGAGTTCATATTTTATAAAATATTTAGGGAATACAACAGAGATGAATCTGCTTAATCAAAATTAGATTATCTGATATAACAATCTCCAAGGAGCATACTAGTTTTTGCGCTTGCTAGATTTAAATTATCAATGTATGGCTACTCTTAAAATTTACTATCCTAGAGTAAATCTTAAAGAGCTTTACTATTGTTTTATAAGACAACTTATGCATCTTTTAATTTTCCATAGCTAAAGTATTATTCTGCTTGCCTATTAGTGTTTTCAATCTAGCCCTAAAACTCATTAACAAGATTATTGATCTATTCATTATTCTTTGGATCAGAGTAGTCTTTCATTTTCCTGATCATTTAAATGTAATCAAATGAACCTACGACATTGAAACTAAAGTAAATTTTACTCTCTCTAGAAATTTTAAGTAGCTAAGTTGAAAATCCAAAAAATTTATTTAACATTATTTTAAAATATTAATTGAAATATGCATCAATTTATTCATTATAGTCTCTATCATAACAATTTGTCATTTTGATTATTTCTTCTTCAGACTAATTAAGGAATTTCAGAATTTTATTAGAGTAATTATTTCCTGCCAAGATCTATTCAGTCATCTACAGCTAATGTATAATCGTACGGCATAATATACTTCTTTACTATATTAACTATTATGCCTTTATTTAAATATAATTATATTAAATAATCAATTAGACATAAATTCTTCTATTTAGTTTTTATGTTCCTCCTATAAATCAAGTATTCTTTTTTATGCTTAAGTTCTTTCAATCTAAAATATTTTTTCTAATCTTATCTATTCTTGCTTGTTCTCTACTTAATATAGTTATTTCTCTCTTTCTTATTCTAATCTTTGCTCATTTTCCAAAAGCTAAAACTAAGTTAACTTAAATACATTAATCATTTCTTCTTATTATTATTATTCCAATAATTCTAAATCATACTCTTTTTAAGGATCATCAATTATTTTCATTACTTTTTTTTCTTCATTTTATACCTTCTTAGTAAGCGCAGATTTTGGTCTTTAAATTTCTGTTTTTTTATTCGGAAGTGCGGTTTAGGCTAAAGATATATTTTAATAAATTTACGTCTTCCTTTTTTTTAACTTGAAATGGGATGATCCTCTATTTGACGAGATCCTTATTGTTGGGAATCGTTAGGAAGAGAAGATTACAGTAGATCAATTTTCCCTTATTTAATTAATTCAAACTGATTCTTTAATTCTTCTTTTTACAAATTGGCTATTTGCTTCATATACAATCTTTACTCCAAGACTCTGCTCTTTTATAATTGTAGATTTTCAGTTCTTCTCATTTTCTCTTCTATTTTTTATCTTAAAATTTCTTTTTCATACTCTTGTTTTCTCTACAATCGTTCCAAAGCTTCCTTTTTATCTTTCATTTTTAGAATTTCTTATAATTTAATTTGTTCTTAAAGTTATTACTTTTCCATTTACTTTTCTAAAAGCATTTATTCTTTTTCTATTAATCTATTGTTTAATTCCATGGCTCTGACTTATTGATTTTTTGCAGCATTCTAAATTGCATCAATTCTATGCTATTCCTTCTCCTCTTGTTGTTATCTTTTAATCAAATAATCCTTTATTTTTTCAAATTCTAATTGCTTTTTTCTTTAATTTACAATTTCCTATTTCTGTTAATAATCATAATATTTTTGTTCTTCCTAATTTTGCACTTTTTCAATAACTTGTCTCATTTTATCTTAATGTTGCTAAGCATTAATATAATTTTCGATTATTTTCTATTCTTTCTATCTCTCAAATTCTGATCTTCTCTCCTCTATTTTTCTTTATTTTTCATCAAATTATTCTCTCAATCTTTCTAATTTTTCCATTTAAAGCTATTTTGCAGCCTGTAATTTAAATTTCAATTCAAATTAGGCCTATTAAGAAGCCTGAATTTTCTCCTACCTTGATTATTCCTGCTTTTCTAATCTCTCTCTATCTTTCATTTCCATAATTTGTCTCTTAACCTACAATTCCATTTCATGTCTCAATTATATTTCTTGCATTTAATCTTTAAATAATTATTGTCTCTACTTCCTCTCCTCCTCTCTTTTTCTATACTCCTATTGTAATTTTTTCTATCTTAATTATTCTAATTGAACTCTGTGTAATTCTTTTTTATATTGTTATTTAGCAAATTTTTTTAATTTTTATTCTTCCCGTTACTATTTTAGTTATCTGTCTCTCTCTCTTTATACTCTATCATATTCTTACTTTACTCTACTCTACCTCAATTAATCCTCTCTTCTCTATTATCTCTCTTGCATCTATCGTTACTTTGACTCATTTCTTTCCCTAATCTCTTATTACTTTCTTTCATGCTCCAGCATTTATTGGATCTCTTTTTATTGTCTCCATTAGATTTTCTCTAATTCCTATTAGTTTTGACTAACTTATAATTGATCTGAGTTTTCCTCAACTTATTATTCCTCTTCTTAATTATTGAAATTAAATCCTGCATCAATTAATTACTATCTTGCCTCAAGACAAGCCTTTAGTTTCTCTTATCTTCTTATTTCATGATGTTACCACATAATCTCCCATCCTTACTTATTCAATCGCAATTCTGGATTCCTCCTTTTGAGTTCCTTTATACCAATTGAAATTAGTTCCTCGGGTAAAATTCCACATAAACGGCAAGCCTCAATAGACCGAGGGCTTTGAGTATTTAGGCAAATTACCTGTTGATTATTGGTTACTTGAATGATGTTTATTTGAAGTTCTCCAATTTTAACATAAAATTATTGATAAAATAAATAACTCAAAAACTTCAATTAAAAACCGAAAAAAATTATTACCTTTATTATGTGCCACAGACACTATATATCGAAAAGCTTACATAATTTTATACAAAAGTATACTCATATATAAATATATATAGTGTTCATTTTGGTAATAAGTTTTGAAAGTTTTTAATTATTTTTGAAAAAGTCTAATCTATTAATTTCTTCCATTGTGGTTTATCTGCCTCAAGTGCTAGGGCTAAATCAGAAGAAATTAATCCCTCCACTATTTCTTAATTTTCGACTTTATTCTTATTCACTTGATTATTTATTACTATTTCAGTTTTGATAACTAGGTTTTATTGTTCTGTTGTTTTGATTGTTTTTTGAACAATCTTTCCATTAGGATTTTTGACAGTCTTCATATGAGCAAAATTTTAGATAATCATTTGCTGAATTAATGTAGCAAAAATGCATATATAGAAATGACATTCATTTAAATGGTACGGACTTGTTTTCACCTTTTATCTTGTATCACTCTTATCTTCTTAAAGATTAGCAAGTATCTCAAATAATTATGGAATTAGATTACCAAAAAAGTAATGTTCCAAAGCTATTAACACTAATTATTCTTAGGGTATCTTAAGATGATGATCATTATAAAAATTACATCTTTAACCTACAAATTTAGACACTGGAAAGTTTGTTTTCTCATACAGACTGATATTTAATAAACCTCTGATAAGATCTGAGATAGTTTATTCTCTAGTGAATAATTCTACGTTTTTAAAAAGTAAAGTAGTGAATTTAAAAACGTGTAATTTTCTAATGTCACTCTAATATTCACTTGATAAATTTTAAATTTTCTGAGTTTCTTCAATAAATGCTTAATCTTTTAGGTAATGAATGACCTTTTCTGCAACATATGCATAGTATAATTTTTCCTGAACTATAGCTTATCTTTTAGAAAATTTGTCAATAGCTTTTTAAGATTCCAAGTAATTTTAATTCATTTAATTTCTTTATTTATTTTGCTCGTCTTAGATCTTTCTATACTTTTTACTAAAACGCATCGCAGCCAACACAAAATAAAATACAATTCTCAACTTTGATTTCTTTTTTTAAACTGATCCTTTGATTAGACCAAAATTTTATTGTTGCTTTTTAGCAGCTTCTTAGTGTATCTTTTAATTGATATTAAGTCGGTTTGTAGTTAAAACCTTTATATTATTTATTTATTTCGCCTCAAATTCTACTCTTGAGTCTCTAATATTGATCTCATTCGTATTAATTCTTTTGTTGATCACTTCTGTTATGGAATAGTTTCTTAATTCATCATTTTTATATCTGGGTTGTATTTTACGATGTTGTTTAAATTTATTTTCGTCATCAAGGTTTCTGTCACTTTACACCTTTGTATCGAAGGATGGATGCCTTCTTCTGTTGGGTTTGGCCCTTGGTTCATTATCCTCTTGAGTTTAAATGTAACTGTGATTTTATTCTGATTACTAATTAAGATCTTAGTTTAACACAGTCCTTATCTCTTTGAGAAGGTGCTTATTCTTCTAATTGATTTCAAGTATGCTTTAGTAAATGAGTGAATTTTATTAGAGTGGTATTTATTTTTTGATTTTAAATTACAGCTTATCTGCAAGCTGAAACTAATTTCTTTGAGGTATGAAGGGTAGCTTTTGTTAGTGTTCGAATTGGTGATTAGAATTATATTCATTTGTAAGCTACATTGATTGCATATTTGGAGCAATCCAACTGGTATTAAACATACTAATTAATAAAATTGATTTGATTTAATTAATGATAATTTATAATTGAAGTATGATATGAATCTTTGGATGATATTTACTTATTAATTATTTTTTTTTGATTGATAATGCTCGATAATATATATTGGGAAGTGATTTACTTTTTCTAATCATAAATTCTCATTAAAAAAGCAATTGTATCTTATATAAAATTTATTTGACAAATTTAATATTAAGGGAAAAAGTATATTTTACTTGTTACTAATTTAAGATTAATATTACTTTCTATTTATTGAAATTCATTCTCTAAAGCAATCCTTAAGTTTTACATCTTTAAAGCAGTGTAAAAAATTATTATGAGTTTATTATTTAATTGTCCAGTAATTTTAAATAAATTTGTTCTTGGAGCAAAATTTTCACATATAGTTATTAATATTGATTTAAATTATCCACTAATATTCGATAATAAAATTTAGCTAGTTATGTATATTGTATTAGTGATTCTAATTAAACAAAAATGAAATATTGCTGCTGATTATAAATTTAATACACTTGCAATCATTTTTCACAGCCATATATTCAATAAAAGACCTAATAAGCTAAAATCACTTGAGTAATATTTGTAACTTATTGGATATATAATGAAGATAGAGAGAAGGTTATTTAAATAAATATTTAATTAAGTTTTCAAAGTTTTCCAAAAGCAGAATAAGTGAATTATGTGAATTTTAATACTTAATTGAGAAAGATGTAGAATTATTTTTTATTTTTAATTAAAATTTATTAAATTAGAATTAATTTATAAGGTTATTAGTTAACTTACGAAAGGACAAAATATATAAATAATAAATTTATTGTATTATATTAAAGGAATCTGATAAATTAGAATTCAAAATATTAAATATCTATGAACTTCTAACAGATATTTAACAGGAACTCTTCATATGATATTTTATTTCTAACAGTCTTAATTTGAAGTTTGAAATTTTACGCGTGCGATCTCTATAAATGAATTTAAAAATGTTTTTAGTTTAATCTTGTTTATAAATTCTAAAAAAGAAACGATTTTTCGAAATCAAAACATTCTATGATTAGATATTATATGTAATTTTAAATATATTTTAAAATTTAAGAGATTAGTATCATTATTCGTACATTTTGAACTATTAAAGCGTAAATTAGAATAATTAGTAAAGTTCTAGTGAATCTAATACTGTATCTCCTTAAATGTTGCTTATAGCATTTTTAATCTGTTTGCAATTTAAACTACTATCTTTTTTGTGATATAACATTTTTTCAATGAGGATACATTATTCACACTTTTTTTTTTATTTTATTTGGATTGTATCTTATAAATTCCAAAGTTGTTCATTTAATTTAGCATATAGATTAGATGATTACTTTTAAGGTTGCAAAATTTTGAAAATCTAATGATTGAGATTATTTCCAACAGATAGTACATGGTTTGATATATTATGATTGATATCTATCAAAGGTTAACAGATGATGTTTATGTAACATATACTAATGCTAAATGATAAGGCTCCTATGAAAATCATTGAGCCAGCGGCAGCTAAAATCCAAGTTTCAGATTCAAGAAATGCTGCATCGAATTTTTCCTCTAAGTTTTTCTTGGTTGTAATGTTAGTGTATCTAATAGTCATAATCATTCATTACATTATTAATGTAAAATTCTCTTTTACAAATTTTTCACTTCTCAAATGTACGTTAGATTGATACAATTTGTTATATAAAATAATACATTTAGTTAACTCGCTTTCATTCTCAAAGTCTGTATCTATGTTAATGATAGCCTAATCTTCTATTAATTTCCAATCGGAATCATTAAAACCAGTTATGGTTTCATTATAGATATAAAACACTTAACTATTATTAAATTCATGATTCTCCATCTCATTATAAATTACTTACCCATATTTATTGATTAACATTATGTTAGATCTTGTATTTTACATATTTAAGTCGTCGATGGCTAGCATCATTTTTAAAATACCAATAAATTTTTTGTCTTTATTATATAAAGATTAAGTAATTGAGAAATAATAATTATAATCTCCAACTATCATCTTGTAAACATCGGTAAAAAAGTAGAACTGGCTAGGATCCTTTTAAGTCTTTTAAATATGGTCAACATACCTTGGATTCAAATAAAATTTTACCAAGGTCGTGTACTAAGATTATAATTAGGTACATAAAATCCAAACGGATATAAAGCATTAAAACTTATGTCTTCGATATCTACAAATTGCATAAAATCTGGATAAAACTTATTGAATTCCACTCCAAAATCCTCCAATAATCTGAGACCGTTATAAAGCAATTAGACATCAGGACTCTTTTAAAAAGAATCCTGTAAATTAATATTCTCATAAATTGAATAACACATTTTTTGAGTTTTTTGTACTTAGATGCTATTTAAGTAGTAATCAAATGAAAAACAAGGATCAATAGGTTTTGTGAATACGACTTCACTTTATATTTTGGTATAAAAGTGCATAAAAGAAGAAATATGATCAGCTAATAAAATGCCTAAATGTACTTAATAAACTTAAATACTGGTTTTGTGTTTTTCTTTGATATAATGTTTCATCAAATGAGTGGTAAGAGAAATTTACTTGATGTCTGAAATTACTAAAGTGTTCTGCAGGGATCTTTCTGATATATAATAAAATATCTTGATTTCAACATAAATGGCAATTCCAGCTATGCTTAAGACTATAAGGAGAATAAATATATCAAGAGAGATGATTTGCGATCTCATTTTGAGATTTCTAAAAGCTTAAATTAGAATGTTAGCCATTTATTATTAATGTAAAGCTAATTAAAATATTGCTTAGAAAACTTCTAAAATTTAGTAATTAACTATAGAATAAAAGTGGCGATTCATCAGATAAAATCTCATGAAGACATATTATTATTGGGAAAATGAAAATTTACATTATAGTATATTCTGAGATACATTAAAAAATTATCATTGTGATAAACACTAAAATGGGTGGTGTAGAATTAAATAAAAAATAGAATTAAAGAAGGGGAGTAAAACAAGGAAAATTAAAAATTTTCAAAAAATAGCAAAAAAGGATATTATGAAAAAATAAATGTTAATTAAAATAACAAAAAGTTAGAAGATTATATTATATTTTATATAAATATTTAAATTTATATATATATATGCTAATTTATATCGTAGTAGTATAAGTAGTATGGGGATTGTAAAGTTACACAGAGTGCGCAAGTGACCAATACTATAATACAGCTTCAGGTGAATGCACATCTTGTCCTTAGAATACAGAACGATACAACATATCATTAGTAAGTATATGATGTGACTGTTTAGTGTGTGTGTGATAATGTCAAGGGGTATTAGAGAACAGGAGACAATATCATAGGATTTTAATATGATTAGTTGTGTTAGAAACAGGCTAATAATTGTGTTTAGAGCTAAGTGAATTTGAAATATTCATTCTCGGGAGATTCCTTATCTTAAAATTCCTGCACTTCTTGTGCTTCTAATGCCTATCCAAACGCGTACTAATAAATAATCAAACTAAAGTTACCGAGAGTAGTGTGTACCTTGCCCAGATAAATTGATGATATATACCGGAAGCTGCGAATGTCCTTAAACGGGGTACATAAAGTCCTACGATCGATGTATCTTGAGTACTCAGAAGACTATTGGAAGTTTGATATTCGATTCATCATACATCGTTGAATACGAGACTGATTAGAAAATAGCAAGTTCATATATGTTGAGTAGATACTAATATGCAATCACAATGTGCTATTATTATTCGAGCATCAATGCTTGTTAGTTGCTAGCAAATCTATGCGTATTGCAATTGTTTGATTTAACCAAACCCATATGTTCAATATTTTTAGATGAATTGTCCTCCAAAATACCAGCATCTGCTCCAGCATTGTTTCCTAGTGTCAATACAGAAACTATCAACATTTATCAGACAGCATTCCCTTAGACTATGAAATTGGATGATTCTGATTCTAAGGGTCGTCGATATTTGAATTACGCTATATAAAAATACGATTTGGACGGTAATTTGATTAGTGATTCTACATTGAGATCTGAATTCATTTTATGTCCCCATTCTCCAGGAGATGAAATCAATAGTAGAGCCTTCGGGTTAAATATGAAGATATCTTGTACTTTAGATTTGGATGCCTTCCTATAAAATTACGAAATGTATATGTATGAACTTTCAGTCACTGCTATTCGAGATGACAATACTATTGTTCCTTAGAATGTGTACTTCCTGGTCAACAATCTGAAGGATAAGGATGGAAATCTACCAAATACCGATAAAGCCACTTAGAATAGCATTTTTGTTAAACGAATCTTTTTGGTGGACACTTTAACCTCAAAGAAAGATTACACTAGTCCAGCTGAAACTCCTGAATACATCAGATATGCAAGCAAAATACAAATAGTGATCTTACCAAGTTAGGATTCTTATGAACAAATTTACGTCCCTTATGTTTATGTCGAATATTCCATTGTTAGAAATTCAGGGGAATCTTTTGGATATGCTGATTTTGAATTTGCCTTGTAGATTTCACCTGACCCTACTAATTATTGGGTTACAATCATTATCTTGTTTGCCATTTACAATGTTATAATCATCTTAGTGTGGCTATTCAGAATTTATGTGTGGACCAAGGCTAATCCAAGTAGTTCCATTAGAGAAAACTATATGTTGCAACTCATTAAGAATATGGCTCAATTGTTAATTGATTCTTGGACAGATTGGATGTTTTATTTTCTCTTTTTTATGACAGCTTATTGGTTTATCTTCTTCAAATTCCAGAATACCCCCTTTCTCTTGATGCTGAATCAAAATGAACCTTCAAATTACCTACCATTCTATGGACTATTTTATACTATTTTTGCTTTAAGATTAATACAGACATTGGCGATTATTTATGCTCAATCTTCAATTAGCATTTATTTTATTGATTGGGAAACTACTGAGATTCATAGACCAGTTGAAAAAAGGAGGTAGGAAGAATTAGAAGAAAATGAAATACTTGTAACTGCTAATAAAATCAAAAGCAAGGTTTCAGTTTGGAGAACTCTTTTGGTGGCAAATGAATTCAATGAATTATCAACAGTCAGGACTGTTTCAGTTGAATGGACACTTATTATATTAGGATTTGTATTGATTGGCTTGGGTTTTCAAAAAAGATTCATTGAATCCCCAGATCTAATTGAAACGTAACCCTTTGTTCCTGAAAATCCTATTCTCAAATACTTCTTAGTTTAGTTCGTTTATCTGATGATTGGATTAGGATAATTGATCTTAAGAAGAATACTCAACATTTGGCAACCATATCCTTATGAAAATTTTGTCGATCTCTGTACAATTGCCAATGTCTCCATTTTCATACTTGATGACAATTTACATGGCTATTATATCCATGGAGAAAATCCATTAGGATTCTCTGAGGGTGGAATTCCTCATCTTTAAGAATGTCTAAGAAATGAATCTAAAAATAAAGGTAAAAACAGAGGACTTGTCAAGGATGGTTATGATAGTCAATTGTGTACGTATGAGTTATTTGTGCCTCCTGAATTCAAACATTAATTTGAAGTGAATTATTAAGGAATTAGGAATTATAAGGAAAAGAGAGAAATGAAGTCATTAGGTATTGAGAATGTGGAATTGTAAAAGTTTAAAATTGAATAATTCCTTAAATCTAAGATCAATGAAGTCAAAAAAGTTGACAAGAGAGCTAATTTCATTAGAACTAAAGAAACTGCTTAAAGATACTTTGATTATCCTCCTGATGAGTTGGCCTATGATGATTTTAACAAATCCTAAGTTCCTTATTTCTACAAAGACCCAGATTATCAATATAGAAGAGTCTTCTTTAGTGGTTATGAGATGTACTTTTTAGTTACAGATATAATCATATTCACCTTCTTTGTTTTAGTTACTTAAAATGTAGCATTATCTATATTGTTGTAATATTTTGTAACAAAGTCTTTTGAATGGTTAAAGTAGGAATGGCAGAAATCTAACATTAGTGAAAAAACTAAAATTGACAAAAGGTTTCTAATATGATAGAAAAATATTTCATTTTTTTTAAAATATATAATCATATATCCCTTATCAATTTATTATTAGGTCAAAATAATTTGTTTATAGATATTTGTATTCACATATATTTAGTTATCAACTAATATAGGAGAATTTAAAGAGTTATGACAATTTAGTCTATTGATTTCAATGAATAAATAATGATAAATTAAAAAATAATATTATCTTAGCTCAATTAAATCTTTATTTCTTTTTTTGTCCATTCTTACTCGTGAAGCTACTGTTTAAACTATTCGACTTAGGTTGATCATGGGAGAATAGACCTTAAAATAATACATTTTTTATACCATTAGTAGGATTAACAGGGTTAAATAAACTTGTTCCAATATCAATGGGTGGTTATTAGTTTTAGAACAATGAAACTGCCTTTTAAGTACCTGACATTTGAGATTGCATATAGGGAGGGAAACCTGGTGCTCCAAGTTATCGATATGATGAAAATGGAGTCTACTATTATGATTACTATTGTCCAAGTAATAGTGGTTGAGGACCTTAAGTAGCTTCAGGGAATTCCATTTCCTGATTCATGTCATTATTGTTCATCATATTATTATTACTCATCATGTTATTCATCATATTATTATTATTCATAATATTGTTATTAATCATAGTATTATTCATCATGTTATTATTATTTGTATTTAACTAAAGTAATGAATTTTATGGCATTAATGGATTCTATTAGGGGATGGAATTTGGGAAATATAGCGATGGTTATGCAGGTTATAATTGTAGTGTTTACTATGGTTATTACTGTGGATATGATGTTTACTGAAACATGGATGGTCCGTTATGTTATTATTAAAATAGCTCATTTTTAAATTGAGAGGTCTAAATTCTAATCTGATCATCCTAAATAATTTTACTCTATTAAGATTGATTTGAAAAGTACGAGTTTATTTGTTCTTGATCGATTTTGGGTGATTATTATAAAAAGGGATTATCAATAGGTTTTACTGGGGTTACCGCTGATTTATTTATTGGATCAGAAGACAAACTCTCAGATTTACTATTGTCGGTTTTTCGTTGATCTTGCAAAAATGCAAAAGGAGATTGCTTTTATTAAGGTTTTGGTTCACTACTGATATTAAATTAATTGTTTTTGTGATCATCAGATGACGATTTCCATTAACAATTCAATCCAATAGAATTAGCTAATGGTGTTTAGATTTCCAATTTAGAAGAATTAATTTGTTATTGTTATTATTTGGAATCCTAATTTGTTGGAGTCTCCATAGTATTGTTTTTACTTCCTAAAATATGAAGATTATCTCCACCAAATAATGATGGTACTGCAAGAGGAGGATTGGTTGCATCTTTATTTTCTTGAACTGGATTGATTTATGCATTAAGGATATTACCTAAATATGGAAGTTTTTCTTCACCGTTGGCCTCCGATTTTGGTTTGTCTTTATCATTTTATTTCAATAAAAGATCATTAAATAAACCAGTGGATGGTTTTTCTTTACTATTCTTATCATTTTGATTGAACAAAAACAGGAGTGATTAAGTTGGCTGTTCTTGTTCCTTTTAGGTTATCGTTATATTATTCTTATCTGCTTAGCTTTTGACATTTGGATTTAGAAGATTAAATTCCGAGAAGAGAAATCCTGATTTTTATTCTTCTGGCTTTTATTGTATCAATGTACTCTCGTCTGCTTAATCCTATTTGCTATCTGCCTTCTGTTCTCCTTATGTAGATTGAACTACATTACTTAAATTTTAGAAGAAAAGTTGTTTCTTATGAGGGAATTAATCGTTTGTGTTGAGCTAATCGTTTTAATTTCCAGAAAAATTATTGAAGAGACTAAAGATTTGCTTATTTTCTTCTATTTTTGGCTACTAATCCGTAGAATCTTTTTTATTATTTACATTGGAACTTGAAGATTCAGAGATTGAAGGCTATTGTTGAACTTCAGAAGCATTCGGTTTATTTTAGAAGGTGAATTAGTTTTATTACAAATTTTAACCTGAACTTTGATGAGATGATTGTTGTTGATTCAACTCCTTTGAATCACAAGATGGGAATAAGGATGATTATACATTGATTTTATTAGCAAGAATTTGTCCACCTTCACTAGACTTTGCAAGACCAAACAAAGGAGTGTCTGAAAAATTAATGATATTTTTTTCTTATTATTCAAAAGGCTTCTTCTCTTCAGGGACTACTTTATTAATTAAATTAATTTGGAATGTTGTAGTTTTCTCTTATTTGGCAGGTCCTTATACTAGAAAATCAATAACACTTTGTTGTGGTTGCGCTTATGATTCTGTTTAATTTTCCTCTTCTTTCTTTTAAATTACTTCATCTTTTTATTGTTCAGATTCTTTAGGCTCATTAATTTTACTTATCACATCAGATTGTTTTCGGGATTGGGAATTTTCAATTTTTTTAGGACTGCAAGAAAATGACTTTACTTCCTATTCATTCAAATTAATCATTGACTAGGATTTCTTTAAGCCTTTAGATTGATGTTCTATTATTTCGTTAATAGTCAACATTGGTGGCTCTGGCTATTTAGGTTTAGTATCATTTAATTAAACTATAATTATTTCTTTAATTTATGGCTCCTCTTTTAACCCGCCTGCTAGAAGACTGTTGTTTTTAAGGGAATCATCGCTTATTTATTCTTAAACTTCTTAGATTCTACTCTCATTTATGCTATCCTAGATTTTATCGTATACATGTTTCTTGTGTGCAATTTTAATACCCACTTCTTTCTTTTTCTCTAACATTATTTCAAAATCATACCATCAAGTTTTCTTTTTTTGTATTTTTGAGAACTCAGCTTTCGAAGCGGATGATTGGCCTTCTTTTCTTTCCTCTCAGAATTCTCAATGTCCTCAGGCAAAACATGTTCGTAACTTTATTTAAATTCTAATTCTTAATATGTTTTATATCTACTATTCAGCTTTGTCAACTCTTTTTCCTCTTTTTGTTAAACTTTTGAGGACATTTCACTTTACTGAAGTATTACACTTTGTTATTCTTTGACATGATCATCAAAGCTCGTAATTTTATTTCTCCTTTATCTTTGGCTGCTCTGTGAATGGCATATTTTTATGGAATCTAAAATGTAAATCAAAGATACCTTGCTCTATTATTTAAGCTCCAACTATTTCTGAATTTACAGGAACATATATTGTCTATTGAGATATAAGTTCCCTTTATATACAAGAAGAAGGATTTAAATTGACCTAAAACAAGCTTTTCAATTTGTTGATGATTTTCGTACTTATACTTGGCTTTTCTTTTGTAAATTTACTAAATGGATTGAAGCCAACACATGAACTCTATTTTTTGCCTAACATTTTATTTATATGTTTTAAATAATTGTATATTTAAATCAATTATTTCTATTATTCCCCACCTCTAGAATAACAGAATCCCCCCTTATTCATTCAATGCAATATTCATATTATTAAAAATTAGTTCTCTTTAACGTAACAGCAGGGTCAAACTATTGATAAAAGAGCTCAAAATAGAAACAAACCAGGATTACTTCTCATTCACTAAATTATTCCATTTTTTACTATATTTACTGAATTCATGTCCAAAGGCAATGTTTCAAGAATCCAAAAGTCAATCAAAAGATAAATTTTATTCTATAATTATATAATATTATAAAGATAAGTTTGTTATATAAACAATCTAAATAAGTAATTTAAATTGTATGAATTCTAATTATATTATATTGATTAACCTTTATCAAATATCTCCATATAGTTCGAGAATAATAATTTATTCATTTTTAGAAGAATGAATAAAAATATAACAATTTTAATTATATAAGGTTGTCTGATTAACTTTGAAAAAGAGTTGGAGTCATTAACCAAGTCCAACGTTGTATCATTGAATTGAGAATAAAAGTATATATGTTATATATTTTAATAAATGATAAAAATAGTATTATATACAACTAATTAATTTAATACAAAGAAATCAATAGATATTATTATAAAATATAATAACTCTCAAGTGCTAATAGATCTTCTTCAAATCGAAAAGAATGTTGATATATGAGTAATTACAGTCTTATTTATCCTCCATATTAATACAATCATGAGAATCTTTAGATTTAATAGGTATTCAAATTATTAGAGTAGATTCTAGTGATTCAAAAATATCAAAGTTGTAATACTTGATATTTACTATACTGTTTAAATATTGACTTCAAAATTATACTGTCAATTATTTAGATTATTATCATAATTAAAGTATTAATAAATTAAATTGTTAATTCTAACTCTTTTGATTGAAATTAATTATATAAAAATATCACTTTGAGCAATTGAGACATCCATCACATCTACACAAATGTGTACATGCTAGACCACTTAAAAAACATTCACAATATTTCTTTTGGCATCCAGACTTTTTACAATTGCACCCTTTGAAACTTTATTTAAAAGCTCCAGGGTCTCGATTAATAATTTACACTTTGGCCTCCTTTCTTTATTCCATATTAAGTGTATTATTGAAACAACCAACACAATTACAATTTTCTGAGCACATTTATCCGTTAGCAAAGCAATCACAATATTGTTTTAAGCATTAGGATTTCTTGCAATTACATGATCTTTCATTAATAAATAATTTACTTTGTATTTGTAATGATTTTTGGGAGATTTGGAGGAGGAAATATAATCTTAATTGGTCGATAAATATTCTTTGAATCTAACTAGATTGATGTTTCCACTGTTTCCTCTTCCATTTCAATTCTATTTTATGGCACTAGGATCCTTAATTTAATGTTTGAAGTACCTAAATGATGAGTCTTTACTAATTTAAAAAGTTTTCATTTGGTTTTAAAATTTGAATTATTTATAATTCGTTAAAAATTATTAATATATAATACCACATATAATTACCCATAAATATTTGTACATATAAATTATATCATATTTCAGATATCTGATAAATCTAAATATATACAAAGTAATCTTAATTTTCAAATTCAGTATTCATAAAATAATTTTACTAATTAAAAATTGTAATAATAAATCTTAAAAGTATAAAAGTTCAATTATTTTCGAATATTATTTTTCTTTCTTTTGTCTAATCAACTAACTACCTCATCAATTTTGGTATACTATCTAAAATTTTATCATAAGCAGCATAAATTTAAATATAGAATATAAAAGGAATAATTATTAGGAGATATGAAAAAATTATAATGTAAATTTCCAAAGCCTTAATTAATATTTTCTAAGATTATAACAAAGAATCTTATTTTAAGTAATCTTTATGAAATATGGAATTGATTCAACAATATTAAAAATGAAATATTTATTACAAATTATTGAAAACAATCCTGTATGATGAATTCTTCTTAAATGAGGCTGGTCTCTAATATTTACATTTCAATCCACACAGAAGAAATAGATTACTGATCAACAATAGGATTTTCAATGCTTCTTATAATTTTCTTAATCTTTTTTGGAGATAGTTTAGAACCTATTGTGCACTTTTTGGTTTAAAATAAATAATTTAATATATACATGATATATTCTTTTCATCAAATGCATGATAAAAATAAACTTTGAGAATTTACATTATTCATAATTTTATAATTTTTCTAGCAGAATTATAATGCTTTTTATGCATTATTCTATTGTTAGTTTGAGTAGTTTTGATGAACCTCATTGTTTATATATCAGATTATAATAAATGTATAAAAATGATTAAATATTAATGAAAGCTTATAGAAGGGAAAATAGTCCTTGTTCAAAACTTAAACTACCTCAACTTACAAAAAGTCCTTATTTAAAATAAAGTCATTAAATGCCTAGTCAAAGATCAAAAAACTAATCGCCTTTTAAAAAATAAAATAGCAAAGGAAGATCAATTTCTAACATAATCTCAAATAACTCTTTGAATATATCAACCCAAATAAGCACACAAGAGAGAATCAAAACAAACAATTTTAACAAAAAGTCCTTCTTACAAATTGATGAATTATTGGATAAATTTAATATGAATGCTGGGTTTGATTAATAATATAAATACTTAGATTAATTGGAAAAATAAAGTTCAATCTTAGTACATAACTACTTATAAATTCATCAACATATGATTAACCAAAGGAACCGAATTCACTGTCTAAGAAAATGATTGATTACAGATTTTTTAAATAAGTTTTTATTATAAAGCCATTTCAGAACTATATATTTGATTAACAAACTTGTTTTATTAAATATTTTTATATTCTAAATGAATATCTCCAATTATTTAATTTAAGGATACCTAATAAATCCATAAATAGCAGTCATTTAAAAGATTCAAAGTTTAAAATCTAAATCTCATTGTCATATATATAAACTTTGAGTTTATGAAAGGTTGCTATTAAAGGTCATTATATATTAAGTGCTGTAACTTTGATATGATTATTAAATTTTCAAATAAGAAAATAATTAGAAAGAATATATTTATTTTAATTAATATCCTCCTAAGATTTCTAGAGATAAATCTTATAAGATATGAATGTTAAGGGCAACAATTAAGATTTTATTTAAGGTTTGACTTTATTGACATCATTAAGATAATTTCCTAGTATAACTTCAACTTCTGCCACCTTGAATTTCAAATTTTTATACTATTAGAATCAACATTAATATAATAATTACTGAAGCCAAATTGCTGTTTTGTAGGTTATTTTTTATTATTCATTTATAAAATTAAATCAGATAATAGAGTGTTATGAAATTTCAATTAACCTTCATGTAATTTTATAGATTATAATCATTTTAATATTATCAATTTTAATCATTTAACTATGTTGTCAACAAAATATATATTCTTTGTCCATATTCAGATTGCTTAATTAAATAAAGCAACCGTAAATTCTATTTCATCAAATCTACCAGTTATTACTTATGTTCTTGATCAAAGATTTACAATACCTTTTTAACTACATAATTTCCAAATGGATTGATAGCTAGGTTTAGAAATATGAACCTAAGATAATATTGATAATTTACATTCCATTATTTTCAGAAGGTTTCATTAAAATTTAAACAAAATTATTCTTAAGTTTTGGGGTTAAATATTTTAGTATATCTTCAACAGTGTTACTCGCATATTTATTAAAACACAAATTTTCTAAATGATTTAAAATGTAATTTGCTATGATATCTAAATATTTTGGCAATTTTATGGCATATTAGAGGATGTGATTACCATGCTAAGATTTATATAGGAGATTTTAATTGGTTATACAAATTTATACCAGAGTATCCACCTATTTCGGATAGTTATCAATTAATTTTTGGATTATTTTACACCCATATTAAGAATCACACATGTGAAAGCCTAGTTCCTCTGTTGGTTTTAATATGAATCTAACTACATCTATAGACAAGTTTTCCAAACATTTTAGTATTACATACTTGCCATTTTAATCAGTTAAAAGGGATTTGATATTTTATTTAATTTCTTGAATGAATGGAACTATAAGATGATCATTTTTTGAGATGATATCTATAAGTTTTTGGATAACTCGGCAACCGAAAGTATTTTTAGATAATTCAACTACATATGGTTGTAGCTATTTGAAGATCTAAATTTATTATTATAAAGTTCCTAGATAATATTGATATAGTATATACCTTTTTCAAGAATTTTCTGGATTAAGTAATTTCCAAAGATGTCTTTTGAAAATTCTTGGCAATTAGCTTGCACCTTCCAGAATATTTATTGTCTTTAATTGGTTTATCCGGTCTCAAATATTTTTTAAACTTTCCTCGAAAGCACTTGGTTTCCGCACATGTTTTCCTATAGTAAATCATAATATATTAAAATTACAATGTCGATTTCTAATTATATATCTAAATTTTGATTTGATTTTTGATATTAAGGCCAAATTGGATTATTTTAACTGTAATATATTGGTGAAAATTAATCTGATTATATTGAAAAGTAATCGAAGCAACAAACATTTCCAAAAATCATTGAATTCTCTAAACTTGTTTGATTATCTGAGCTAAATGAAGTGCAAACCCCTGGATTTTTATATTTCAGTTTCTAATCAGGGGAAATGGGGCTACAAATCTGATCTGAACCCAAACTTATTTATTCAAAGGATTTGCTAAAGGTATCTGCGGTCTAAAAATTGTATTATCTTAAGAGTTTTGTTTAAGTCTGAGCCTAATTGCATTCATCACTTACACTTAACTTCTTCTGGTCCTAGTGCTCATTTTCATCGTTTACTAATATTTACTAGTGAAATTTACTTGATAAAATCGATCCTAGTAAGTTTTACTCAGTTTCAAAATCATCATCTGTCATAATTCAAATAAAAAAATAAATATACAAAAAATGAAAGTTTTTTAAAAAAAGACAATTATATTTCCATTTCCCTCTTACATTATTCTTCATTATTTTAGTATGGATTTTCTGATACTTAAATTAATTTAAAGTTATACAAAACTGGAGGAGATTAATATAACTGTAATAAACTAATTTTATTTTTGAATTTGTTTGGGATCATGATCTATATTTGAATCAAATATAGTAGCACCAAGAAAATCAAAATAGTTTTGATACTAACATCATAAATTCATCAACAGGTAAAATAAATTAAATATGGCAATTAAAAATGAAAAAATACAGTAAAAATTTTTAGAATAATACTCAATACAGCAACACAATTCTACAACATTTGTATCAAAAATGGATGAAAAACAGAATTTGCAATTCGATATGCAATTAATTTAGTCACATTAATCATGAAAGTATATATTTGTAGTTTTATAATATGAAAAGGTGAAAGAATTGAAAAAGACAATTAGCTTCTTGTTAAAAGAAATAATATGATATGTTATTAGTTAGAGTGAAACAAAATTGAGATTTTAACTTTATATTTGTATACGAATAGTAATTCTTATTAAATCTTATGAAGATACAATATTATTTGATATATAGATTCCAGCATGTATAGAGAGTGTGTAATTAAAATCCAAAATAGATGAGTCGATTTTATCCAATCTAAAAATTAGTTTAAATTATTGAGTCTGAAGAACAATATAGAATTAATAATCCTCATTTTCATTAGTACTACGATAAATCTAATATTAATTTTTCTAATAAATTTATTACACCTACATAGTGACAAAGATTCAATCAAAGTGTATGATAAATACCAAAATGAAAAAGACTAAATTTAAATAATAAAAAAGTATTGCTTCGAGGAATGTAGACCCACACAATCTTGGTTTCTGCAATGAGTATACTTAGTCAGATGTAGTCACTGAGAAATTATGTTAAATGAGAATTCATTTAAATTGAATTTTACAATTATTTATTATTATATTTAAGAAAGAATATACTTGTACAATCTATTATTGATGCAAAGTGATTTTTAATAACAATCCACTATAAATAATGGAATTTATAGTTTGTGGCATGGGATAGATGAAGAAGAATCAAAAAGGGAAAAGAAAAAACAATAAAAGCAAGCTCACCCTTAGTTTTCAGAGATGACAGACAAGCAAAAGCAAAGAAAATAAAACTTGAATCTATAGAAAAAAAAGAAAGGAAAATTGTCTCATAAATCAGATATGTAAACCAATGATGATGAATCAGAAAAATAGGAGTTTAATTAAGTATTATTTGATTAATTGGCAAGCATCTAAAATATGAAACAAAACCTTAATTTGTGCTTTTAGTAAAACCAAATAACGAGGAGATCTAGATCGATTTGCAACAATATATCGACGAATAAGTAAAGAGTTAAGTGATAGGATTTAGTATTCGATTCAAGAGGATATTTCAAAGATTTCTTGTTTTAAATAGGAGAGTGATTTTGGACATACAGAATACAAACTTAGACTAGTTGATCCTGATCCTAAGAGATTAACTCATTTAACAACCCAGATGAATTTTAGATTGTCAGAGGGAAATGGTATGGCATATTATAAAATCGGTGTTGAGGATAGCGGTAATCCCTTGGGTCTTAACAAATCTGATATGCTTGGATCATTGAAAACCCTGTGTTTGATGGCTTAATCTTTGAAAGCTGAATTATTGGTTGTTGGAATAAATTAGGGAACCAATGGCAAAACCTGTGAAGTTATAGTTAGGAAAGGGTTGAAGGACGGGATAAATTTGGATATAAGAATCTTACTTTTGGGGGAAAGTGGATCTGGAAAGACATCCCTTCTAGGTGTGCTTAGTACTGGACAATTAGATAATGGACAAGGTTTGGCAAGGATGAAGTTCCTGAAGAATAGGTCTGAAATTACATCTGGGAAGACAGAAAGAGTGAGTCATACGGTTATAGGTTTTGATAGCGAGGGAAAGATTATGAATCATTAAAATTAACTAAACTTCAGTCCTACTTGCATGGTGGAGAAATTAGTGGATTTATCAACAAAACTGATTACTTTTATTGATATGGGTGGAACAAAAAGAGCACATAATTAAATGATTCAGATTGTCAATTCTCAATTTCCAGATTATGCTCTATTAACCATCTCTTCATTGCAATAAATTGGAAAACCAACTATGGATTTTCTTAAATTAATCTAAATCTAACAAATTCCGTTTATGATTGCCATCACTCATGTGGATCAAATCACTGAGGATTATTATGTGGACAAAGTAGAATAATTAAAAGACATGATTAAAAGTCTATAAATTCAAAGTGTTCCTATTGTTGTTAGAAGTGAAGAAGATGTTGTCTTGTTTAGTAAATAGATTCTTAGCAAAACCCTAATTCCTATATTTTTAATATCTAATATGAAATAGAGGACATTAGATTATTTTATTAAATTTTTAAATTTATTACCTTCAACAAATGAATTAACAAACAATTCAAACTTAGATTCAGAATATTGCATCCATAATGTTTTTGAGATTAACAACTAGAAGGTGCTGGGGGGAACTGTTCTCAAAGGAATTATTAGAGTTAAACAAATATTATAAATGGGACCTGACAAGCATGGTCGTTTCTTCCCAATTGAAATTGAAGAAATTTAATGTAATCGAGTTCAAGTAATACTCAATTATAATCTAGGTTAAATCTGCATAATGTGGATAGATATGCACAATTAGGTTTAAGTAAGGCAATCAGTAATTTGGATCAGATCAGAATCCTATAAGACGAGGAATGGTTTTAATAGAAGGAAAGAGCAACCCACAGGCAGCTTGGGATTTTTTGGCAGAAATCTGGTTATTTGATGATTAAAAAGAAGCCAAGAAAATTGCAGTCAGTTTTGAACCTGTGATTAATACTCAGTGTACTAGGTATCTATTGCATTATTATTCTTAGATAAATTTGTAAAATAATCAGAGAAGAATAATTATAGTTTGAGACTGTAACATTAAGAAAAAAATAATCAAGATCAATTGACGAATCTTGTATGCAAAAGTCTGATACTTTATCATCGAGATCATCCTATAGGAAATAGAGTGAATAAATCAAAAAAGCAAGCAGTTCTAATAGCTTAAACAAAGAATCTTATAGAAGTCCAAGAAGAAAAGGGAGCAGTTAAGTCAAATCCTGTACAAATGACGAAGATCAAAAAAAGACCGATTTGTTTGTGATAAACGAAAAAAATGAAAAATCTATGGAGTTTATAGAATTAATCCCAAAATAACCTAACATTGTTAGGCTAAAGTTTAAATATTTCCCAGAATACATCACTAAGGGCATGAAGCTAATTATAAATGATAATGGGCTATAAGCTTGGGGTTTTATTAAATATATAAATTATTGATATCTTAAAACATCTTATATCTTAAAATTCCATTTCGATCTTTAAGCAATCAAGATTAATTAGCAAAACTTTAGGTAATTTAGAATTCCAATTCTTATGAAATTCTAAATTCCTAAAATGAATTCATAAAAAAAATGAGCAAAAGAAAAAACACCAGCAAAGGATATAGATTTATTTAGATCATTCAATAGATGCTAGACGTATTATCAATACAAAATTGTAGTGTAATGAGTTTATAGACATAATAAAATGGGATGAAGAGGGAATTAAAATTAAAATTATTGATAAGTCCTTATTGTAAGACAGTGTATTGCCAAGATATTTTAAGCATGGCAACTATTCCAGTTTCTTAAGGTAATATCCTTTCAATTTTGTAGACAATTAAACATGTATGGTTTTACTAGTTGCAAGGATTAGAATGGAATCTTAACTTATAAACATCCATATTTTACTTAAAACCAAATTATCCAAAAGTTCATTGAGAAGAAAAAGTAAACTCGATTAGAGAGAATGAAAGCAGGGACATTTATGATGGAGCAAGAGGAACTACTAAAAACAATGACCTCTTTGAAATAAGAGCAAATTAAAATTCAACAATAATTGGTTGCATCCATCAAGTAATAGTTGGGATTTTAACATCATTTCAAACTGATTATTGAAGTAAACTACTATTATTAAATGATTGATAGAGACTTTTGGAGATCAAAACAATATAAGAGAGGAGAGGAGTGTTTTTTATTGAGGGCGTACGCATGATAGTGAAGGCGATGAAACCAGAAGCTTGTAAATTGAATTTCAATATCGAATGATAGAGGCCTCATTTTAGCACCTAATAAAGTGCGTGTATCCAAAAGAGGAAGATTGTTGGATGAGCGAGACATTGTCTGTAAAGGATGAAGAATTCGATGTGCTTTGTCCAACTTCTCCAGGGCCTTTTGGAAAAGCCGTTGTTGAACATATTGGAAATTATTTAAATCATAAGTAGGATCAGATTAATCTTGAGACTCAGGAACCAGTTTGGTTTTGTGGGGGACAAGAATCAGAATCTAGCATTTTTGGGTTTGATTTGTGAAGTTTATTATTTGGTATTTATATTTTCAATTAATTGATAAAATATATTTAAATTAATCTTATTATGACTAAATAAACTATAAAATTACATATCATCAGAAAAATTATATTATTAATATTGAATGCAATAGAAGAAAAGTCCAAAGTTTTTAGACAAGCTATTTGATTTGCTGGAAGTAATAAATTAATTTCATTAGTTTAGTCAGAGCAATATAGATTCTTGAGATGGAGTGATGATGGTAAATCCTTCGAAGTGTGTGATATAAAGAAATTAGAGAAATAAATACTCAAGGTATTTTATAAACAGAAGTCATTTGCAAGTTTTATAAGGTTTATTTGATTATTTACTTTTGAAGGCAATTAAATTTATATGGTTTTAAGAGATCGAAGATTAGACGCAACATCAATGTTTTTGCTCATCGTTATTTTATTCAAGGAGAGAAGTATGAATACTTATAAAGTAGAAAATAGTTGATAAATATCATTAGTTTAAATAAATTGAAGGTTCTCGAAGAACTCAGCAATTAGGATAACAATCTGAAACACTAAATTTATGAGGCGGAGCATCAGTAATTGACAGAAACCTTGAAGGATCTACAAAATTAGCAAAAGTAAATTCAAATGAAATTTAATGAGCAAATTCATTTATAGATGTAACTAAAACTTAGAATTATATAAATAATTCACGTAATCAATTACTTATGGAGTAGCAAATTAATACTCACGACATTACTATAAACATCAAGGCCCAACACTCTTACTAATTGTTGTGTAAGGTAATGCAATTGATTCCGAACAATGAGTAACACAAAGAAGAATTCGCAATTATTCGAAGTATTTGCAAGGTATTTAATGAATTTCATTTGGAATCCATGTCATCATATTTGGGTAGTCCAAATGATAGATTGACTCCCTTGCCCTTTTACTTATAAGATTCTAGTATCTCCTTGGATTTCGGAAGCAAATAAGGTTAAAACCAAATTTATGAATTGCTGCAAAATCAAGCCACGCGGATATTCCAACCATCCCAAGTAAAGCAATAATAATTTATGATCTGATTTATGTTTTATAAATATATGTGAAAGTTGTGTTTAGTTTACAATTCCAAATATTACTTACATATTATTAATTATAATATTTCTATTTGTTGCCTAGCCTTTCTCGATGGGCAGTAAGTGTAGTCAATGTGATTGCAGATATGGAAGGAACATCGGATAAGAGAGAGAAATAGTGGTAAATTATTTTATCAATGAGTAAGTTAGACAATAAGGAAACTAAAAATAATACTTCGACAAACTTGCTTCTAAGTAATTAAGGGAATGCAAATCTGGATTCATAAAGTAAAGAATAGTAAAGTAAAAGTAATGAGAAATAATCATCACAAAAAAATAAACCAAAAAAAGCCCATATTAAATTTAATGAATTCTAGAATGAGAGTGAAAAACTCCTCAAGGCTGCTATCAAAATTTAAAGTAGATATCGAGGATATAAGGTTAGAAGAAAAAATGGATAAAAAACTGTGAAAAATTCAATTATAGGAGCTAATAAAAATTATTTGAAAGAGAATTTTGAAATCATCAATATTCCACCTCTGATTAATGATTACACATTGGATACTAGGGATCCGTATGAATTCAAGAGTGGAGCCATTTATTAAGGTTAATGGAGAGGAAATTTTAGAGAAGGAATAGGGACCTAAATTTGGACAGACGGAGCAAAATATGTTGGGGAATGGAAAAATAATAGGGCTTGTGGAAAAGGGATATTTTATCATGTAGATGGCGATATTTTTGAAGGAGAATGGGATTAGGACAAAGCTAATGGTAAAGGAGTCTACAAACATTCCAATGGATCGAAATACGAAGGAGAATGGAAGGATGATCTACAGCACGGATATGGTAAGGAGGTCTGGAACGATGGTGCCAAATACACAGGAAATTATAATTAAGGGAAAAAATAAGGATTCGGCAAATATGAATGGCCAGATGGTTCTTATTATGAAGGGGAATGGGAGAATAATAAAATCAATGGAAAAGGGAGTTATTGCTGGTCAGATGGAAGGGGTTATGCTGGTTAATGGATTGATAATTGTATGCATGGTATTGGGGTTTACACCTGGAAGGATGGCAGGAGATATGAAGGGGAATATAAGAATGATAAAAAGGATGGACGTGGAGTTTATTAATGGGCTGATGGTAGGAAATATGATGGGATGTGGAGAGGTGGTAAGTAGGAAGGACAAGGGGTTTTCATCTTTACTGATAGTACAAGAAAGAGGGGAATATGGAAGGAGGGTAAGATATTTAAATGGCTGGATAGTGATGCATGAACAACTATATTAAAGAATTAATGAAATTTATATATATACTTGAATTGTTTATCAAAAAATTTGAAATCTTTTTTTAATTTAAATAAATAATAAATGGGCAAAAAGGAAACAAAAGATAAGAAGCCAACACAATTCAAGTAATTATATGATTGATAATTATAATAGAAAGATTTATGAATTGTTATCAAAATATACTTAAGTTATCATCGTTGGATTAGCAAATGTTGGATCTAAATAAGTGTAAGACATCAGAAGAATTTTGGCTAAGAGAAATGCCCTATTAGTTATTGGCAAAAATGTATTAACACATTACTATTTTAGACACTCTTCAAAAAAGTTTTGGCTACTAGAGTTCAAGAATTACCAAAAGAGCACGAATATTACGAAGATTTGGCTAAATTCGGTAGTGCAATTAAAGAGTTGGACGCCTTGAAAAACTCAGTTGCAGGCAAAGTTGGATTCATCTTCACAGACACCCCAGTCTTTGATCTTAAACCAATCATTGAAGAGAATAAAGTCGAAACCCCAGCCAGAGTTGGTGCCGTTGCTCCAATTGATGTTGTTATTCCCCCAGGCCCAACTGGTATGGACCCAGCTTCAATCCAATTCTTCCATGCTCTCTAAATCCCCACCAAGATTGAAAAAGGTTAAATCTAAATCACCAAAGACTTTGTCGTCTTGAAAACCGGATAAAAGGTTGGCTAATCATAAGCTGTCTTATTGTAAAAATTGGGCAAAAAGCCTTTCTTATATGGGTAATAATATATCTGATATTTTAATAGAATGGAAGTTCTTGCTTGTTATGACAATGGATCCATCTTGAACAAACAATAAGTTTCAGTTAATTTGAATGACATTGTTGCTAAATTCTAATAAAATGTTAGAAATGTTTCAGCCATTTCTTTGTAAAATGGTAATTCTTTTGTATCTATATTAAAATAGGTTGGGTTAATGAGGCCTCAGCTCCATATTTATTAGCTAACGCTTTCAAGGATTTGGCTGCTATTGGTTTATAATCAGGATTCATCTTTGATTAAATCAAATAATCAAGTGCACCAACAACAGCTGCCCCAGTTGCAGCCAAAGTTGAAGAAAAACCAGCTGCTCAATAAGCCCCAGCTAAAGCTGAAGAGCCTGAAGAAGATGTCGATATGGGAGGTTTATTCGATTGATCATGAAATCATAGTATATTAATAATACATACACATAAATAAATAAACAAACAAACAATTTAAATGCTTAATAAATATATATAGTTACGAGTGTTAATTCTATGTTTACAATTCGAAATTGACTAAAGAACCTTATTTTTTTGAATAAACCAATTACATCAATTTTGCTTTGTATTTACTCAATTTAAGATCAATTCACACTTAATGTTTTAATATTTCAAAAGGATATTAAAAGTAAGGAGTAGCTTCTATAAAATATAGGAATCGAGGTAATAAAAAGAAGTGATTAGATAGATATATTAGTTGTTAATAAAAATCAGAATGAATTAAATGGACTCATTATGGGTTTTAATAATCTCCCAATTCTATTTCACTTCTTTCGTCATAGAAATTGACGATGTTTCTTTGTATTTCCCAATTGTGATTATTCAAATACTTTTTATTCTTATGATAAAACACGTAGTATATTCCTAAACAAGGTAATTAGTATGAGACAATAATGACAGCAATATAAGTAAGAATTTCAGAAATTGTGGTCTTTTGAAGACAGAATGTAGGGTTGAGTTGATCAAACATAGCATAATCATATAGTAGCATAACAACAGATGAATTAATACAGCAAAGGAGAAAGACTATTACTTAAACCTTCCTATTTTATAATTCGTCCATCATTATTTTATGCAAACCATCGAACATATGTTGATTGCTTGAATCTTGACAGTATTTATAAATCTAAATCAGTATCTTTAGTCCGAAATATAATTAAATGATGTTTGTTAACAGAAGCAATCCTGAAAGTAGCATCCAGATTTATTGATCACATTAAAAGTGTGATTTCAAACCTTCTAGGAACACAATCAAGCCGGAGATAAAAAGAAGAATCAGTGAAAGTAGCTTGGATATCTTATCGACGATTTTCTGATAAACTATATAATGTTGAAATTTACTAAGCATTGCTCATTGTCACTATCTAATTTGATTAAACAATTCAAGAGCATTAAATCTTAAAGCATTCTGAGGATGCGCAATCCACTTAGGAATAGTGTATACTATTTAATTAAGAATGCCAATAACAACAACTCTAAATTTCAAGATTTAGTACATTGAAATGCTGCAATAAAGAAGACAAGCTTATCGGTTGAGTCTAAAATATCATTCACATCTTTCATGATCTTTCGAAACGCAAATGTCATAGAGAACAATAAAATAACAGATGCTGTAATCAATAGAATCTATGAGAATAAGGAATACAAACTATCCATCATTATTATTAATTATTTAATAATAGAAGATTATAATTTATGTTTTATAAATGATTAATAAAAATCACTTAATCGTTTGTCATCTCTTCAAATTGATGTGCATCTTGCCCACCAATTAGGCATGTTCGGTGTGGTTTAAGGAACATTCCTAACCATGTATTTTCTTGCCTCATTCCAAACCTACATCAATAAACCAAAAGGTAATGCCAGCATTGAATGCTAGAATAGTATGTCTCTGGTCTGGAAAGCTATGTTAATGCTTTCAACATATGTAAGCAACATGACTAAGACAATCAAAGTCATAAATCCAAAATGCATAAACACATTATTGAAGCCTTAGAAGATACCTGCAGATTTATGGGTTTTCAAAGATTGGTAATTGCACATTTATGTGTAAGCAAGGCCAACAAAATAAGCAGTTTAAGCATATTACAAGGCCTCAGTAGTGTAACATACAGGCTTATTACTAATTGGAGATATCTAATTGACTTTGCATTCTCCCCAAACAACACTTTCTTCCCATTTGTTAGTTTCTGTATTGCATTGTAAATAATACATTCTCAAATCTACATTATTATTTTTAGAGAATAACCAATCGATTGGTTCAAAATTACCTTCGTCATCTGAAATACATATTTTACTGACAGTTTCAGGTTACTCAGAGACTCGATTATTATAATTATCTCGAAGGTTGGAATTTCCAAAGAAGGGATCAAGTGGATCAAAAATATCAGTTGCTCTTGGAATAACACCGTTTTTGGCCAGCATTCCAATTAAGGAGTCTGAAGGAAAGCCAAAATCATAGAAAACAACAAAGTATGCTAGGAAACATCCACAAAGTTGAATGAATCCATGTTATGCATATGCAAATACAATGCTTTTAGGAGTGATTAAATTTTCCTATTTGTTTCTTGGTCTTCTCGTCATGATATCTAATTCAGCATCTTCATACACAAAAGCAGTGCTTGGAATAATACCAGTACCAACATCAATGCATAAAATTAGCACTGTTGTTAAAGGCAAGGGTATATTCAAAATAAAGTAGGCAAATATAGGAATAACTTCTACAATGTTACCTGTTAAGACAAAAACAATAGTCTTCTTGAGATTATCAATAATCTTTCTTCCTTCTTCTATACCAATGACAATATTAGAGAAATCATCATTGAGTAAGATCATATCAGCTGCATCTTTGGCCACATCGGATCCAGTTATACCCATTGAGATACCAATATCTGCCTTCTTTATAGCTGGAGAATCATTAACTCCATCCCCTGTAACAGCCACAATGTGTCCCTTCTTTTGACAACCATCGACTATAATCAATTTTTGAGCAGGACTTGTTCTAGCAAAAACTACTTGAGATTTACTAAGCCATTCTTAAAGTGGTCTTCCCTATTCTTATTCTGGTTTGCCTTCATCATCAATCATCATTTTAGTCAATAAATCTCCATGAATTACGATAGCATTGGATCTATGGAATGCTTCTTCAAAAGTAATTCCTTCATCTTCAGCAATTTCATTCACTGTTTTTTCAGTGATGATGTTACACTGTTTGGCTATTGATGCAGCAGTCACAGGTTGATCTCCAGTTACCATAATTACTTGCACTCCTGCTGTCTTGCATTTTATAACTGAATCTGGGACAGAGTCTTTTGGTGGATCGATTAAAGAGAACAATCCTAAAAACTACTATTTATCCCAAGGGAAGTTCATCTTATCTAGATTGAATGGATAGCCTCTGGGATATGCTGTTTTTGGTAAATGGATTTTAGCAAAACCAAGAACTCTTTCTCCGTTTTTACCAAATTACTTGTTTATAGATTAAAATGCTTATTCCCAAGTCTCATCTTTTTTTTATTCTTATCCATCATTATTTACAGTTGTGCATAGTCCCCATATTCTTTCAGGTGCTCCTTTTGTCATCAAACAATAAAATGATTCATCAGTTTCATATTCAACAATAACAAAAGCATATTTATTTGTTGAATTAAATGGCATTCTTGCATTTTTGCCATCAATATCGATAGCTAATTTTTTGCTGTTTCTGGTTTCTTAAATGTCTTTAATTGGTTATAAGAATTTGATCAAGGCACTCTCAGATGCATCACCAATGGTAGGCCTTTCCAACCAAGACATAGTCTGTAATTTAATATCCCAGTCATGAGTAGCCAATTATATTTTCTATTCTTTTTGCTACTGATTAAAGACTTTATCATTTTAAATCTTCATTCTTATTTCCTATGGCAATGATGGATCAAAAATAGCTTCTGAACAAAAGGATGCACATTCAAAGAGATCTTAAAATCCTTTACTTTTCAAATCATATTCGTAATTATATTTCTTCCCAAACTTCTGATAATTCAACCCTTTAACCTTCTTGTTGTTGTACCACAAATGTTCCACTGTCATCTTATTCTAAGTCAAAGTACCAGTCTTATCAGAACAAATACAGGAAGTTGATCCCAAAGTTTCAACACACTCCAAATTTTTAACCAACACTTTCTACTGAGCTAATCTTTTTGCTGTTAAGCTCAATGCCACCGTGACTGTTGCAATCAAACCTTCTGGCACATACCCAACAGCAATACCCATCATCAAAATAATGTTTTACAATGCAGGGTATCCATAAGACATACCTAAGATGAAAAACACAACTCCACAAATTAAAGCTATTATTGCAATCATTTTGACAAAGAGATTGATTTATTTTCTCAAAACAGACTCTTCTTCTCCAGAGGACATTGCCAAACCTGCAATTTAACCTATGACTGTATTATCGCCAGTAAAAACAACTATTCCTCTTCCATTACCCTATTAGAATGATGTTAATATATACTTCTTTGCACAAGGTACCAAAGAATATAAGATTCTTTGTTTCCAAGGGATTCTCAGGATGACTGCACTCAGGAGTCCTTTGTAATAAAAGAGTTTCTCCAGTCAAACTTGAATTATCTACCTTCATTCCATTACTCTCTATTATCCTGATATCTGCAGGTATTCTCTTGCCAAACTCTACAATAACCAAGTCTCCTGGGACCAAATTTTCAGCTGGAATTTTCATTTATTTTCCATTTCTCACGACTTATGTTTCAGGAGGAATAAAGTTTTTGAATGCTTCCATTAATGCTGCTGACTTCTGATTTTGAAAGTAAGCCATTACTCCAGTAACAGATACCACAAATGCTAGCACTAGGGCTAAATACAAATTTGAAGGATCTTCTGGTGTTAATCCATATGCAATGAATGATAATACTGATCCTGTCCACATCATGCAGGCAAACACAGAAGTTAATTCGTGTAACAGTTTCATATACCAAGGTACTTACTTTTTCTCCGTCAATTAATTTTTTCCATGTATTCCTAATCTCTTATCGGCCTCTTATTGTTCGAGTCCATTCACTACATTGGTTTACAATTTATTTTCCAGCTCCTACAATGTAATTCTATGTTCATCCTAAGATTATATTAATAATTAGTTACCATTGATTTAAATTTTTCCTGTTTTCCCGAGGATTGAGGCTTTTTCTCTACTTAAGGCACTCCCTTTATTTTTCCATATATTTCCTCTCTCCTTTGCTTCAATTCCTTAGTCATCTCGTCAAATTAGCGTTTAGCAACAATCAACTCCATCTCTTATCTAAGTCATATTCGTAATTTATACTATGCTTATGTGAACATGGTCACAATCTGAGATGCGGATCTACTCCAAGCTTTTTTCATCAATTAAATAATATAATATCTGATGCAAACTAATATCTTACAATATAAAGGGCTTTTTTCTAAAAATAGAAATAAATATTCAACAGATATATAATTATAATTAGAATCAATTATTAATTATTATTAAGAATTTCTCGTTTTATATTTTATTTAGTTAGTATTATATTGGGAATTACATAATTTTTCACAATTTCAGGTAATAAACTATTTATTTTCGTTTAATTAATTAATTTAAAAGGAAAGTGCAGTTCTTTGACTATTCAATAGACATTGCTATTTTGACAATCCTCTAAATTCTTAATGAAAATATGCGAACAAAACGCGATTTATTGCTATCCCAATTCCCATTAGATAAATAATCTTCTTCTTTATTGAAATTTATAATATTATATTACTTTCAGCTTTTATTATTGATTAATTAATAATCAAATGAAATTTTCCTCAGGATCAAATAGACTAATAAACAGCAAAAGAACGCGAACATCTCTAACGATTATTCAAGATATGACTATGCCAGCCAATCATAATAGAAAATCATCAATCCAGCCTATTGAACTCAATAAACATGAAATTTGTTAGTATTAAGATAAAATTTATTTTTCTACTCGACAAGTCTCTCCCAAAAAACCTGCAAATTAGAAAAGTAACAAAAAATTTAAATGAAAGGCTTTGGTGAAACCTTGTTGAAATCTACATCTCAAAAATTATTAAAAACTACATAGAAAGAGTTTCAAGAAAGTAACCAAATAAAAGATGGAGACACATATAAGATGATATCTCCTAAGGTAGTATTCAAAGATGATAAAGTCAACGTGTATTTTGTTAAGGAATTCAACAAATACACCCAACAAATTGAAACAAGAACATTAACCCAGGATTAGGGAAATAAAGAACAAACAATACAGGAAGTAACTAATTAGAGAGTTTCAATCAAAGGACCCATGGGAGGCAATTCAAATTAAATGCAAGCAAGAATTTCTTAGGGAATTTTGAGTGACCCTAAACAATTATTTGCAGGGTCAAGTAAAAAGATCAAACTCGAAAAAGGCGAAACCTTCAATACTAGTGTCAAGTCTAACTTATGTAAATTATTGAAATTATATCAATGACTATATTCATTTACTTATCATTAATACTGTATATCTGATTCCCTTTTTGGCTACACAGACTAAATTATTATTAACATAAGGAACTCGACTATTAAAATCATACCTTAAGATATTGAGGATACAATTACCCACAAATCACAGCCCATTTCCCAGCATGTTTAGACTCCACGCATTCTGAAATATACTCAACTTGAGCGGATAGGTTTTTCTAGGTTTGTTAAGCATTTGAAATTCTCTATTTAATATAACTAGTACATTCCCAAAATTGAATCAAAAACAGCTTAGTTCATTCCCAAATCCCTTTGTATAATTTCAAATTCTGAATCACCCTATGTTCTAACAATTTCTATTTAATCGTTTTGATAGCTAAGTCTTAACAATTATGACAAATAGTAGGTTCCACAACTTGTAAATTATTTTCCTATTGTTACTCTCCAACATCCCCCATACCTTTCATCCAAATAATCGGAGATATATTTCGATCTGTCGAACTGGTTATTGAATCTTTCATAAGCCCCCTTAACTATGTTGGATATTTCGAATTCTAATTTTGCATCAATGCCTGAATCCACTTTGACGATCTAAAACATAATTTTGAATAAAATAATAGTTAAATTAGAATAATTAATTTTGAAAGAATATCAATTATTAGGTTGATAATTATTGCCGAAAAGTGGCACTTCCTTGTTAGCTTCTTCTAATTGACTCTAAGTTCTAATTTTATTTATTAAATAAGATATACTAGACAGACTGTGTCTTTTTATGTCCCTGTCTTGTAGATTTCTCTTAACTAGTTGGTTTGGGATGAATGTTGCTTCTTTGGCTTTTCAAAAAGTTATCTCTGAAAGTGCTAGAAAACATAGAGTGATCAGTATGTTATTATTATTTCGAGGCAGGCATCATTATTTTCCTTTATTGAGAATCATAAAAATCAGTCTTTGTTTCAGGCATTGATTTCTTCTCCTCCTCCTTCCTTAATATTTAGATTTAGGCTGGAATGTTTCTTGTTTTCTTGAAAAAAATTAGATTGGCCTTGTATTATTTTTTTACAGATTTCTCGCAAAACTTCAGTTATATATTTTACATCAAGTAATCAGAGGAATGATTTTTTAGATGATGATTCTTTTTGCTCTCCTAAAATTTTCTCTTTGTTTGATAATCACTCCTTAAGAAATGTCTTCCTTGTCCTAACAATTTTACTGCTTTTGGATCCAATTGCACTTCTGGAAACTTATTGATATTTTTAACAGAACTCGAATAACTCAACTTACCAGTAGTATACATATTTTGTTAGGTCTTTATTTCCGATTCTTCACCATATGGTTTAAATATCTTTGAATGGATGGGTTGTTTTATTGTTTCATTTTTATATTTTAACAACGAAGTCAAACTCCGATCAGCCAATTTTGGAATGTATCCTCTTGAAGGCTTATGAGCAAGTGGAGATGCAAAAATATCGTATTTTAGAAGTCTTACATCCATTTTATGAGATTAAATAATTATTTTATATTCAGAATATATAATCTAACACAGTATCCAGACTTATCTTCTTGCTATTTCTAGCTTTTAGTTGTTTTTTCAGTTTTCGATATATCCGTTCTCTCTCATCGTAATTTTGGGCTTCAAGAATGAATTCTAAAATTTGTCTATGACTTAAGAAGGCATTTTTACTTTTCCTACTTTCGGTGCTTCTCCACCTGCTCATAATCCGAAATATAAGATGTATAGCGATGTATTTCCTAATAAACTGCCAATGCTAGTAAAATCACAAAAACAACTAAATCCATAAAAGATTTAATCTCCTTTTGGATTAGTTGGCTCACTATTATGTAAATTATTTTAAAAGGCAGGCTCTCCAAATTGGCTTAGTAGATAAAAAACTCAATAAATATCCCATATTCTGTTTATTAAGGCCTTGGAAACATGATCCCAACTATAATAACGATAGTATTTTATAGAAAATAGAGCAGTTCAGATTCAAAAGATCTGTAGAGAAAAGGTTTTGTTGAAATTAATATCATTATCAATATGGGACAAAATATCAATTATTCTATGATTTTTGGGATGTCAGATCTTGTGTTATTAGTAACAAATACATATTTTTATCCTGAAAGCTTTGCAGAAAATTTAGAACATAAAATCCAAAGAGCCATAATCCAAAATGCGAATAATTTCTCTTCTGAGTGAACATTTTGTAATCTGAGTATAAACGATTAAACGATTTTGATAAATATTCTTATTTAAATTCAAACCCGAACATTTCCACTGTTGTTTTCAATAATTAATTCCATTAAGCATCAATCTCTTTTTCTTCCATAAAATGGATATAAAATAAAAATAAATATTAAAATTTTGAGTCTAAAAAATATAATTTCATTCAATACTAATTCTAATATTATTTATGATGGTTCATCCTCTTGCAGAATAACTGATTATTATAATCATTAATTTTTTGAAGTTGAAAATGTTGAGAATGTAAATTGATTTTTTTTGAATATTAACCATCAACTAAAATGTTTAAGTAAGTAATAATCAACCTTAATTTCTAATATTATTATTAAGAAGCAATTAACTCAATCATATTTATAAAGTTAAAAAACATTTTAAAAATAAATTTATCATATAAATGAGGCGGACCTCAGATACATCAATAGCTATATCAAATGATGTTAAAAAAAATTCGAATTCTTTAATCTAATCAAAGCACAATCCAAGACTGAAAGAATACACCACTAATTTGATTTAATTTAAGAAAGATAATTTATCAATAATTGAAGAGAATTATGAACCAAGTTTAGGAATTAGCTTTTTAGTACGCATTTATTACTATATATTAGGATCGTAAGGAAAGTGATAAGAATAAAAATAAAACAGAATTACCGGAAGCTATTTATAATATTGGTTAAGCTACGTCTAGAGTGTTGGCGACACCTTTGGATGAGCTAGAAGTTTTTAAAAATTCAAGTAAGAACTATGTGAAAGGTGGTTTGAATTTAATCCGTCTGGTCTCAAAATTCATTCGATAATTGAAAATTCATTCATAAACTTTTTAGTACAAAATGATAAACGAAAACATTTTATAGTTACTTGGAGATCAGGCTTCAAACACATAATTGTTTATATTCTTAAGAAATCGATACTTTAATTAAAATCAAAGGCAAAAGCTGGATTCTAATTGTTTGTAATTAGAATTACTTTTAAAAAAGATACATATTCTGAATCCTGATAATATGATATTAACAGGATTTAAAATTGTATTGTTTTGTCTGCTCATAGTCAATATAACTTACATTCCCCTTTTGTTATTTTTATATGAATAAGATTTTAATAAGTAGGATATACATCACCTACTTGATACGCTTCCTGTAGTTTTTTGTATGCTAGATTGTATTTTAAGATTCATCACATCATTTTATGATGAAGGTTTTTAATGATAATATTCTAGGAATTCTATATAGGGATATAGGTAGAATTGCCAAACATTACTTAAAAAATGATTTCATAGTAGATATTGTAAGTATTATTCCTATATTTACTGATAGCCTAGTAATACAATATTTGACTGTTTTCAGGATAATAAAATTAAAATTAACATTAGCAACTCTGGAAGAAATACTTTGCTTGAGATAATAAATACAGGGATGGTGGGAATTAATAAAATCGGTGTTTTTTATTGTTTACACTTGTCATTTTTTTGCTTGTATTTGGTATCAAATTGGAGAATAAGGAATTAAAAATCACACAAATAGTTGGTTAATTGTTAAGGAACTAAACAACTCCACATGGCAAGAGTAATATTTCTTTTCTCTTTACTTTATAGTTATCACAACTCTAACTATCGGTTATGGTGACATTCTTCCTTGCACTGTATCAGAGGCTTTATTTACAATTTTTATTGCCTTTACTGGATGCAGCGTTTTAGGGTACACAATTAATAATATTGGTGAGATATTCAAGAATCTAAATGAAAGAGAAGTTAAGTTTAAACAATAGATGAAGAGTATTCTGCAATACCTTAAGGATTATAACATTAATAAGAATTTGTCATTACAAATAAGGAAATACTTTGAATATCATCTTAAATAGCAAATTGAAAATAATAATGAAGGATATCAAATGATAAATCAATTGTCAAAACAATTAAGAGAGCAAATGTAAATTGATCTGTACAAAAAATATTTGATTAAAGCAAGATTTATTAAGGATTATTGTTCTCAAAGTACAATAGAAAAACTGTGTTAATATGTTAAAATAGAAAGCTATGCTCCAGAATCTAAAATCTTGAATCAGTAGACAAGTTGTGAGAAACTATACTACGTGTTGGAAGGGGAATTAGATATCTATATTACTTTGGGTAACAGAAATGTCAGCATATGTAATTGCTTAAAAAAGGATGAAATTATTGGACAATGGGAATTTGTGTTGCAAAATCCATATCTATACTCAGTAAAAGCTGTGAAATATACTAAATTATTGGTTATCCATCGAAATGACTTTACGAAGGTTTTGAAAGAAAACAAAGAGGATTTTGAGAAATTCAACTAAATTAAAGATAAACTGCAATTTTCTAAGAAATAAAGAGGTAACAAATGTTTTATATGTGGGTGGATTCATTATTTTAATAAGTGCCCTTTTTTATTTTTTATAGCAGACAGGGAAAAAGTATTATCATAGGCATTAAATAATAAGGACCAAATTCGAGATAGAAATCAACGATTGAGAAAGTTTGAGAAATCAAGAACTTTTCAGAGATTGAATAACCTAAGACAAGCTGCCCTAGATTTTATATAGGATTCAGAAACAAAGTAATACATTCATATCTATTTTAGCGATTTAACTCTACAACATCTGGTTGACCTCGGGTTTAATAGGAATGACTCTATTCTGCATGGCAGTGCAGCTTATCTTGATGAATTGATTGAAAAGAAAATCTAAAGCACATTTAAAGTCATAGAAAATGAAGATGATTCAAATCATTCTTTTTTGCAGGCTCCCAAGGTTGTCGCCACTTACAAAAACAGGTCAATTGTATTTGCACCAACTCCCGAAAATGACAGTTTCTTGAATTTAAAATTCTAATCACCAGACCAATTCAATAGATAAAACTCTAACACTCTCTAAAGACCCAGAAAACAAACAAAGGAGTTATCTCGCCTTAAATAATCATAACCAAAAATCTTATTTAGCACAAACAAAATAGAGTCAAAAATGAATTTCATGAAAAGAAATGACGGAAGTAGTAACTTTTAGAGCCAAATAAGCAGCAATTTAAATAATATTCTAACTACCAATAACAATATCTATCTAAATTAGAATGATAATATCGAAAGTTAATAGGGGTCCTCTTAGCATAGAAGTGAATAACCTTCCAGTTTGCTTCCTCAATAATAATAATCTTATTAAGCTTACAATGGTGCCATAGAAGTTAATTTTGATATCGACAAAACTTAGGTGTTTAGTAACTATTTTAAGGAGGGGAATATATATGAAATTGTAAAAGACTTGATGGAATTGTAACTAAAATAAATCACTTTGAAGTCTCCGAAGATGATGCAAAAAAGCATTATGATGGGAAGCAATAAAAATCATAAAAGATTCGCACTCTTATAAAAGGTACTCAAAAAAGATAGTCTAATGATTTGATAGTCTTATACATTCATTTTATACTTTTAAATAAGTAAGTATGTTTGTGATAATAAATATTACCAAAAGAGTCTAATTAAAATCAATCAAAGTAATAGTCATCTCCATTTTATTCTTCTTCCTTCAACCCACTCCCCTTCTCTTTGATCTCCCAACTCTGAAATCATTATGCCATGTCCATGCTATTTTCCTTGTTTCCACATCCCCCTGTAGCTACTACCATTCTCAAAAATGAATTCTCCTAAACCTTCCTTCAGATCCAAATGATACTACATTATTTAATATATCTAAATACGTTTCCCGTGTACTTTCGTCCATTAGGCCAAGAGAAGGTCCCTTTGCCATGCATCTAGTTATTCATCCAACCTCCTTCATACTAAAATATTAAATCAAATTGATTACTTTCCTTCCGTCCGCATATATAAATATACCAAAACCTTCAAACTTGTTTTTCTGAAATTCTCCCATATACTTATTTCCATCAACATATGTGATCTCTCCATATCCAGTCCTGTATCCCTGTTTATATGCTCCTTTGTATTAGAATTACTCATTGATCTCGTGACCTTCTCCATGGAACAATGATTACTTCCATTCTCCTTTATAGACAAATCCATACGAATCTTAAAATTCACCATAACCATCATATTCATTATCATCAAAATTTCCTTCATATCTACATAATTTTATTTCAATTACACACTTCCATCACAACTAATCTATCTTCCCTTCCCTTGTTTTACATTTTGCTTAAATGTTCCTTCATATAACGAACCATCCTAATCAATTTATCTTCCAAACCCTTCTTTTTATTAATTCACAAAATCTCCTTGAAAATAGCATCCATCATCTAATAGATAGCATGAGTATGTCAATTATTTGAGAGGTGCCAACTCTTTTAATTTGTTTTGCACAGCTTAAAGCAAAATTTAAGGCCACTCTACTTTTTATGCATCTTTCGGGATTATTTCGATAATCTCAACTACTTGTTCATTCGTATGCGATTAGACTTATACTGCAGGTGTGGCTGAAACCTCCGATTTTTATTTTTATTTAGTTTTTGATAGGTAACCTTGAAATTAAAACATCCATTACGTCTGATACTGGTTTATATTTTCACTATTTTTGTTTCATCTAAAGAAGCTTCTTCAGTTGGAATCAATGGAATAATAGGTTATATATTGAACCTCGCAACGTCTTAATTTTTACAGCATGCTATTCCCATTCAATATATAAAAATAATATTGTTAATAAACCAAGACAGATTATAATTATTTGGATAACCATTTATTAATAATTTCTCTTTTCCTATTGAAGAAAAATTAAAATTGTTAATTTTATAATTGAATTCATTTCTAATACAATTTCCATTATAATTATTTTGTCGGTGAATTATTTATTTCTCCAAATAAATCATAAAATATTATCATATCAAAACGTTTATATTATCATTACCAATATTGATCTGTATTTTATTTAATATAGATGTACATTAATTTAATTAATCTCTTTAAATTATAAAATCAATATTACTTTGATTTATTGAATAACTCATTCTCATACTATTTCAATATTACTGAATAAATCAATCTAATAGCAAAAACTTCAAAAATATTATCTTAGGTAAGTTAATTGTGAAACGTATAATTCATTGGTATAGAATTATTTATTTTATCGTTGACTTATTATAAACTAATTGAATTGAGAAAATTTCATATAAATTTCCAAATTTACAAAAAATTAAAATAGATTCAATAAATGCAGTAGTTTTCATATTAAAAAACATGAATAAGAGTTCAATTCTATTGTTAATCGCATGATGACTTGTTCATAGATTAGTTAACGTTGTAGTTACATTTAAGTATGCATAAACTGATATTCTAGTTGAGATTAGATTTCTAATAAGACATTTTTGACAATGTTTTTCTATATGGTCTACAAATCAAAACAAAGAAATTGGTGGTAAAAGGCCTGGCCTCTAAATTCAGCAAATTTACTACAGCTTTAATAATTTGTACTTTAAACAAATGAAATAATAATATTACAAACAACATACTGCAATTAGAATTGCTAATAGAATTAGATTCCATTTTGGAATAATTATAAAATTTGCAGAATTTTTCACAAAATAGACTAAAATATCTATATCATCAACAAAAACAAAATCAAATATATAACAATCAAACCATAAAAATTATATAGTCTCTTAGTCTATTATGTAGATATTCCAATAGAAATACAAAAGTGGTTTATTAAGAACAACTGAAAATTTCATTTTAATTTTTAGAATGAATTTTAAATTTGGGGAAAATAATAACTAATAGATTAAGTTCCCATATACTTGATAATTTATAATGTATATTTTATAATTACTTTTATGAATATCAGAAAGATATTCCTCTTTAAATAAATATATATTTATAAGTGAATTACCCTAATAAGTTAGAATAACCAAACAAATTCTAATTTTTCATTTAAAAACAGTGATTTATTAAAAAATTCAAAAATAAGTGAAGAATAATAGTTCTGCAAATCTACTGCAAATTTTCCATATAACTCTATCATAAATACAATATTAAGTGAAAGTAAGTCAATCTAATAGTAAAAAAAAATTTCTTTGAAAATCATTCATATTAATAAAAATAAATAATAGTAAATGAAAATTTTTTGATAAGAGGTTACCTAAAATCGTTGATCTGAACAACCAAAGTATTTTTTGGAATAATATTAATAATATTGTTTCCTTACAACTTATGGTATATCTTCTATATTTACATTTTAACGTAAATTTCATTATGATGAAAAATGTTGAGCAAACCAAAAAATGAAAACAATTAGATTATAAAATTAAGAATAATTTTAAGTTAAAATTACCATAGTATAAACTAGTAGTCAACTTAAGACCAAAGGGAAATTGAGAAATTAAGGAAAAGACATATAAGAAAAAATAAGTTAGCTAAATTGATTCAGTTAATAATTTATGTTGTTACATGAATAAAGGTTTTATAATAAAATCAACCTTATAATTTCAAGATCAAATTTTTTTGATTAGCCCATTTTTCAAATTATTTCATTTATATTTTATGAATTTCTAATCAAGTATTTAATTTCTTAACTTTTTAATTATTAACTCCAATTTTTATTTGAGAGCTTTTGTTTATTAATTGATGAAATATTAATTGCAGTGCTTGTTCATCTGTGCGCGTAACATGATGTTCCTGAGGAATAGTAGGTAATAGAGGCAGAGGATCTTATTATATTAGTCATTATGATTGGATCTTTTTATTATATTTACTTATCTATTAAAAAAATGTAGATTGAGTTTTAGCAGTATCATTGAATAGATAATGATAATATTTTAGTATAATTTTGAGAAATTGGATTTTATTTTTAAAGGTAGATTAAATATTATAAAGGCAACTATTACATAAAATTACATATATATTATTTTAATTTGGATCTATGAATTCAAAGAAAAATACTTAAAATGATTGCAATTTGTCATTAGAATCGAACATTTAAGTAGTTATGAGGATAATTTTAGATAAACATTGATAGTGCCGAGAACGATGCATTTTCAAAGATTGACTATATGTATGTAGCCCAAAGATTTAATGTATTTACAGCTTCATCTCATTGTGACAATCAAAATGTTTACTTTATTTACGCTATGGATAATTTCGGCACAGATATTGAGAAGAAAAAATCAAAGCCGTGCTTTAAGGCAAATGCAGAAACGGAATGCTATTAGAGAATATCATTGCCGAGCTCTTGTAGATCATTTAATATGGAGGTGAAACAAAACTTAAGTTCAACTAATCAAAAATTACTGTTTACGCTAAACAGGAATTATAAGTGCTCTTGCTTATGTGTGAATAGGTAAATATAAATTCAATGATATAAGACCTGATATCAAGGTGATAGGGTCAACGGGAAACACTATCGGATATGTTAGATCCTCTTTATTTTCAATATAAAAAACAGTTGAGATATTTGATGCAAATAATAATTTGTTATTTAATATAAAAGGTATTTGGAATTAATTCTAAACATACTGTTATCTACCTTGTGGTTTTTGTCAAACAATTTCTTTTGACATCCTTAATAGATTCAATAAAGTAATAAATTATATATTTAGAAAATAGCTGAGATAAAGAAGATCGGCTAAAAGAAGGGATGTTGTTATCAATGCATGTTGAATGTAGAATCGGAATATGCAGTCCAATTTCCTAAATTATCATCTTTCGATGAAAAAGCTCTTATTCTCTCAGCTGTTTTCTTTTTGGACTACAACTATTATGAAGAAAGATATAGTGATATGTGTTGTTTATGCTTGTAAAAGTGTTGCTGCTCCTAATGTATTGAATGATGTGTATGCATTATATTTTAATAATATTGGATTTTAATCTATTGACAAAAGAATTGATAATCGTTTTAACCTATTTTTTGTTTCAACTCATATACAATACTTATGAGTTCTCTTTTTGGTTTATGTATTTCGATTTGAAAAAGTAAGGCTACTTCTGTTGTAACGATTGTTAAATAATTTTATTATTCGTTATTTAAATATTAAATGAAGTTCTGATATTTGGCTGTAATAACTTACATTATTTCATGGTTTGATGTATTATATGTATAAAAAAACAAGATATATTATAAGAACATATATGAAATATTATAATATTAATTTTAAAATGCATGCAAAGGAAGAAATAGAAATGAATGAGTTCTAAATTGAAGATCCATAAGAACTATCAGTACAAGAGCAAATCTCAGAAAAAATGAAACCTGCCATTTCAAATCCAGAAATAAAAGCCATCATAAGGTTTACTGTATTGTATTTTGTTATTGGAATACCGGCTGGATTTTATTCCTCCTTGACCCTCCTACTATAGGGAAGCGGTATTTCATCTGGTTAAATGGGTAAAAGAATTAATTATAACCTAGCTTTTTGGGTTACTAGTTTTTATCCACTGTCTTTCAAGTTGATTTTGGCTCCCTTTGTTGATAGTTTCTATATAGCAAAATTTGGAAAGAGGAAAACTTATGTGATACCATCTTTGTATATGGTTGGTTTCACATTTCTAACTTTGGCATACAGTGGATACTCATAATGGATTGAACACCTAAATTTGTATCCTTTATTTGGATTGACCATATTGCTCACAGTTTTGCAAGCGTGTGCAACTATAGCAACTAATGGTTGGGTTCTATCCTCCTTTTCCAAACATTACGTTCATTTGGGAGCAACTTGTTAAATGGTTGGATTGTCATTAGGGTATGTCTTTAGCTATGCTATTTTGATGAATATCACATCCCCTTACTTTTGTCATTAATATTTGGGTTTAGACTAACCAATCATATCATTAAACTCATACACATACATTCTAGGATCATTAATTTTATTTATTGCCATCCTAACACAATGTTTGGTTACTGAAGATCCTGTGGAAGAGGAAAAGACTAATTTTATATCAGTTTTAAAATTATCCTTTTCATTGTTAAGCAATTCAAATTTAAGATTTTTATTACTCTTTTTATTAACAAGAAGATTTGCATTTGCACCTGTAATAGCTTCAACTTCATTAAACTTAATTTAAATGGGATTTCCATAATCCGAATATGCAACTATTGAAGCAATATGCACAACATCTTGGATATTGAGTTCTTTATTGGTTGCTAAATACTTATAAAGAGGGAAAGAAATGACCTGGGTGTTAAATGCTTATTATTTCATGTTTTTGGTAATGGGTGCTCATTTCGTTTATGTAATTAGCTTCATTAAAATGGGAGGTTACAACAATTTTACTTAAACTCTTTATGTAAAATATGTAATATAAGTTAGTTTGTCTTATAATATTTATATGAATTTAACAATTCCTTTATTTCCTGCACATTGTCTGGATTTTTTTTGAGAATTGCTGATCCTGCAATCGGAGGAACCTATGCTACTCTATTATTTAGCAGTTATTTGTTTGGAACTCAGTTTTCAGCAAGTGTTTCATTGTTTTTGTTGCATTTACTTCCTTATAAGACTGTTGTGCTGTTGGGATGGTTGTATGGATTGATTTACTTTACGGTTATCAAAGATAAATTAATTAAATTACAATAGTAAACATATCATTTATATTTAATAATAGTTTCGATCTAAAATCTTGGAAGGTCATGTGAGTATAAAATAATAAAATAAATAAAAAACATGATAATAGTATTTTTTATATATAAACTATTTAATTAAAAATACTAAGGTATATGAAGAACTAAATTATGACATTCTTGTTAATGATATCAAAATTAAGTGATAAATTGATTTCTTAAAAAAATAGATTATTAGTTTATTAAAAACACAATAACAAATATATATAATTTGTATATATTCAAATATCTTATTCATTCATATTTTTTATTAATTAAAAACTTAATCGAGTATGGGATTTGAAGAATTGTTACTAACCATTTTAGGATATATTAAAGTTGATAATAACAGTGCTGATACAATTATTCCGAAAATCAATAGCTTTTTGTACTTTTAATTTATCTAATTCGATGTTTAATTTTCAAATAATAGAAATGTCTTTATTTAGTAATAAATTTTCTTGATAAAATTAATAATAACATGCCATAACCATTTATTTCCTGTATATAATCTTCCTAGCAAGGCTAATCCGCTGATTCTATGCAAATTTCTATTATTATAGATACCCCAAATTATATAATCCTTGAGTATTCATTTCTATCATCCTAGCTATTTCACAAAGACTATTAACAACGAAACCAACACTATCCAAATATTCCAAAGCCTGCATCATTTTGCTACCCTACTACATTCCTGCTCCCATTCCCATTCCAAATCTATTCATTCCTAATTTCAATATATTCACTTACCATAGCCTCCCATACCATAGCCCATGCCCATTCCCATTCCCATGCCTCCTCCATATCCACTACTATATCCTCCATATCCTCCGTATCCACCCATACCACCATATCCCATTCCTCCATATCCTCCACCATAACTGTTTAGACCTCCATAGCCAAGTCCTGTAGTGGAGTTTAAATTGTTATTTAATGAACTAATGGATATTTTTTTAATTTAATACGAGGTCTGGTTATTTGTTCCTGAATTGGCTGCTAGAGCAGAAACCTGTGCAGCCTATTCTTGAGTCATTTCTCCAATACCAGTATCTTAAATCTGCAAATCAGGAGATTTGTTTATTGTCTGGTTCTATTATAATTCTTAAGTTATTGCTGTTGCTTTTTAAACTCCTTTAAGTTTAATTAATCTTATTACTTTATTAACTTTCCCAAGGTTTAGGTGGCATAATAATTGACTAATATTTAATTAAAAAATAAATATATTATTAGTACTCATCCATTCAATTTGTCGACGATATCACAAAGCAATTCAGAGGTCTCTCTTACTTGTTTAGGAATGTAATTCATTTAACCTAGCTTTTATTCAATGCATTTTAGTTCTAGATGTGGTTAGAATTTCTTCATTGCCAATGATTCAATCGATAAGGAGTGATTTTGTTCACGAATTCCAAGTTATCCTTTCAATTTACTAATTTCACTTTATTCAACTCTAATCTTATTATTATTTAATATAGATATACATTGTCACTCATCCTATTGATGGCTTTCAATTGATTTTATAGTAATAATTGTTTAATCGAATCAGTCATGTAGATTAGGTCTTCCATTAATGATAAATCGAATTTTTCTATGACTCTCTATTCCCCATTTATGAATTGCACATCTTTGATGCAACACAATCGAGATATCTCTGAGAAATCATGCAATTCCTCTGTTTATGGCTTAATTAATATTCTATAAAGATTTTTTTTGATGCCAATCAAATTTTTAACAACTTAAAAAAGCTTTCTTTAATTATTCAAATAATCCTAAGAATGTTAAATGTATTTACTTTTAATTAATGGAGGTTGTGGATTAAATTGTAGAGCTGCTCAGTAAACTTTTTATATTAATAAGCATTTGGATTATGGACTGTTTCCAACAAACTAACCTTCTTCCGTTTATTGGATGACTCCTTTATTGATTTAACTCTTTGTAAAATCATTCTGTTTTCTGTCGATTATGGAATCACTTCTCATTATATTCATAAAATATACTTCTTGGCGATTTCAAAGCACTCATGGAGTTCAAATGGTTTAAATAACATTACAGACTATGATTTTCTTCATATCTAATAGGTTTTGGAGTGATAAAACTATTTTATTTATTTCTAGGACTAATTTTTATACTCTATGCTCTTTAAGGGCTTAAATTTATGGTCCTGTTTTATGGAGATGCTAAACGATTAAATGGAGAAGAGGTATCAACTCTTTAAGCGACATGAGTTGACTTTTATCTATTTTGGTAAGTAAGAGTTTCTTGATGTTTAAAAATTGGAAAAACAATGTTATTCTTTAAAATTAAACTCATTTAAATATATATTTATTAATTTCAATAATTCGAGATCATCACTACGCGTCAAATTTATCATTCCACTCATCAGAATTTATATTATTGCCTAGTAATTTCCACTCCAACTCAAATTTTATGAGAATAATTCCTATCAAATTAAGAATAAAGATTACATCTCTTATCGAACCTTAAAATATAATAGTATTAATAAATTAATCAGCATTTTGTAGAATAAAATCAATATATTGAATTTAGCCCATGAAAATCAGTGGTTGTTATCTAATAATTCATAGAGACTTTGGCAATCGATATGATAAGGATCATTATCATTAGGATAAATAGGTATTTTGTAGATTTAAATAAGACTAAAGAGAATGTATTAAATATTAATATTGATATTATTAAATGAAAATAACCTTTAATTTTATAATTAATATTATACTTGTTTGGATATTTTGGATTTTCATACATAAATAATATGTCAAGTATTTAAATAAGTAAAATAGGATCATTAATTAATTATTCTTGTGTGTATTTATTTGGATAAGAATAATTAAATTAAATTTACATTAAAAAATATTAAAACAGAAAAGTTTCAAATATGATAATAATAAATCCTATTATTAAACATTTTAGTTATTGAAATGTTAGAAATTATAAATGATTTTACTTTATGTTTGTTTTATTGATTATATTCAAATTGATTAATTTATTTACAAAAATGTCTAAAAGCAATTTGATTCTCATTCTTTAACTTGAGAAATAGCTTGAACTATAACTTATGCGCCATGGTATCTAGCATGAAGATAGTTAAAGGTTATTGCTTTAGTATGGTAAGGTTGCAAGTTCTTATGCTGATATATAATAAAGTGAACAATAAATTGAAATTCTCACCAAAGGTATATATTCAAGATTACATTCAAAGTTTATAAAAAACTACTTTCCTTAGGCGTATCTATAATTTCCAATTTGTCAAATTAACATTGGAAGTTAATGATAGTTATTGCAATAAAATTGAGTAAAGCTATGGAAAGCAAGGGTCAGCTATAGTAAGGATTAAATATTTTGATAGAGCTTGAAATGTTTGTTAAATAATGTAATAAGAGTCTTGATTGGGCAAACGAAGTAGAACTCTAAGAATTGTATTATATTCTTGCCATTTTTTGGGATAAACTCAAAAATAAAGAAAGAAAGTATTATGCTGCAAACGAATGCATACTATTGATAAAGAGTTAAATCAAAAGTAATCACACTAAGAAGCAAATCAATATGCTAATATAGATGTTAGAATTTCAATTATCAACAGTAAATTCTAATAATCAACAACTTTCCTTATATACCGAGATCCACAAGTATTCTAAAATTTCTCTAGGGGATGAACATTAAAAAACTAAGTAGACTCTCCTCAAAATGCAATAAATAAAGTAATAAATTTTATTCGAAGAGGAATTGGAAGAGCACAGTAAAATAGAATTAAAAAAACCACTCTCCAAACAAGATTCTACAAAACACTTAATTACTGATAAAATGAGATAGTCTCTTTAAGACAACAATAATTTAACATTTAAAAAATTAATTAAACCTTCATGCTCTAAACATACTTAAAGAAGAGGTTCATTTTATGAGATAAATAGAAATAATTCATAATCGAAATTATCTATTTAAATTACTCATCAATCCAGAAAAAGCCTTGACGATATAAAAAAATCCAATGATTAAACAACAAAATCAAAATTAAATTCAAGAACAATAAGCCAAGGGGAAAATCAGTTTTACTATTTTCTTAATTGCAATAACTTAGAGTAAATTTAATTCTTACTTTTAGAAGTAGAAATAAAACTGATACCACATAATTTCAAACAATAATTGCCAAAAATCAAGATAAACCTATTTTATCAAGTAATATCAATAAAACAATTTAAACTATTCAATCCCAAAAAACTCAAGAATGTTTAGATAATAAAAATGCCAAAACCAATTAAAATGCTAAGTTATTAAATTTAATGATCTAGAGACCAAAATCTGGTGTTAATTAGTAAAATTACATGAAGAATTCTTAAATTTTGAACTAAGTTAAACCTAGTAAGAGTAAAGGCTCGTCATCAAGTATTTAATACAAAAATGATCCCTTGAAAAAGGTTCTAAAATAGATGAATACTTAAGAATTTAATAATACAAAAAATAAATAAGTGTTAGTTACTGAATTGAGCACCAAAAAATCTAATTAAGTTTTAGATGCTATGCACTAGCTTACTTCTCAAAAATCTATAAATATTTTAGGTATATAGAATTTTATTATAATTTTGCAGGTGAACTTATGTAATAGTAAAATTAAGTTGATTATTTTGAATAAAATTTGGATAAAATTATAAGAATCTAGAAATACTTTAAATGGAAAATTGATTCAACAAGGTTAAGACTTGATTCAATTAAAATAAACTAAGCTCAATAATACAGCAATGAGGAAAAGATGACAGAAAAGGTTCCAGAGACAATAACTAAACCTTAGATTTTTCGAAATTTCATTAAACGTAGTAATACTTCATCGGTAGAATCCTTAAAGTTTATTCATAAAAAAGAAGCATATTTGTAACCAAAAATAATTTAAAAATAAAAAGACTGTTCATTTTATAGTCAAACAAGCAGTAATTTAATGAATATCAAATCAGAAAGTGAAATAAATTTTAAGTATTATATAAAATATTATATCTAGAGAAAAAACTCAAGAGCAATAAATTCAATAAACACTTGAAAATCTTTAATTTGGATATGAGTATTAAGTATAAGGAGATTGCAATTTTTTCTGCACAGATTAATCCGATTAAATTTTAAGATTTATAGGATTCAAGTCAAGATTAATAAATAATGAATCCTTAGTTTTCTATTTTACGATTGAAAAGTCAATTAGATCTTATCAGATCTGTTTACCAATCCAATTTATATCAGACCATTGGAATTCTTAAAGTCAATTCGAAGGCCTATCATTTTGTTAAAATTAATTGTCAGAATTTATAGAGTTAAATCTAATAAAAATTCCTTTTGCTTCTTCTATCTTGATTTATATGGGTGATAATTTTGATGAAACTTTGACTTCCATAGTGTAATTATTATCTATCATAATGGTTAATGTCTGTGAGAAAAAATAAATTAATGGTAAGAAATTATTTTACACAAATCAAATTTAAGCAAAATTAAACAAAAAATTAATATAATCATATTATTAAAAATAAAGATAAGAGAAAAGGTAATATTATTTTAAACCTTAAAACTTCGAAACAGAAGACTGTAGTTTGAAGATCAATTTGAGAGTAAGTTAAACTGATCTAAATTTCAAAGATTCAGTTGAATCAGGTTCTTAGAAGTAAGAAAGAAAAGCTTAGAATGGTAGTATAATCTATACTATTAGAACAAATCCTATTATAGAATAGTTTTAAGAATACAAGTCAACAACCAAATTATTATTACTTGAAGAACCTGAATCATCATATTTATAAATGCTTGATGTTTCTATTAGGGAACCAGAAATAAATCAATTTACAATGAAAGCTTTGAATATTCCTGAAAATTTATTGTCTCCTTAATATTAGGAGAGAAGACGCTTTAATTCTCGATTATTAACTCAATCCAGAATTTAATTTGCTTAAAGAAATTAATATACATTAACTCCCACTGCTTCTCAAACTAAAAAAACTAACTAATTACTCTTACCTCAATAAAAACAAAGAAAAATTTTGAGGCGACCTTAAACTTCTGTTTGCTTGGTTGAAGAAACTTCATCAAGTAGATCTCAAGATTCTATACTCCTTTTAAATAATCAGTCTAAAGATCATGAGTTGTAATTTGCATCAGTGTCTCAAAGTGCTTCATTGAGTTTTCAACCACCTTTAACTTCTTTTCAGAGAAGGAATATTGCAAATGTATCTTCCTCTTAATAATAATTGTTCAATTCAGGTCATATCCTTTTAGATACACAAATGAATTTAATTGGCAATGAAATATTTGAGACTGATGATCTAAAGATACACGATATTGCTCTAGAGGAAGAAGATGAATTAAATTGTAAAATGAGAACTGTTTTCAAAAAATGTGATTATTTTACTGTGTCACCTTTATGGAAACAAGATAGAGATGTTAAAATCTAAAATTTTGATGTTGAATATTTTTGGAATTAAGTTAAATTTGAAAAATAGATATTTAAATCTATTTACAATAACCCTTTTCAATTAAATGAAATTCTTTTAATTGGAATTTTAAAAATTGATAAATAATATTTTATTGTAAGTGTAAGTTAAGTTTTAAAGTCGAATATTGAGTTATTCAATCAATAAGTATTAAAAATGAAAGATTTAGTAAAGATTTAAATTGTTTTTGAATTAATCTTTCCTTTCGATAATGTTTGGAAAGACTCTGCTACAATAACATTTAAAGAATTCATCAAATGGTTTATTTCAGATTTTGAGATATCCTAATATGTTTAATAATTTGGATTAAGTAAACTATAAAAGATTTCAGTCTTATAATATTTGAGTTAATTTGCTCATATTAAGGATTCAAAATTAAAACTTGAATACTATGAAGAAAGAAAAAAGGAATTTCAATTAAAAAAGATTTAGAGGAGGACTTTAGAAATACAAAGAATGGAGGCTATTGAAAATATATTTTTAAGAGACAAAATTGATATAAGCTACATTTCAAATTTAGGATTACAAAACTTGTATTAAGAATTGCTAAAGGATAGAGAAGCTAAAAATTAAAATTAATAAAGAAGAGATAATAAATATAAGGCATTCTTATAATTAACAGATCCTAGTAAACTAGATCCAATTACATAAATTCCTAAATTTATAGGATTAGATTATGATGGTGAATCTGAAGAATAAACAATATAATTGCCAAACTATGAAGAATTGAAAATATTGTAATCATACAATACAATTGTGAACATACATCAGAAATAATAAATATTCAGACATAATTCTATCTATTATATTTGGACTAATAAAAAGTTAAAAATTTGGAGACCATTCCAAAGAAAAATATGGTAACAAATTCAAATAAAAAATGAAGAAAAGTTGCTTAATGCTATTTAGAGTAACCTAAGAAGTTATTTTTTAAACTAAATGATCTGTAAAAGCTTAAGTTTAAATGGAAAGAAGTTATTATAGAAAGAAAAATTCTTATAAGAAAAATAAGCGAGCAATTTTAATTTGCTTCAGACATATTTTTAACTAGAATAATTTACCAATTAATAATTTTATGATTTCTTAAATCTATTGAATTATGCGTTAATTAGTGGTGATAAAACATAAAAATTTTGGGAATCTTAATTTTATCAATATAAATAATTATCTCACAGTAAGGTTGCTTTATTAGGAGATTGCTTCTTCGAGATCATAATATATTTCAATAAACCTTCAAATGTATTAAAATAAAATAAAAGAAGATATATAATGATAAAAGTCAACCTATTTTCTAAAGATAATATGAAAACAAATTCATATAAATTAGTATTAACACTAGAGGATTTGCAAAATACTCTAAAGAAATCTTACGATTTGAATGACTCAAATTTCATCTAAACTCTATTTAATGATGTTTAATAACTTATGAGAAGGTACGTTCGCTACGAGAGATTTTCTAATTCTAGGCGTCCTACAATATTTATAAAAAATATAAAATAGGGTAAAACTGAAAAGTTTATTAATGAATTGCCTTGGATTGCTAATTACGATTATGATAACCTTGATTTAACTCCATATCCTTAAAAATTCTAATTTTTCCATTAACAAATAAAATGTATTAATTTAATATGCACTACTATAGAGTTCATTAAATTACCATTGAATTTTATTAATAGATATTAGGTTCATAAAAAATTAACTTAAAATAAAATCCCCAGTATCATAATTATTTAGGAAATTTAAGATATGAAGACCTATTATATAGAAATTTATCTTCCTCAAAGTTGCAGAAGATTAATATGCAGAATTCCCTTTAATTAAATACATACGCTAAGTGATATGAGTATGGAAATATTTAAAGATTATGGGAATTCAATTTCAATAACAAAAAGAGAAAGATTTTGGAGAAATTTAATCAAAAGTTTTACTTTTTCAATAAATTAGGAAATGAAATTAATTTTAAAGATTGAAAATATATAAGTGGAATCAATTTTGTAAGAGGTTCTCTAATATGAGATTAAATCTATTGAGAAAACTAAGGAGGTTATTCTTTTTAAAACATTTATTGAAGAAAAAAGAAAACAAGGATCTGAATATTTTAATATTGAGTATCCTTTAAGACTAAATGAAGCAAAAAATATTAATATGGTTATACAATTACAATGGTTAAATTAATAGGAAAAAATTTAATAATATAGATTACCTTTATATGAGTTGATGATGGGATATTTTGATAAGCAATTATCTAATTTAAACATTTTTGACTATAAATTTAGAATAATTGATTTGATAAAAATGAGTGAAATCTAAGTAGAAAATATTAGAATAAACTACTCTTTGGATTTAGAAATGAAGTAAAATGACAATTTCCAATTTTTGATGCCTCATAGAATTTATTAAAATGAATGTCAAACAATAAAATTAAATGTGAATCTAAGAACATTGTAAATTAATAAGTCCAGCTTTAAGCTTCTATTCAGAGGAATTTTACAATAAAGACCATAGATATTGGTTGGAATATATTAGAAATATGAAAAAAGTAAATTGTATTTTTAAATTTAACGAGTGATTGATGGTTAATTGTTACTGTATACGATTGAATTTGAGGATATAGATAATTAGTATCCGGGATTTTAGCAAAATCTGAAGGTGAATTAGAGAGAAGTAGGATAAAATATATTTAGAATGTTTAAAGAAAAATTGATTTTATAATGTTAATATCAATTAAATTGATTAATTGCCTATTTATTTATATTTGACTCGAACTAAAAATAGAAATGGGATATACAAATTGTGAACTTAAGATATAAAGAATGACTATAGTTTTATCATTTATTATTTGAAAATTAGACTTTCTTCCTCGATTCTACATCACCCTGTGTTTACATTTTTCGAAATTGGCTATATTTTAATTCTTATTTCATAATGCTTTTGACTGATTTATTGTCTGCACTATTGCTTCTTTAACTATCATTGTCTTTGTTATCCTCAAATCTGACTTTGTGTTCTGACAAGGATTTTAGTTTTGTCAATTTTTTGGAATCAAAAGATTTCAGAGAATTCTTGGGTTGAAAATCACAAATTGGTGAATCATCTTTTCTTTTTTTCTTTAAAGAACGTTATGATTAGATAGGACTTTGTTATATATTCTCATTATTTTTTAAAATGTCTTCAGGATTCGCATCAATTTCTGCTACTAATTATATTTGTCTTTAAGATTATTCTGAGCGCTTGCTTCCATATGATTTGAGATCAGCAAATCCAGGAGTGGCTGGCTCATCTTCTTTTTTGGAATGGACAATTAGTTTCTCCTTGGAATTGGGAGCCCTTAATTTGAGTAAACGAATACTCTTATTATTTCTTGGATGACTTGTTGATGGATCTCTTGGAGGACTTATCAGCGATCTCATTTTTAATAATGATTTCAGATTTCTCATCTGTTTAACTAGAGCAACATTAAGAGCTTCCCATTAATTAATGTATTAAATAATTCATACTATATATCAAACAGATCAAATTGTAATTCATTAAGCCAGGAATGGAAATATTCCAATGGTGTCTTTGAGTGTAAATAGGAGACTCGATTTAATGCCACTTGCATAATGTGGAGGATTGTGTTTGAGAGTAACCAAAGAATTAGGTGCTAAATTGGAAGTAACAAATCAAAAAATAGTTCTAATAGAAGATGTGAAGTTCTCGGATAACAGAACAGAATTATACTTCATAGGCGAATTATATCATTTAAATGAATAGGACTTAATCGAAGCAAGAAAGACAGAAAATGTAAGACGAATTCTGATTGACTTGTATAAGGCATATAATTCATTATTGAAATAGAATAAATAGCTAGATTTCTCTCTCTACAATCTATTTTAAGTTCAAGATCAATTAAAAGTACTCGACATAGGAGTTTTTAATAAAAAAGTCTAAAAAGACTCAACTCCAACAAATTAGCTTGCATTATTAATATTAAAACTGTTTTTATCCCGACAACAATACAAACCGTTAAGATATATGAATTGCGAATAGTAGGTTGAATACATTAGAAATTTCAATGACTTTTTGATATTATTGCCTATGTTAGAGGACATTCAAAAAAGAATTTCCTGGGAAAATCTTGGCTATTATCTACTATCTGATTCTCATAAGCAAGAAGCCCCTCCTGTCGCTGTTTATTATAAATAGCCATATAAATTGAATTCAACTCTAAATTCATATAGTTTGGCAGTGTAAAGGATGCAAAGCAATTTGAGATCCAGAAGCAAAAGACACTTAGGTTCCCTATATGAATAATAGAAAACATCCTTTAATGGATAAGAAGATGACTCCTAAGAGAATCATAGGGTAATACGTTCGAGAAGAACAATACATCCAAATGTTAATCTAATCAAACCAGGATCTATGTAGTCTACTCCAAATCATTATAAAATGGAACATCCAAATAGACAGTCACCTATTATTCTAAATACTTAATCGTAAACCTAATAGATTAGATCATAATTCAAAACTGAAAATTCTTTACAAACTATTTAGCAAAACATCTCTTATGATAATTTCTTTTTAAAAACCTAAACAATAACTCCTTAAGATTCTTAATCTAAATTTGTGTCCATTAATGCAAGTGTGAGTCAAAATTTATATACTTCCGAAAATTAAGTTACAAATGAAAATGAATAATTAAGTACTCTTTAGTAATTGCAAGAGAAGAGTACGATTCAACATGAAAAAAGAATCTTCAAATTACCATAACATAAATAATTGCCTCCAAATGATAATGAATCAACCATTAAAGTGATTAAATTTGAGGAAGATTTAGTTAAGGAATTCGAGTAATATTCTGAGAAGTATAAACAATATATAGAATGTTTAAATATGATTGGGAAGACTGTTGCTAAATGCATAACTACTTTGGATGCCAAAAATAATTTGTGGATGATGCCTTTGTTTATAGTATTTAAGAGAATGTATTAATTAAGAATTTCCTTATAAGATAGCATTCAAAATAATCAGAATATCTTTCAACTCTAACATTTTTAAGAATTTGCAGAAAGTTAGAAATATCAAGAATTTTAGAAGGAATTTATTGATTAGAACAACATTGTCAAAAATGAGGTGCAAACTTTATTGTAAAATTGTGAATTCAAGATTGATAAACTTGATAAAAAAAACCAATAGAAAATAAATCCATTGTTGAATCTAAATTTGGATCAGAGTATCAGAGATATTTCCTTTATCTACTTTTACTAACAGATTTATAGTTATATTAAAAAGTTAATGGTCGAGAGACCGAAATAGGCACAGCAATTAAGGGATTTGATTATCAAAATCTAATGTTCTCTATTGATTATGGACTAGGCTGTTGCAGATTTCAAATTTGATCTGAAGGAATATAATAATCGCAAATAAGATGAATTGTATAGATAGGAAAATGAATTAAAATTAGAGAAAATAAAAATGAGAATATAAAAAAATGGATATTAATTTTGATTATTTTTAACTGATACTTTATTTAACAGATAAATTATTATTATATTTTATTTTTCAGTTTTTATGGGTGCTCAATAATCAGTAGCAGAGGGAATAATTAAATCAAAGAACTTCACCATATTAGGGTATAAGGAGAATGATATTTATGGATCATTCAAAATAGTAGAATCACAAGGAAATTTATACGCCATGGTTTCTAAGACATGTCAAAATCAAGAGGACTATGCAAATTTGTGCAAGATTTTAAAAGAGACTCAACAATACAACAGCATAAATCAACTTGTGAAGTTGGTAGAAGTTGATACTCAAGAAGAGTCCAATCTATGTAGTACTTTTTATAAGGTTTCGGCCTTATATGAATATTATGACATTACACTCAGGGAGATTACTAAATAGGCATCAGTAAATTGCTTATTTGTTCTGAAATCATTGTCTGAAGGATTGAGAGAACTCTACACACAGAACTAAGTTCATGGAAATCTCACACCTGATTTTGTATTAATTGATAAATCAAAAGGAGAAGTCAAGTTTAATAATTGCACTTAACTGACTGGATATAATCATTATAAACGTATATTAGCTAGTGATGGATTGTGGTATTTATCACCAGAATTAGTAACAGCATTAGGAAAAAAGGATCTACGACCTCAATATAATCATGAGAAGAGTGAAGTCTATCAGTTAGGTTTGATTGCTTTGGAACTTTGGGGAAATGGTAATGTTTAATCATTCTACGATAAATAAACCTACTCTTTGAACTAAAGTAAATATTATTTTTATATCTTAGGTGTCATTAATGAAGCCATCGATGAATTTGGTGTAAGAAATGGTTATGTTCTCAAAAATGTTATCAAATAAATGTTGTAATTAGATCCAAATGCAAGACCAAATATGACAGAATTAAGTACTTCTTTTGCCCAATTATATGATATTTAATTACAAATCACAGAAGATGAACCGAAAACACCATTAAATGTTTAATCAGTAACTTAATAATAAGTTGTGACTTTATGTGAATTAAATTAAGAAGAATAACACTAAGACTTTGTTCAAATCCATAAAGAATCATTCCAATTTTAAGAGTTAAGTAATTCAAATGAAGTGGGTAAATAAAATTTTGAGGAATCACCAAAAAAGGTAGAAAAATAACATGTGGAGGTTAATCCATAATCTGTAAAATCTTCAGTTTCTTAATCCATAAAGGAGTATTATGTTACTGGATCGATTGCTGCTTAATTTGGATAGCTGGCTCTTCTTGAAAGCAATCCCGAATATTAGTCCAATGGCACTGCTCAATTTGAGAATCATCATGATTATGATCAAGATGTCTTACAAGAGAAACCTTAAAATATCTAACCTAATTCAACTAAAAGCCACGAATCTACTGTCATAAAAAAGAGTGTTAAAGTGAACAGCAATCCTCCTCCAAATAAAAAACCAATCTCAATCAAGAGACCGAAACATGAATCAATTGAAACCAAGCTTCCCAAATAGGCAGTTGTTGTCAACAAAAGAAGATGAAACAAAAATAATATTTTTTAGTATATACTACCCATTATTTTTGAATTATTTAATTTCTTATTCAATTCTAATGTAAGGAACTCCAGATTTGGATCAACCCTCAGTTGCTTCTTCAACCTAGCCTTGGGGTAAATTAATATCAATGAATGGAGCAAAAGTAAGCTCTCAAGATCTCCTTGATAATGAAGTAGAATCTCAACAACTATCTAGGTTACTATTGGGAGATTGCCAACAAACAAAATTATAATTCCAGACAATCGATTATCTGGGACTCATTGTAAATTAAAATGGGATGCTGCAAATAATATAGCTTAACTCTAAGATTTATCAACTAATGGAACATTTATAGGAGATTAAAAAATTGGCAAAAGCAATGAAATTATTGTTAAAAATGGTGATGAAATATTTATTTTGCATAAAAGTAAAGTACCTATTTCAGATATTATTGGATTTACATTGATAATTCAATAAGTCAAAGAAGTGAAAGTAGCCGCCTAATTAGATGAGCAATAATAAAAGAAGCTATAAATGATGGAGGAAATGTAAGATGACATTCACTGTCCTATCTGTGATGATGTAATTTTCTAATGCGTTTCTCTTATTCCTTGTTTACACAATTTTTGTGGAGCATGTTTCTCAGATTGGATGGCTAAACAAAAAACATGTCCTTCATGCAGAAAGGAGGTTCAATCAGTTAATAAAAATCCAATGGTTAATAATGTTGTAGAGAAATACTTGCTAATGCATCCAGAAAAGAAAAGACCTCCAGAAGAATATAAAGAAATGGATGAGAAGAATAAGATAAAAGGAGATGCACTAGTTTTTAATTAAGCTGCTCCTCCTCCACCACCACCACAATAAGTTCCAATGATTTAAAATGTAGCTCCTGCTAGAGGAAGGGGAAGAGGAAGAGGATAAGCTTAATAATAATAATAATAATAATAATCATAATAATCATAGAACAGTGTACAAGATTAATCTAATTATAATGGACCAGTTACAAAAGATTGTGTTACTTGCTTAAAAGCCATAAATGGATTTCAATGTTAAAAAAGAGGATAACAACATTTAAATTGCACTAATTGTGAATCAAAAATGCCTAAGTTTGGTATTAAATTTTAATTAATATATAGATTTAAATGAAAAAAGACTAGTTTTTAGATGTGAATTATGTGAGAGGTTCTTTTGTTCAATTTACAACAAAAATTGCTCTTAGATTAGTAATAAGAATCCTATGCATAAACTTTAAGAGCATAAAGTCCCTGGAACTGTTGACATTCAATGTTTTCGATAAAATTATATAGAATAAAAAGGATTCCTTGATTATTAGAAAAATAACAATATTACTACATAGGATATATTTAAATTTATGATGGAGAATTGCATTAATAAAGGACAATTCAGATATATTGAAAGCAATAAAATACTTACTAATCCTGTTAGAGATATTGATTTGACATTAACTCCTGATACAGTATAATTTGATTTTAATATAAAAGCCCGTGTGTAGTTATTGTTTTGGATTGATATGGTAGTAAATTGTGTTTAGATATAGAATTGCCATTAAAAATTAATTGTCAGATGATCTTAAAAATAGATCTCAATGTTGGTTTGGAATTAATTGTAAAACCATGATCCATAATCAAGAGCATGCAAAAAAATTAGATCATATATGCGAATAAACTAAGCTTTGATATTATTTTATGTTTTTATTACATTAAAATAGAATAAGATTTTGATTTATTTTTAAACAACATAATAATTTCTACATATTCTCATTAAAATGACTTTGACAATTCTGACTTAAATGCATTAGCTCCTTCTTCTTATTTAAACATCAATTTTAGTGTGTCTATTGTGAACTATTTGTTTTCAGTAGTTTCTTCTTGTTCTTTTTAGTTTTCCGACTCTTTTTTACCTAATACTTTAAGAAGAAGATTTTCTTATTTCTGCCCTAAAGGCTTAGTAACTGAAAGTCCTTTAATCAATTAACCTGCATAGACTACTTCTTATTTTTCATTTCTGTGTTTAATTTTATACAATACCTATAAACAAAGAAATAGCATTCACCATTATTTGCTTTTTCAATTGCTGCAGTACCTTACTCAAGAATTCCGTTTGCATTCTTTCTAAACTTCTCAATATCTTGCTTTGCAAAATAATTAATCATTTTTACCTTGGTAATCAATTCTGTGTTTGGTGCATATTCCTATTTTTATTCGGTCTACAAGTACTTTTCATCTAAATCATCTTCATCTAATCATAAAATAATTAGCATATTTACCATCATCATCTGATCCATCACTTTCTTTAGGTGCTTGTTAAATGATTTAGGGTTAAGGTTGCACGGGTTTAATTTCTACATTGGAATTATTATTAAACAAAGATGAAAATAATTCAGATGATGGTTAAGTGGATGAACTTAGGATATTTCCTGTAAATAATTAGCCTGGTTTTAAGTTAATTCCACTATTATTAAACAAATTTTATCCGAAATTCTATCCAGAACTCAAACCACCGAAAAGTGTTTAAGGCTAAGATTAGTTTTTATTCTTTTCTTCATTTTATTCGACGTTCTTCTCCTCCTTCTAAGAGCCCAACTGTTCCTGTTGCTCCTTTTCACCTTTTTGAGATTCATCTACTTTGCCTTTGAATTCTTCTCCTAATTATGCCATGAATAATTTAATAATATTTAAAATTACTATCAAATAAATAGAGAATTTAAGACAGAGGGTGGTCAATATCAATACATTCCCATTTTATGACCCTTAATGTGTTCTAATGAATAAATCGCTTAAACAATTTAAATCATTGATATTTCAAAGTATATCACAATATATCATTCTTATTGTCATTCAATAATTTATGAGGTTATTATTCAATTTTTGAGAGCACATTTAGAAGCCCATAGCAAATTTAATATATTTTTTAGAATTAGATCAAAATAATTTGAATTGATTTTATTGTTTTTTATACATCCTCCCATTCTCGCATTATAATTATGTAATTATTAATAAATAAAATTATGCTATTTGAACAATTAATTAAAAATTATTATAATTATAATATTTACATATATATATAAAACTGTTGAAATCAGATAATTAAATTTCATTCGTATTAAGCTAATTCCTAGTATAATGCATTAGTCAATTTTCGTCTAAAGATATAGATAAAGTTTTTACTTTTTGGAGACTCCAAAATTAATCATCTCAAATTTAAAAATGTTTTCACAAATTTTCACTTCCATCTTATCTTCAATTAGATGAGGAACACTTTATTTTGGTTAAGTTTCCAATAAGGTTTGTCCATAAGGTTATAAGGATTACCAAGTTCCATTGGCTGATTATCGTGTCCCTTCTCCATCACAGATTTCCCATTAATTTTTATTGAATTTAATTTAAGTTTATTTTCTAGATACAGTATTCATATTGACAATAATGTCACAATCCTAAGATCTTCCAATTTTAAAGGTTTATACGGATCCAGCCTTTCCTATGAAAATGGCGATTTGCCTAGACATTGGTGTGTCAAATTGAATTTTAAGAAATGGTCTATCAGTGTTTAAGAGTTAATATTGTTTCCTTCCTTTTTTCTTTAATTTTCTGTACTCTTACAAGTATACTACGATTAAAATTACAAATACCTTAGAAGACTTCCTGTTCCTCTTTTGTCAAGCCATGAATTCGAGCTCCGAATTTTTCATTCTCTCTTACAAGAGTCTAAAAAAAATACTCAATTGGAGATTCCTAGTCCTTCTTCTTATTATCAATTGACTTTGGTACTGAGTTTAATTGAACTACATGAAAATAGAAATCTGCTCCAATTAAATAACTATTATTTTCTTCCATTATTCTTGGGCTTTCTTTTTAAATTCTAACCAAAGTTTTTAAAGCAGTGCCACAATCCTAAATGTAAAATATTGGTCGTTCTCTAAAATTATAATCAGAACTACTTGATGAATTAATGAATATGTTCGAAGATATTTGAAGGCATTGATTTAAATTTTGCATGGAAATATTTTAATGACAAGAAGCATAAAATTTGTGGAGTGATTCTACTTGAATGACGAAAACCGAATTCTGTAGAAATTTTACAAGGAATCTAATCAGCATTTGCTTCTTATGAATTAAGGCCTAGTATATTAATTAAAGCAAGTACCTATATCTATGTTATTGTCTCCTTGATTTTAATTTTTTTTACGACGAAATATAGAGATTTCATTCTTCGAGACTTGATTGCTACCAATTATTCTTGTATATATTGAAAAATATTACTTATCATCTTGAAGAATGTATATTTTTTAATTAGACATTTGGTGCTACTTGTAAATGCTGATTTTGACAAATGGAGATCCTCTGTTGAAATCATTACCTCCCTTTCTTGGAGTTAAAACTTACTGAGTCATCTCTCCCTTCTAGGTACTGTTTTTATCACCTGGGTGGTTTTGTTACTTGTATATAAAAAATCTAGTACTTATTTTTCTTCTATCATTGTGGAATTATCTTACAAAGTAATTGATCGAGCCATCAAAGGAAGGTTATTCATATCTATTTCATTGGGAAGCGCAGATAGCACCTGTTGTTATATGTTCATGAAACCTAACCATTAAATTTTTAATTACTATTAAATTGGTTTGATAAAGTTTAAGCGAAGTTAAAAGTGTTTTGCATGTAAGTTGATCTGGACTAAGTTTGAAAAATAATTTAAAATTAATATTAATGGAAATATTTTCTTCCTTTCACTAAATATCAACTCTAAGATTTTATCAAATTCTTAGCATAATACTATTAATTAATTATGTAAATAATGCAATAACATTGAAATTGATAGTTAAAAAAGTGTTTAGTCAGCTATAGGCTAATGAAATATAAGTTTAAATACATGATTTTTCCGTTTTATCATTTGGAGAATTCTTATTTTATTGTGCAAAATTTAATTCTATAAAGACACAGTAGAAGGGTGATAAAGTTTGAATTATTAACCTTATATTATAATGATGCTCAAGACTTTATTTGAAATAAGTAGAGCCTGCGATAAAAACAAAATAAATTTATGTAAATTTAATTTTAAATACAGAGTAAGACTTTATAAGTTCATTAAGTTCTTAAATTTGAACTTCACTTCCATAGTATCCAATAATTAATTAATTAATTTACATTCTATGTCTTTCTCTTTTTCCTTTAGAACCAAACAAACTTTACTTGGCATTTTACTTAAATGAATAAGAAAGTAGTTTAGCAATGTTAACTATAGAGTATAAATAACGTAGATTAGAAGTATGTAATGAAGTTTTAATGATTTATTAGTTTAGAGCATGAAGGATACACAATATTTATCATCCAATGATTCTATTAAAAAGAAAATAATATAAATTTATTTAATATAATATATAAAATATATTTAATTATGATTTAATAAATAATATTTAACTAATACTATGAATTCATATAATTTATTATTATATGGTAGAATTGATAAAACAATTACTTTCAAAAAAATCTTGTTTTTTCTTTCCAAAAAATGTTGATTTACTTTGAAATATATTTCAATTATCATTTCCTATCATCTTTTTTCATCTCATAAAATAGATATCATTTGGATCATATGTATTTTATTTTACCGCTAGAAATTATTTTTTGCAATTTAAAAAGTTTATAATAATAATTTTGCTTCAGATTAGTGAGTTTAAGGGGCGTAAACATGCAATTTCTTAAAATTGACTTAATCCCTCATATTATTTAATAGTTATGAATCAATAAGTGATTAATATACACAAGAATCGAATTCTTAATTCTAATTTTTATAAATATTTATTTAATGAGTGATTACGAAAGTGATACAAAAGATTAATGTCCAGCTGAAGTTGATTGGAAATAGAAAAGAGGTACTTTAGATTAGAGATAAAGAGATGAAATCTATAGACTTTCAAAAGAATATCATTTCAAAGTATTAACTTTTATTCAAAAATTTTAGGAAAGCGAAGTTTATAACATTGCTAAAAGACATTATTATTAATTTGAGTTAGTTGAAAGAGATATCTAAAATCTCAAAAAATAAGATAATAACGACGATGGTGAATGGATTACAAATGAAAATGAAAAATCCAAATCTCAAAATAAGTATAGAAAAAACTCAAACAAGGATTATGATCAGAAGAATAATAGAAAGCAAAGTGATTAATACTAGAAATAGCAAGAATAAAGAAACACCAAAAATAATGAAAGGTATGGATATAATCAAAAATAATTCAAGTATTCAATCTCATTATTTTAAGTTCATCATAGAATTACAATAACAGAAACTATAGAGATGATGCTAGAAATTAAGATGACGATTACGATCAACAAGACAATTAATAAAATTATAGAACTGATAGAGGGTAACAAAGATATTAAAAAAATACATATAATGAAGGATGGAATTAAAGAAGAACAAATTAATATTAATATTATAATAATAATAACAAAAACTATAACTAAAGAAGGTAACAAAGAAACAGAAATGATGACTTTGTGTAATAACCATAGTATGTTCTAAAAGACCAACAAGCCTCAGAATAATAATAAAGCTAGGATCAAGCAGCTAAATAATAAGTGAGTGACTCTGTAAATTAATAAGTATAAGACTCTCAAAAAAGAAAAGAAACTTAATAATAAGATTAAAAAAGTTCCAATTAATAATAGTAATAATAATAGTAATAATAATAATAATAATAATAGTAACAATAATAATAATAACAATAATAATAACATTAATAATAATAACAACAATAATAATAATAACATTAATAATAATTATAATAGCACCAATAGCATTCAAATTAATAAATATCTTAATAAGCAAAAGTATAATAAAATAATCAATAAATTATATCTAATTAAACCAATAAATCACAAACCAAAAATTAAGAAGATCATAGCACAAAAGTTTAATAATAACCTGTCGTTTCATAAAAATAATAGGAAGTTCATTAATAATAACCATAAGTTTAAGTTAATCAATAAACACAATAATAATCAGCAGTTTAAAATACTCCAATTCCTCATCCCCAAGTATAATAATAGGTTCATCAATCCTAAATTGGGTAAACTTCAGCCTAAGCTAATACATTACCATTACAAGAGTATAATTAACAACAAGATCAAATAAAATATCTTGGTAATAGTGGATAAGGATCTTAATAGTATGGTATTCAAACAGTGCCATAGTAATAAAGATAATAAAAGCCAATTACCTAAGTTCCTTTATTGGCGTAATTCTTGATCTATCCAAATAACTGTACTTCATCAACAAACTTGTTCCCCTTAACCATGGTATTAAATACATATATATATTAGTAAAATTTGAATAACGCATTTGAGTAATTACGATAGATTGCATTGAATTATGAATAAAAGTAATAGTGAGAGATTTCTTGCATTTTTAAACAATACAGTAAAATATATGTATTAAATAATGGATAAGTTATATATTCTGAGTTAATTCTCCTTCTATTGATCTTTTCGTTGCATAAAATGGGTTTGACTCTTCCCTTATCTTTATTGATTAAAATTATGATAAATATATAATCAATAAATACAAGTGAGGAATCAAATCCATTGAGTAGATCAAGAAACTCTAAAAATGATAGTTCTTCTTCAATAAATTAGAGTTTACCCAGTAACTCGAAAAGTGAGAATGATTTGGAAATAAGGAAATTAACTTGGGATCAATTTCAAGGAGTTCCTCCTGAAGATGACCCAGCTTTGGCTCATACGAGATGGAAGATTGGATATAATTATTAAGTGCATCATGAAACTGATAAGATTTAAGTGATTGCAGAGGTTTGGTGTAAGGTTGACCCTTCTTCCTGGACAAGGGAGAAAATTGATGAACTTTTGCATCATTAATAAGGTTTATCATTTTGTAATATCAATAGGGCACTTTTATATAGGAATGATTTGCGCTTTGGAGTTCAAGAAGAGAGTGTAAGAATTCTCCTTTAGCAAAGACTATAAGCAAGAGATTTCAGAAATTTTTAATAGGACATTGTAAGAATATTTAGACCTGGAAAGCAAGTACAATATTGAGACGTTGAATATGTTGAATACTGCTAAACAACGACAATGGGATATAAAGATAATGAAATAATTGAATTCACTATCAAAATATACATGAAGATACTTATGAAACTTGTAAATTTAAAAGTGTATTGTGATAATTGTGAAAATATGATATTTTTCAAATAACTTAGTCTAATCTTCTGAGAACACCACAAGTGTTTCCGCTTTCGAGCCAGATGTGTCCTTAGAGTCCCCAGCCTGTTCCCCAAGAGTTTCTGATTAACCAATTTCCTTTTTTATCATATCCAACAGCTACGACAGCATGGTTAGTTGATGTGTTAATGCAGTTATTGAAGACACCTTCAGTATATCCTTTCCAATTTGAAGCATGGACACTGACAGAAATTGGATATTAAGCAATTGCCTCATAAGCTTATTCAGCTGTGGTCCATGTTTTTCTTCCTTTAGCTTTGGTATCTCCAGTTGCCTTTTGGCAGTCTTAATCCTTCATAGCGTATGGGTAATTTTTTTCCAAAATAGCACCATTTCTATTTAAATAATCAATGGCATTTCCTGCAAAACCACCGTTACATCCATATGAATATTTGTCACAATCAACTAAGTGTTACTCAGAATATGAAAAGTTTGATCCATTAGTAAAGATGAAATAGGCTTCAAAAGCACCAACGGCTGAGAATGACCAACATGATCCACATTATCCTTAATTCTTGATTGGATTCAATTTTGTTGACCAATCAATAGATTCAGGGTAGTTGTATGATTTAATTGTTTCGTCAATTTAAACATGAGAATCATCAAGACCACCAAGGTAAATAGATTCGAATTCTTCGTCTGTAAGAGTAGCGAATTGATTCAATCCGAGTTTATAGCTGGATTGTCTGCTATTTTCTTCTTGGTAGTAATTGTAATTTTATTTGAAGATTTCAAATCTGTATTCGTCTTCAAATTGGCTGGCAAATCTTGCTTAGTATTATTGTTTCCATTCAGAATATAGGGTTCTCATGGGATCTTCTTGGCTCAAATAACTTGTTGTTGCAAGAAGAACAGTTGTAAAGAGTGCAATCAAGGCCTTATTCATTAAATTAATTAATAAAATCTTCTTCTTCTTTTCATTTATAAAGGAAAGTACATGAAGTCATCAAAATTTATAAAATATGTAATCGGAATTTTGTAATTATTTACACATTCGTGATGAAAGAAAACTAACAGGATCCCTCTAACCTCTAAAATAAGCCCTCTCTCTAATCATAGATTCTTGAGAACAATTTTTTTCTTGATTCTCATCCGATTCTGAAATATATTAGTTTATATTCAAAATGCCCTTTACTATGGATTATTATCAAATAGGAAGATAGAATTTGAAAGGGAGTAAGTCGATGCTAACTTAGATTGATTGTCATTTTTCTGACATCGGTTAGTTTTAAAATAAATATAATATGAGAAAGTAATTAATCCTTGTCTATGTGATGATGAGAACTTGCGACGGCTTTTGTTTTGGAGTAGAAGAACCAAAAATAAACTGAAGAGTGATTTTTATATCAAATGACGTATAATTATTAAAAAGATATTAAATGAACTCATAAAAATAAATTGATGTAAATTGAGAACCTGCTTACTAAGGAAAAGGTGGAAATGTGATTATTAATGAATGGATTATATTTTAGTGTGTGATTAATTAATTTATTTTGTATGAAACCATAATATGATTACTCTAATGTTTTATTCGAATGCATTCTGGTTCGTAAGCATTTTATCAGCGATGTGAAGTATTATTGCTATATTTTAAATGGCTACATGCTGATGAGTAGAGTAAGATATGCAATGTATGTAAGAAAGTGAAGGACTCCTCTCCAAAATATGTTTTACCTTTATAGTTGGCAAATTAGGTGGGTTGGGTAGTAGAGAAGAAAGACAAGTAAATTCTATTTAAGGCGATCACGATCAAGTATATGGAAAAGTACAAAGACTTTGTCGGTAGCAACAGTGATTTGCAGAAGTAATAAAATAAATTAAGTAGACTGAAGGAACATCTAAGTAATAAAGTGACATTCTACAAGATTGCTGATTTCTATGAAGCATAATACAATTTAGGGAAGGGGAGTTCAGCAAAAGTTATCTAAATAAAAGAATTAGGAAATGAATAATCAAAATTGGCAGCAAAAGCGATAGACAAAAGTTATCTGCAAAAAAGTGAATCTGGCATGCAGGCGTTTTTGAATGAAGTCAACATCCTCAACCACCTCAGCAAGTAAAGTAGTTGTGGTCCCTTCATTAAATTACACGAGACCTTTGAAGGAGATCATACATTTTACCTCATCTTAGATTTGATGCAAGGACGAACCTTAGCAGATGAATTGGACATCCTCAAAGTAATAGATAATACCAATTAATAGCAAAGAAAGGAGTTGTTTCCCTTGAAATTAGTAAAAGTTATAATGAAACAATTGCTTAAAGGGGTTAAGATACTTCATGAAACCAATATCATTCACAGAGATTTGAAACCAGACAATATCATGTTTCGAGAATTAGATTCATATGAAACTCTAACCATTGTAGACTTTGGGTTATCAACCTTCATTAATGTTGCAAAGTATCAATTTCCAAAATGCGGTACTCCTGGATATGTAGCACCTGAGATCTTAAATTTAGTTGACAGATAATAAAAATACGATTCAGTTTGCGATATCTTTAGTTGCGGTTGCATTTTTTATAAATTACTATTTGGGCATAGTTTGTTTATGGGTAATACTTTTAATGAAGTTTTGGGACAAAATAAAAAGTGTAATTATACACTTGACCCATCTGAAATGAATTCTATTCCTTATGAAGCCTAAGAATTACTTAAACGGATGCTTGTAAAGAACCCTTCTGAAAGAATCACAGCTTAGCAGGCTTTGGAATCAGATTTTTTTAACAAACCATCATCTCCATTACAATCAAAGAGTATATTTTGTATTTAATTAGAGCTTAAAGCGTTCAATGTACCTAATATCAGTAGTAGGAATATATTTTAACCAACAACAGATGGATTGCAATCTGAAGCTGAATCTCCGTTTTAGAGAATAAGTCAGAAATGCAAAAACCAAGTGGATTTTGATGTAGACATCTAAGAGAATAAATGCTCCTCTATTTAAATTAGATAGCTACCATCAGTTAAAAAGCCTACTTGTGTAAGGTTGGAGGATTCAACTATTGGTAGTTTCTATGCTAAGGATCCCTTAAGTAGTTTCAAAAAACTAAAAGGAAGTATTGCATTCATATTTATCTGAGCATCTCAAAAACAATTAAATGAGACTAAAGAAATCCAAGTTAATCAATTTGATGTTGAATAAATGTAAAGAATCTCATTATTTAACAGAAAAGATGATAATTGATATTGCTTCTATTACTTAATATCAGTTTTAACATATATTAACTTTACATTTAGTTTTCTTATCCCTTAATTGGCTGTCCTGAGTTAATAATTAATAAATATTATAATTACCAAAATGAACAGGTAACTTACACCTGATGGTACCAAATCAACAATGAGAAGTACTATTTTACCGAAAATTGCCAATAAACAATCTAAATTAGAATAACAATAAAGCATCTACTAAAGTGTGGATGCAGAGAAGATGTAAAAGAAAACAAGGAACTTTGATTTCTCAAACCTGTAGAGAACAATTCAGACCAGTTATTCCAAGAGCAGACAAAAACAAAGGACTATCCTATAACCCTTAACTCATACTATCAATAACCGAATCTAGACCAAATAATAGCTAAACAGAATAATAAACTAATTGATCCGAATAATGTAAAATGATGCTGAATTTATGAACTCATGTAAACATTTGCATGTCAATTCATAAAAGTTATCATAACTATTGCTCATGCTTACTCCACATAATTTTGAGACAGAAGGATTCTTCACAATTCATCGTAAGTTGAAATAATAATCACTATCAAACGAGCACTCTTATTTTATTGAAATTGATAGAATGTTTTTTAGTGTCTCTAAATTAAACATCCCTGTACCATTATAGCATTTGATGCAGCTATCATAATATAGTGATTCCCTTTTTTAAGATAATTCTTTTGGCATGATTGTGAATTACTAATAAATGCTATCTATTTTAAAGTAAGCATATCAAGTGCATAAAAACATGCTGTCGTAGTAAGAGTTAAGCACAACAACAGCAAGTGATGACGAAGAAAGATTGTCACCTTCCACTAGAAGTATGATTATATAAATAGAATACTAGTTGTATAGAGATTATTATCTCGCAATACTGCAAGAAAGGTTCAATTTAAATAGAAGCGACTGGGTTACATCAACGATTAGAATATGGTTGCTTATTATGATTCCTTCACTGACTTGAAAAAGAAACTGGAGAGAGATTGGAATGCCAAGAACTATATCTTTGGATGTATCAGATTTGGGTATATTGACCTTATCAAATATCCTCAATATGTTGATCAGTAAACAAAGAAGGAACTCAAAATATTCGGTTAACAGAGATCAAGATTACCTATATCCATATAAGTTGTCTATAAACATAAATCTCAAGCGATGAATCAAGAGAAGGCATTGAACAAATTGAATCTGTATCATCCCAAGAATATTTATTACGAATCATATACCAAGGACCCTGATTTTATATCCAGAGTTTGTTATTTGAATGTAATTAAACCCAAATATTGATTAGATGTATAGTTTATCCAATAGATTTGAATCTATTTACACATATAAGAATGATCAGATAACCGATTACAATATTATGCATATTGATAGCATCTGCATCAAGAACTTATTCACAGAATAATCAGAAAATATTACCAAAGATTATGCCTTTGATGATTAATAAGGTGGTTTCCATATTAAAAAGAAGGAATATCGTCCTCTGGATTTAGAATAAGCAGATGAATCAGATTCAGAACCTGATCTGGATGTGTATGATCCACTTTATGTTAAGAGCATACAATCATATCCACAGTACTTGATAGAAACTCAGATTCAATTTACTTTTCCATTGCTCTACAGATTTTATTACAATAAAATGTCAACGAATGCAAAGATCATTCGTGATAATTATGCAGAGTAATATTGCACATTCATAATTAAGATTAGTTGATTAATGCAAGATAAAACCTGAATAGTAATTCAAAGAGAAATTTGTAAATGTGCCAAGTCCTGATAATTGCAATTATCAAAGACACAAATATAAACAACCAGAGACTGTAGATCTAACTGACGAAAGCGACAATGAAATATATGAACAACCACTTGAGGCCTTAGATAAATAAGATCTATCCCTGAGTTTTAAAGTGCAGCCTCTAATCAAAGAAGAAGATTAACGAGAACATACTCAATATCTTAAGAGTCAATCCTCAATTATTATACAGGATGAATAAAAAGTGAATGACAAAATTCAATTTGCTCACAATGTTGCTAGTCCATTCATCTGTTTATAATGTATTTTACTTCTTAAATTAGACATCAGATTCTTATGCACTATTATTATAGTTAAGATTTCCATTATCAATTCATATGTAGATAATTCCATCCATTGTCGAACGAGAATTACCCTTGAAAGAAGTGAATATTGAAGCAAGTACCATAATTATTGATAATACTCTAACTATTGATTAAGGAATCAAAGATTTGGAATCCTATCCTATTATAGATATAGATTCTGAAGAAGAACCAAGTTTTGATGAAATGCCCCTTGAAATTGATTTGCCTGAATAAGTGGAATAATAGACAATTGAACAAAAGAATGAGGATGATGAAGAAATTACTATTGACAAAGTTACTGAATTTGTAGATTTGGAAATAAAAGATAATCTGACCATTGAAGTTAAAAATGATTATGTAAGTAAATTGGTGATTGATGGATATCCTATTTATTTTTATTTAGATGAACATCTAAGGAAAACTGAACCACTCATTCATAAAGTGACTATGGAAGGCAAAGAAATTCAATCAGTCCAAATAAGTTGTGAATAAAAGGGATCCAAAATTTATATCAAACAATTTGCGATAAAGGCTTTATGTGATTAAAGATTGGAAAGCAATATTGAGAAAAAGTAAAATTATGAAGAAGAGGATAAATAAGTCAATATTTATGAACCAATATCATTGCCTGAATAGTGGAATCAAGGTTAATTTGTTATCAATTTATATTACTTGTAAAGAGAAGATATGAACTAAAATGTAGAATGGCTCAAAAGCGTCTTGATCACTTATTTTCCTTAAATTATCATTGTAGAAGAGTATAGTGAATCCTTTGAAGCCTATATCTATGGAGTTGGTCCCAAGGATTTTAGAGATGCAAACGGACGAACTTTGCTTTTTAGAAAAGACACCGAAGACTGGTAATATCTCATCATTATCTTAGGACTCAATTTAATCAAGAATTTTAATTCAAAACACTCCTAATCTATGATACAATATGCTACTTAATTAGTCTCTATGGATCTATTGATTAATTAAGTTTTGTTTAAAATAAATACATTTCAGAAAATCACTCAAAGCATACCAAATCTAAGTTTGAAAAACTGCATTTGCATCCCTATAAATATGTTGAAAATGTAGAAAGGGAACGAATCAGACCCACAACTGGTTATAGTAAAGCTGGTCCAAGAAGATAAAATTATTGATATTATAAATATATCTATATAGATACAACATAAACAATCTTTCTTTAGTATCAATTATATTCCGAGCATCTCCTTTTCTAGATATAATCATTATGATATTTACTAATTATTCTATTTAATTTTATTGTCTATTTATAAATAACATAGTTTTGAATTAAGATTATTGCTTCTATTCTTTCTCCTCTTTGATTTATTCCAAGAGTTTCAAGATTTTATTGTCAATCTGACATAGTTTCATTATTTCAATAACCATTTCCTCAACTTTTAATTATGTTGATAAATCTTTTTATCCTTTCGTTTTTTATAATAGAATGATTGACTTCTCAATTTTCTCTTTCAAATTATCCATTTTTGCTACAGGTTTCAAATCAGTTTCACTAAAGTTAAATGTTTTAGTTCTCCCAGTTTTAAACTTTGGACTTTGGCTATACAAAAGGCATGTCTGTTTTACTAAAGGTAGACTTTATTTTATATATACGTTTCATCAATTTTGTAGAATCTGGAGTTCGTTATTAGGTTGAAAGAACACTAAATTTTGAGGATTTCAAAGCCTATAAACTAGGTTTAGATGAGAATTTCATAGAGTTCATTTTAATGAATAAAATAAAAAATAACATTTCATAATATTTAAACTTTATTAATAAATTGATAAGATTTGATATCCATAAATAAAAAGCAGTTAAGCATTCATGAACTAAGAACAAAGTAAAATCATAATGTTCCATTTAAAAATTATCATCTAACAATAATTCTCACTTTAAATTATAATTACCAAATGCTTTATTAATACATTTTTAATTTATTTTATTATCTAAATATCCGTAAAATCGATTATAACGACTATAAATTATTGAAAATTATTTAAGTTTAGTAATTCAAAAACTCTCTAGATTCTAATTTCAAATCATTTTGTTAATATACATGAATTAGCTATTTCTAAATTTTTAAATTTATTTTTTGATATTTTGCATAAACTTTAACTCAAGAGATAAATTGTTATTAAATCATACATCAAATTTTACAACTTTATTATTTATTAATATAAGGGTTAAATGATATTGAAAAGATAGTAATTTTGTTATTTAGAAATTTATAATAACTCCTTCTAGAATCTATTGTAGAATACTACTTATAAGTATAAAATATATAGTAGCATCATAAAACATATTAAGCATCTATTTTTGATGAACTACAATACTATTTTATATAAGTTCATTAAAATATTCTACACATTTATTAATTATACATTTTAGAATATGGGTTGATGGAAAATTTATAAATAACATTTATAACACTGAATCTATATTATTCAAAGCATCTAAACGTAAAATATTTATAATTTTATTAATTTAATTTTGTATATTTATATTTATGAACCAAGAAGTTAAATGAAACTCAAAAGCAGAGTGAGAAGTAATGAAAAAATCATGATTATTGATATATTTACAGACTTTTAACATCCTTACAAGGATTTGCTCTGTCAAATATTTTAAAAATAATTCCTCAAATATAAGTGTAATTAGATTTAAGTATTCTTAGATTATGGGTCCTGTAGTTGGTTGTTAGTATTTTTAATGATTCATACCCTAGAATTGAAGCTAATAATAATTTATCAGAATTATTAATTCTTAATATATTAGCAGCTAGTAGTATTGGTATATTCAATATTCAACGTACTTAAAAATATGCTTTGTAAATTCATTATTTATGCATCTTTTAATGGCTGATTGATATTCTAAAGTTAATTTATTAAATGAATTATACCAGACTAATAATTTATTTAACATTGCTAATTAAACATTTCTGTATACTCTATTGTAAATACTACTACGATTTTTTATGATTTGTAACAACTTGAAATAATCTTAAGTTCCAACTAAATTAATTAATTTGAATTCATGAGAAGCAGGTAATATTCCTACATTAGATGATTTTAAATCGATGTATTTTGTTTTAGAAGCAATTTCATAAGTATTTGTATAAAATTAAAAAATATTAGAAAGGTATCAATTGGATCATATCATTTTTTAAATTAGATGAAAATTTGTCAATGATAATTAATTTTTATATTATTAATGGTTATTTTCTTCTGATATTTTAGATCTGTAAACCTCGATTGTAATTTGTCTTAAAATTATAATAAATAGAAAATGAAATAATTACGAATAAAAGAATCAAATTTAATATTCAATATTTATTTTGTTTTATATTCAAAATATATTTACAAATAATGGGAAAATTAGAAAATGGTAAAGGTTAAATGAGCTTGAGTTCTTTATTTTGTCTCAATAAATTAAAAGTAAGAACACAAGTTTTGATAATTCAAGTGATAATTCAATTTTTAGTAGGAAGTTTATTAACATTAATAAGTTATTTAGCATTTTAATACATTATTGATATGTACTCGGACATCTCTTTAGGTTTCTATGTTTTATAATATTACAAAAAAACTGATATGATCACTTATTTATAAGTAAGGAGTTCTTAGGAAGTACTACTCAGAAGTTAAACTCATCTATTAAAGTCTGATTTCTTATATCAATTTATACAAACCTTAGATCTGTAATATGTACAACAGCCTTTAAGTTGTCTAAACTATGATGATAAATTGGACAAGTACTAATATGAGTAAACATTTTGTTATGGTTTTTTCGGAGACCAAGCTTACTCTTCTACTGATAAAGATACATTGGCTCTCAATTATTCTTCTTTCTTAACGTAAGCCTTACCAATGATGGATATGGATTTGGATTTGTTATTTTCTACAATAGGAGATTAGATGTACTTTTCTATTTGGCCTGGTGATCCTTTTCCAAATTATAAGCCTCATAGAAGAATATGGTACACTAACCATTTGAAGCAAATAGAAGAAAAAAATTATAATTTGACTTATTTTAGTGAGCCTTATATTTTATGGACTTGGTTTTTGTTTATGGTGACTTAGACAAGGAACATGACAAATTTAAGTGGAGGATTGGATGGGGTTTTTGGGAGTGATTTAAATTTTAGTCTATTTCACACTTTATAATCGAAGTAAGAAAATGTAACTTTTTCGATAATTGATTAAAAAGGTCAATTTTTGTTGAGTTAGTTCAATATTAGCGAAAATACCTATATATATGATACGGATATATCTGGATTTACAAGGGAGGATTTCGAACAAATAAATAATTATTTGCATGAAACACAATTTATTAATAATTGCTCTAGGATTAATCAATTAACGGATAATTAACGACTTTGTAGATATAATTAGAAAACTAAAACTGAAGAATTAATAGTAGCAAAGATATTATATCCTACCGATTTGATATTGCTGATGTAATAGATTTCACATCTATCGTTTTAGTTAAGTAGATCTTCTTGAAAAGGAAAAGGAACTATTGAATCAGCTTACTCAAATCAAAAGAAATTTTGAAGATTTCTTTAGGATGTATATTTTAGTAGGAATTTCAACAGGATTATTCTCAATCATTTTGAGTTCATTGGTTATCTATGTGACATTGAGTCCAATCACAAATCTTATTTTGTATACAAGTTAATAGATAACAAAAGAATCTGATCTTATGCAATAGTAGATCAACTAGAAGGTTCGACTTAAATAAAGCAGATACTCTTTAAAGACTATTTAAGAATTGCATTAGGCATTTAGGAAAATGAATGTGCGATTGTTTAATCACAAGGAAGGCAGAAGAAATAAAACATGCACAGAACTTGAATAAATTCAATTTCCTTTGAAACCTTTGGAGAGGTTTTCATTTAATACTTCAAAGATCAATGTAAAATTTTAAGTATATATGTAGAATTACAATCTTAAGAATGAAGATTTGTAAATGTTTTATCCTTTTGAATTCTTGCGACTTCACTAAAAAAGAAAAAGACACTGGTATAATTACATTTAAAATTGAAGAACTACTTCATTTATTCTCATGTGTGATATTTAATATTATTATTTTCAATCTTTTAAGTATAAAGATTTAAGTCAAGAATGTTGGTAACGTTGATTCTGAACTCGAATGATTTGAACATTATAACATTATCTTCTTTAGATGAGAGATTGAGATCTATATATCATAAGTAAAATATATTCTGATTAACTATAATAAAATATATAAAATAAACAGAAATATTCAAATTTGAATGAGTAAACACAAGCATAGAAGAACATAATCTAATTCAGAAGTTGATTTAAGAAATGCATTATGTCAATAAGATGATAAGAAACATTTCATTGAAATATTTAATCATGTATTCAAAAGTGCCATAATGATTAATAGGCATCTCACATTTAACCTTAAATCCCAGAAAAGGAAGTTATAATAGAAAAATTAGATGATGATTATGCAATGCAACATCTCAAAGAGAATTGTGGTTTAACATTTGGTAATGCCAAAAAAAAATCAAATTTCGGATCCTATTAAACCAACAATCTATTTTAGATTCCAGAATAGAATGACTTATTATCAAGTGTTGAATAAACCTAAGAATCAGGCAAGAAATTGGCTTAGGGAATGAAATTGAATGTGAATTCACAAAAAAGATAAACTTACAGTGTTGAACAAAAAAACAATAATGATTAAAAGGAGAATTAAAAAAATGAGAACAATCGATAAAATTCAACATTAATAAATTAGATTGTAATAAATTGTAATATTAATTTATAGTAAGCTTAATTACGAGATGTTACTCATCTAATGAACAGTGATAAATTAGATTAATTCAATAAAATGAGTTTTACCAAAGAACTCTAAAAGAAAACAACAGTTCATCCTGTTTAACTTCCATATAGTCATTAAAATACAATATAACCCTCATTAAATCCTAATCAACATTAATAATAATCCTATTCTTAACATCAATAATCGTAAAATCAACTCAATAATAATATTCTTTAGTTGTAAAATTCTAATATTTAACACTAAAGTCTAGTCCATTAGAATTCTTAAAAAAATGTTGTTACAAAACAACATACAATAACTCCTGATAGAAAACGAACGCCTTCAATGGCTATTAATAAACCTTCAGGAGTAGAGGCCCCATTTCAAAAATCAGATAAATCAATTACTAATAATACTATTAATGAGAGCGAAAAAATTAAAAGTAATCTTTCAGTCTCGATTTTTAATAATCTCTTTTAATAAAATAAGAAAATTTCAATTAGCAATATTACTAATAAATCAGATCAATAAAATGATTCTTTTAGAAAATTAGAAACATAGATGAAAAAAATAGAAAGAGAATTAATGTCTTTAAAATAGAGACAAGATTGTCAAGATGAAATAAATAAAACCATATAATAATAATTATTGTAAGTTATCCATGATAACAGAAAACAAAGAGATGTATGAATATACTCATATCAAAGTAAAGTCATTTGTCCTTAAAAAAGTTGGAACAGCTTGAAATGATTACTAGAAGAAATGAGGAATCTATTCTGTATTTAAAATAAACATTGGGAAGCCATAAGAGAATGGACTCAACCACACATCAAACGTATAATATTTCATTTATTTTTAGGGATTCTACCGAATTGAGTGATCAACATAGAAGATTTACTGATTTGAAGAGTCTGAACAGGTACATCTGAACAACACGTTATTTTTTGTAATTAATTATTTCAATACATTTTCGAATATCGTCCTTATATTATCCTTCAAATTCTTTAATGAGGATTACTATAATTTATATTAAGAATCAAAAAAATATTATTAATCTATAACAAATAATCTTAAACTCATTTATTTCCAAACTTAAATGATGCTTGAGAAACCCCTTAAACTTAATCAACCTTTGTCAACTTTTTTAAATTTGAACCTTAGCTTAATTTAGAGTAATCAAGCTTTACTTTCTAAATTTAAGGAGAAGTAGACTGTCGAGGAATGTCTTCATCTGCAAAATCTTTTGATAGTCTTTTTGAATCATCTTCGTTTTCTAAAAAAGATGATTTTTTAGTTTGTTCATATTAAAGCATTTAAATTCTACTCTTCAATTCCAGTTCTTACTCTTTTAAATATTGGATTTCTTTTTAGGCTTGTTCCATATATAAAATTTTATCTTCCTTACATTACACTAGAGCAAGGGATAGTTCATTGATTTTAATTTCCAATTATCGTTTTTCTAATTGAAAGTCTGCCTTATTATTGCTTTAGGCTAAGTGTTGATTTTATTATTACAATTCATTTACTTTCACTTTTTCTTATTACAATTCCTTTGTCAACACCTCTAATTGTTATTTGTCTAACTAAGCCAATCAAATAAAAATACACCTTCTATTATTCTTATCGTGCATCTTCAATTATAAACAATGCATTAATGATATCATTAGGATCAGATTCTGAACCTAATTGTAAAATCTCTTCGTAGTCCTCATCCAAAGATTTTTATAGTTTCACCCAATATTCTAATAGTTTTTACTTAATTTGTCTGTTTTCTTCCTTTTAATCTGTTTAACATATTTAATTATCTTGCATTAATTATATTTTATTTATAAAAGTAATAAATATGCATCAAAATATTACTCAGAATTATTAAAATCTCGATTCCTGAGGTAACGAATATTGAATCGCGTTTTTTACTCTTTATCGACATTCTCTATTTACTGATAAAATTGAGAAATATGCATTATCTAAATAGGATCTACTTGTATATTCCTTTTATTTGTTCTTTTTTTATTTGTATAATTCTAGAATCATACTGAAATCATACATTGTTTTTAGTTTTCCTCTTCAAATTATTTGATTTTATAAATTGAATTATCACAAGTTTAATTTTTAAAGATGTCATCTAATTTGTCTCTCCTTTTTTTATGAATTGTATATAGACTTTCAGGAAATTTAATGCCATCAATCTTTTAAAAGTTCTAATCTCTTGATATTGATACACATTAACTCAAGATCTCCTCTTTTGGAGATTATTTTATAGAACAACAATATTTTCTATTTATCAAAATATTAAATACTTAAACTTTTTGTAATTGGATTCCAAAGTTGACAATTCAAGGTTTCTTTAGTTTTTTGACATTTTTATTGATTGAAATACGTAATCAAAACTGAATGACTATTTTTTTCTCGTTTTTGGACTCTCTTATTATAAGTATTGATTTACTTGCTGGTTTTGAATGATATTGTTTTGTAGTTATAAAAACATCAGGAAGTTGGAAATCCTAGTTTTACTCCTCATTGAAATTTAATTTTAATCTTTTGAAATCTTCTCTGAATTCCTTCTTAATCTCCTGATGCTTCCATTTTTATTGAATTGCTTAAATCTACTCAAAATCATCCTTAACGATAGCATAAGCTTATTACATTTATATTAAATTTATAATAAAAAATTATATATATGTCACTAAAAAGTAATTCTCTTCTCAAAAAGACTTTTTTTATGAGTATTGATATTTAATACTTAGTCGAGCGGCGGTAAAGTTATCGTTTATTGGGATAGCGTTTTCCTAATGTGTAACAAATCACCTTAAAGAGGATTCAATTAAGGGGACTTGAATTTAGGACTGGCTATCTATTAACTCGAGTTTATCAAGTTTTTTTTATTGTGATAGTAATCAAGTTGCTTCTAAATTGGATCTGTTATTTATAGCTACAATGTATCAAGATATTCAAAAATGGACATTTTATCCATTATTTTGATTAAAATTAATAAACTAAAACAATATGAAATATCATTTATTTTTTAATTATTCAAGAATTCTTAAACAATTCTCAGATCCCGTTTAAAATTAATTGTAAAGCTAACCATTAAATTTAATTTGATCATTTTAAACCTATGTATTTAAGGATTTAAAAAATGATTCAAATTATTTCAATTATTCTTTAATCATTTCCATTTATTATTAACATTATTAATGCTTTATCATCTCCTCTTAAACAAACTGTTATTAATTTTGTACTTACTAAAATATATTTATCATTTACTTCTTATAACTCAATTATTAAACTATTAATATTCAAAGTATTTTAAACTTCTCCTTAATTTACTGTTTATTCACCATTTTGACTCTATAATTTAGTTTCTAGTTCATTTATTTTGACTAATAATTATTAATTTTCATTCTAAAGTTAAGTTGTTTATTGCTATAATTGAATCACATCTTAATTGCATTTTTATTAACATTATTTGCAATTTTATTCATTCTTTTTACTCAAAGCATTTTATTCTAAATCATTTTATTTGCCTTTAATAAAATGAATTTCTGGTTATTTTGCTCCTTTTCTATCGTTTTAAAACGCACTCCATGGAATAGCTTGCTTATTTGTTTTTTCAACACTCTTTTTAGATTTTTTCAATTCTATATCTTATTATAATATCGTATTCGATAATGAAGTAATTTGGTTATTTTATTCAGCCAATTATTCATTCATAGTTTAAATCAACTAATTCAATCTTTCATTTTCTTCTATAACATTTAAAATTTGACCTTCCATTTTTTATATATCAGTTTCCCCAGCAGCCGCTCTTTAATATTTTAATTTCCATTTTTCAATTTCAGTTTACTAAGTATCTATAAGCTGTTCGAGTTTCGATACTCTTTTTTTGATTTCTTAAAATTGTTCATTTTGTTATTGATAGTTTTCTATTTCAAATCTAGCTTTTTCTAATTGTTAATTTAAAATGCAATTCTCATTGAGTAAAGACTAAACTTTGCTTTCAATATTAATGTTATTTTCTTTCAAATAAAATGCTTGTTGTGTCTTATTTGGAGTGGATATAGTAATTGACCCTCTCATTTATTAATTTATAAATTATTTTTATGGAGTGCTGGGGGCATCTGTATAAGGGTTACTCAATCTAACTTATCCTTAGAATGGATTCATTTGAGGAACTGTCATTTGTACCTTCTAAATATGAACACTGGATGTCGCCTTAATCATTAACGTTTAATTTAAATATTATAAAAATAAACGAAATCAGATTGAAAGAATTTTTCTTTCATTTATCAAGAATTCTTTGATTTCTTTAAGGTTATCAAGCGTATTTAAATAGAAAAGTGATTTATTCTATTTTTTATAATCCTATCAATAAATATTAATAATATTTACAGGTAGCTTTTCTTAGATAAGTAATAATAAAGTTCGAGTAACAGTTATATTCTAAGGCAAATAACTGAATATTTCCTCTAATTCTTATTTAGTTGAGTTATTAAATGTATTTTTTAAACGATTGTCGTAGTTTATTAATCCTGTAAATGCATCTGCCAATTTATCTATGGTATCATTAGTAAAGTGTTACAATTTTATTTATTAAAAAATAGATGAGAGCATTTAATTCCGTCTAAGGGATAGATTCATTAATTTATATAATGGCTTTTCTAAAATAAATATTGTGACTAAATAACAACAACCACACAACAAAAGAGAAATCAATATACCTAACACAAAATCTTAAATGATTTTCTAGCTTTATGCATTTACTTCATCAATCAACATATCAACATTACTCTTGTATTAAGCTTAATCGAATTTACTAATTAAATAATAATTTTCCTAATCTAATTTCTACACTTTTACATAGTAATCTTTGTTATTAGTTTTGTCAAGTAGACATAAGGTTTGATTAATTGGAATCTCACAGTAATTTTCATAATTTAATCCCTTTGAAAAATTCATAATAGTTTAAAAATCTTAAGAATCAAATCCTGTGACTGATTAATTATAATATAAGTCAACGATCGTTGAATTTATAGTGTAATGATTGCTCAAAAGTATATGACCATCAGAATCAATTAGAACAAAATTATAAGGATATGATTCATCTTAAGGAAAAAAGATTTTCATTATAATATCAGTCCCAATGACGCCCTTGACTTCATTGTTAAGTCCTCTGAGATTAAGAGTTTTAGTTAAAGTGATACCTCCGCTGAATGCAAAATAGGGTTATGAGTTTTAAACCTCATTTAGACTCTGATTATGGTAAATATACCAGGGTCTAAATGAAGGATTATAAGTTGATGGATAATATTTGCATGGTTAAAAAACGTAAAATTAATCTTTTGTATTGGATGCAAAATAGGTTCGATAAAGTTTATTTTGTATCAGAGCTGTTTATATTAGTAAATTTCCTAGAGACATTTTATCTTGGTGTTAAGAGTATTCGGTAGCGTTGTATGGCATTCCATAACAATAACAAGAACTATTAGCAAATTAAGAGAAAAAACTTGAGGGACTTTCAAACTCATCACAACTATTAATATGATATTAAAATCTAATGTTCGTGCTTTATTATTATTCAAATAATGAATTAATAACTTTCAATGTTGTATTAGTTAACATCAACCCTTACTGTAATTATTTTTTATTCAAAACAGAATATATATAACTTTGTTTACTAAGAATTCTTTATGCCAATATAATAAAAGACTAATGAGAGATTTCCTAAATTAGAAAACTTTAGGCAAATATAAAGTACCCTGTTCCAATCAAGATTACTATGATGATAAAAATAGTTTATGCACACAAAACTTGGGATCGAAATCTCCAATTCCTAATGAAAGCAAATAAAGTATATGAGGCTTTAATGTTATTCATTGTAAATATTATAAATCTAATCTAAAAATTATCTTATTAACTAATTTATTATAACTTAGACCAATTTGAAGATGAGAGGCTTTATCAAAATTATAGAGGAGACATTAAAATTTGTAAAAATAGTCCATAAAAAAAATTAATCATAATTAAGATTAGCTATGAATGCTATACTCTCTTTTTCTCTTGAGACTTAAGTCTTGTTGCGTTCTCATAGTATACAATTAATCATGGAGACTACTAAGATTTTTTTATTTTTGAGTGGTCTCTTCGTTTTTCTCTTTGATATTTTTGATTAGTTGATGTTGGTATTTGAGAAGTCTTTCAAATGTCTCCCGTTAAGAGTTCCTTCTAATATTGTCGATTTACAACAATTGCTACCTTACTTTTAGTAAAGAAGAATAGGAGGTTTATCCCTTGGATCTTTCTAGATTTTATCTGCTCTATAACAACTGTTAGACTTATTTAATCCTGGATTGACTATTTTTCTCCTCACTCATTTACAGATTTTATTAGATCTATTAGCATTATTAAATAATCTATTTTTCTTTCTCTTGACTTTATCTCAAGTCTTTGTATTACACAGCTAATTGTTGTTTTTGTGAGGATTTGAAGGCAGATAAAAATTCACTTTCGAATATTCTGCCATCACTGTCTTTATTGAGAAATCTAAAAAAGGCAGAGATGTAGTCGTTAGATAAATTTGTACATTTTTTTAAGGTCCTGCTTGTAATGTAGCCTTTACCAAACTAATCAATTTAATGAAACAATTCAGTAGGATTGAAATTGCCATCTTCTTTGAGTATTTAAACTTTACTAAAATCTATGGAAAACACATTGAATTTACTTAAAATTGATTGCCTCCTATTATAAAAGTTTGATGAGTGCCTCTTTGACATGCGTGTTGTTATTCAGTTTCAGAGAATTAATAAAACTAAGTATATTATGATGAAATGTACTCTGGATATGTAAATCGTGTTTGGGAGTTGGAATTGAATTGGCTGATTAGATGTTTGATTTCCTCGTCATTTAGAGATATAAATCTTTTGATATCGGACTGGTCGATATCGTGTCCATTGGAGGATAGCATCTGGAATGCCTAATGGGGGTCAATAAAGAGCTGCTTTATTTGTTCTAAGTTGATTTGACATTCTGCTATGATAGTTATTAAATTGTTTAACATATTAAATTTATTAATAAAATGGATTAGAATAATAGTTTATAACCTGGTTTGATATTAGATCAAAGGTTCAAATTGTTGAAGAAAATCGGGAGTGGAAGTTTCGGAATAGTGTATTTGACTTTCGATTTGGACGAGAAAGAATATTGTGCGACTAAATTCGAGAATCGTAATCTGCAAATGAGAATGATGAATAGAGAAATATTAATATTGAAGCAAATGAAAGGAATTAATGGTATTTTTGTATTATTTTATTATAGGATTTCCGGATTTGATACATAATGGAAAAGATCGATAATACTCCTATTATATGAGCACATTATTGGGAGAAAATCTTGAGATCCTGTTATAAAGATGTGGAGGTAAGTTTTCCCTCCAAACCACATTGTAATTGGCAATTCAACTGATTGATCGTTTGGAAGGTTGTGTAAAATTTAAAATTTTAAGTCTTTCATAGCATGAATTTTATACATCGAGACATCAAACCTGAAAATTTTCTGATTTCCAAAGAAGATACATCCTTAGTGTATCTGATTGACTTTGGCTTATCAAAATATTATCGAATGGCCGATGGAAAACACATTGAATTTTCTCAGAAAACAGGAGTTATAGGAACTGCTCGTTATGCCAGTATTAATACATTGCAATGTAAAATTAATGATATATTCAAGGGATGGAACAATCAAGAAGAGATGATTTAGAGAGTTTGGGTTATATGTTGATTTATTTCGTAAAGGGAGAATTGCCGTGGTCTAATGTCAAAGCATTTTGTAAAGACGACAAGTATGATCAAATACTGTAAGTGAAAATGGGGATCCCTCTCAGTTAACTTTGTTTCAATTTACCGAAAGTATTCATTTGATTGATAATTTCCAGTGTTTCATAAATTACTTCTAGCATGTGAAATCGTTGCTATTTCAACAATAACCAAACTATTCTCATTTAAGAAATCTGTTTGAAAAACAACTCTAAGACTATGATCATCAACTCTATGATTGGGAACTAAAGCTAATGGAAAAGCATACCTAAGATGTCCTCATCGATCCTGATACCATACCCGATATTAGATTATAATCTGAAATTGATTTAGTTCCTCCAGTTGATGAAGAAGGAGAAGCATTTCACTTAAAATAAGAGAATTAACACAATGTTAAGTTCATGAAATAATTACATGAAAAATACTTTGATCAGAATACCTATAAACAATAGGATGAATTCTTTTTGCAAAAACACACTTCCATAGAACCTAAGAGTTAAGCGACAAGCAAATAAAATAATTATTAAATTAGCAATCACACTTTAATTCAAGTTGAATCATAACCATACATTCATAACAATCCTATGTAGTTCACTAAAAGAAAAGATTCGAAATCTTATACTTCTTTTAAACAAAGTCAAGAACATAAAGAAAATAGAAAATTTCGATTATCTAATGACGATTACGATTTGGATATGGCTAATGATGATGGGCCTAACCTAGACTTAAAGAATCTCGAAGTCAATTACTTTTTAAAATGAATACTGGTATTTTCTAAATATTATCCTAAGATTAAACTTCCTAATCGTCATTGATTTGATAATATTTAACTTATATATTATTCTATTTATCACAAAATCTATGATATAATCTATAATTCTCTATATTTTTTTGATTCTATAAAATATACAATTTATAGTGAATTCAATATATAAAGAGAGAGTTTGTGTTTCAGTTTGAAAATGAATTTAGTAATAGAAATAAAAAATATAAGAATTATTGAATATACTCAGTACCAAAAGAAAAATTATTAAAAGTTCGTATTAAAATTAACATCGTAAATCGGCAATTATTTTGGAGAGTCTGATTTGTATCTATCTTTATTATTTCAATAATAATATTACTTAAATGATAAATTGAAGAATATTGTCCTTACAAAATTTCATTTTGTAAGAGGAATTGATTCTTTTTCTAATCAACTACGAATTTGTTCAATCTCTATTTAATCTATTTAGAAGCTGTATTAGAGAATAACTTCCCTTGATTTTAGATGGGTTTAGGCAAATTAGGCAAACAAGTGACTACTTACTAAGTTTACTTGTCTTCTTTTAATTTCTTTATAATCCAGTTTTTGCCTTTAGAAGTAGATTCTTATTTGCTATTTTTACTTTATTAAGTATGATGAGCCGCATTAGATTTGGATGGATTGACTATCTAGATTATCTCAGCAATTCAATACTCTTTTCCTTTGGAAGGTTCATTTTTTATTATCGATCTGAAACTTAAAGGCCTTGTGGCATTTTTTGAACTATCTGTTATTTTGGTTATACATCATCCAACACATATTCAATCAAACTTATAGGCTCACACAACTTTGCCACATAGAATTGACTCTAAAAGAATAAGCCATCCTTATTTTACATCATATATTTATTATATTTATATATTGACTCATTTCATAGGTATTTTAACATTCTTTTCAGCCATAACATGTTTACAAAGGAATGCAATTGTTCTTCTATCGTTCCTTCTTTTCAATTCTCTTTAATAAAGATCTTTGTATCTAGAGGGTCTAGGAATTTCGTATAATCTTGTATCATGAAATAGCCATTATTTGTCATGTTTCCTATCTAATCGAATAAATCTCAATATTACTGTGTTCTGAAATGATTCTGTCAAAATTCATCATTCTTTCCTCTACACTTTTTCCATGAATAATATACCCTGTTTGAACCAACTCCACCAATTTCAAATTAGCCCTTGCAATTCCTTTAATTACACTCATAATTAATTATAAATAATACTTAAAATTTGATATTGATTTTTCAGATTAAGAAAATATTTGATATCAAAATCCAAAAGATCATTATAAATCTAAATGACAAGTTTTAACAGATGTCTAAAATTAATGCTATTTTTGAATATATAAAATTTAATGTTAAAAATCAATTTTAAGGAGACTAGATAAAATAGGAGCAACCTGAATCTACTACCACAGAAATCTAAATTTTCAGGGTTGAGGAATGTTTAGAGTTGGCATTCTCGATCTTTTGAATTACCATCAAATTCTATGCTTCAATCTAATCAATAATAGAGATAATAACCCAAATATAGAACTAACCTAATTGTACCAAATACAGCACACTTTCAATAGTCAGCAAGAAGATCATCTAGATCTGACAAAGTAGAAATTGCTGATGCAGTTTCAACTACTAGTCATGTTGTCCCTGAGACTCCTGTCAAAAAGTGTTTGATAAGAAGAATCAGTTAATTTGAGTATGTAGGCTCAAAATAAAAAAGACTAAACAATATAGCTCCTTCAATTTAAGTATTTCAGCATTCCAAAGATGCAGCAGTCTTGAAGAAAAAGAAAATGAATAGATTAAAAATGCAGTATAGTATGATTTATGACTAATTAGAATTTATGCAAAGAGCTAATCAGAAAAAGCTATATCGCCAACAAAGAAGCAGGAGTTTACCATTACCAGCAATTCAAAAAATAACTCATAAAAGAGCCAAAACTAATTGTGATCAAAAATATGAAGGTCCTATCACCAAATTGGAGCCTGAACTAGAACGGAAAATCAATTTGTTGTTCCAAAGAAAGAGAAATTCTCATCTCATCCTAAGAAGAAGAACCTGCATACAAGAACCAAAAAATAGTGTTTTTGTATCAAGGGACAAATTATTGAAATTTCAAGAGGTCATGGCAAAGAAATTTGTATTCATTTATAATCTAAACTTTAAGGATTAATTTGATTCATCTTGCGAATCTTCTCCTGTCACCATATCTAAACTTTAATTTAAAAAAACATAATTTAGTAAATTACAAATCGCTAATGCCGACCATCATTAATATCTAACTCCCAGATTACACTACGAGTAAAATCACAACATTTTTACAAGAAGAGAATCTCATAGTGTTATTGCACAATATGTCATTGATAAAACTAAAAACAATAAAAAAAAAAATAATATTTTTGACTAAAAATTACCAAACCTCAATTAACCTAGTTTAAATGACTTTAATTAGTATTTTCTTGCTTAAAAAAGGAGCGTTGAAATTGGCAGAACTACATAATAGTTAATTCAATCAAAATCTTCAGATAATTTGCCTAAACAAATTCAATTAACTTGTAGGTAGAGTTAGTTTATAAATAAATAACTAAAGATAATGAAATAAGACTCATAAATCTGTAATTCTACTAGAATTAAAACCTTACCAAGTGATGCAACACTCTCCAGAACTAAAATAAATTTATAATAAAAGTTATGGCCTTATTTCTAATGATTAAAAATGAAATTAAATTTTGTTTATATTTTGATTTACAACATATTGATTTATCATAAATATATATACCCAGAAAATTAATTCTCAATTTATTTAGGGAAAAAGATGATAATTATCAGACCTAAGTTAATTAAATTATTCATAAATAAAAGATGGGTTAGGGCATATGAAAGAAAATCATCCTAAATTAAGAGACATATAATAATATTGTTAATATATTTCAAAATATAAAGAATGACTGAAAAATATAATAATGTTTTCTTAAATGATGTTTAAAATACTGATTAATTAAAATTCAAAGGAACTTTAATTATAGATTATATTGATTTCTTTTTACAAATGACTTAATTTCTTTTAGTTATTTGACTTGAAATCAGAAATTGATATTTTTGCATAAAGAGTCAAAGATAAATATTAAAAGTTAATCTTTTTCTATATTAAAATTGTAGTATATTTGATAATATTTAGCTAAAGTGAATAAGTTATAAAAATATTGTAAATAACTAAAATGCTTGATGATACATATGCTGAAATATGCTTTAATTATAAAAGATAGAAAAAAAGCACAACTCCGAAATAGGCAACTAAATTTAAATCAAAAAAAGATGTTTAATTGTTTGTCGATCAAATCCAAGCATAAGTCAAATTACCACCTTTAGAACATGAATTCTATTTAAATTAATTTCGCTCTCCAAGTCTTTCAAAGCAACATTAATATTAATGCTCTAAGAGTGTCTTGGTGAGAAGATAAACAAGAAACAGCAGACTAGGCAGTCTTATATCTGACATCGGCGTACTTGAAGAAGGGGTTCTATAAACATTGTAACAAGTTAAAGATTCGTTTTCTAAAGAAAAAAATAGGCTATAAGAACAAGAATCAAAATATGCTTCCTTGCTAGAAAATTTAGAAATAAAAAACCATATAACGAATACTAATTGGAAAACCCTAATAAATCATCACTTCAAGAATCTTAATGAGTATTTAGATTTTGCAAATAAAGATATTAAGGATGAAAAGAGTTTTGTTTACAGTCACTAAATTTCTGCTAGAAATCACTACCTATTTGTAGACAATGAAATAAGAAGAAATTTTATTAGAAAAAGATAAATGAGAGCATGATTAAAAATTTTTATTAATTATTTATGTTAATATTAATAATATAATGCTAATTATTAATAAAAATTTTGAGAGTGAAAATTTGAAATTCTTTTTTTATAATTTCTAAGTCAAAATTTAGATATTGGGTTTTAACAAGAAATTCAGCATTAGTAATCCAATTAAAACAGTTTAATTTAATAAAATTAAAACACTAAAGGATGATAAAATTTTATGATAAATATTTTAGAAAATAAATTTGTAAATGAATGATTGCTTATAAATTTATAAACAAGGATTACATAATATAATTGTTTCATTTATTTGTCCCTAAATAGGCTTTCAAATATTGTATGCTTTATGCATTGATTTAGATAATCTTACAAACCATTATGATCATAAATTAAAATTTGATTACTTTAAGTATTTTCAATCATGTAGTCAATTTTATCCTTTTAAATATAAATCAAAAATAAAATTATTAATATTTTATCTTATTATAATCAAGATAGAGGTCTTTAATCAATATTTAATTAATGATATATATATGATTTTATGTTCATAACGATTCAACCATAAAATTGCAAAAGTAAATTTAGAAATTAAGTGGTTCGTAAATATTAAGTTAAATGAATAAATTTCAATTTTTTAATTATTGCAATAGCATTATAATTTCACACTAAAACCTCAAAATTATTTAATCAAATTTGGTAATCTTTATCAGTAAGAACAACCATAGCTATTCTATTAATTTATGCATCTCAGTTTCAATTTTCAACTACTGTTAATAAACCAATTTTGACTAAAAGAAATCATAAATCTTAGTACTATACTGTCCTTAGTTACATTGCTAAGTAAATTTGTAATTTCTACCTTAATGATTTGATTAGGTAACAAAAAAATTCAACAAAACATGTATTATTCAATAATTGCTTTACTTCAATTACAGCGTAAAATAAGCAAATTTATTAAAAACATGGAAACAGATCTAATAAAAACGAAATTTTTCTTTGGGAACATTAGAATAAGCACTTATACCTGACTTAAATTTATGTAGATAGTACAATTTATGCCGTATGAAAAAATATCAAATATATATAAAGTCGTGATTATAAATAATACATTTATAGAATTATATGAATTTTAAAGCTGATAAATTTTTAAATTATATATTTATATTAACATGAACGCTAAAGGATATAAATACTAATTGAACATTCATGTTGAGAAGGTTTAAATTAATATAAATTTTCAATGTAAAATGCAGGTACATTTAAAAAGAGGTAATGCTTAAATATAAGTGACATAGGAAATTAAAAAGTTGAAACATAATAATTAGCAGATTTCAATAAAGGTACTGCATGCATAAATGAAACATTGTCATTATAGAGTAATATTTTTTAAGTGAATGGAATTTATTAAGAGAAAAAAGCATTACTAACAGTTGTTATTATTACTGATAAAGGTAATAAGGCAGCAGGCTAATGTTCAATAGATTTCTCAACATATTTGAATCAACAAAAAAATGGTATTTTTAATGGCAAACATAGATGTCTATGAGTAATTTCATTTAGATAAGTGTCCTGATAAGCATGCAAAACTTTTCACAAAAATTAAATTTATACTATTAGGAGAAGTTGATATTGACACAATTAGTACAGCTTAATCAATCGCAGATGAACAAACTACTGATAAAAAGTAGCCAGGATAGACTCAAGATAAATTAGAAACTGAAAGCACAGCCAAGAAAAACAGTATTGAATCTCAATAGATTAAACCTTTATAAATTGATGATTCTTCTAAATAAAATTCAAATAACACTCAATAATTAAGCGATAAAGAGTAAGCGATAAATTTAGCTAAGCAGGTTAGTCCTTTAGCTCCAAGTCCTTTATCTTAAATAAACATTTAATAATTAAGCGATGAATTAGGTGAATTAAGAAAGGTTAATGCTGAAATCAAGGATCAAAATAATTTATTAATCCAAGAAATTCAAAAAGAAAAGCTGTTGAAGGATGAATTAATTTAATAGTTTCAAAATTTGAAGCGTTAATTAGATAACAGCATCAATATCAATAAATATTAGGACTAAATTCTGGATTATGATAAAAGAGCATAATAACTAAAAGAGGCCTTACAAGAATCTGAAATAAGTAAAGAAAATCTATCTAAATAATATCAATCGACTTTATAATTGTATTCAGGTTTGCAAGATGAGTTTAACACTGTTAAAGAGGCATTTTTAATTGAAAAAGAAAATGCAAAGACTTTTATGGAAAAACTTCAAGAAAACCAAGAAATATATAAATAAAAAGATGTTGCAAATTAAGAATTAACTATTAAAAACTAATCACAATTATAGAGGATAATAGATGTAGAAAGTTAAATTAATTTATTAAATTAATAAATTCTATCACTAAATAGATAAAAGGAGGAAAGCAATAATGAGATTTTATAACAAAAGGATTATATTATACAATTAGAATAATAGATATAATAGTAACACTTTTAATGTAGCTCATTAAATGATCAAAAAAAGAGTATAGATTAATAAGTAAATATATACAATAATCAAAATAGATTTAATAATATTAGTAGTAGATTTAAGAATTATAATCCTAACTTTTGAATCAATAGTAGAAGATGAATTAAATGAAAATCCAATTTTAATAGGATTCTGAATAAAACCGTAAGGAATCTTAAATAAATAATCAAAAATTGTAAGATTATTCATAAAAAATATCTGAATATGAAAAATTACAAAATGACACCTAATTGAAAATAGAAAAAATGATAGAGGAGCACTCTCAAGAAATCAAAAACTGTTCAGAAAGTATATACTAAGGAGTAATGCCTCAAATAAAATAGTTAAAATAAGAGATAGCTTCATTAGAATAAGCAAATCTTGTTTAATTAGAATAATTAAAGGTTCAAGAGTCCAAAAATGAAGAATAGACAATTAGAGAAACATAACTTAAATAAAGTATTCATTCGAGTGAGGCATAATTAACATAATTGTAAAAATTAATTAGTGATATCTTTGGTGAAACTTAAATTTTAATGAAACAGTTTCTTAATTAAGAAAACTTTGAGAAAGAGACAGAACTTCCAAATATATTATCAAAACTACATTCTTAAATAAATTCTAAAATTAATAAGTTATAATCAGAAATCGATTTATTGAATTCTTAAATATAATTACAAGATGAAAAATATAAAGATAGAAGTAAAAGTTAGTAAGATTGTTTAATTGATCAATTATCAAATAAGAACTGCGAGATTAATGATCTAAAACTTGCAATTGAAAATCTAAAAAATTAGAATTAGTTCTTACATCATGAAAATGAAAATATAAAGAAAAATGTAAATGAAATAACAAATTAATTGGAATAGAAATAAAATGAATTTTAATAATTGAAATTAATCAATGAGGACAACATTTAAACGTAAACCAAACAATTGAAAGATTAATAAAATTTAAATTAAGAATTGCAATTGAAGTTAAAGAATTTCGAATCTGAGTCTTAAGAGATTTAAAATTCATAATAAAACAAAATTAAAAATGCCGATGTGAAGATCAACGAACTTTTAAATGAACTCAAGCAATAAGAAAATATTATCAATGATTAAAGCCACAAACTTAAAGAAGGTAATATGATAATTCAAGATTATACTAAGAAAAATTAAGAATTATTGAATAAAATTTAGGAATAACAATATTAAATTGAATAAAATACATTCTAATAATCTTAATATGAAATAAAGCAAAAGGCAATTCAGTAGGAAAATGCTGAGTTACAAGAATAAATCAATTTATTAAACCTTTAATTATAATCATTTCAAGAAAAGATCCCTGAAGAGGTACAAAGAAATGCAAAAGAGTATGAAGATATTATAAATGAAAATAACTAGAAAATATAAGAATAGTAACGAACGATTAAATAGTTAGAATAGTAAATAAAAGCTTAAATGGAAGAATATAAGCAAAATTTAGATTAGTAAGAATAACTCCATAAAAAAGAATTCTAAAAACAAAACGAATATAATTAAACTACGATTTAATAATTAGAAGAGGAATTGAAAATTTCCAAATAAGCTTTCTTAGAATAGAAAATTAAAATTGATGAATCCTAATAAAATTAAAATTAGGATTAGCTTTAGAATTCTTAATCTATAATAGAAAATCTTTAGCTAGTAAACAATACAATAAAATAATAACATCAAGAATTAGAACTTTAACATAATAATTTGAAATAACATCTTGTATAAGTTGATAAAAAAAACCAAGAATAATAACAATTGCTTGGATAATAGTAAAATTAAATCACTACATTATAATAGAAGGTAAAAGAGATGGATGGTATAATCAAAAATTTAGAAATCGAAAAAAATTCAATATCTAGCAAATTGACAAATGATTTGTAGGAATTACAATAATAGTTGTTCAGTGAAAACGATGAATGGTAAAAGGAAAAAGAAATTATTTAAAAACAAGTAGAAGACCTTGAAGCTTAAAATGAGGGATTGAAGGAGACATTGAAAGAAAAGGAATAACAGTTACTTATGATATAAGAATAGAACATAGCATTAAAGAGTTAAAATTAATTGTTGAATGAAATATAGTAGAAAGTGTAAGAATTAGATAAGGAAAACAAAAATAATAAACTTAAATGGTAACAATAGGTTGATGAAATGAATAGTAATTCTAATCTTTAAATTTAAAATTTAACAAATTAAATCTAAAGTTTGGAATAATAATCTGAAGTATATAAAGCAGACATCAATGAACTAAAGAGATAGATAAATTAAAAAGATGATGATATCAAATTAATAGAAGAAAAAAGTAAATTAGACAATTAATATTTGAATTCAAATTATAATAATAAATTAAGAGAATAGGATGAGTTGATATAATAACTCTAGACAGACTTATAACAATTTTAGCAAAGTGAAGTTGAATAGCAAAGTTTAATTAAATTTTTAGAAAGTGCTAAAGAGAATTTAGAAAAGTTGTAAATAGAGAATTCAGAATACACATAAAGGATCTAATTGGCAAATGATAAAATGAGTGAGAAGATTAAGGAATATGAAGTTAAAATTATATCATTAAAAGAAACAATAGAAAATTTAGAGTAAAGATTAAACTAGTTAGAATTTGAAAATTCAAATCATAAGTAATAAGTTCTATAACCTGTCGTAGAGAATTTAATCGAAAATAAATCTTAAAAAGAATCTAATTAATTAATAGAGTAATTGCAAGATGAAATAATATCTTTAAAATGCAGAATAGGAGATATGTTAAATACTGCCTCAGATATTGGAGGTCCAAAGTTGGTGGATAGATTATAATGTGCTTTAGGGATAAAAGAATGAAGTAAATATAGTTAGATAATTTAAAAAAAAATTATTATCATATTGTAGTTAAAATTTTACTAAATTCCTCTTCTGATATCTTCCCATCTTTGTTGAGATCACAATCATTTAAAAATTGTTCCCAAATTTCAGGTTCTAAGAATCCCATCGCTTCTTCTAGTTCATCCTTTGAAATATATCCATCTCCATTCTAGGAATAAATCGATAAATTACTAAATCAAGCATTCGAAAGGCCTATCTAATCCTTTCAATTGAAACTAATTTTTCTACTCTCATTGCACCCATAATAAACTCTGAATAATCAATAAGATTCGAATGATTTAAATCTAAAGTATCTAAAATTTAATTCACTTTTTCTTCAGCTTATTCTTAACTCCTTAACAAAACTCTGTAACCAGCTATCAATTCTTGCTTACTTAAGTTTCCATCATGATTCTTATCAAGAGCATTAAAAGTAGCTTTAAGTTCACTAATTTCTTAACTATGCAAGGTTTAACTCACCATATATGTCATAACTGCTTTCTTAAAATTACTTTATACCTAAGGATAATATAAATAATAACCTAAAACTTTTCAATATTGCTTAACAATTGTAAAGAGATTATTTCTTACTTGGCATTTTTTTAAATCCAACAATGTCTTAATGCTTAAAGGGCAGAATATCTTTTACTAACATCTAGGTTCAACATCTTGCTAATTAAATCCTGAGCATCACTTGATACAGTTGACCAATCATTTCTATCAAAAATAAGCTTCCCTGCTTGGACCTTTGCCAAAGTCTCTTTATCAGTCTTCCCAGCAAACGGAGGATAACCACACAAGAAAATATACAGAATGACCCCGCATGACCAAATATCTACTTTTTCATTGTACTTTTGATTTAAGACTTCTGGGGCTATGTAATAAGGAGTCCCTAATCTTTTTTTCATATCAAAGTTCTGAGTAAAATGACGGGAGGTTCCAAAGTCAATCACTTTAATCTCCTCTCCTTATCCACTCAATAAAATGTTCTCTGGTTTTAAATCTCTAATTAAGATTTGATTATAATATCAATACCTATGAACAATTTATTTCTCATGACAATAACTGACTGCTTATAATATTTGTTTGATGTAATCGGCTGCCATTCTTTCACTAAAAATTTAGAGTTTCTTTATTCTTTCGAATAACTCTCCTCCTGGAAGATATCTTAATTAATGAAATTAATATACTCTGTGACAACTATGTATTGATCGTCCTCTTGAAAGCATTCAAAAACGCGCACAATATTTGGATGATCTAGTGATTTTAGTATGTTAAGCTCTGATAACATTCTTTATTGGTCTTCAAATAACAAAGAATCCTTTTTAATTTACTTGAGTGCTCTCAAAATGCCAGTCTTATTATGTTTACCCAACCATACACATCCATAGCTACCTTATCCTAGTTTTTTCAAAATGCTATATTATTCATTCCATTCCCCTTATTTCATCGTAATAAAATTGTCGTAACTAATTTTTACTGATTTTCTCGCAGATGGCAATTAAATTGTCTTCTTCATCTTTGTCTGATGCGTAATTTATGTAAAATCAAGTTCAATTTTTGTTACTGCACTTAAGGTTGTATATTTTTGCATTGGTAAAATCAAGTCATCATCATCCTAAAAGGAATCCCAATTATCATTCGACTTGATCACAGGAGTCAATATCTGAGTATGCTTCTATAATTAACTTTAATTCATCTCTCGATGATTACAACAACTACTCCCCATTTTTATGAATTAATATTTTATAATAATAAGTTTCTTCAATATAATCTTCAGCATAATATAACAATAAGCTAGATTAAATCAATGGAAAATTAAATATCTAATATTTTCATATATTTATAAATTTTAACTAACAAATTGGATAATCTTGAGTCAAAATAAATTCAAAGTTGTAAATCGGAAAAGATTTTATTTCATTCCAAATTTAGTTAGATTTAGTAAGAAACCATCTTTAAAGAAGATATTTACTTGTTTTCTACTCAAAATGTAATACGGGTCCACATGTTCTAATAATAGCTTATCATTTTAATTAGTATAAAAATGAAAATCAGTTTTTCATCTCAAATTAGAAGTGAAAATTTCTAATGAAATAATTGTAACTAAACTTAAATTAAGCAAGCTTAGGTGTTTTTTTATCCAAAATAATATACTCACAGAAACGTGAGTCTTAAAAAGAGTTATTTTAAAAATTAATTATTCTGAAGTAAAATTAATCATATTTTATTTTTAGGAATTATAAATAATATTTAAAGTATAGAATTACATTTATTAATTTAAAAGAGACCCTTTTGCAACATAAGATCTTTCATATAAATAAATAGAAATCATTGAGTATTTTTCTCATAAAATGATTAAAAATAAATCCAACTATTATACTAATTAAAAAATGAAATAATTTAAATAATTTTGAGTTTAACATTAGACCTAATATTCTATGTAATCAACCATTATTTTATTGTTTATTATAAAAAATTCAATTATAACTTGTTATTTAAAAAAGACATATTTATGATATGACTGTGGTAAAATTTGATCAAATAATAAATATTTATATGTATTTATTTGGTTAATCAAAACCTCGTGTTTAAAAAATAAATTTCTTGTTAATAAGTGAAATTTAATGATTTCGAAAAAATAGATATATAGAAACTTCTTATGTAGAGAATGGAGGATTGGCAATTAAATTTATTGTTTCTACATTGCTATTACTCTGTTAAGTGCAATAATATTTGTATTTAGTAACTTAATTTATATGTACATTGTTACAGAAGAATTAATGACCAATACTTAAGAAATATTTCAGAAAGAGACCTATAATCATCTGAAAATGCTCAGTTACTTAGAAAAACATTCAACTTTAGATGTGTTTGAAGATAGTACAAGACAGCTTTTATCAATTAATTAGTTGTATAAGTTGATAGATAAAGATTTCCACATTGAGAAGCCATATGATTGCCTAAATAACTAATAATACAATGATTCATATGCTTATTTTTTCTCTTTTTGCTATGCTTTTTGTAATTTGACAAATGGATTGAATGTAAGTAAATACGAGAATATATTAAAATTAACATCCTTATTAACTGAAACTCTGAGAATTTATGATCTTTAATTAATAACATTAATGGCCCATGCGGGCGATGAACAGTTCTTTACATAAAATAGAGGATATGCTATTAGCAATTACTATCCCCATAGTAGATAATGGTATAGGGATCATATGGCTAAAATGGGAACAGGAAAGAAGGTAATAGTAAGTGATCCTTATGTCTCATGGATTGATGTAGTTTTCATTTCTTAAACAACAAATTTGTCTCACACATAATTCGAAGGCCTGATAGGTCAAGACCTTGACTTTACAAGAATGCCCAAGATATAAACCAATACATCATAGTATTATATAGTGGATAGCAATGGCAATATCGTCATAAGTGATCTTTATGCTGGAGGAGTAAAAGTGTTAATAAAAATTTACAATCAAAGTTTAACAGGTTTTAATGAGACTGATTGGAATAATATAATCCAAAATGACGAAAACATATTTTATGTTTATAACAGTGTTTATAAGAAAAATATTATCGTTTTAAAAACAGAACTGAGTGAATTAAATTACTTTTTATTTGTAGTTTATGATGGAAGCTAATATTTAAGCTAGCAACAAGAAATTTACAATAAGTAAATTGGGTTTTAGAGCGACTCAATTTATTTGTGTGTAAAGTTATTTGGAACATTTTTCCTACTGTCTTTGTTGGTTTAGATAGTGATAATTAATTATTTAATGAAAGATTTAAAATAGTTGGAAATGATGGCTACTAAGAAAATAGTCTATTTCTGTAAGAGCACTGTTTAGTTAAGAGAAAAAAGGTTCACTTCCACTATAGCTCGTTTATATTATGCATATACTAATTTGATAAACAATTTTGATTCAAATGGATAGATAAGGAAGAGTGAGTTATGCTCAAAAGTTCAATCCATAGAATTTCCCCAAAAGTATAGAAATTTGAAAACTAGGATTTCCTCTAAAATAATTCCAAAAAAGAAAATTTATAATTAAACTTAATTACTTGAATACTTTATGTATTTTAAAAACGAAAGCACTTTTTGATTATTGAATATATATTTTATAGGATAATTGTTGTATTAATTAGAAATTATATTTTAATGTTTGGTAAAGTGAAAGGGAATAGGAGTGGAAATTAGCAAAGTATTAGCAAAAAGAATAAGAAAGAATTGAAAGCACAGAGAAAATGGGAATAAGATGAAGAACGCATAAAAGGTTTGATAATTAACCAATTAAGGATCGAAATTTAGATTATTGAATGAATATATGTATACTGTAAATAGCGAGGAAGCCTAGAAGCATTTTAAGAACCATCCTGAGGAATTCAAGATTTATCACACAGGTTATGCCTAATAAATAGAGAAGTGGCCAGAAAGTCCTGTTGGGAATATAATCAAATTATTGACAGAGAGCGAGTAATTTCAGAATAAAAAATTGTAACAATTGAAATAGATAAGACTAGAGTTGTTTGTGATTTGGGTTGCGGTTAGGGAGAGATTCAGGAATATTTTCAGAAAGATAAGAGATTGAGTAAATTGATAACTGTGAAAAGTTTTGATTTAGTGGCAATCAAACCATATATAATTGAGACTGATATTAGCAATTTGCCTATGGATGATTGTAGTTGTGATGCGGCAATTTTTTCATTGTCTTTGATGGGAATAAATTATTTGGATTATTTGGGGGAAGCTTTTAGAGTATTAAAGAAGAATGGTCATTTAATAATAGCTGAAGTGAAAAGTAGAATGAATACAATAGATAATTTTGTAAATTTAGTTACTGGAATGGGAATGAAAATATTGAAGAGAGTAATTTGATTAATTTAAATGAGTAGGATGAGCACAATAGTCATTTCGTATTGTTTGTATTTGAGAAGATAATGGATGTTTGTCAATTCAATGGTCCTTTGAATTAGAAACGAGTTTATCAGATATTGGGTCAAAAGGATCCAAATTTGAAGGATTGGCAATCATTGGGGTAGTAGATATTGCAGCCATGTGTTTATAAGAAGAGATGACCGGTTTATGTTTGATATTAGATACATATTTTAATAATATTATGTAATAAAATAATACGCATTTAATTAATTCCGAAAAATTTGTATAGTACTTTTGAATGATTCAAATCAGGAATTTCTGAGGGAACATTATTATTTGAATTAAATAGAGAAGAGTGAAGATGCAAAAATACCCAACATTGAATCCAAGTTAAGAGTTTGATAGAAGCATAGCAATCTCAAATATGAGTTTGAGTCATATGGGATATAAAAATGTGGAAGGGAAGGTAGTATAATGTGCAAAAATTAGAATTTGTTCGAGAGAGTAAAGGGATTTTAGAATTTGATGGGGCCATTGAGACAATAGAAGATAATTCTTTACGAGAGGAGAAATATGTCTCCACCTGCTCAAGAATGTTATGGTACGAAATAAGTTTAAAAATAGGAATGGATGATTATGGAGATATATTTTATGGAATCAACTTCGCATCTGCAGATTACTTGGGACTGTGCACAAATGAATAAGCAAAAGTATTTAGTTTAAAATAATTTAAGGAAGCTGCAATGAATGCTGCTAAGGAATATTCAGTAAATTCTTGTGGAGCACCTTTAGCATTTGGTGCATCGAAATACTATATGTAGTTAAAAGAGGAGTTGAAGGATTATTGGGGAATGAACGAAGTAATCCTTTACAGCGCAGGATGGTTGGCTGGATTTGGAGTTGTTAAAGGTTTGATAAGGTATTTGAATTGAATAAAAACTAGACCTTATGATTTTGTGGTAATGGATGAATTATGCCACAATTGTCTCACTGAAGGAGCATTTGCAGCCACAAAGAATGTGTCAAGAGTACCACATTTGAGTTTGGAAGAAATGGAGAAAAAAGTTTCAGAAATCAGAACTGCAAATCCTGATGCCTGCATTCTAGTAGTCACTGAGGGTTTGTTCAGTATGGATAGTGATTACACTGATTTGGTGGCTCTATAAAAATTAACATTGAAGTACGAGGCCTTTTTGTTAATTGGATTGTGCTCACGATTTCGGTTGTATGGGCAAGACTGGTAATGAGTTGAATTTATGAATATAGGCAAGGGTGTCTTTGAAATGCAAGGATTGTAAGATTTCTCTAATGTGCTATTGATGTCTGGAGGATCAAAATGTTTATCTACAAATGTTGGATGGGTTGCCTGCAATTCATATGAAGTCATAGATTATCTTAAGTTTTTCTCATCTGCCTACATGTTTACAAACTCAGTCAATCCAGTTCAATGTGCTACTGCTCTGGCTCAATTAAGAATACTTAACAGTGAAGTGGGCAGTAGATTAAGAGTTAAGGTTTTGGAGAATTATCATTACATGAAAAAAGAACTCAATGCCAGAGGTTACCAGATAATTGGGTATCCATCTCCAATTTTACCTTTGTTGATTGGAAACGAATTGGTTTGCAGAGTAGTCACAAGACTAATGATTGATGAAGGAATTCATTGTAATGGAATTGAATATCCTATTGTGAAAATGGGATAGGCCAGATTGAGAGTCAATTTGTAACCCTAGCACACCAAAGAGTATCAATTCTTATATTAATTTAGACACATGGACACTTTCATTGAAACTTTCCATTTCTGCTTTGTAAAAGCAACCTAAATTGTACAAGAGTCCCTAGAAAAATATCAATTAGCTTTGGAACAACAAGAACAGACACAAAAAGCAAAAGACAGTCAGAATAAAGCTAATTTCAATGATAATAGAATGGAACTCAAAAAACCAAATTTATGAATTATTAATTATCATATTATATATATAAATAATTTATGTTTACTGTCATCAACTCTAAGTTGGGACTTAGAAGAGGAGGAATGCAAACTGTGACATCAGCTGCAATGTCAGAGATAAGGAGAGTATATACATGAGAAGTATTATTTAGTAAAGATAAACAGAGTTTAGAAAGAAAATCAAGGAAACCAGGACTAATGATTTCAGAAAGAGACCTCTAGGTTAATTCGAGTTGTACACACTCAATGACAAATTGGAGAATTCCTCTGATGAGGATGAATTTCAAAAATAAAAGAAATAGATTGAACAATTAGAATTACCTTTTGAATCCTTAACCAGCACTCTCAGAACTACCAAACCTGTGTTCATTGAAAAAAAGAACTATAAGTATTTCAATAATTGAATATAAGACAGGCAATTGTTCAAAAAGTGAAATCCAAAATCCAGAGCTTCTTAAAAACCAAAGATAACAATAAGATTGCCATTCAAAATCAAAACGATAATTGGGTATTTCACGCAGATGGCTACGGTAAATTAATGTGGGATACCTTCTGTATGTTATTGATTTTTTATGAAATCTTAAGCATTCCCTTCAAATTAAGTTTCGATGTAGAAATCAACGCCACTTTAGATTAAATAATCGATATAATGTTCATGTCTGATATCATTATTACCTTCAATACGAGCATATACAGGAAGGGAATACCCATATATGGTAGAAAACAAATAGTTCTCAATTACATTAGACTTTGGTTTTGGATTGATCTCGCCGCCTCATTTCCTTACGATTCCATAATTACAGCTTCGACGGGAGTGAGCGAGGATGAGAGTTCATAAACTACAACAACTCCTTCTAAAGATGCTACAAAATACACTCAAACATTATCCTTGCTGAGACTTGTTAGATTCATGAGATTTATAAAGATCATACGTCTGTTGAGATTGGCAAAATTGAAGGTTTTCTTTGATAAAATTGAAGATGCCATTCAACTCAACATTATGTTGTCTACAATAGTAAGCTTTATCAAATTGAGTGGATTTGTATTATTTTGGTCTCATTGGTTAGGATGCATCTTCCATTATATTGCTGTTAATGAAGACTCCTAAAACAACTGGCTCTATTATTATGGCATCTATGATGAAGATTGGTCAGTTAAATACATCAACTCTCTCTATTGGGCTGTTACTACTATGAACACTGTTGGTTATGGAGATATTTCCCCAAGAACTCCTCTGGAAAGACTATTTGGAATATTCTTTTTGATGATAGCCACTGTTGTATTTTCAGTCACTTTGAATAGTATTGGTTCATCCTTGTAAGGGATGGAAGACAAAAAGGCTGAAATTCGTAAGAAATCAAATCAGATTTTAAAATACATGAAAAAACTGCAAATTCCTGTTGCTTTATAAAATAAAGTGAAGAAATATCTAACTTATATTTGGGAACAAGAAGCCATCTTTAATCTTGAACACATAACTGATAATCTATCTTATGCTCTCAAATTTGAATTCGAAATTCAAGTCAATGGTACAATCTTAGGCTACTGCCCTCCTTTAAGACATAACTTTTAAAAGACCTTCCTCAAATAAGTGACCAAGACTTTCAAATAATACACAGCTTTACCAGAAGAATTCATATTCTTTGAAAACGAATCAATAGCTACAGAAAAGCATCTCTATTTCATTTAAAGTGGCAACATTGAGATTATCCTATAAAGAAACAATTAGAAACTCAATAAGCTAGAACAAAAAGACTATTTTGGAGAGATTGGATTCTTTACAGGTTTATCTAGAACTGCATCTGCAAGAAGTGTTAATTATTCCTCTTTAGTCTATATTGATAAGTCATTGTTTACATAACTGTTGAAATAAAATCAAATTGATTTGGTATTAATATTATAGTTAACATAATAGGAAAGATTCAATTACATTAAAGACGAAATCATATTCAATAAAGGTTATCATCATATTAATGTCTTTTGTTATGGTTGTCTTAGAGATGACCATACTGTGATTGATTGTCCAGATATGCACTTTATAGTGGAATAGCAGCAATATTGTTAATTTAAATCTAATTTTTAGAAGAAAATGTAAAGTCTTTTTGAGAGGAATGACAGAGTTTATGTGCATGCCCTTCGCCATAAAAATATTGTTAAATTTGTAATCATCTATATTTTCAATATTCAAGACTGTCACTCAGATTTCTTCCCTTGCTTAAAAACTTATGGCTTAGTATGATGAGTGCAATTTAATTGACGAAATGGACAATGGGTAATTAGTAGAAGAGAAATTTGAAACTTAACAAAAGTTAGCTAAACCTCCTAAATTTGGTCCATTCAGGTCCAGATTTAGAGAGGATAAAGCTAAGTATAGAAAAATGAAATCCTACATCTAAGATTAAGAGATGAAGATCAAGTCTTTAAAAGCCTAATAAAATATCAGTTAATTACTTTTGAAATGTAGTAACTCATATTAATTCTTAGAACTTAGTATTATTATGCAATAAAAATCGGCTAATTAAGAGGAGTAAGTAATTAAATCTGAATTCCCATAAACTAAATCCATGGCCACGTCTATGAAAGTAATTTCAAAATTTAAAGAGGAAGAAGAAGATGATAACAAAGATAAACAATCATCTGATTATTAGACTGTTTCCTCATCTGATTTTGATGACGAGGGAAGTGAGGAATAGGCAGATAAATTAACCTATAAGGAAATGAAGACTTAAAATCAAATATTAGAACTATTAGAAACTTATAATCAATAACAGAAGGAGAGAGAACAGAGAGAGTAATAAAATAAGGTTTATTATGTTTAATTCTATGATAGTTAGAGTCTTAATTTATTTTAATAAATAACTTTGAAGTTGGAGCTGATTTTCATAGCTATTATCCTAAATACAATAAAGAATAAATGATCTACGAATATAACAAAATAAAAGACAATCAGAGATTTAGACCCAATTTAGTCTAGTTTTACGAGTAATTGTTAATTTATGATTAGAAATGACTTTTATCATGAATTAGGAATAACGTACATATTTGATAATGGAAGTGAAGCCCTCATAGATAGACGATTTAAAACCATGTTATAATAGGACAGACCAAGTGGCAAGAAGTTAACTAGAATTGCTAAATAATCTATGGGATTAATTAAAATGCCTGAACAATTAAGTTAATTTTAATCAAATAATTTAATTAAATTTAGTGATTAGGAGATTGAATGACTATTAATTAATTTTTATTTTCTATAAGTATAAATAATACAGATTAAAATAGAATCATCTTATGTGCATATTGATTCTTTGTTCAAATCTTTTCTTAGATTCATCCGCCTTAGTCTACTCAAGCGGAATTTAGAAGTAATACTTCTGATTAATCTTATTTTTTCTATTCCCCACCTTTTGAATCCAAATTAAATTCAGCACTTCTTGGCTCCTAACATCTCGAAATAGTTTCAACACAGTAATCAATGATAAGAATTGAAGCATAGCTGAAATGTACAAATAGCAAATAGTACCTAAAATAAACATAAATTTAACCTACAGGTTTATTAAGTAGATCAGTTAATAAAATAACAACAGACAATGCTCCAAAGCAAATTTCTAGAAACACTCCAACATAAATGAGCATCTGGATCTTAGCAAGTACTTTTTTATCTGCATTTAGATTTGAAGTTCGTATTTATCTTTATTGAGCAAGCATCTCAGCTTAATACTCCTGAGCAAGTTATATTTTAGTTTTGTTATCATTCTCAAGTTAAAAGGAATCTAAATTGATCACTTAATTTATAGTATTTTTTTTAGGTGTTTTATTTTATCGTTTGACTTCATTTACTTATGATTTAGTTTTCTCCACAATTTTAATCTATTATTTTTTTATCTTCTTAATATTATTCCTATCCTTTTTTATATTCCATTCCAAATCTACTTAATCAAAGTCTTCCTCATTCAATAAACAAGAATTAACTTTCTAATGATTAGACCCCTCATCTGCATGTAGTGAATTTTGTGATTCTTCGCTAACTATGGTTTTCATTTTGCATTTTTGAGCATCACGTTTAATTTCAGTATTCTGCTATGTAGGAGTACTTTGCGGTGATCTGAACGTCACTTGCTTTTTAAAAAAAGTATGATATTAATGTTTATCGATTTATGTAATGGCAATGGCTCTGGCAGTTTCCTTTTGACTTTCATCACTTACACTTAGGGAACTCAACTTTAAAATTTATTAGTCAGGTGTAGCTGGTGATTACAAATGATCTTCTTATTAAATCATCAACTAAGTTTTTGATAGTATAGTCTTTTGATAACAATGATAGGATTACTTGCTAATTATTTAATGAGAATTTCAGCTTCTCTTCTTTTTCTTGCTCTCGGTTATCTTAATCCAGCCTTTTGAGTTGTTGTTCTATGCATTGATTGAGGGATCTACCGTATAGAAGAAATTCAAAAATAAAGGAACTAATATAAATATAGCAACTTACATGAAATTGAGTAACAGTACTGCATATGCAATATATAAGATAGTTTTATATTATTGTCCTAATCTTAATCCTAATTAAAGGTTTAAAATTTACCATTTAATGTACTGACAGCCAATTAAACAATTAAGACAAGGAAGAGTCTTATTTTCATGATGTCTTTGTAATATGTCAGAATGAATTTTCTGTTCTCGGTTTTGGGGGCTGATTATTATTCTTAATTATTATTGTTTTTCTTCTCAGCAATATTAAATGAGATTTCGTCATACATGGTATACCAAACCATCAATAAAATCCCATAGATGTAAAATAGTATGGTGTAAACTACTTCTGCCAGAATTCTTTCACAAACTCTTTCCTTGTAATCCTATTAAAAATGCGAATGGGAAATACATATAATTAAAAGGGGTCCAGGCCTAACCATAGTATCTTTAGTACGCTTAGTAAGATAGTTAGACATAAAATACAATTCAATGGGGATCCCAGGACATTCTTGATATAATTACATCCTCTATTGATAATTATCATCTATTTTCATACTTCTGATAGGAAGGGATTTTATTCATTTTGAGAGATTGTTAGAATTGTTTTAAAGTGAAAAGAAGGAGGATTGTAAAGAGTATTAAGAAGAATCCTATAAAAGTATAATAAGTTGCCATGTGGAGTTCTTCCAGTTTCAACTCACAATCCTCTCCGAAGTACCCCAAATCACATTAGCATGATCCATCTTAATAGAGTCCACGATCGCTGCAATTTGAAATCTGTAATTCTTTTTAAACGGAACTCATATTAATGTAATAATAATCATAAATATTAGCTATTTTGAATTTTGTATTCACTTCCTTCCAATTTCTTCAGCATAGTCTTGAGTTTTTAATGAATGGACATCATATTGACTTTGTCAGTTCTAATTTAATCTTTATTGATCATTACCTGGTATTAATCTAGATTTATTCAGTGCCTCTTCCAACATTCTTTTAAATAAATCCAATAGCATCGATCATGTATTTAATTACTTAAGGAGAGTTGATACCTACTGTCATTAGGCTGATCACACCACTTTATAATGAGTCTACCAAAATGAAAGTAGATCCTATCTTTTTTTCTAAATTGAAAGAGATAGATTCCAATCTACATAATTGAAAGAATGTCTTATATTATAACACATCCAGTCCTTCATTCATTATCGTTGGACAATAAATGGAGTATCTAACATTGTTTTATCTGTTGGTATCTTCCACATAATAACTACCTGTAGAAACATCCAATCTGCCTCTCATTAGAAAATCAAAATATATAGATGCGCTACTATATTGATTTAAGAAGCAATCTAACCCAATTACTTGAAATCCCTACTTATTATTTTCTAATTAATATCCTATTGTGTCTATTGTAAAATATCCGATTAATCCCTTGCCATAGAGTTTCTAAGCAATTTAATGGCATAAAACTTCTTGATTTATCTTCAAAAAACTCTAGGGACTAAAAGAAGCAATAGTTTAAATTTCATTGGTTTTAATCTTTTCATATGATCCTAAAATGGAGACTTCTCCTGTAGGTTCCACTTTGAAGTTGTATGAAATTGAATGTATTTAAGACAATCTACTTAAAGGTGATCCTTCTATGATCCCTCCTCGATTGGCTATACTCATTATGAATTCATGGTATCCACCATACAAATGAGGAAATGCATAATGAAGCTTCTTCTTGATTTTCTTTGTCAATATTTATGCTAACTAATTGATTTCCAATGGTTATATGTTTTTGATCATTTTCTGGACCTCTAACCAAGCTATGCCTCTTCCTTAAGATTCATCATCCACCTTAATAATCCAAGTGTTTATAGTTGGATTTTTTATTATCAAAACTGACAATGAATTTATTAATTCTTTTTCATCGTAAATATTACGAATAGTTGGTGGTTGGGGCATTTGTAATTCATCAAACAATACCTTACAACCCGATTTTGTTGAATAATATTGATGCAATTGTGGAATCCCTGAAAATATTGGAACATTTAGAATATCAGATATTTTTATATCATCATTCGAACAAACACCAGGTACAATATAGGATGATTATCCTCTTATTAAGGATTTGATTCTCTTTAGAGCTCTTGGTGAATAATACAGCAGCTGAGACAATCCCATATGATTATTGAAAATATTGTAATTTTCCTATGATTATATGATATTTATACTGGCCAAACAAAGTGCAATCTATTTTTACAATCTGAAATGTCTCCAAGATTTAGAATTTTATAGAAGTAATCAATCAATTCACTAGGTAAGTCAAATGGAGCTACATAAATTATATGCACGAGAGGATCCTTTAAATTAAATATCCTAGTTATTTAAGTATTCTATCTCTAAGGAAATTTGTCCATGGAGAGTCTTTTGATTTCTTCAAATGAAAACGAGTTCAAATGAATTTCAAATCTTTATTATAATTTGATAAATGGCCATTCCTCTTTAAATACATTCTGTCTATTTTTGAATCTCTCCAACATATAATTATTATTTTTTATGATTTGCTTTTATACTTTCTTTCTGAATAAAGATACTCTCATTGATCTTTGAATTATAATCACTTTTTCTACCATAATTTTCAATCTCTAATAGTTTTTCCTTGCTTGATATCCTTTAAACAAAGCAGATATTTTTGTGGCTGCCTAAACTTAACCATCTTTTGATTTATACAATAATGTAGGAACCTTCAATATTTTTTATAGATCTTCCCAGTTCTCAAAACATTAAAGCAACTCAGCCATAGTAAATACTTGACTTCTGTCAAACTCCTAAGATAATTTCTAGACCTTAGAACCAAGTATTCTACAATCCTAAACGGAGGTTGATTATGCAATCTTTTGCAAACTTATCAAAATTGGTTCTATCTTACTCCAATTCTCATAATATCTATTTTAAAATTGAACATATTATAATTGATCTGTTTATAATAATCCATTTTTGACATGAATCATATATTCTTGTTGAGTGCTTAAATTTTGTAATTATTCTGAAATGGGTCTCTCATGTTCTTTTGATAAGGAAGTAGCCTCCTTAGCATCAACATATTTTGGTTTTGATTTACTTTGTAAACTCATTTTCTTTTAATTATAATTGGCCTTACTATTATCTTGAACCTATATCTATCCAACACTTTGTGTATTTGTTCCAGTGACATCCTGTTTCAAATCAGTTTTGAAATTATTCTAAAAGGATTGACTTTCGAGTTGAACAATCTTGTTTCCAAATTGATCAGTGTAATCAAAGAAGCTAGATGATATGAGGAATGGGAGATACTTTGCTTATTGATTTCTAAAGGCCACATTGTTTGGATTTAACAACGTATTGATATCTTGCTTTTTGATGGTCCCTTGGTTAACAAGTTCTGTGATGCCCTTCTTATACAGAGTCAGATCATCCACTTTAGTCAATTATTGTTAAGACTGTTTTTTTGATTAGAACTTTCTGCTAACTAAATTAAATCATCTCTAAATATTTACTTACATTAAATAGCACTTTTTACAGTGTGTAATCCTTTTGGTTTGAGTGTTGATTTGCCCAGCGGTTCCACACTTAATTTAGATTATTATTATACCTCACTTATGGGAGTGTTCGTACGTTGAGAAATTGATCAATAAAGGGTAGTTGAACTTGTTGTTGGTACATGCTGTTTTGTGAGTTTGTATAAAATTGCGGTTAGAGATTTCCTAATTTATTCATAGCATACTATCATTAACATTTGGTAATTTTTGGACAGTGTTATCAAAATTGCTTATTAGTTGATCATAAAACGCTGAGTTGACATTTGACAATTTGTCTTCAAGAGTTTTCAACTACTCATTTAATTAGTTATATTAATGTTGGAGGAATGATGATGTCTAAGCTATTCGTTATTTAATTAGAAATACAGTTGGGTTTTAGCTTTTGCAGTTGTTTTTTCACCACCTCAATCTCCTGTTGAGTTTTGATATAATATGTTCCCTTGTCATCTGAAGTCATTGTTAACATTATAATATTTTAATATTATTATTTTATGTATTTTTCAATAACTAAAAGCAATCCATAATTATATTAAATATTTCAAAGTTTTATTACGGAATTTCAAAGATGGGATGCGGTTAATTAAAGCAAGACTCAAAATAACTGGAAGATAAAAATTTCAAATCCAATGTACCTATTTCGACTTAGGTTTCCATGGGAATGACTGTTATTTAAAAAACTGAAGCAATAGACACAGACTACATTCTTCATAAACTAGATCCACTAGCAAGTAACCATCATCTTATATAATAACTAGCTCTACGATCTTATATACGGAAGGGAATCTCGAAAACATAGAGTTAAGCACGAATAATCAGGACTTATAATTGTTCAAATGCCAGTGTAGAAAGAAAATAACAATTATAAGAGACTATTAATCTGTTGTTATCATTGGTATAAATTTTTTCTTCAATTAGAAACATCTCAATATTCAAAGCACTTCTGCCTATTATTACTGTGATTGCAGATTAAGTTTAATTGGTGAATTCATCGACGGAGGCAACCTTTTAACTTAGCTGGATAAATTTAGCTAATTGCAGCAATACCAATAGATTGAAATCTTTTGTTAGATTATGGCTGGAGTTTAATACTTACACGATAATGGAGTGATGCATGGGTATAGTTCTAAATGAAATTAGTGATATTCGATTAGAGCACATTCTATTTACAAACAGAAATTTAGAAAAAATTAAATTAATCGATTTTGGGATACCAAATTCAATCAAATCAGAATTCTCATCGTGGAAACCAAAAAATACTATGTAAGAGTTATCGTTTAAATCTCCTGATACTATCAAAGGACAATCAACTTTTAAATCAGATATTTATTCATGTGGTTGTCTCTTGTATTTCATCATAACCTCTCATATGCCATTTTAGGCTAATAATTATCAATCCCTAAAAAGTTGCATCCTTCGTGGTGTTCCTAATTTTGATAGTACTGAGTGTACTAACATGAATCCCTAAATGAAGCAGTTATTAAGCAAGATGTTGGATGCCAATCCTCAGAGAAGACCATCTGCATAAGAGGTCCTCAATCATCCAGTTTTGAATAATAGAAATAGAATTATGTACAAACCTAATAAATAATTGTACAAGCATATGAAAGAATTCAAAGTAATTGTACTTCTAAATTAGATATCCTCTTAAATATAGGCAGCTATGTTAATGTATATTGCAGAGAACATGATGTCAGAATAGGATAAAAAGAGATTAATGGATGAATTCTAAAAATATGATCTCAATAAAGATGGACAATTGACCAAAGATGAATTACTCAAAGTTTATTCAGAAACATTGCCTCCTGAGAGGGCTTTAAAAGAAGTGAATACAATTTTTAAAAGAATAGATGTAAATGGAAGTGGTAAGATTGATTATTAAGGTATAATAAAATTGATTATTTTAGAATTCATTATTGCAACAATCGATTAGAAGAAGTATTTTAATAGGGAAAAACTCTTATTGTTATTTACTTAAATTGATAGAGATCACAGTGGAGAATTGAGTAGACAGGAAATCAAAAAATTATTAAGAGATATGTAGATACCAAATAATAAATATGAACAACTAGTTAAATAATTGGATCAAGATGGTGATGGAGCAATAACACAAGATGAGTTTCTCAAGATGATGTTATAAATTTGACTTTATGTGTAGTATACAATTGTGTGTTCTTTTACCTTAACTTTTATTACAATTAGACATAAATTATTAAAATGAATTCCTCCTAAAAACTAAAGGAATCTCAGATTCCTGAAAAGGAGAAAGATAAAAATAAGTCCCAAAAAAGCAAAGAGGATGCCAAAGAGACTCTTAAGAAAATTGTCGAATAGGCTCGTTAAGCGATCCTAGAGAATAAGCTCAATGTAACTTTTATGCAATAAGAAAGGCCACAGAAGAAGTTCACAAAGCCATGATAGAATACAAAGAGATTTTGGGAGGAGAAAATAGTGTTCTGCTTCTACCTGGTTTATTTATATAGGCAGAAGGATACATAGCAGAAGGCAAATTGAAAAAAGCCGAAGAATTTCTGTAGGCTGCTTATTGGAATCTTTATCAATACAATAAACCAAAAGAAAAGGGAAGCGAAGATGGCAACAAAATGGGCTAAGATATTTCAGAAAAGGAGAATGCAGAATATAATGGTCAGTTGCATAAAATATTTTCAAAACTCTATTTTGCTTAAAAGGATTACAAAAAAGCATTAGCAGAATTAACGATTGGAGTAATTGTTATCTCTATTTTTTCGATTAGATTTATACGGATTCCTGCAGTTCTGATCCAGAGCATCCACAGACAAGTCTGAATTACTATTATATGGGATAAATTTTCTAATAAAAGAAACAAATCTCAGAGGCTGAATAATTTTATGCTAAAGTAATCTCAAAGATCAATTATTCTAGACTTCCTAATGTTGGTATAAATATTTAAAGAGATATTACCAATATGGTACACCATCTAGTGAAAATCTTCCAGAAGAAGTCATTTTCAAGGAGGCTTTACAAGTTCTCAAATAGATTGAAGGTTATATAGTTTGATTCATATTAGAATATTTCAGAAAACACATTGACGAGAATAACATCAAGTTATACATTATACCAATCACTAACAATTTGTAAGCATAAGCCTTTGTTTACAAAAAGTTCAATAACGAAGAACAATATAGACATTATATGGGGTTGGCTTATCAAGAATTTCTTATGCAATATGGTGAAAATCATAAGAAGACAAAGAAAGTGACAGAAATTTAGGAAATTATTAAATAAAGGGAAAGAGATTATTGAAAAATTAATTATTAATAATTTATATATAAAATGCAACTAAATGAAGAACAATAAGAAAAAGACAATGAAGTCGATTATTAGCATGTCTATAATTCAAGTTTGTTTCGTAAATTAACAACTCAATAAATAAGAAAGATTCTTAATCCTTACAAGTAAAATGCAAAAGAAGTTTTATAAGAGTTATCAAATCAAATTGACACCTTGGAAGAAGGGTTGAAGAAATATCAAAATGAAAACACTATGATACCACCTAGTAAATAATAGATTTTGGATATTCTCTAACAAAACACTGCATTTACACCAACTGAATCTATCCAGTCATTATTATCAGAGAAAACAAAACTGAAAACCAGTTACCTTCATGTTGATAATCTCTACATGTATTTAGTTACAAATACTATTTAGAAATCAGGATGAACATATCCCTTAAACCAAATTGGAGATTATGCAAATGGCTTTGTCTAACAAGACCATTCAAAAACAATAACGAAAGGCTATCAAATCAGATGATCTATAAAAAAAGAGAAAGATTATCATGCAAATTCAATAGAGGATAAACTAAGATGAAATTTTGAGAAAGAAGAAAGAGGAAGAAGAGAGACTACGATTATTGGAAGTACAATTATCTTATATATTAGAAATAAGCTAGAGAGGTAGATGTTGGATAATTGACTTTAAATATGATTTCAGATCTAAGGAAAAAATATTTTAATGAATTAGTTTCCACAGATACAGATGAAAAGTTCAAGAGAATTAAGGAAATTAAAGAAGTCTATGTTCCATAATAACTAAATAAAGTTAAAGAAGGATGTATATCATTAATACTATGATAAGATCAAAAATAATAATAAGAGAAACTAAAGCATGATTTAGTATCAAAGAAATCGCAATTCAATTCATACTATTAATTGCTTGCTCTTGAGAGAACTATGAAAAGTGTAGTTGCTTTGAAACTTAAACCAGAAATCAAATCCTATTCGAGATTTAAAGGAGCTGAAATTCCAAAGAATTATTCATCAATCAATAGTATTGTTAAGGGTATCATTCATACATCCAAAAATTCAGAAAACAAAGGATTTAATTGAAAAAATTAATTTTTCTATAAATTTTATCTAAAATTATAATTATGTAAGATTATGAATTTGAAATTCTCTCTAAAATGGTTATTAATAAGTTTAATAAATTAATTATAGTAGGAAACTGATGAAGAATTAAATCTTTATGAAAAATAGATAAAATTTGACTTTAATCTTAAAAAATTGATTAAAATTAAAAGAATTTATATAAAATAGGCTAAAAGTAAGTATTTAATGATTTTTACTAATAATAATGGATATATTTATAATAATTATATGGAATCAATCCTTTCAAACTTTTGAATTTGCAGATTTTCGAATTCTGATTTTGGCTAAGCTTTAACTGGTTGCTGGAGTCGAGTTATTTAAAATTCTTGAATCTACACTATAGAAACTGCTAGCATGTTGATGAGAATGTATCCTATATTAATGCTTTAACAGTTTCCATGAATCGAGGTTTTAGATTAACTTAAAGCATTCTTTGGATGGGTTTTTATTGATATAATACTATAAGAGAGAGCAAGCAGACTTTATGAATTCATTCAGATAGCTAAATCGTTTATTAGGAACTCCATTCTACTGAGTTAGTTCTGAGAGCTGTTTAAGAATACTTAATAAATTTAATTTCATAAAGATCGTGTGAATATTAAAGTCTGATCCGAATTCCATATTTAATTTTAATATTCTAAGAAAAAGACCCTAAAATATTTAATTTGGTCTTGTTGATAGACATTACCTACATATTTCTATTAGACAACTCCATGTTGTCGCAGTTATTCTGTTTAATAAATTGGATTACCCTCTTTCTATTCCAGTTTCTATCAATAAACATAGAGTTTCACAGAGTAAAATTTTACTAACATCTAAGTCTATTTTGGTAGCATTAGTATTTTTCCAAGATAAAGAGTTTATGAGTATTTTACACAAATAATCAATATAAATTTAACCATTATCTTGAAAATTAATAAACTCTGGTTTCTGCTTGATAAGAAAATTAACCAATTTTCCACATAAAATGGCACTATTTTCTTTAACATAAGGACTAAGTTTGATTTTAAAGAAATAAATCTATATTAACATAAATAATTTACTTTAATCAAATTGTCAAATATAGATGAAGTCTAATCTAATAAAATCATTCCTAAATATATATCTCTTTTATCAATGGTATGGTTTTTTGATTAAAGTAATTTGTGATTAGCCATAATTAAATGTTAAACTAAAATTGACAAAAACTAGGTTAAATTATAACAAAAAGGTTCTTCTTTTATTAAACTAAGAATTATAAGGATTGTTACTTTTCAATTTAAAATTAAACTGATTATTATTCTTAATCCCATTTACCTTAAATCACATCCTTTAAGGATAGAGGATACAATTAAAAAGACATATTTCTTGAATGTTTCTTGAAGATAGTCTTTGAACTTTCTTTCATAAAGGATTATGATTTCTAATCATACTTATTGTTGCTCTCCTTAGTTTCTACTCTTAATTCTAGAGGATTTGGATTATAATCATAAGGAACAAAAGGATCCTTCACCTAATCCTATTCATCTAAATCGAACATAACTGATGCACTTCTAAGAACAATTAATCTTTCTCTTCCTTCCCGAGATTACCTCTTTTTGTGTGGTTCAGTAATGATTTCAGCATTTTAAATAGCCTACCTTATTACATCCATCATTGAAGCCGGTTTTTCAATTGTTAAAGGTATGATATTATTAGATGATTTGTTAAAAAAAGATAGTTATTTAATTGTTTTTTTGTGTACAAAATGCTTAAGTTAATCAATATCCCATCTTAGATGAGCTTTTTCCTCAATGATATAATTAAAATTGTTGTTGTCATTCTATTAATATACTTTCTCTTTCAGTTAAAAATCTGGATTAATAGTGAAAACATCCAACATCTTATTGTTCCTAAAGTTTTATGAACATTTTAATAATAATTCACTCTTAGAACTTGGATTCACCAATATATTAATCAATTCAGTAAATAAGTCTGCAGCCTTAAAATACTCCCACACCTAATTGTACAGTGATTATTAATGTTCAGATGGGATATGGATCAATAAATTAATCTAAGTGAATAAATGGATTAAAAATGAAGAGGACTGATCATAATTAATGTAATACAAGAATGCATAGGGAATATTGTAATATAGAGTAAAGTACACTGAAATATCCTATTCTTTTTCTAAATAGAAAGTAAGTAATTGAGTTAAATGGTTAAAGTTACAGTACTTTAGTTAGTCTTCATTAAAGCATTAAGATAGATAGGAAACTAAGAATTTAGAATAATATTAGATACATGCTATTTTTAGATATGCAGGATTGACTTTAGCTATGATTGAATGATTTTCATCATCTGTTAAACTTTGCAACGATCTTATAGAACGAATGTGATAAAGTTGAGCTGGTGAGTTTAGAGATAAACAATCTTTAAGGTTAGGAATATCTTTCAAGTTGATGGTTCTATTCAATTCTATTCTAGACCACTTAAAATTAAACAAATTTCATTACGCAATTAGCAGGATCATACTTTAAAGGGCAATAAATAAAAGACAACATAATTTCTATATTGTCTTTCAGTTTGAACATATTTTAAGAATTAATTACACTGCTTGCGATTTTTTTTGAAATTACAGGTATAGGGTAGTTTACTTTACTCAACCATCTCTATAATTCAACTACAACCTAATTTTCCTTTCGGATAGAGTTAGATCTTGTTGGAGATTCGCATTCGAGATACTCTTCAATAACTTGAATTTCAACTGTCCTAGGTGTTCTTGTCGCTATTATTTCCTCAATTTCATGAAAAATCAATGGATTCAATTCATGTATTAAAGGCCATTTATTCACAATTCCTTACAAACTATTGTAGAGTTCCAAAGTAACTTTTTAATCATGAATATTCGACAAAATTGCTTTATAAGCTTATGTAATTTATTCTGCAACTGACTAACCTTCAGTCGAATCATTCTTTGGAATTTGCTTTATAAAGAACTAAAGTTAGATTATGCACTCTTAGTAAATTCCTGAAATATGGCTCTTCATTACATCTGATAGATAATTGGTGTCCTGTTAGAATATTTGTGAGCAGGCATTTAGAAATTAAATTTAGAACTAAGTGATGGGTGCAAATCTTTCTATAATTAACTCTAATAGCATCTTGATATTCTATCCAAACATTGATTATAACATCAACATATAAAAAAACAACTAATCTTACTTTAAAAGTAGATGCCACATGGACTAAAATGGTAATAATTATGCAATTTATTTGCATGCTTTAGACATATAGGTATATCTCGCTTATTCGTTATTTGTAGTTACCTTTATAATATTTAATATAATTACAGCTTCTTTTAAGTATTCTGCACACTTTAATTGCATTAGTTATAAAAGTGTATTTTATTTTATATTTATCAAAATGCAACAAACTTAAAGGGGAAGAAAGGTAAAAAAAAGTCAGAGCTCGAAGAAGATTAGGTCACAGACAGAAGATCCCAAAAAAAAATCGTTAAACAGGAAACCGTTGTGTTTGAAATATTATTTTGTTGGCCCAGGCAATAATGGCAAATTGATTTCGAATTATTTATCTCAATAATCGTAACGAGAATAATTATTGATTTATTAGAGGTTGGAAGATTTTAGATGCAGAAAGCGGAAAATCTTCAAATGATTTTTATTTGAAATGGGTTCAAACTAATTCTGAAATTCAATTCTAATAATTCAAAGAGGGATAGTAAATAATCAATCATTTACCTAACCATATGATTCTTACATCAAAATAGCTTATCATATAAACAATGAAAGAGTATGAAAGGTAAAACAAATGTAATTTGTTTGTTTAATTTAGAATTATAATTCAATTCGTCACACTTCTTTCCTGAAACATACAGAATTGATTTAACCCAAGAGTTTATGAGCAATGAGGAAGATCAATTTTTGAAAACAGATAATTCAGCAGTTTGGATTATTAAACCAACCTATTTTAATTGTGGAAGAGGCATAAAATTATGTTCTAACGCAAAAAAATTAAAATAAGAGTTTTAAAAGTAATGATATTTTGTAAATATTAGATTAAAATAAATCTCAAATTCAATAAAATCATAAAAAGGATTTTTGCCTAATGGTGTATTCACTCCTAATCTTAAAAAATGTATAGTGTAAAAATATATTTAAAATCCTCTGTTATTGGATGGCCGTAAATTTGATATTAGATGTTATGTATTGATCGCTACTTCAAGACCATTATTTGTTCTCTTTTAACATGGATACTTGCGTTTATCTGTAGATAAATATAATGTTGAAGATATGGATGATGAAAAGAATAGATACAAACATCTAACTAACGCAGCTATTTAAAAAAAGCATCCTTCCTTTAGTTCTTCTAAAGAATCAACCATTTGGTCAATGCAGCAATTTGAAGTAATCATATATTTCAGCTAAATAGTAATATTTAATAGAGAAAATGAATGTGACGCAAGAACAGATTGATAAAATGTATTTGTAAATGAAAAAAATATTTGCACATATAATTAGATGTGCAGCAGATAAATTTGAAAAGAGATTAGGCACTTTTGAATTGATGGGATGTGACATCATGATAGACACCAATTTAAAAGTGTATCTAATCGAAATGAATACTAATCCAGCATTATTTTTAGGTACATTCCCATAATGACAATTAGATACTTCTACTTAAGCTTAAGTTATTCCTCCAGTAGTTTAGCAAACATTAGATTTAGTCATTTGTTTAAATGATGAAAAGAACAAACCAATTGAGAAATGTCTGTAGAATGCCGCCAAACAAAAACTAGGTAATTGGGAAGTCATTCATGATGAATCTATTAATTTTAATTTAGTTGCATAATAATGATAAAAATTAAAAATATATGGTAATCAAGATTAATCAACTTTAATGATTTAATCTATAAGTTCCCTTGTTTTATCATTGTAATTAGATGAGGTTTAAACAACTTCTTTGTCTTGTCTTTTTATTAAAGAAGTTTTTAAAATTGCTAAAATAATAGATAAACTTACGTTGGCTTGTTTTATATCTATACTTAAATTATTTGAAATTTTAAAACTTTTTGGCCGCTTCATCTGCATCAATTTTCCATTTCTCGTTTAATTTTAATTAAGTAGACAACTGCATCTAATTATTAAATGTAATCTAATATAACTGATTTAAAAATTCATCACTCGAAATGAATCTCTTTAAGAGTTGTCTATATATTATTATAAGTATTTTACATCTTGTCAGTATGAGTAAATTGAGAATATTGCTTTTCCCCCTCTATATTAGGTTATGAGTAGGAAGTAGGCCTATGTTAAAAGAACTATCTTTATTAATTCTATCGATTTAACACTTCTTTTTTCATTTCATTTACACAATCTATCAGTATTTATTCTAATTCTCCTTTTTAGCAATTGTATTTAGACAGCTCAGCTTTTAATAATTGATTTATTTATTTTTCTTTTTATAATTATGATCTAAGTTCTTAGATCTGTTCCTATTTTGTGGTATCTTAAATCTAATAAATTAAGGTAATACTTGTTGAATATCCTAATTTTATCTACTTCGTTATTAGGATGACATTTCTCTTTTAAAAATTTCATGTTAAGCTGACCCATAATCTTATATTTTGCTTGATAATTGGGTTTTTTATCCTGATTTATTTGATGAAAATTCTCGTTTAGATGCATCTCCCTGTTCGTCTTTAATCGCTGTAAATTGTGGTCCTTCTTATGTAAATGATCTATAATCTATATTTTTTTTTATAACTGTCCTTTGATTAATATCTCCAACGGAACTCACTCTTTAGCCAATTCTTTATTCTTCACTTTTCTATTTATATAATTAGAGTAGCTCCTATTTCAAGGCTTTATTTTCTTTTTTAGAATCTAAATTCTTTATACAATTGATATACCAATAACAAAACATTCATAATACTATTTTTCTTCTTAAGTTATTTTTAATTTAAATTTTAGTTCTTCTATAGTTCTTATTTGTTCTTAACATAATTTATCCAATCTCAAGGCTTCTTCTCTAAAATAATCTCTCTCTTCTTCTAATATTCTTTTTTTTTCATCTGAATTTTATCGAAGTGTCTCTTCATCTATCTTTTTCTTCATTGCCTTTAACTCTTTTTATATTTCAGCCATTTGTTCTTTGTATGCAATCATAAAATCATCTTCTTAAGATTTAATAATTTTATCAACTTTGCCTTGCAAATTCTAAGAAAGTTTAGGATATTGATTTTACATCAATTATGTCTTACAATTTATTGTAATCTCTCTCAATCTCTTTTCCATATTTGAGATTATCTTCCAAAAAGACTTTCCTCCTTTGTGTTGTGAATTAAGTTTAAGTCAGTAATATGTTTTCAAATCCATCCATTACTGATTTGGTCAATGCTAATGTTAAATGAAGGTTAATTACAATTTTGAGATTCCATAATTCTTATAATGAAATTAAATTATATAAATGATATTTAGTATAATAAAGGATTATAGTTATTAATAAATGGAAAATAAATGATTTTATTCTTCTGCCATTTAAGAACTCTAAAAATGGTCCGAAGCAATTTGGTCAATGATTACTTTTTTAATAATTGATAATTAATGACATTTTGAATACATTTTTGGATTACTAAAGTTTTTATATAAATTATATCTTCTATTTTAAATCAAACTAGTCTAGTTACTTAGTAACATGTAATCTAAACAATCAGAAACTAGATAGAGTTGGACCTATCAAGTAATTCTGAGAATCATTTTTAATAGGAAGACAAACTCTTATTAGAACTTATCAAACTCAATGGGTGTGCATCTTGGAATCGTATAGCAATTGAACTTCAATCTAAAATGAAGAATCCCACAAAAATACGTTCACCAGCTGCTTGTAGAGAACGATACTAAAACATACTTAACCCTAATTTGAATAAAAGTATTTGGACAGAGGAAGAAGAACAAAAATTATTCAATCTTTAACAATAATTTGGTAACAGTTGGGCCAGGATAGCTTCCTAAATGACAGGTCGCTCCGATTTACTTTGTAAAAATTACTTTTATGCAACTTTGAGAAAAGTTTTACGTCGTCTCAGTAAAGCAGTGGGGCTGGATTAATGTAATTGCTCATGTTACTCTTTTAGCTTCAGACTTACTAAAATAAATTAAACCTAGTGTGTTAGGTGTGATCTATTGTAATGAGGATTCCCTAAAAAGCTTTAATATTGATGAAGAAATGAAGAATGATTTTAAAAAGATGATTAAATAATACAGACACACAGAGAAATCGGAATTAAGAATGTTACCAGAGGAAGAAATCAACCATATCAAAACGATGTTAAATAAACTATTTGCCATCAAGTAATATTTTGAGCATATTCACATTCTTAGCAACAATTACATTACTTAAAAAGGTGCAATCACGTTTAATAAAAATAACAAACAAGATTTAATCTCTTTGGAGACTAGCAAAATTAACCTTAATCAAAATTGTTAATCTGATTCAAAAATGTTATCAAAAATCTAAACCTCTACCCTGAAACATGATTATTAGGAAGAATACGATTAACAATTAAACTACTAAACTCAAATCTTCTAAGAGTAATAACCAATTCAAAACTTAGACAAGTAACCTTATTCCAATCACTATTCATATCCCCAACCCCTAGTAATTCAATTATCCTTATTAGATATCTATGTATACTCCCACTCCTGTTATAACATTCTATATCTAACCAAACTTCAATATCTGGCCAATCTAACCTGCCTAACTATACAGCCCACCTCAATGCCTTCAAATCCCTTAAACTTATACTTACATCAAATATGAATAATCATAATGATGTAATATAATCATACAATAACATAAATATTATTGAGATTTATTTATTTAATTTTCTAACACTGATAGAAAAATCTTCCTAATTCAAATCAATTTAATTTTAATAACTAATAATTATCATACATCCAATTGATCCTTTTATTTCATTCTTCTGCTTTTTAATAAGAAATATTATATTAATCTATTTGATTGATTTATACATTTTATACAGACTTTATTCGTACTTCCCTTATCTGTTAACGTATGCCTTAATTAAATTAAATTGTCTTACTAAATAGCAAATAATAATAAATATAGAAACGGAATATAATTAAATTTATTTATGTCAGGGTGGACAAGGGATTAGTTTTAAATGTCATATAAGATTTTATTTTTTTTGGCTATATAAACAATATTCATTTTAAACAACATGCAATTAAATTAATAAATAATACCAGCATAAAATGCAATTTTATAAGTTTGCTATTACCTATTATATGAAATAACATCAAAAGGTCTTGGTTAAATCTAGAGAAACAGCTTCATTATTGAATTTGATATTTTATGTGTAGTTAATTAGTTTGCTCTTAATTAATGAGGAAGAGGCAATTAATGTTAAGAATTAAAATTATTCCTTTAATTTATTGCAAACGTTCACCTATTTGAATTAGATCGGAAGGCCTTACTAAATTTTATTAAGCTATTAAAGTTTTAAGCCTTTTGCATTTTTGCTTCCCACTACTTTTCTATTTTTGATATCAATCGGATTTATAAAGAGCTTTATTGTTCATTATTTATTTTCAAAAAGATAGGTCTAGAAGACGGCAGCCTAGAATCCTGATTTCAACTCATAATTGTCAATAATATATTAGTTGTATTTTTATTTACTAGCCTTATACACATTTGACTTTTATATCATTTCAATTGCTGAATCAATATCAAATGCATTGATAACAAACATTTATGTGTTTGTAATCAGCGTTATCCTACTCTTCAATTCAGTTGTATTTGTATTCATGAATATATTGTGTTCAGAATCTATTCATTTTAAAAGTTCACCTTTGCATGTTTAATAATTACAAAAATACTAGTTTTTGAATGTTATATTGATCATTTTATCAATGTATTTCAAATCTAAAAGTGAAGAAGGGAGCGTATTCCCTGTTTACATTTTAAATATCCTTATTTTACCATCCTATATATATTCAGAAAGTGAAAAATAGGCCAATATTTATAATAAGCTCTCTTTAATTATATTATCTTTTGGTTTGTTTTAAAATATATTTTCATTAATCCTAATTGATGTTTCATTTGAATATAGAATTGGACTGGTATTTATATTATGCCCCTTTTTTATAAACATTCTTAATTACTACTAAAAAACCAGAAATTAATTAAACATCAAAAAGTCAAGAAATATTCCAGAAATATATTAAAATCTGATAATATTATCAGATCAAAAATCAAAATATTCACTAAAACATTAATTTGATTTCGTTATTTTAAATTAAAAGAATGAAATATTGAATGATTAAGATCTCTTTTAATAAGAATTATCCCTTTTCAATGATCGGATTGTCAAGGCAAGTAAATCATTAAAAACTTTTTGGTATTAAAAATATATATAAATAAAATATCACTAATAAAACTTTACTGATACAATATCTTTAATATACAATTTCACTTAAAATCAACTTTATTCTGAATCAAAAAAGTCATATTTTAAAGTATCTCTATCATTATCATTTTTACAAAGATTCTAATTAGAATTGATTTAAAAAGAAGTTTATTAGCTTTTATATTATAATATAACAAAAGGAAATGATTCATAAGAAAATGAATTAGCAAGGTAGTACATAATCTATTCATAAATTGTTCAAGAAGACTAATAAGAAGTAAAGAATTTATTTCAGATCAAGGAAAAGATATATTAGTAGATGCTTTAAGGAAAACATGAAAGCTAAAATCAATTATTTAATATGGCTTATTCTTTGACTGAAAGAGGCATAAAGTTTCTCAAAAAAATAAAGCTTGACTTATACGTTCATAAAAGTTATCGAATTCAGCAATTACTCATTATGCTATACGTCGATTTTTTTAATAATGTCTTTTAAGCTGAAATACTGAGGTTTAGTCAAATAGTTAATGAAGATAACAAGTAAAATATATATGAGTAATTTTCTTATATTGGATTGTAAATATTGGATGATATGGAGAATCTTGAAATTATTTAATACAGCTAAGACATAATCTCAAATTTAGGATATTCAAAAAGCAATATTTAACATGAAAATTTTAATTTTAAGAATTTAATTCCTACTGAATTTTATGAAATTCATTAATTTTTGATAAAAAGATTTCTACAAACTGGTTTATGTAAGAAATCAACAAAACCGTATGAATTACTTATCAAAGGAAATTAGGAGACTTTCTTCTACATTTAACTGCAATTAAGTGTTTAGCCCTAAACTAATAATCATATTTAAATCTTTGCATTTATTAAATTTTTAGAGAGTCAACCCATTTCGTTGTTTATCAATAGGGATAATAAAATTATAGGATTTACTAACAGTTTTATCAATTAATTTAAAGAACTTGGATTTGACAAGAAATCCCTATTTTAAAGCGATATCAACAAAATTATATCTAACTTCAAAAAATTACCTTTATAAAAACACACAAAATTTAGATTCATGTAAACTTAGTAAGATATTAGTGCAATAATAATTGAGAAAGACAATCTATTTGAATTGTAAATATTAGATAATTCTGATTTTATAATAGATTCTGATCAAGAGTAAGATGGTGAGAAAACTGTCGTTAAGAGTTTTTCTGATAAGCTTTTACCTAATCAAGAATCTTTCGTTATAATCCCTAATCATTAATTCTTTGAAGATATAAATCTTCCACTCTCAGAAGAAAGGAGAGATAAAACTGATTAAGAACTATTAAAAGAGGATTAAAAGAAATAATGTATTGTAACAATTAAAAGCAAGTTTGAAAGTGATAAAAATAGCGACTCTCTCAAAAATAAAGATTAAAAAAACTCAAAAAATAGTCTTAATTTAAAATAAGATGAATATAATAATGATGATCAGGCCTCTTCAAAATTTTCTAAGGGATTTCTTGACACTGCAATATTTTATAGTAAATATAATCAGTTGAATAAATTTTTGGAAAACAAAAAACTATTATTCATCTATGTTACTATCTCTTTATTGTTATTTGTATTATTAATCAACATTACCTATTTCATTATTTAACTATGTTACATTGTACCTAATTTTGATGAAGTGGATAAGGATGCTGATTTACTCTCAATTAAATCAAACTTTTTATCACCTGTTCATGATTGTATAACATCTTAATCAGCCTTTGTTAATTATTATATACTCAACATGTATTAAGTAATTACACTCGAAACAGCACTTAGAAAAATGCCATTTTCTCGAGATGCTATCACAAAATCCTATTTACTACTTAAAGCTTCTTATATTGAATAACTCAATAACAGAAATCTATAAGAATTTTTCTATGATAAATATATCGAGATGAAATTTCTGAATAATAATACCTTAGAAGCAAAAACAATCCCTTTAAAAACATCGTTATTTAATTATTTAGAATCTTAGTTCTTCGTGATATCAGATAATACGAATGTAGATTTAAGTGCTCTAAATTTAGTAGTTTCAAATGAATTTGTATATTTTATGGCAAATTTACTGACTATAGATAACTATTTTGACTCTTTAAGTGATGAAGTTTCAGTGTTTATTATAGATAGAAGTTTAAACAAAGAAAGTGAAGGAACTAAAATATTTTTAAAAATGACATTCCTTTAGATACTATTTATTTTATTAGGATTTTCCTATGTTTTAAAGAATTATCAAACTCATACCAAACATTTTCACTTATACACCGACATTAATTAATATGCTTTATAATTAGAATTGCAAAGATTAAATTAGATAGATTAGATTTTAAATTAGGAAAACGCATCATAATATTATAATTTTGAGATAGCAATTTATGAAAAAAAAATTCAATCAAATTTGTCATATTATAATTAAAAAATTAATCAAGTGAGATTACAGTGTTAATAATATAAAGCTCCACGACTAAAGATTTTGATCATATTTTTGATAATGACAACTTTTATCTTATGCCCTTAAGTCGTATTATAATAAATGGATAGCGATTTCTATGAAAAATATCAGGTGAGTAGTTATTGGGTTGAAAAGATTTCCTAAACAAGTTCAGCTTTGATTGCCGTTTATTCTTATAGAGATATAAACTATCAAATAGGTAGTGGAACTCCATATTACTTTTTTTACACAGATGAGTAACGAATATTATAAAATGAAAAAGTAGAGGAGGAATTAAAAAAAATCAATATGTTTATTACATATTTCCCATATCTTGATTAGTAAATTTTATACTATTTTAATTTAGTGACACAATGATTATAGATGACTAAACTATGGAAGTGTTAGAATCCATTTAATCAAGTAACATATGCAACTTTATGAGTCATGTAATTGAAAATTTAATAAGATTAGTTTAATTCTTCTTTGGCTTAAGAACATTGCGATTCAGTTTATAATGGAGTTATGAAATTAGGACTCTATAATTCTATATCGACATTATATGAATTAATTTCGCAAGAATATGAGAATACTAATGGATTCCAAGCTAAATTACGTCCAGTTATAGCACCTTTCGAAGATATAGAATTAGGAATGATAACATCAGATGCCATTCTTGCTATTCTTGATTCCATTCTCGAAGGTGTGACTGAAGCGATAATTAAATTAAGACTAACTCATTAAGTATGTAATTGTGTAATAAATTAGATCATTAGTATTATGTATATTCTTTTAGATTTGTTGTTAATTTTAGTGTTGTTTGCTTAATACTTTCCTTTTTTGGTGAAACAACAAAATACTGTAAAATCAATGATATTTTTAATTCCATAATATTAATTTTATTTGGATTAGAAATTTGAAACAAACTTTCGTTTGCTATTATTATTAACAAAATGATGCAAACTTTGATTTTGATTATTATTATATATTCGATTTATATTTATATATGGCTCAGATTTATGGTCCTGCATTAATGACTTCTGAGGTAGCTTTATCAGCATATTTTTAGAAGTTCTTTTAGAATTTATCAGCTAAATTTCTTAAAGTTCTTTCAAATTCACTCTTGTTGCTATTAAATAGATGAGAGAATTTACATCCAAGTATTTTTAGGATGGAGGATGCTATCAGGAACACCTGTGGCTCTCTTTGGGATTTATAAGTTGAAGATGTCAAATTTTTCAAATTCTCCATTAACCAATTCGCCAGTATGAATAGCATCGATAATGGATCTTGTGTATTTGAGAGACATTCTTTTTCCAATACCATATTTGCCACCAGACCAACCAGTGTTAACTAACCAGCACTTGGTACCATGTTATTTCATTTTTTCAGCTAACATAGTAGCATAGAGAGTTGGATGTAATGGTAAGAATGCTTCTCCAAAGCAGGCTGAAAAAGTAGCAACTGGTTCTTTGACTCCCATTTCTGTACCAGCAACCTAAAATGTGTTAATATTAACAAATTACTTTGGCTGTGTATCCTGAAATGAAATGATACATAGCTTATTCTGGTGATAATAAGGAAACAGGGGGTAATACACCATAAGCATCACATGTGAGGAATAAGATGTTTTTAGGATGTCCTCCAACAGCTGGATTCTTTGCTCCTGGAATGAAATCCAAAGGATAACTGACTCTTGTATTTTCTGTAATGGATATGTTATGATAGTCTACTTCTCTGGAATCTTTAGACATGAATTCAATATTTTCCAAGACGGATCCAAATCTTGAATAAATATAATAAATACTTGATAGCATTAAAAATTTCTGGCTCCTTTTCTTTGCTTAGATCTACACATTTAGCATAGCAACCACCTTCAATGTTAAAGATACCATTTTCAGACCATGCATGTTCATCATCTCCTATTAATTTTCTCTTGGGATCTGCACTCAAAGTGGTTTTACCAGTTCCACTCAAACCAAAGAGTAAGGTAACATCTCCATTGACTCCCTCATTTGCTGAACTATGGAGTGTAAGGATTCCTTGTTTAGGGAACATATAGTGTGTAACTCCGAAAACTCCCTTTTTCATTTCACCTGCATATTGAGTTCCTAAGATGACCATCTTTTTATCGGTGAGATTGACAGAAACACATGTTTCTGAGCCAACTCCTTCCACCAATTTTGGTGCACACATTGGTCCTGCATTGAAAATATGAAAATCAACATCATCACTGAAATCTTTCTTTAATTCCTCGTTTGTTGGTCTGATAAGCATGTTTTACATAAATAAAGCATGATATGCTCTTGTGCAAAACACTCTAATTCTAAGTCTACTATGAGGATCCCATCCTGCATATCCATCAACAACAAATAACTAAAATTCATGATTATATTTGTACTCTTGGTCTTGTATTCAAAAATTAAAGGGCAACTTGTTCCAAAAGATTGTGTGATTTCTTGGGAATTGGAATATTGACACTTCCCCACCATATTTCATGCTCAGTTTATTCATCAAACACAATTCTCTTGTCTTTGGGAGATCGACTATAATTATTATTTTTTGTTTCCTTACCCTGTTCTTCTTCCTGAATAGGCTACCATTGCTCCTGTACTTGAAATAGAGCCTGGTCGTGTCTCTGGATCTGGTGACAATGGATCCATAGCTGCAATTTCGTACAATTCTGGAGTACTGGCATTTCTAACAACTGAGGTATTATGTAATCCCCATCTTGTCAACTATTCCAAAGAAAGGGCTTTGCTAGTATTATATGTGTATCTCCACAAGTGATGCAACATTACTTTTGATCAAAAAGATATTATTAATATTAGATATATTCACTTAATATTATACAACCTTTATAATACACTTCTGAATTAAGATTCCTAACCCATTAATTTTCCTTCTTTTGATTCTAGAAACTTTTTAATAAATGGCTTTAATTCTGGTATTATTTCAATATGTTATGAATTCTTTTTTCTGATTGCAGTAATCAAAATTCTCAACAACTCAATTAAAATCGATTCATCATATTCTTTCGTTAAGACTTACACAAGAACTTCCTGGATTTCTTTTACTCTTGGATGGCTCTAATTATACATCTAGCAATAATGTAATAATCCCAAAAGAAAATGCTTTGAAGTATTCTAATTATTAATTTTATATCAAATACCTCAAATAATTCAAATTGGACTGCTCTTTACAACGTTTTTTCATGTTGATATTGGTGATCAACTAAACTAATTAGGATGTTTTCAATATATATCTCATCCAACTGATCTATTTTGTCTTCCAAAGCATTCAGAAATTTCCCTAAAACCAACTTATTTAATAATTTAGCAGAATTAAATGCATCTAAAATTACACACAAATTCTAAGGTGTCTCTTTTTCTAGATCAATTTTTGGATACCTAATAAGTTATAAGAGAAATTTACCATTTTTTTAAAAACTCCACAGTTTTGCTATTTTTTGTTTCAATTAATAATTCGCATAATAATACGTAGTATTTATTTGAAATCAATTCAATCTAATTCATTAATTTTCTAAATTATAAATAATTTTACTCTATAATTTTATCATTAACAGTCGAATTTTATCTTCCGATTTCATAAAGTAATAACCATAATTTGAATGCATCATCTATTGTCATCGTAGCAAAGTCTCTTATGGTCAATTCATTCTAGGATAAATGTAAATATTTATACTATAATTTTATCCCAACTCAGAATATTGACTTCATGTTAATTTAAATTTAACATATGAGTATAAAGTACAAGATGGAAGTTATTTAGAGAAGATAGATTCTGCTCTATTTAGTATTAACATTACTTCTCAACATAATAGATTTATTATTGCTTCTTTTCACTAATTTCAACATCCTATGATTCAATATGATTTTACCTAATCAAAATATAGTCTCGATATTATTTCGAAAATCACTAATTATGTTGTTAAATGATATTGCTCACATTCTACTTACAAGACATCTATAAGATCTATAAATTCTTTTTTTATTCTTTCATCAATTTTCATTGTTGGGTTTTGTGGTTCTATTTATTTTTCTATCAGTGATTCTATCTTCTCTTGATCATAAATATCTATTTATTCCCAAAATAATTTTAATATTTATTCTTCTGTGTTTTTTGGTTGATGATCTCTCACCGCATCCTTTAACTAAGTGGCTAATTAACAATAAAGAGTAATTCTTGAATCAAAATATATTACTATATGTTGCAGAGTCAAAAACTTTTGAATAAAGGTCCCATAATCAAGTATAATTCTCAGAGCATCTTAAAATTCCTGTTCATTTTAAGGGTACGGAGATTTTGAAAAGCAAATATAATTATTTATGGCTGACAAATAAGTTGTGAATTCTTTGAAGTCAAACAAAGATATATCTCGTTTAATCAATTTTAATGTCAATGGAAAAATGTCTGATTGATTCTCTTCAAATTTAATATTATTTAGAATAACATCATATCCAAGTGCTTTTCTTACACCCTCATAAGAAACAGGAGTCTGATGAACGAGCTTTAAGTATTTTGTGAGTTTTAATTTATCACTAAGCAACAATTATTTGGCTTAGCAAAATGTTCGAATAATTTTCATAAATTAAATATTAAATTGCTCAATCTTTTTCAATTAATGAATAACTTTTTATTAATAAATAATACACAGGGGCAACAGAATTATTTTCATGGCAAACAACCTCACTTTCATTTCTAAATATTTAAATTAACATAATTACATCTATATTCTTTTTTTATACAATGGACAATCTAAAACCAAACTTTCAAATTCTCCTCCTTCTCCGCATGGATGGAATCCAAATTTCTCATGCTATGATTATTTATAAATACATACAATTTCTTTAAAATGTTAAAACACCTCCTATATAGATTTTCCTAAATGTTGTTCTGACAAACCTAAGGCAGCTACCTTTATCAATATTATGTTCATATTGTTCTACAACATCTAACCTAATAAATTAAACTGGTCCTGATTCCATAAATAAGCCAAAGAGACTAAACCCAACCTTTAACAACTATTTGATTTGAATAAAAAAAGATACCAATCTTCTACTCTTAACTTTTAATAAGTTGAAGCTATGGCTCCAGAACTAACACCCTTAATATCTGGATACAAGGTCAATGCTTCCTTCAATACCTCAAATAGGTCTTCTACTTCGTCTCCCTCCCTTTCTTCTTAGTTACTTTAATAATCTAAGTTTGTGACTTTTGGCTTCCCTAGAATCTCTCTCTTCAATATTGGCTTATCAATAGCTAAAGATATAGCATCTATTATGTTGGTTCCAACACTTTGATACATGAAGCTATCAGTCTCCTTGCCAATATCTAGATTATATATTAATGATCCTACTTTTTGGGTAAAGATTGACTAATAAAACTAACTCATGGCCTTCCTGAATGCATCGAATGACATTGAAAATGGAATCCTTTCCTCCAGATACTAAGGCTAAGAATTTCATGAATTAATCTATTTTTAAGACTGATATTGGAACCGTTATGCGCAATTTGAAGCTTTTCATGCAACGTTTATTATGTAAAAAATGAGTAGTGCATCATATAATTTGCATATTAATGTATAGAAATATTAAATAATTGGGATTTTGGGAAAGAGAAAAGAGAGAGTTAGGGAGAGTATAAATAACATGTATAATAGAACAATTGTCCATAATTGTATTGTTTAATGAATCAATTTCTCTTGCTGATGAATTGAGCGGTGGTTGATAATTTCTCGCTAATGTGTTCTTGGAGTCTGTCAACGATTTCGTTTTATGCAGCTCTAGATTATAGTGTCTAAGATACCTTTCAGCAGTTTGAGTTTCATAGATTTCTGATTAGACTGCATACCATGCTTATTATCCAGCAAGTCTTTCTTCACTGTTTTCTAATTCTAAGGTGTGGAATTCGATCCATGATTGAGCATCTTCAATGGTGTCCTTTTATTCTTAGATTTAGACTTCCAATTAGGCCTTTCTTTCGACTAATCTGGTGTGTTCGTTACTCAAATGAACGCTGAATTCAGCCCAGTGAGCAGCTTATCTATCTTCGACGTCCTTAATTATTGGATTGAATGATTACAGTTTTAGCAGCCTTTTCTGAGACCAATTATTATCTGATTTCGCTCAAGAGTTAAGCAATCTTGGTTAAAGCCTTTTAGTTGACTCCGTGAGTGGCTAATTCTGTAAGAGCAGCAACGACTGGCTAGAGGAAAGATATATGAGATGCTAAATACTTGTAAGAGTTGGGAATGGGAGGTGTTGTCTGTGAGTCTCTTGTGAATGGTTTCGTATTTTGATTTGACTTAGACGAATGAGGCACCTAAACTCAAATGTTGAATTAATTTGGCAGCTTCATCAATGGCATCAATAACATCATCAATAGCAGCAACCTTAGAAACGAAAGTTTCGTGTTATTAGTTTCTTGTGGCTTCTTCTCTGGCATATGTTTATTCATTTGTTGCGATGTCTTGAATTGTGACTCTGATGTCTTCTTCAGAAACAGCCAAAGCTTCAATTGTGTCGTCTCTCAATTAAGTGTTGGATGAGATCTTGATTTTAGTGATACAAGATTTCCTTTTCCAAATCTTCGACAATCTAAGATATTCTTAATAAATATTCTTACTCTGTTGTTGGTTGTTGTGTCAAGTTCGAAAGCGTGGTCGTGGTCATTTTGATCTTATTACAATCCAGCAGCGACACCGTTCAATAACATATTAACTTCGTTGGCTGGTGATTAGGCTTGAATGTGAGCCTTAATTGCTGACAACACAACATTTCCAAATGGATCAGAATCAATCTGAGCCAAGGATGCGTGAGTATCAACAAACTTTGAAGCTGCAAGGGCAACAACTAATGTCAAGATGGCTAGTTTTTGCATATATTTTTATTAATGTTTTAAAAACGGATCGATCAAATGCTTATAATATACAATTAATTATTATTAATTACAATCTAATTATATAAATATCTATCTCTCAACTTTCCTAATTATCTCCCTTCTCTTTTATTCACCAATAAAAAATCCTAAGTTCACCATACTTAATCCTTCTATTTGTATTCATATTATTTCATTTCTCCTTCTCCTTTACACTAACTTGCTCGTTGAAACATTTTATCTCTAATCCTATTCATGTATTCTGAATCTCAGATTGAACGCTAGATCATTCTAATTCATGATTTATCCTCTTATATCATAGTCTTATTTGATAAATTTAACTGAACATTTTCAAAACATTTCACTCACTTCCACACATTAATGAGAAGACTCAAGGTTGATCCAATTTTCATTATCAATTATTAACATTATATAATTCTAATTTATAAATACAATGTTATTTTTTAATAAGGTTTAGCTATGCATTTTATGTTATGAGAAGTATTTAAGTCCTTTTATAATTAAAAGAATCTTAAGAAATATTCAAAAAAATATTTATTTAATTTTTTTATCATAGGATGTCAGCACCATTTTATACAGTTAAGGTATTACACTTAATTTTATGAAAGGATGTTCCTGCACAAGACTTCATTCGTGGATATGCAGAGTACTTAAAGAAAAATAATAAAATAAAAATCCCAGAATGGGCATCTATTGTAAAAACTGGTCTTGGAAAAGAAATCTCTCCAATTGACTAAGATTGGATGTATGTTAGGGCTGCAGCACTTGCAAGAAAGATTTATGTCAGAGGTCATTGGGTACTCTATTTATAACAACATAACTTTAGGGTGTTGGTAATCTGACTCACATGTTTGGATCTGTCAATGACAATGGAAAACATGAATCAGGATCAGGAAAAGTTATTAGATATTTGCTCTAACAATTGGAATCAATTAAAGTATTGAAGAAAGACAATAAATCACTCCTAAAGAAAGGATCTAGAATTGTTACCAAAGAAGGATAATAAGACTTAAATAGAATTGCAACTTAAGTAGCTTTGGCTGCAAGAAAATGATTATTAAACATAAGTACATTAATATATACAAATTGTCACGTGTTAACATACAGAAACTAGATCTAATCCCTATGGATTTGATGCTTATCTCTATGAGTAAACATAAATATGGATATATATAATTCTATTTAGGAATTACTTTTTTGCAAAATAAGATTATTGAAATGAGTCCCATCTTCTTTTGAGTTTTTAATCTCCATTATTTTGTGTATTTCACTTAAAATAATCTAAATTATAAATATAAATGTCTAAGTGATAAATATTATTCCCATATGTAAACTATCTACACATTGATATTCGAATGAGATATGCAGTTGAACTGGATCTTGTAAAATTCATGAAGAAAATAAGTAAAAATACTAGAAGAGGAGTTGTAGAGTATGGCAAGATGGGTTGTTTAAAGAATTATAAAATGATTGAATAAGATAAATATATTATTATTATATTATTTAATTTTTGAATGCAAGCAGGGTTGACAATCAATTAGGAGTATGTAAGAAATCTGTAAGAAATTACAAAAGAGTAATTGATAAATTTATCAAATAGATTTTTGTGTCCAATATCTGCAAACATTTATAATATCTAATTCTTAAAGTTCAGAATCAGAGATATGGAATCGGGATAGGTGTTATTTGAAGTAGAGCGAGATCCTAATGAAGAATCAATTGGTAATTTAGGAATTAATTTGATCAGAAAATATACCACCAGCACTTCAAGATGAGGCTAGGAGAATAAAATATCATTTTGGTCCTCAATTTTTTGAATTAAAAACGATTGGAGCTCAATTAACATTTTCTGTAGGGGATAAGATTGTCAAAAACTTTACCATAATTGAGAGACATTATTTCAGGAATATCTTATTGAGAAGCTATGAATTCCAATTTCCATTTTGCATTCCAAACTCAACAAATACATGGGAACACATTTACACAATCCCAGAGATCGCTGAAGATGTTGTAAGGATGTTGCTTTATTAAAGAAATAATTAATGATTGAAAATCCTAATGACACTAAATCAGACAGTTTTTATTTTGTAGGCGATACTTTGATTATGCATAATAAAGCTGAATACGATTACTCTCCAATAAATGAATGAGTTGATAATTATATATATATAAATAATTAAATGAAGTTATGTAATTGTTGCTATTTTTAAATTGAATATTAATAATCTAATCACTTTCTTCCAAGGGATGTTGATGAGGCTAAGGCTCTAACCTAATCCTTGAACAATTAGATGACAACATCGATGATAGCGTTTTCCTCTAAAATAGAGTTTACATCAAATTGATACCTTATCTTCTTGCAGTTTCTGAAGCATAGAATTCTCTTTTCTCTTCCAAATCGGCAGTGGCACCAGCAACGGCGTTCAATGAGTCTTTCCATAATTTGAGAGCCTTAGCTTATTGAGCAAGGACTGCTGGGAGTTGCTAAACAATAATCAAACACAATTCATACAGTTTCTAATTTTTCAACAAGACCTGTTCTTCTTTCGTGTTCAGAGTTCAACCAAGCAACTTCGGCATTGGTGTCAGATACGTATTTAGCAAGTGCGAAAGCAGCATGGATTTCTTATTCTTAGAGTGTAGCAAGGGTTGCCTCTAATTCAGCTTATAAGTCTGATAAGATGGCAAGAACTTGTTCTCCGGTTGTTCCGTCTCTCTTAACTTCAGCGAGTGATTAGAATTTTTCCATGGCATCTTATTGGAAGAGGTGACTGTAGGCAGACAATTTGTCAGCGATGGTTTCAGCCTTTTGAACTAATTCAACACCAGCATTGTTTGTGAGCCATCCAGCAACGTCTTGTGATAAGAGTTAAACAACTGCAATTGCATCAGCGTGATCAGCCAATGATTTGACAAAGAGTCCATTGGCCCAACATCTTTAGTCTTAGAGTTAAGCATTTCTTCTTTCGATTTCAGCAAGTCTTGATTCAGCCCATGCCAACCATGAATATCCATCCTAGATCTTAAGGGGAAATAGCATACTCTAATTTAGGCTTCAACATCAGTACGAACGGCACCCAATCTTTCCCATTATTATTTGTTAAGGGAAGCAACGTTTGTCAAGTCACCAATAACTTAAGAAAAGATTTCTATTGTTTAATTTATATTTTACCCTCATCTGTATTATTCTTCTTATCAGCAGCAGCTTAGACATTAACATTTTCTGTTTTCAAATCTCTCAAAAGGTTGTAAACTGATTCAACAGCATCGTTTCCTCTAGTACCAGTTTGGAGGAGGACGGCAAATTTGTTTGTGTCAATAGCGAAGACAGCAGCCACTAAGCAAAGGGCAATAAGAGTTCTCATAATTAATTTATTAATACCAAAAACGGAATATAAATTCTTCGTTTTAATAATACAATAATACAATAATCACTAATTAATTATTAATTAACTTAGATTTATCCACACTTCCTATCAAAATCATTGAATTTCATACTATCAACTAAATCCATCACAACATTCAATCTCATAAATATAAATATTTAGTATCCAACCCTAATTCTCTACCCCTGCAAGAATTAATCATTTTAAACCTTCATAAACAACACTAACTTAAAGTAAGCATATAAATATTTAAAACCATTTCGATTTTCTTAATATTTTAATTTGATTTTCTAATAATTATATTCTCCTCTTAAAACCTAATAAATTCAACTTCAAGTTATAACTTTGTAATTATTACAATTTTTGACATCCTATGAATGATTATAATTCATTCATCCATCTAATCCCAATATTCTAGGAATTACTTGGTTAAGAATTCTTTTTATTTTACTAATCATGTTAGCAATCTTTTAGTCATATTTTAATTGAATACAAGTCTCAAGATTTTAATACTCTACTTTCACAATGTTGAGTTTGGAATATAAATTAGTGTACACCTACATAGATTTATACTTAACGAAAAAATATCTCATAATTAATAAAGTTTAGCGTTAATTTTAATGTAGTTATTAAAGATAACCAAAACAAAACTGTGTTTAGTAACAATTTGGAGTTATTATAACAATACTTATTTCTTCATTATGCTTCATTATCAAACAAATTTTGAAGAAAACTTTAATATTTATTGGATTAAAATGGTTTAATGAATATTAACCACTGGATAGTTAATTGATTGGCAAAATCTGTTTTTGAATTTTATTAATAATAATGGTATTAGTCTTATATATTTAATTATTTTTAAGATTAAGTAAATTATATAATATGTTAAAACAATGCTAACTTTTAGTTAATTCTGATGATTAAAATATCAATTTCTGAACACTCCTTAAATTTCTAATGTCTTCTTCAATCCATTTATTATCATATCAATAAAATAGTTTCCAATAGTATCGTAGACCCAAGTATATTAATTTGTCTTTCTAAGTCATTGGAATGCAGCTCAATCACTAAAAATAGGGATTTATAGATATCATGAGGAAGGCAGAAAAAAGAAAGAATAGTTTCAATAACCACAATTTTTATAAAAATCAAGAGTTTATCTCGAATATATAATCTTCATATGTCTTCCTTTAAGTTATAAGTGTCTTGACAATTCAACTCACATTGGTTAAACAATATTTCACAAACTCCTTTGCCATTTTTCCTACATTACTCTAAGCTGATTCTGCAATCATCTATACAAATAATTTTTGGGCATTCATCTAAGCATGAGTGCACTACACTGAATAAATTTTTTATTTTATACTTTTGACAATTTTTATGGCAAAATGAAGGATTTCCTATACTATCACAACCACTCACACAATCTAACCAATCCATAGTGCAGTCTCTCTTACATTCTTCATAAGTCATTTGCTCTTTTGTTAATAAGAAGTACAAGCTTAGTATTATATATAGTCTCATAAATTAAATAAAACAATTATTAGGATCATATATTAATCAAATTCAATTGGTCTTTTATCATTTAATTAATGTAAATTGCATCGTTATTTCATACAGTTATTTTGAAAATAATTTATTGCTATTTGTTTGTTAACTAAAATGTGATTAAATCGAGAATTTAAATAAAATTCAGATCATGATGAATTAAATAATTCAAATTCAATTAATAATAAATTTTAGGATACTCATGTTTATATTAATAGATAAAGAAGATTAATAAAGACTTTTTATTAATTTATCAGATTATGAATAAATTTGAAGCAAAATCATTTGTCATTTTTTAGAATAAAACATATTGACTATTACACCAATTATTCCTAAGAATAATAAAAAGAGTGTGATATCTAAACAAAATTTGTTTGGTTATCTAAATTTTATGAGAAGTTCTTTTAATTATTTATTGGAGTGCTATAATGTTTTATTGGTTTTATCAACCTGTTTATCCGTTTGTTTGATTTGAACTTTTGTTTAATCAATTTTCTAATGAAAACATTTATATAATAATAATTACCTGTCCTTAAACTTGTACTTTATGATTCAATTAGCCCATTCCATCAATAATTACATCTAATTTTCCATCTATTATTTCATCGTTTTTAGCAAATCGATCCAAAGCTTCCTATTCGTCTTTTGTAATTTGATAAACAACTTCTCTATTTGGTTTGTTTTTGTAAAGCTCTAAATAGATTATAATTCATATTTAAATTACATTATTATAAATCTTTTAGAAGTAATGGTTTTTCGTTTTCTGTGTCTTCTGCACGCTCCCCTTATTCTCTTAATTTTAAATTCTCAACATTCTGTTTATATTTTTGTAAAATCTTAGCTCTAAGTTCGATTTCTTGAGGTGAATATTGCTTTACTTTTCTGCTCATCCTTTCTAGAGATTCACCCATTTGCTTGATCATTCTATCAACTTCATGAATTTCATCTCTTATTTACACTCCTATTCAACAATATATTCAAACTATTTACCCATAGCAATTTAATCTCTATCATTCCCATACTTAGCCATTTTTTCGTCTCTTTAATCTTATAGTTTGCTAATTTGAAATATCTTAGCAACTAACAAATCTTTAATAACATCAAATTCTCTTGACTTTTAGACATTTTTGGCTTTTTGATAATACAATTATATATACTGGCTTCTGCATTCCCTCCTAATTGTTTTTCTATGCTATAACATTTTTATATCAAGTGGTTGAGTTCGTTTATATTCATTTTTATTTAATTTGTAATAATAATAGATTATATCCCCTTTTAATAATGATGCCTTTTAATTTCTGGTGTTGAAATTTTAAAAAAATAGAAAACAAAATATAAAATATGTCATTATTTGTTTCTTTTATCATACCATCTTGGAATTAATTTATTAACCAATTATTAATTATTTTGCAACTCTTCCTTTGTAAAATCAAATAAATTAGGAATTTTTATGTTTTTCTCATAAATTTTTAACATGTTCTCATCTCTGAAGTCATCAAAATAACTATGTGCCAATGCTTAGATTGCTGATAATCTTGTTTTAGGACAATATGTTAAAATTTTACTTACTAAATCAACTGCAAGAGGATCTATTTGATTTACAAACACATTTGCCCAATCTTTCTTTCTGATTTGAACTATATTATATTATTTGATATCATATTCCTTATTCATTGATATAACCTCCTCCTTACTTGGAGATCCTAGAACCTTAATAATTTCAACCAATTAATCAACAGCTGATGTACCTAAAAATAACGGTAATCCATTAAACATTTCTGCTATTACGCAACCTACAGACCACATGTCTACTTGAGAGCTATAATTGGTGGCTCCAAATAGTAATTCAGGAGCTCTATAACTTCTTGAACAAATATAAGAGATATTTTATTCCAACGAACTTAATTTTTTGGCACTTCCAAAATCACATAATTTAAGAATGTTAGACTCAGGGTTTATTAATACATTATCAGGTTTGATATCTCGATGACAGACTCCCTTGTTATGTAAATAAGCAAGACCACGAAGGATTTGATAAGAGTAGAGTTTAGCTTATATTTATGGAATCAATTGTTATTATTTAAGGAACTTAGTATTATAGGAATGTATTGTTTCAGGTTGGTAATCCATTATGACATTCAAATACTACTCATCAGAGGAGTCACCATATGAGAAATAAGCATGTTTAGTTTCAACAATATTAGGATGATTTAATTCTTGCATAATTTGAATCTCTCTATTTTTATATCTTTTGTCTTAGATTACTTTTTTTACTGCCACTATTTCTCCAGTTTCATTTGCTTTTGCTTTGTACACAACTCCAAAGGATCCTTGGCCAATTACTTAAAGGTTTGTATAAGTATAAAGAGAGTAATCAATTGGAAGATGTCCATTGAGTATTGGTGATTTACTTTGCCATTTTTGATTTCTTAATGGAGTCTTTTATTTGTCTTAAACATTTCTGCATTTCAGAACTCCCTACTATACTTCAAGTTCATCTCCATCTCCTGCTTCGGTCTGCATTCTTCTATTGGCCTCACCTAATGGAACATATTTATTTTAAGAGTTTTTAGCATAACAAGACATTCAACTGTAATATTATAAATTTAATTATAATTAACTTTTTAACAAATTTATAAATTTTTAGTGAATTTTATGTTCAAAGAGATTTATTAATAAAATTGGTTATAACATTAGTACCCATTTGAGTTTAGTAATTTAGTAAATAACGTCAGATTTAAACGATATTAAAACATAGTATGAATGTGAGATTAAATATTTTGGGAGTCTCTTTAACAATAGTTTACTAGAGTTCCCTGAGTATAAAAATGGAAATTAAGTGAATGGTCAAATAGATTAATATTAGAGAAGGATGAATTAGAATGGTAGTATTGAATTGCAATTTTAATAATAAAAGAACCATGTGGTCGAGGAATATTAATTTAAGAGAATAAAGTCAAATGCAATTATGAGAAGCAAAATGAAATAATCGATTGTTAATTGTTAATAGAAGTAGGATAAGAATTGAGAGAAGATGATTAGCGCAGTTTCTGTTTATTTTAGAGTTAAAAACAATGATAAGGTAAGGTATTAACTACTAAGGAGGGAACTAAGCAATGATAGTTTTAAATATTATAAAAATAGATATGAAAGAGAATTAAATAAATAGAGCTTATGGAAAGGAAAGAATTTTATGAGGAATTTGAATTTATTAGAGTTAAGAGTTTAGGTTGAAACTTTTATAAAGGGAAATTTGGATAATGAAAATATGCAAGGCTTTATGGTTTATGTTAAGGAAATTGTATTGTTGGTTTTTGGTTAGAAAGAGGGGATTATTGCAGAGTAAAAGATGTAAAGAAAGATGGAAAATAATAGAGTTGGGATCAAAATTTTTGATGATAAATTTAGATAAGTAGGAGTATGGAGATAGAAAATAATTATATTTTATGTTCTTATTCGGAATATAATTGTATGAATATGAAGAACACTAAGAAAATTGAATAATAATGTGATTATATGTTTAATTAATATGAAATGAAAAATTCGTTTTTGCCTTTTTTTAGCAAAATAATCCTTAGAAGGAATTCATTATTAATTACAATAAATGTTCAAAGTTGCCGTGTGTGCATTGTTAGTACTAGCCTCAACAGCCATAAACGTCTAATCCTCAATTTGGACAAGCAAAGACCAAAAAGCATTTGCTTAGATCCACCAATCTGGTTGGGGTAAATTCATCTTGAACTTTGCTGAACTCCATTTAACAACAGGAGGTATTCTTTCTGAGCTCAACTCTGAGATTGAGAAGCTTGTACTTATTGAGAGTTAATATGTTTATAGATTGGTGAAATGGAAGAGGAATTGGCCGGAGTTCATCATGAATTCAACAGAAGAACAGATGTCCACAACAGAGAAGTCGCCAGACTCGAATAAGAAATCTAAGATAAGGAAAGAGGTACTTTATCGGTTTTACTATTTCCTTAGAATTGTTCAATGCTCACGATTTCTATGACAACGTCCTCATCCCATAAGGAGAAAGATTTGCTGCCTAACTTGAATAATTATAAGAAAACATTGCTCATAACAGATAAACCCTTGAATAAGCAACAGTCTAAAGAGCCAATGATCACGAAACATTCGAATCTGAAGTTGTCGAACACAACGATGCTATTTCTGCTATTGACGAATGCTTATAATTGTTGAGCACAATTGCAGCACCATCTCTTGCTGAAGTCAAGAAGGTCTAAAAGAATTTGGCTAAAATCTAAAACTCATTGAAAAAGCACAACTAATTCCAAATCTTTGTTAAAGTCTTATTGGAAATCACAGTCGATTCCAACTTTGCTGACTAAGGTGCTCTTAGAGATGTAATTCTAACCTAATATCCTATAGATAGTTGTCGCCTTCAATAACTTGAGAGTTGAATTGGTTGATTCACTCAATTAAATCACTGCTGATGAAGCTGAATAAGTTGCTGACTATAATGCTTAAGTCATTGCATTGAACTAAGAACACGCTGAATTCTAAAGAGCTGTTGTTGTTAAGAATGCTGAAATCGAAGCCAACACAAGTATTCATTTCAATCTAACTACTCATAGCCAAATAAGAATAAACTCTTGACTTAATTGATGAACTTGATGAAGATTTGGCCACCCTCAATGGATAATTGTAAGCTGAAAATGATGACTATGCCTTCGCCACTGATGTCTACAATGCAACTGTTGCTGAATACAACAAAGAGATTAATGCTGCCAAATAAGCATTAGATTTGCTCAACCAACCAAGATTCCAAGAGTATGTTAAATCATAACTCAAAGGAGCATGATCTATTCCAAATATATCAAAAGCATATAAATTATTTTTAATTAATAATTTATTTCTCTATTTATTAAAATTCACCTATGCAAAATAAATGTTGCTGTCTACCCACTGAAAAGGCATTCCTCTTAATTGTATACTTGGACATTAGCAGGATCATCTGGGGTTCTTTAATATAACATTATTTAGGAACTATTACATGTGCATTCATGTTTCAAAGGGAATACTTCGTTGTCTCTTGTAATTACAATTTTGGATATCATTCTCATTGTTTTTCAATCATCTCTAGCACTTTATATCAATATGAGAGCACTTAAATAAAATAACAAAAAGCCCATATATATCTATAGGAAATTGAAATTGCTCTTTGTGATTTGCAATACTTTTGATAGATTGGTTGCCCCTATAATAAATTGCACCCTTATCTTCAAAGATGTAATAACCCTAATATTTAGGATTAAAAAGAAGCAAGATCAGATTATTGTGTAGTTGATGTCTTTGTCGCTATAATAATCACAGCCATCATATGGAATTTTATCGAGTATTATTTCTATACCATAGTCAAGGATTTTGTGTTGATACTTCAACGTTCTAGTACTTCCTAACTATATTTTAGATAATAGATCTTAGCGTTATTCAAAAGATAAGTCCTTAAAGAAAGGCGACTCTAGTAATTTGGCAATTATGTATGAAGTTACAGGCATGAGACCAGTAATAAAAAGAAGAGGATAACAAGTTATTGATGCAGATAAAATTGAATAAGGACATCTTAAATCAAGTCAAGAGGCGTAGAGAATATATGCATTGCCTATCCAATAGAATCGGAGTAAAAGTTCATTCATTAATTTTTAAATAGATTTTTAAATTTTAGGATCATCATCTGGCCTAGTAGAAATTGATTTAATATAATGATTACATAAAATAATTCTATATTTATTTAATAAAATGGACTTGAGTAGAGAACCCTTATCAATCAAGCTGGTAGTCATTGGGGATGGTAGTGTTGGCAAGACCTGCATTTTGCTAAGGTAAACTTTATAAAAAATTCAAGTTACACTACGGATAAATTTCCAACTGAGTATGTTCCCACTGTTTTTGAGAATTACATCACATCTGTTTCTCTTGATGGAAAACAAATTAATTTAAGTCTTTGGGATACTGCTGGCTAGGAAACTTATGATAAACTTAGAACCTTATCTTATTCATAGGCCGATGTCTTCTTAATAGTATTCTCTGTAGTGGATAAATCATCATTTGATAATGCGAAAAATAAGTGGTACCCAGAATTAAGGCCAAGGAGATTTAAAGAATATACCAAAACTTGTAGTGGGCAATAAGATAGATTGTAGAAATGAAATATCCTAAAAGCATGTAAAATTTGAAGAAGTATAATCTCTATAGATATCTAATAGGCTTCTGAGGAATTTAAATCCTAAAATTTAGTTTACAAAGAATGCTCAGCTTTGACCTAGGAAGGTTTAAAGGAGTTATTTGAAGAGGCTATAAAATAGGGATATGAACATAAATAAAAGAATCCATAAACTTTGAAAAATTAGAACTAAAAGGATCGAGTCGAAGATAAATAAGAAAACTGTTGCTGCAACGCTTTTTGAAATAGACTATTTTATAGTTTATTATCAATTAATATTCAATATTCCTATCATATGGTGTACTAATACCAATTCTCCAATGTATTAAACACTAAAATGAAACATTATTGATACTTATTTTTAGCTAAATTTTTTTTATATTCCAATTCTTTTTTATTTGGATCCTTAAAAAACTCATTTTCTCTATTTTCTGCCTCCTGATAAAATCTTGTCAATTGATCTTTGTAACTTTTTAGTTATTGTTCATAATTATCAAATTCTGGGATGTTTACCAAATTTATTATTTATCAAAAATAAGCAGCATAAATATTGTGATAAGTTTCTAAAAGTTCTTTTGGAGGTAGAATTGTATATGGTTTATAATAGCACTTTTTAGGATCAAAAATACGCTTACATAAAATATCATAGCATTTTTTGCATTCTTTTTGAATTCTCCAATTTTTATGGTAAAGTCTGAGTGAGTAAATTCTATTCCTTTGCCTCTGACATCTTTCTTAGACTTTTTGGTAAATACTGATGCGCTGTCTAGAATTCTCAATAATTCATTCGAAGACTTAATAATGCATAATCCATTTCCTTATTTGCCGCTTTCATCTTAAACAAGTTTAATTTATTAATCAAAAACAAAAAATTGGTTATCTCCTTCACATATTTAAATGACATTTTGCAAATTTTCCTGGTTTTTATTGTATTATTATTATAATTGCAAAACTAAGATTTTTTGATCTCTTACTTTATTGATTGGTGGATTCTAAAATATCGACTCTAAAATTCCATTTCTTTTCATTTTAAATGACGGAATGCAATTAAAGGTTGGATATGAATTAAACATACTGATTTGACTCAAAGTAAAAAACACAGGACATAATAATAATTAAATTAATTATTAAATTCCGAAGTATTTAATTGAATGATGTTCACCATAAGTAACACAAAATTCATATAAAAATTCTATAATATAATTTGTATAGTTTGGACTAGGACAATTAATAAATAAGGATATAGTAGACAAGATTGTATTCCATAAAGAATTAAAGGTAATAATTAAAGATTCTATATAGATTAGACGTTAAAATTGAAATCAAGGAAGGAAATTCAAAATGTTATTCTTATAAATAATATATTGAGTAATATAAAAGATTTCAATATGCAACTCATTTCCATATATCAATATTTAATAAATGAAATAAATTCTCATTTTCGTATTCAGTCTATATCAAGTTTTGTGTTAAGATGAACTACTCGCTGTCTAGGCCATTTGGAGACATGGAGCAAGAAATCCTTATTATTGCAACTACGAATGCGATCCAAATGTAGCAAAAGGAGATGGTGCATTATTAACACCAACTGGAATGAGACAATAATATGTATTGGGAAAATGGATTAGATAAAGATACATCACAGGTACTACTCCACTATTATCACCAAATTTTAATGAAAATGAGATCTACATAGAAAGCTCTGATGTCAATAGGTAATCATAGATCCCTCATTTCTTAGGACTCTGTAAAGTGCCTACAGTAATTTATAAGGAATGTATCCAAATGGACCAACTGTGCCTCATTTCGTTGATGAAAATGTTTCATTACTTTTACCACCCAATAAAGGATCTGTCACTCCTCCAGGTATTGGAGATGATGCTTTACCCAAAAAAATCTAATTGATACCGATCCATACCAAACAAAGAGAGATGGACTACGCTGTTGCCATAGCGTGTCCAAAAGGTGCTGATATGGTTGCTTAAAATAAAAAAACAGCGCTATATAAATAGGTGAATGACGCTACTGCACAATTATACAAAGACTTTAATGAATAATTAAAATTAACTGGAGATAAACAGGTAAATGATTTCGTTGTCCTTTCTAATTACAGAGACACTTTCATTTGTAATAGATACAACGGAGAAAAAATGCCTGAGGATTTGAAAACTGAAACATTAAAAAAAATTGATGATATTTCCAATTTAGCATTTAGTCTTGAAAAATTCTAAACACCAGAGTAACTCTTTCTAATTATTTTATTTTAGATAAGTCAAACTTTTTTCAACTCCTTATTTCAAATAAGTTATTGATCATTTTGATAGCTTCTTGAATGGAAGTTCCCATTTTAAATATTATGGTTCCTCATCTCATGATTCAACTCTTTTGGCCTTATTATCTGGTCTTAATTTGACTAGTGCTCAATGTTAAGCTGAAATTTATCTCAACAAAAATATCACTTACAAAAATTGCATAACATAAGTATAATATTTCATTGATTACTTTAGTATGTTGAGTTTGCTTCCAATATCATTTTTGAACTTTACAATAATAAAATCACAGGACCATATGTTAAAGTATTATATAACGGTGAATATATGCCACTTTGTTCAGATGAAGGTAAGACTTGCAAATATTCAACTTTACATCATCTTTTTATGTCTCAATAGGTTGATTATAAAAAGGAATGTGGAATAGCTGGAGATATGGAAATCCCTGTATAATTAATTTCTATAATTAGATTGAAGAGGAAACCCCTGGTTGGGCAATTGCGTTTTTCATAATTGTTATCCTATTACTTCTTGGTGGTTTAGCCATGGTCATAATTATTAAAAGGAAAGTAGAAGATGCAGAATGAGAATTTAAACATTTATAAATAAGATTATATCAAGCAATTTTTTCATTAATCATTACTCTTTTGAATTGTCTTTAGAATTATTCATCATAAAATAATGTTCCTAAAGGCATCAAATATATGAACTTCTTTAACAAATCTATTCTGCTTTATTCAATTTTAAATGAACAATTTAAATAGTAGATTGTCACGACTTCAAATATGATAAAAACAGATACAAAAATCTAAAAATATAACTTATTATTTTACAAATATTTGAAATTGCATATCTATTGTTAATGTAGTGAATTCTTCTTTTAGGGAAGTAGTAAGTTACAGTAAAACATCAGATACTAAAGAAGCACCTTCTAACTCTAATTATTGATAAGCCTATCTAGTATCAAAATGAGTAGTATCATATTCAGTTTTTACACTGTTAATCATGTAATTTAAAGAATTAATTAACCCTTTCGTCAGAACACCTTACATTACGTAATTACAAATAGACTCTGCTTTGGTTTTGTATTTCTAAATATATTAAATATTCCTTACATCACTCAAATTATCACAGACTGAATCTTAGGTTAATATATTTACTATTTTTTCTGTTGAATCTCCAAATAAGAAATTCAGATCATTTATATTTACTAAACTTGAAGCGATTTATTACAAGGATGTTAAACTGCTTTAAATGTGATCTTAAAATTATTAAATTTCTGTTTTATTTAAAAATGTAAAAGTAGATTTGAAATATAATGCTTCCTTCCAAGCATAAATTATTAATACATTCACACTTGTATCGGATATTTTAGAATAATATAGGGCTGTTTGTTTATAATTATCCAAATAATTTCTTATAATAATGTAAAATAATAGACTTAATCCAAAAAATATTAAATAATGGAAACTAATTAAGAATAGCTATTTCTTCATTTGTAAAGATACTTATCTCTTTTAATTTATTTATCTTTATTTAAAATTTTATTACCGCGTTTTTAAAGATTTATCAATTCCATCTAAATCTAATTTATATCCATAAATCATATGTCTATTATTTAATATTTGTAACTAAAATTATTTCAACATCATTATATCCTATTCATTTTAGTGAAGATCTTAATTTCTTATCAGCGTTAGAATCTTATTTTTAAATTATCTTATTTAACCTTTGTGATAGACCTTAACAATTACTATTAAAAATGTTAACACATCAAAAATTATAAGATATATTTAAATATCCTTTAAATTTGAATCGCATAATGTAAACGTGGATTCTAAAGTGTAATTTTACAACTCCAAAAATTTATTGAATAATACTATATAATTTTTATAGGAATAATAAAAGTAGGGGCCATCTATGACTATTGACTTAACTGTGTATGCCAATTTATAATCGTATTAATAATTTAATAACAAATGAATGGCCTCCCGAAATGTTATATTGTATTCCTTCCCAATGTTTGTTTTTTCATATAATGTTATAATTTAATAATTCTCTTACAAAAAGGGCTAAAACTCAGGAATATCTAACACTTTGGTAATACTAATTTTTAAGTCGTCATAACCTGAAAGTAAATTTGAATTTGGGAACTTTATCAAATAGTAGTATTCATTTTGTGTAACAACCTTTGCTTATAAAAGTGTATTATAAGTTATTATAGTATATCTTGTTAATAAAAATGATTCAATTGGCTAATAAACTTCATTTTTAATGGATAGTAAATTCATTTGAGAAATATACTCTTTAATTTAATAAGTAGCAACAATCACTTTGATTGAAAATGTTAGAATTAATATTATATATATTAAATAGAAAATATTGAAGGCAATTAAATTTTTAGATCTATTTGTTGAGTTAATAATAGTGGAATATTGAGTAAATTTTTTATAAAAGGGAGATTTTTTAATTTTAGCAATACTAGATAGATTAGAAGAATCTTCATTTTATTCAATCTATGCTTATTGTTTCTATTTATTAAATATTGAAGTTTCAGTGAATTTCTTATCATAGTTTTAATCGTATTCTTAATGATTTTGTATTAATTCTAACTATGCTTCCTATCTATCAGTATTTAAAATTAATTATTTTTGGTTAAACTCGTCTAAATCAGGTATATTAATTTCAATTTCCTCATCCATCTCACAAAAGTGTTCTGAATTTTAGGTCATTTTAAATTAACTATATGAATTGGCTCTATCTAATTTTAGGTTATCCACTTTCAATATATAATAAAATTAGTTATCAACAAAAACTCTTTGAATTATAGTTAAATGGCAAGAATAAAAAGAAATCTATTCAAAATCATCAAAATTATAGTGAGTTTTAGATTTTGTTTTAGAATCCTATTCATCCTAATAATTAAAGAAATTGATAGGACAATTCTTTATATCAAAGAGTTTCTCATCAATATATCTTTTGAATCCAGGAATCACTTTAGTTATATGTAGACCTATAATGAAGTCTATTTGGTTTTCTTAAATATTAAAGCCGTTTGAAAAAAGATAAAGACTGATTTCTTGTAATCGTAAGTTAGAATCGACTAGCATCAATTATTTATCACACTAAGGTGAACGATAAACTGTAATTATCTCAATATTTTGAGTATTTTTATAATTTAAATCCATGCAAATGTCTATAGGTTAAAATATACCTTTCCCTTATCTAAATGAAAGTTTCATCGATAGCCTAAAAATATTTATTCTATCCTTCTTACAGAAATTTTTCTATTAATAACTAATGGAAGGTCTTTAATGATTGAGGAATCAATTGATGCAATTGATTTCCCTCTTTTAAAGTGAAGTTCTCATTCTGACTTGCTGAATGATATTTTATCTAAATGTTTTGAAGGTCATGAATTTCAAAAATCACAAAATTGAAGGATTAATTAAAAAAATTAACCATTTCTGACTAATGATGTTTAAGGATAATATCTTCATCTAATGCAATCGTTTAACTAAAATAGTAAGCATCAAGAAAGTTGTTTAAAACTTAAACTTAGTATGTCATCAGTATACTTTAATTCTATATTGCTATTCATTAATAACAAGATATTACTTGGGAATAAATCATAGTTTGATTTCAACTTAGTTAGCAAGTGCTCTTACTCTGTCAAAATTTAATAAACTTTATTACTAAATACTTATTCAGATATCTTCTCCTTTTAGTTAAAACTCAGGAATTCTAATTTCTATTGTAGAACATCCTTAAAAATACTTTACACATCTATATTATTAGAATTAATAATAGTAAGCTGTTTAATAGCTTAAGATATAGTTTAATTATTTAATCTTAGCTATGAAGATTATTAGATCATTTTATTTTGCATATTTGCAATAATCTTATCTTCTAAAATTTCAAAATAGATTTTATATAATGAATTCAATTCAGCTCTTATAACTAGTTTAAATGTTTTTGAGACTATTTTGGAAGGGCTATTTTATGTATATCGAAATAACTATTCTATAATTTATTACGCTTCAACATAGAGACTCAAAACAATCAAGTTTTAAATATAATTGATGTATATCTATAACAATTTAAAAGGATTCTTTATCTCTTCTGAAAGACATTCTAAACGCCTAAGAATCATCTATTGTATAAATTGTTAAATAATTTCAATAGATTACTTACTTAATTCCTTTTCTCTTATAGAATATAATTTTTCACTTTTATTTGAATTTTTTTCAACAAATTAATATAAAAATAAATGATTTTTTATATTATCCAAACTTAGTCCATCTAGGATCATGCATGATATATATTTTAATTCGTTAATTGACAATTATTCAAAATTTTTGTAAACCATAAATTAGTGCAGTTCAACCTTAAGAGATTTCTTAATCACATAGATTTGTAAAGGGAACAAATATATCCAATCTCGAGTAAAGAAGTCAGGAAATATGGAATTGAGAATTCCCATCATTCCCAATAGTATTCCAAAACTACTGAAAGAGATTATCAAATTTTAATAGTTACTTTTCATATGGATTTAATTGTACTAAATCTAGAGAAGTTTATGGAGAAAACTTAATATAATGAGGATTGATTAAATTATTATTGCACCTTACTTGTTTTCTAACAATACATAGCAAATAATTTAGAGGAATTTAAGAAATAAATTTATTACACTAGTATAAGATTAATTAATTGTTAAGTATTGTAATGATGGTATAAATTTAATACTTCTATTTATCAATTACCATTATCCATATAAAATTATTGTTTCTTCGAAAATCAAAAATACTCCCATACATATTAAATACAGTTGTGGTTGTTTCTATTTCAGCACAATCAGTAAACTCATCTCTATTATGTTATTACCTATGTAAACCTTATTCACAAACAAAAATATGGCATTTATTTATACTATCAACCTTGTAATTTTTGAATTTAATTGGAGGTGATAAATTTCATTTATAATATTCTTTTATTCTGATTTATTAACAATTACACAACTATATATCCAAATCACTATTAGTATTTAAATAAATAGAAACATAGCAATAAAGAACGTTGAATTATCGTCTTAAGTAAAAATGAATATGTGGGGTCTAGTAAAAAATAAAACGATTTTAAAAGAATTTTCAATAGAAAATGTAGGCTATTCTAAATAACTAATAATTTAAAGTTGTGCTATAAATCCAAAAATTAGTTAAATAAGTGTTGGTATTTCAGTGCTAAACTATTAAAAAACTAAAGTTGTTTTGATGACATTATTTAGTAAACTACATCGTCTAGTCATTAGTTAAAGTTTATTATTTAAATAATAGTTATAGTATTTAAGAAATAATACTTAATCAATATTTCCAACATAAATTAATTATAATAAAAAAATAGGTATCTATTTATGACCTTAAACTCTTATGTGATCACAAGAATTTATTAATTTTTAATACATATATTAATTTCAATTAAAGATTTTAGTCTGCATATCTTTCAAAATATTATATCATAACAGTTATCAAATAATGTTTAAGAATTATCTACTAATTTTTGTTAATGTCTACATCCATCCTTCACAATTTAAAGAATATTTAATGTCATTTAGTTGAATCTGCTGAATTTTAACAAATTATTAGATATTTCTAAGAGTTTTTGTTTTGTCTTTAAACTCTTGAGAATTCCAGAAATGGCCAAATCTAAATCTCGTAATCCTTTCAAAAGGTTGATGATGTAATCAAATAAATTAATCTGATTGATCGTTTTTATAATTTACTTCCTCATTATGCTTCTTTTCATATCATTAAATCTCTGTTGAAATATGGTTATTAACCATAAATATTTGTGATTCATAAAATAATTTTAAGAAATCATGCTTTTAAAATATATATCTTTGGAAATTTCTATTTAATAGAAAATGTAGAGGATTTTATTCCTTCATTCAACCAAACAAACTATCATTTTTTCTTTTGGTTTTTTTATATATATTTTATATTTATGGGTATATCAAATTTCTTATAAATAATATTAATGATCCAAAAAGGTACCTAATATACTAAAAGAATTCATACTTATTAGAAGTCTAGGAATTTCTTCATTTCTAAGAATTCATTTTCATGATATATTTCAACCAATTATCCAATATTCTTAAATTAAAGTTTATGTTCGCGATTCCTACATCAATAAGAGTGAGTATTGTGAACATTAATGAAGTATTATGACATATATCCATTCAACATTAGGTCTGAATCATAATAATTTATACTGGTTTTGAGCAGTTTTGAATATCAAACAACTAATAATATATGAAGCTAAATAAAATAATATTATCCAAGATTTGTCATAAACAGTCTTGTGTTATTATTGCTTGAATTACCAATTCTTATTAGAAATCTTCGAATTTATAATTAACAAGAAATTTAAATTCATCATGAAATAAATTAGTTTATTATTTATTTCTATGAATATTTATACATATTTCAATATTAAATGAGTTTTTGTTTATTTTCAAACTATGTTAATATTATATACAATAAATACTTAAGATCAAATAAGAAGAGTTCTATATCACAATATGAGTTAAGTTTATAAAGAATCGAATGAAAGTAAACATTTTAAACTCTCATATAGAATGCATCTGAAAGTGGTTTAATTTTTAAATTAAAATTATAAAGATTTTAATTGATGAAGAGTGAATAATAGTAGAAAGGAGTCACAAAAACAGTGAAGAAAGTTAAAGTGAACAAAAAGGCACCAGTGAGGTATATTGAAATATATGAGGAAGATTGTGGGTTAAGGCTGTATTTACAGGTTTTAGAAGATCTAAGGTTCAATAAAATGAAAAACAAGCTTTATTAAAAATCCAACATGTTGATGATGTGTCATCAAGCAGATTCTATTGGGGCAAGAGAGTTGCTTATATATATAAGGCTCACTCTCTTAAGAACAATACAAAATTTAGAGTAATGAATTTGAGTTAATATGAAGACTATTTGGGGTAGAGTCAGTAGATCTCATGGATCAAATGGAATAGTGATTGCTAGATTCAATAGAAATCTTCCACCAAGAGCAATAGGATCAACTTTAAGAGTATTCTTGTATCCAAATAGGGCTTGAGTTATATAAAAAGAGAATATATATAAATGTATATTAATTTCCAGAAATTAAATAAAAGAAATTAATTTTTTTAATATGAGTCAAGCACCATAGGCAGGATAATAATAAGCACAGAAGTCGAATACATTCAACAAATCAGAAAAAACAAAGGACATTCGATTGACTAATATCCAAGCAGCCAAAGGTATCGTGAATGTAGAGTAATAATTAGCTGTGTCAGATGCAGTAAGAACAAGCTTGGGACCAAGAGGAATGGACAAGATGATATAAGACGCCAAGGGTTAAGTCTTGATTACAAATGATGGTGCTACAATCTTAAAACAAATGGATTTGGTTCATCCTACAGCTAAGATGGTATGAATTAATAATTAATTATTCAAAGTTGGTCGAGATTTCAAATGCCCAAGATGTTGAAGCAGGTGATGGCACAACTTCAGTTGTAGTTTTTGCAGGTGCTTTATTGAAATCATGCGAGGTACTATTGGAAAAGGGAATCCATCCAACAACAATTTCGGAGGGATTTTAATTTGCATTGGAGTATGCTCTTACAGCATTGGACGAATTGAAAAAGCCAGTAGATTTAGAGAATAAATAATAATTAATTGAGTGTGTCTAAACAGCACTTTCATCAAAAGTTGTTTCATCAAACAGTGCTTAATTGGCTCCATTGGCAGTAGATGCTGTCTTAAGAATTGTCGATCCTCAAAAGCCAAATAATGTTGATTTGAAAGATATCAAGATAGTGAAGAAATTAGGAGGAACAATAGATGATACAGAGTTAGTTGAAGGCATAGTCTTTTCAAATTAAAAGGCAAGTTAAGCTGCAGGAGGTCCATAATAAATTAAGGATGCTAAAGTTGCTTTATTATAATTCTGTCTATCTGCTCCTAAGACTGATGTTGAAAACTCTATAGCCATTAAGGATTACACTGAAATGGACAAAATCTTAAAGGAAGAAAGAAAATATATTATTGATTTAGTCAAGAAGATAGTTGCTTCAGGCGCCAATGTGTTATTGATCTAAAAAAGTATTTTGAGAGATGCAGTTAATGATTTGTCATTACACTTTTTGGCCAAGAAAGGCATCATGGTTGTTAAGGATATTGAAAGAGATGATGTTGAATTTATTTCTAAAGTAATTTATATTTTATATTTGTATAGACCTTATGTTTGGTTCCAGTTGCTCATATTGATTAATTGACTCCAGAAAAACTAGGTACTGCTGGATTAGTAGAAACCGTTCATTTGAATGATGAAAGCAAAGTATTGAGAATCACTAAAGTCCCTGCTCAATCTAAGGCCTTGACTATTTTGGTTAGAGGATCAAATCAATTAGTCTTAGATGAGGCTGACAGAAGCATTCATGATGCATTATGTGTTGTTAGAAGTTTAGTAAAGAGCAAGGGATTGATTCCAGGAGGAGGAGCACCAGAAATTCATTTATCTTTACGATTAA